CAGTGGGAGATAATTGATGCAGGTGCGGCACACACGGACGCTGTGCTCCATGCACGTGGTTGATTTGCAGATGTTACATTGATTGGTGCAACGCGACCTCTTCCGCTCAGGGCACATGTAGCACCTCGCCGTTCATGATTGGCCAGCGGCCTCCCGGGTGCTCAGCACAATGGCAGCGGAGTTGGGAGCACGGGGAACCCTCGACCGTCGTGCAATCTGCTCCCTTACCAGGGCAGTGCCGAGCTGCTCCAAAAACAGCCACCTCCGATGGAGCTTCCCCTGTTCCCATCGTGGATCAATGTCGAGCCAGAACACCAAGGCGTTGTATGCGGAAATATCTAAGATGTTTCCCCAAACTGCCATGGGCCACCTGTTGCTCTTGCGACAGCTGGTGTAGGTTCCCACCAGCTGCAAAAAAAAATACAAAAGGCAAGAAGAATATTTAGAAAATAGCTTTAAAAAATGAATGCATATTCCCTAAATATTTAGAAGCGCACCTGATCCAGAGTGTCCACAGCGCCCTTGCTCTTGTTATACTCGGTGATGATGGCCAGTTTGTACAGGGGGTCAAGGCCGTGGCTCCATCCCGGTGCTTGGTTGAGAGGAGAAATATGTTCTTCCCCTTCTTTGGGATGTAGGAGACCACTGTAGCCATGTCATTGAACCCAAAAAGGAAGCTGTTTATGGGCTGAATATTCTTTAACTCCATGGGAATTTCTGGCTTATTTTGCCGAAGAGTGCCCAACAACAGGATCCCGTGGGAAAGCAGCTCCTTCCCGAGCGCCAGGCTGGTGAAAAAATTGTCAGTAGTGACAGTGTGACCACGAGGAAGCCCTGCCACCAAATAGAGCACCACCCGCTTCCCCTGCTCTTTCTCTGGGTGAGCGCTGGGACTGGCCTGTCCAAGGTGGGGCTGGATGTAAAGGGCATAAGATGTCTCAACATCACACAGAGCCCACATTTTGAGGCCATACTTTGCTGGTTTTCACGACATGTACTGCCGAAAAGAGCAGCACCCCCAGAATGCCACCAACTGTTCATCCACGCAGACCCTCTCCCCCAGATTGAACCCGAATGCAAGACAGGGGACCCACATTTCCCATATCTCCTGGATCGGGGCAAACTTGTCCGGGCCGCCTGCCGGGGCCTCTCTCAATCTCGACCCCCGGGTCTCACGGTCGTCAAAGCGCCCCAGAGACATCACTGCACTGAAAATTGACCTATTGTTGGGCCCACTCCACAGGCTTTGGCTGCTCTCACCCCGAGACCTGAAGACTCCAGCCAGCAGCTGCACCCCAACCAATGCCTTGATCTCTACTGTGTCAGTTGGGTGCCAGTTGTGGTACCTCCGGTAACCCTCCAGGTTGGTGTACCCAGCAATTTTGTTGAGGGTTTCCTCCGACAGAAAATAAAGGAAGGCATCCTCCACCTCTTGGATCCTGGACTGCGCGTGTCGAATCACGGATTAGGCCTTGGATTAGGCCTAATGCTGGGGGCCACGGGGTTTGGAGACCACTTAACTCCACTCTTTAAACACAAGTCGTGGCTCAGAGGTACAGGTGCCTGTTGGGAAACCGACCCAGAGGCCGCTCCTTCCACCTCCATCTCCTCATGGCTATCCTCCCCATTGCTCCCACTTCCATCACTCTCCACCTCGTTGCCATCATTAGGAGGATTGAATGTTGGGTCCATAACCTTGTCTTCTGTGAAATCCACAGCAGAGATTGCAGTGCAGTATTTACCTCTTGTTGATGCAGCAACGAGTGTGTAGGGGGAGGTTTGGGAATGGGCCTATATGTAGTCCTCGTCTTCCCTTGTTTCTTGGTTGGTTCATTTTGTGTTGTGTGTGGTATGTACCATTGTCTCCAGTGTCTCCATGTGGTTTTTTCCCCAAGTGCCTTTTTTTTTTTAAATTTGCCACTTGTGTTTCTTGGGATTTTTGAGTTGGACATTTAATGTAAGTTTTTGTTGCTTTTCTTTTAGTTCCTTTTAAATAAATCAAATTTTGTTCTGTATCTTGGATCCTTCCCTCGATCTGTGACAAATTCATTATGAGATTTTATGTCAATAATTCAAAACCTACAGTAACACAGTCAAAAAGGAATTAATTTCCCATTTCTCACTACTCATCCCCGCCCCTAAGGCCGAGAAAGGCAAACAATATACGCAGACATTTTCAAGAGCATGGTATGTACGCAAAGTATGGCTAACTGGATGTCCAAAGAGTGAGGCCCTTTTTTGTTAATGGTGACAAAAAGAAATAATGAAGCTGGCAATAAAACATTTCAGCTACTGAAACAGTTAATCAACAAAATCTGTTTATAGAACAGTAGAGTATATAAAGATTAAAACCCAATATAAACCATAAATTTATTATAGTGAGACACTACATAAAAGCCAGACTTAAAAGTTGTTGATTTCTAACATTGTGGCATGAATATTGTCTGTTAGCATTCTTTTAAGACAGGTTGAAAAGTTATTTACTTTGAGCCTACATACGAATATTATAATATTCAGTTTTGTGAGCCAAATTTATTTTATATGTCAACATCTATAAAAGAAAGAGCCAGACCACGGAGCACGATGCGTCATTTACGCACAGATGGTTCTGATTTTAATTCCATTTTTGGAATTTATGTTGCGATCTGTGTGCACAACCCACCTTTGTCACGTGAGGTTTGAATATATGCAACTTTATGCAAGTGCCTTTATTTGTGGAAAAGGGTGTTTGTCTTACCAGTGGGTCGAAACTTACACACGCCAAATCCCTCTGTGCTTATATGAGACAGTGTGCAGGACGCCCTCTGCAGCGTTTACAGTGACACTTGTTGAGGAGCTGCCTTCTGTCGCCATCGTGTGGCATTACTGTCTTCAGACATCTCTTGATCTCTTTGACTACTTCATGAAAATTGTAATACGCCTCGCCAGTGGCGGATTTAAAGGCAAGAGAGGAGCCGATGTTATTGGTCAATACAGGTCTCGGCTGTGTTAAACCCACTCCAAGCCCTTTCTCCTCCCTCCCTACGATTTACCCCGCTGGGAGGGGCTGAGTTAGGGAGGGGGGATACTTACGCTGGGCTGCACCGCTCACCAAAATACCAAATTGTGCTTGGGAAAGCCTTGTCGGCGCGGCGGACCTGACTTAGGCCGCGCCTGCGGCACGTCTCCGGCGAGGCATGAAAATAGAGCCCAATGACTTTATCCTCCATTTGACAAAAATTATATTTTAAAAAATCAGGCCATAATTCTTACCTGACATGAATTCATAACCCTTTGCTGCATTAATGTGAACATGGCGGCAGTGTTGCTCTATTTGGCTTTCCTGGTTTGCAGGAGGGAAATTATATCATAAATAAATAAATAATAGTAATAAAGATCTTTAAATGAGGAGACCTTGTGTTGTCTACTTTACTGTTGGGAAGTGGGAACAAACCGAAACAGAAGCAGAGCAGGTTTTACAGGGAGAAATTAACCGAGGTCTAAGTAATTTCAAACCCTTGCATGAACGGAAATCCTGGGTGGTAGCTCATTTTGTGGGGAAAGCGAACCTAAAATGAAAACATTTTCATTCTTTTGTATTTATTGGTCCAAAATATTGTCAATACACTGATGCCACCACCTGCAGACATGTTGAAGCATTAAAAAATATTATAGGGGGTGTCAAAAGGGGATTAGTTCATTTCGTTAAAGGAAAGACAAAGCAGTACCACGGAAAGCAGTAGGGGCAGTGTTGTTGCTTTCAATAGACAATACGCATGCCTAGAGAGAAATGAAGAAAATAGTGGAAGACAATCACTGCGTCACTGCGTCCCTTTTACTGTCATTATCAGGCATACAATTCAGATGCATTATATGCAAAACTGGCTGAATAGAAAACACTAGTTTAAAAATAAAAGTCTCTTCATGTAAATTATGAGGAAAACAGTTGATTCAATGGTTATTTGTGCTCAATCTCTGTTATATATTCAGTTAATTTTACTTTCAGAATTAATTATTCTTAAAATATCTAACAAAGTATGTTAATACAACAAACAGTCATTTGATGTACATGATATAATTGAGTTGATTTTAAAAATTTCACTAAATACATTTTAAAAATTAAGAAATCTATACTAAGCCTAGTTTTGTTTGATCTACATAAAAAATCAAGTTGGTTACACCTACAAATTTCATTTACTACACTGAAAAAATGGAGTAATTTATACAAAGTTTAGTTTTGCTTAAAGGGGCCATGGCTCTGTATATCTCTGTATTTAGGAACTGTGTGCTCAGAGCCGTTCTGAAAACTCCACTGACATGACGTCATGTCAGTGCTGGTGGGTTGATGGTACTGCCCATAGAGCCACCCACTGCCCTGCCCACAAAATTATCAAAAACCCATTATTCCCGGCCGCTCGCTCGCATAGCTCCGGTTAGAACCATGGTGAAAGTACGATCTGAAAAAGAGGCAGCGTTTGCTCTGTTGTTGGCTGCACAAACGAGCACAAAACTCTTTTGAAAACTCCCTCGTCGGAGGATTTGAGGACTTAATGGGTGGATTTTATTTATAATGGGAATGTACCCGCGGCACTTCCAAAGTATCTGTACGTATGTGCGCACCATTTCACTTCGGACTGTTTTATCAACGAGGGACAGTTCAACACTGGATTTGCTAGATGTCTGAAGTTAAAGAATGGATCCGTACCAACTATCCGCGATCCTACTAAAAACGTGGCATCTGTAAGTGTGATCATTCTATTTTGACTTACCGTTTAACCTAAATTCCCCCCGGTGCCTCAACACGGCCACCACGCTTTGATAAACACACCGGATCCGCGCCGGTTTACCGGATCCTCCCGTATTTTAGCCGCTCGCTTCTTCCCCGACAACTCCGCCGGCGGGGGACAAAATCCCCCTCCAGAGCAGCATGTAGCTTTAGCATTTACCCGTGCGGTGACGCGCCTCTTTTGGCTCAAATATGGGACGTCCCGGCTAATGCTGGACAGTCGGCCATCCTATTAATTAGCAAAGGCTTCAGAGAAGTTTTAGAGCACCAAAATCTTACATTGTAGCAGAGCTCTGGTTGTAATTTTTTCTACATTCATATCTTCCTCCTTAAGCGTGACCCTCCTGGCGGCTTTGAATAATACATAGGATGTGTCGACTAGGTCTGAATGCGGCTAAGAGTTTCTTCCGGAGCCTCTCCCTCTGGGTCAGACTCTGGCTCAAACTGGTAGGGTTGTACGAGCGATCTTCTTGCAGCCATGACCGAGCCAGTGTAAACATTAGCACATGGCTATCGGAGCACAGCCGCAGCCCCTTCCAGAGAGATGGGTGTAAAGTGGACGTGGCTTAGGTGCAGCTCATTTCATTAAAGAGACATGGCCCAAAACGGAGGATTTTGAGCGGAGCTGTTTTTAGCTGATAAAAAGAGCACTAAAATAATTGATCCAAATCGAATTTTGACCGAAGGACGTCACAGACATGCTTTTAACACACCAGGGGACTATTTTAAGTTGTGTGAAATTGGCATGCCATGGGACCTTTAATCTTTTTGACAAATTTAAGTTCACTTTACTTGGATTATATTTTTAATTAAAAAAATCAGTTAGTAGTCAAAATAAAGATCAATCTTGCTTGATCAACATAAATGCAAAATGTTGCACTGATTTTTTAAAGTAAATCTAGCGTAACATTTTCATTGAGACCTAGGCACCTAATTCTTTGATTTGACTCTGAGCTGAATTTTATTCCACATATCAAAAACATGTGAAAATAAGTTTTCATCTTAAGAACAAAGCCAGAGTCTATAGTTAGGGTTTCTCTCTCAGGCCAATATGGAGGTGCTGATGCGTGCTTTTATCTCTTGTTGCTTAGATTACTGTAATGTCTTGCTCTTTGGTCCTCCCAAAAAGAGTATTTTAAATCTCTAATAATTACAGAAGTCAGCCACACGCGTGCTGACAAGGACCAGAGGTCGGGAGTACATTTCACTGGTTTTAGAGTCCCTGCATTGGCTCCCCATAAGTTTCAGGATCGATTTTTAAGGTTCTTTTACTTGTTTTTAAATGTCTTAATGGCCTTGCACCCTCTTACTTATCTGACCTGCTTTTAACATATCAACCCTCGCAGCTCCTGAGGTCCTCCGGCCCAGGCCTTTTATCCATACCAAAACCCAGAACTAAAACCCACAGTATCATCTGGCGGAGCCCGGCGCACAACCAGTTTGGTATTTTCTTAGACTGAGGTGCGCCTAGGTCTGCTAAGCTGGGCGTGGATGCCCGGCAGGGGGAGGTGTTGACAGAATCAGCTGGCACAGTGACATTTTCGTGCTCGCTGGTGGCATGAAAAGTGCGCTGAAATCTTGACGATTCAAACCTGGTCAGCTTTCAGCGTAGGCGGAGCGCAGCTGGTCTAGTGGTATTTGGGTAGACCGGCGGCATATTACGCATACGTCACCGATGCCTCACCGGCAGGTTTCCACAGTGTCAGGCACATTACAGTCCAATAAATAATCATCAACAACCACTACTCTGAGTCAGCACATACATTTAGATCTATATCGATATATTCTGATCTATATCTGATCTGATGAGTGCGTTTGGCACGCGTTTGGACACACAACCTGACCGAATCAACACAGCTGAAACCACATTAAATTAAATTAAATATCTAGTAAATAAACACACATGATGAAGTTAACAAGATATTTAATTTGTCTCCCTACTTTTCTTTCTTCCTCTTATTTCTCGCGCAGCTCAACCTGGACATGTCTCTGTGTCCTCTCTCCGTCCTGCTGCGGCTGAACAGATGATTTGTTTCAGTGCTCAGATGAGTTATCTACTGCGGACATACGGATATTATAATATTTAGTTTTGTGGGCCAAATTTATTTTATATGCCAACATCTATGAAAGAAAGAGCCAGGCCACGGAGCGCGATGCGTCATTTACGCACAGATGGTTCCAATTTTAATGCCATTTTTGGAGTTTATGTTGTGATCTGTGCGCTCAACCCACCTTTGTCACGTGAGGTTTGAAAATGTGCAACTTTATGTGAGTGTCTTTATTTGTGGAAAAGGGTGTTTGTCTTACCAGTGGGTCCAACATCACACACACCAAATCCATCTGTGCTTATATGAGACAGTGTGCAGAACGCCCAATGCAGCACTTACAGTGACACTTGTTGAGGAGCTGCCCTTTGTCGCCATCGTGTGGCATTACTGTCTTCAGACATCTCTTGGTCTGTTTGACTACTTCACGCAAATAGTAATACGCCTCGCAGGTGGCGGATTTAAAGGCAAGGAGAGGAGCTTATGTGATTGGTGAAAACAGGTCTCGGCTGTGTTAAACCCACTCCACGCCCTCTCTCCTCCCTCGCTACGACTTATGCCGCTGGGAGGAGCTGAGTTAGGGGGGGAGGATACTTACGCCGGGCTGCGTCGCTCACCAAAATACCAAATTGTGCTTGGGAATGCCTTGTCGGCGCGGCGGACCTGACTTACGCCGCACTTGCAGCACGTCTCCGGCGAGGCACGAAAATAGAGCCCAAAGTGTATTGGTAACAAAATAGATTTTGTAAAGGCCGATTCATGGATTACTTGCATACAACTCACACACAAATACAGACAAGCAGGAACACACATACACTCAGAGCAACTTCCAAGTTCTCATCTTTTCCTCCATTTTTCTCGAGGGATAGCATTAATCTGTTGCTATGGATACGAATCTAAGGAGCATATTTTTTTCGAACAATTGTTAACCTTTCATCCTTTCAACCTTTCATGCATTGTTATTATTATTGTTTTCATCAGAGAAGCCAGTATTCCAACATAACATGTTTCCTAGTTGTGTGAACTATCTGACATGTTTGCATTCCCATACCATCACGTTTGCTGTTTTATGAATTATGGGCTGATTACAAAAGAGGGACCACTTTTCTCTTCAAAGCTAGAGATGCAGTGTTCATGATTTCCAAAAGCATGTCAATTTTGATTTGTCAGACCATAGGACAGTTTTCTACTTTGCTCAGTTTATCTCAAATAGAATCTGGCTCAGAGAAATCACTGGTGTTCCAGGATCATGTTTTTAGTATCGTAATATGTTTGCATGATGTGGTTTTTAGTGGTTTAATTGAATCAATTAAATAAATTGGGGAGTGTTCTCCCAGGTGTTTCCAGCATTACACAGCTTTTGTTATGAGTGTGTTTTTTGTCCCTGGCCCATCTATCTTTTGAAAGTGTTTCTAGTCTAGTTTTACAACTTTTTATGTTTGGGAACCATAAGACTGCACCAAATCCTATGACAGAAATCACACAGACTTACATCAAGCTGCTGTTGTGGCATAGACAGGAAAACATCAGAGACTGCTTGAAAAAATAATAGAGGAGCTTCTGGTCATCAACATCTGCTGTTTGATTAAGGGGGAGGGACATTGCCGACTTTTGTCTTAGTTTTGACTGAGATGTTTTTCGTTTTGTTTTTTAAAATCAGGTTTCAACAGTAAAATCCACTGGCAACGATAAACTATTATTGTTGCTCTTTATATCCTAATCAATACATGATCAGCAATCCCCTTCAAAAACACAATGGCCCTGATTTATCAATCTTGCGCAGATCTGAGTGCAGATCTAAGCGCAGGATTCATCCTACGATAGGACACACGTGACATTTATGAAAGGGTTCGTATCTGACCAATCCCAGCGTACGTATGATCGGGTCTTGATAACTGCGGCGTCTGAAATCGACCGTCATTAACATGTTTAAAAATAATTACTAACATCACCAAACAGTGTTTTGCTGCCCCTGAGGCACATTTTTATAGATTTCTATTGGATTTTTATCACTGATTAAATAGGAAGAGCACTTTCTAAACTTATACTTTACATGTCAGAATCCACAGATAAGGTCCTGTCTCCTCTGTACAGCACCTTTGTGGAGTCTCTCCTTGTTATTGTCCTCCAGGCATCAGGTCCGGACAGCCAACAGCACTCCATTTGCCAGTGCAACATTGTACTGGCCCAAATGATGTCCCACACCCTTTCAGGAGTGTACAACAACGTCCCCGCTGCTGGGCCTAGATAGAGACACCTGCCTTTTCTGAGTCAAATGCAGCGCTCCACAGTGGCTTGTGTGCATGTGTGCACTCCTGTTCTGTGGCAGTGTTTCTGGGCAGAGTTATCAAATAGGCCTTTTCACTGTTTTTTATTTTATTTTATTTACGTCTTAATCTTCAATTGTTTATCAATTATTTTGAGACAGACATTTGCTGCACCGCAGATCCACACTGACTCAAACTTGCGTACATGATGTCAGACCTGTCGTGAGACTTGGTCGTAGCGTACGCTCACGTGCAGATTGATAAGCCGATCTTCACATCAAAATTTTCGTACGCAAGGTGTACAAATTTGTGCAAATTTTCTGCCGTACACAAGCTTGATCAATGAGGGCCAATATGTTTCTGCCAACAGCTGCTTGGCATTCAGGCAACTACAGAACCTCTGAGACAGACTGTGACAAGACAATTAATCCAAAGAAGTTAGAACCGTATAAAAAAAAGAATGGTTTGACATCTATGTACTCCTTTGACTCTCCTTTTGTAATTCTAAAGTGATGCTAATTAAAGAGGAGCTACCAAAAAAAACAACACTTTTTCACAGCTCTTTAAAAATGACTATTTTGGAAACTTGAAAAGTGAATTGCTTGAGTGCACTGCAGGCAAAAAGTGTGTTTTGACAGATTGAAAAGATTTTCTCCCACTGTGGACTCCCTCTGAGTACGACCAGTCTCTTCTCGAAGACTGAGTGACTCACCCATTTTTGCTTCAAAGTGTCACTCTGCTTTAAAACTGTGCAGACAGAAAACAACATGCTTGTTATCTGTGTCTCGCAGGCAAGTGCTGCTTTCCTCTCCATCTTTTTTTATGTCTTTTTTCAGAACTTTATTTTCTTGTCTTTCTCCGCTATGGTGTTTTACCACTGATAAAGTCAGACTATAACCTCTACTGGCCCCACTCAGCCTCTCTTCTTTGGGTTACATCTAATAGTAAGATAGCTCTTTATCAAGCATGTTTGTGATTTTATAACCACACCTGGTCATTAATACCAGTCATTGAAATGTATCAAATGGCTAAGACAAAATTTCTTGTTTTACCAGAAGAAGGAGAATTGTTTTTCATATCACTCTTTCCATGCACCTTTGTCTGTTTTAATGGCTGGGTAATCAAAGCAAACATACTTTATAACCCTAAAAAACTGGATCCACTTTCTTTATAATCTATTCCTAATTAAATATTTTTAAATTGATTTGAAATTTTGTATGATAAAGGACAGTATGTCACTCTGACCTTGTCATTTCTCTTCTCCATTCATGCTAATGGGTGTTGTCAGTTTATGGACACATCTGGCAGCACATGTGATACATTGTGGGCTGTGCTTTTGCTTTGTAGAGGTTGCCAGTTGGCCATATCTTGTCCATGTGCCCCTGCCCTCTACTGAATATGCCAGAAGCTCCAGCCCACTAGGTTGGAGCTCGTGCAATCCACATAAATGTCAGTCCTACAGTGTTTACCAGCAGGGCCTGTCTCCATGGTATTGTTACCAACATGGCTCCAGATAGACCAACCTAAATGTTGGTGCTTTCAGGCTTCTGTTAGCCATGCTCTGCTGGGAGGTTCAAATCAGCTGGGAAAGAGTGAACATATTAGCACATTTATCACAGATGTGTCTAAAACGAAACAAAACAAAACAAACAAACAAACAAAAAAACGAGGGGGTAGTAAGATTCTGCTTAAGGTGGGGACTGAAAGAATAAACTTGTAAAGGATAAAAGACAAGATTTAAAAAGATGAAAGAAGTAGAAAAGATGTAAAGACAAATTTAACATGATTTATAGTAACGTTTATATTTGGATTGTGTTGCATGATAAATCTTGAGCTAAATCTTTTCAACTTTAATTGTCCACATAAAATAACATGTAAAGAGAGGAACATGAAAGATGACAGGATGGCAGGATGTCATTTATCATTCCAGTGCTGCCACTCAATGGTTAAAAGAAGGAGTGCATATCATGTTTCCCAGCTCAGGATTTACTCTATGTATTCATCTTACATAAAACCAGGAGGAACTTAAATTATTACATTTCTCTCATGCAGAATTAATTATTTCCCAACTTTTTTAAAGTGTCAATAAAATCTTAACAAATGTGTTGTTGTTAGAAAACTTCAGATCAAAGAAAATATCTTTCTGACTGCTGCTGCCATGTGTGATTTGAGGTGAAATGGCAGTAAAAAATTAATTGGGGGCCAGTTTTGTCAATGAAGGATGGATTTATGTTTTTCAGTCAAAGTAATGCTAAAGCTGAAATAAATAAAAAAAATTGATCACCAACTTAATATTTAGATGTGATTAAAGATAATAAATAAGCTGAGCACTTCTGTGTATTTGCCTTTATGTACAGGAGAGGGCAGTCAAGCCAAGCTAGCTGCTTTTTTTTAATGTCTGTTATGTTGATATTTCAGTCTTCAACTGCCTGCACAGCTGAAATATTCTAACAGTAGCAGCTGGGGAGGCTTTCAAGCAATGAGAGTCAGTGATACTCTGTAAAGCCCTTATTCTTTTTGACACTGATAAAAAAAAACTTGAAATGGAAAAAAGCCTCTTTTTATTATTACGTCATACATAGCACAAATAGCTTTACGTGAATCAGCAAAGCCATGTTTGTACACTGCAAAACTTGTGTTTTTTGTGACTGATTTTGTGTGGGAATGTGTTTTAGACTTTTTATTAGCCATATTCACCTGCGAAGTTCAGATATTTGTCTTTTTCTGGGATTAAACAAGTGAAAAATAAGACCTGGTTTGCTTTCATTGAGTAAAAGAATCTGTCAGTCAGGTGACAAATTTTACCTATCAAATTTTCTCTATTCTTTATTTGTATTCTTTTCATTACTCTTGATTCATGTGGCACATTGGGACATTTTTCATGACAAGTAAGACACAAACACTTGCTTAGTTTTGAGTTGAGCTTTTTGCTAAGAATAAACTATCAGGGCCAAAGTTTGTTCCCAGTCCACAAGTATCTTTACCAAATGCAACAAAACTATCTAAACCAAAACCTCTACCAACCACATGGCCTAAACAGACTATACATCAGTACTGAGGCACCAACTGAAATATATGGCTTTCTTGTTGGGAACTTATATATAAGATAAAGTGAAAAAAGAAAATACTGTAAATACTATGTAATAAAACATGCATTTTTTTAAATTACAATGTTACATTCTTGTTAAATCTAAAATTATAACTCATGTGTTACATAATATAACTTTTTTTTTCACTTAAAAACATCTCTACATTCTCTGTGGGGCTGATTTATCAATCAACATACAATTAATTCTCTGTGCTTCACTTAACAGAAATGTTGTTTTTTTTTCAGTGTCATTCACACATGTCACTTATCTCCATTAGAGAGGTATCTTCTTTATGATCATGCAGCAATGACATATATTAAAGATCATCACAGCAATTAAGCACCTTCTTCATTATAAATTATAGTTAATTATCCAACAAAAGCCTCTATTATTTACCAGATCAAGCCCATTAAATGTAAAGCTGAGTGATACTTTGAATTGAGGCCATCTCAGGTTCCAGACCTCTTTTTGACCAACCCCTTTTATGTCAGTGTAGGTTAAAACAATTTACATTCTGATAGAATAAACTTTCACAACATTTGCTGCAGTGCAGAAATTATTCATTTCCACATATATGTCAGATTTCTCATTTCAAGCCCTATAAAATGTCTTAACTTTACTTTGCTCTTCTTCAAAGGTTTCTTCTCTTCGGTCCTTTGTTCACATGAAGTCTTGTTGTCTACTTCCCTACACTTGTGTTTTGTTTGGCATTATGTTTTTGTGCCACACCATATGGCACATGGGCAGCAATGGTTCCCATCTCAGCTGCTCCCTCCACATGAAACATCTGATCATCAAAATAGATGTGAGGCCTGATCTTGTCCAGCATGGGGCCTTTTGGTGCTCCTGCAAGAAACAAAGCCTCATCGATCTCCAAGCCCCAGGCTCGGAGTGTCTTCAGCGCCCGGATCCCAGAGCTTGCTGCGCTACGAGCCGTAACCAGATATGTGCGGATGGGACAGTTGAGACGCTGGCCTTTAGCATAGAACTTTTTTTGCAATTTCCCCAGTGCCTCCAAAAAACCCTTCAGTGGACCCTGTCAGATAAAGCAGAGAGGGATGTATTGTTTCAATGATTTTTTATTGGTGTCATAAAGCCATAGATTTATGATGATGCATCCCAAGAATAGATAAAACATTCTATTTTTATCATTTTGAAGCACAGTTCAGTGATAATAACAGAACAACACACTGAAAACCACCAAAGGAGACTTCTGTTTCTTACTCATTTTAATCAAATTTTCTCATTTTGTAGCAAGCTGTTCTGTTCCTTCATCACAGGTGACGAAAAAAGACTAACCTCACCTATATTGCAATGACACTAATAATTCTGTTACTCTGTTCTGACATATTAGGCAATATTTCAGCACTTAAATAGCGTAGTCTTCCAGTGACCTACGTACATGATCCAGTAGTGTGTCTTCATTGTCTCTCTCATGTTCAAAGAACTTGTCCAGCCCATGAGCCTTGAAGATTCGCTCAGATTCATCAGAGAAGAGGACAGCATCACCATCAAATGCTACCCTCAGCTGAGACTCAGATACCTCCGTCTGCTTCTCTGGCAAAAACATGGTGGCTGCTGCAATACCTGCCAGACACACAGAGAGAATCGTGGTGCATTGGTGCATTTTGTGCAGCCTTTCCATGGTGACCTCCATATAAAGGGTAACACTTCTATTTAGATGTAAAAGGCTCATTCTGGGTCAACAAACACAAAATGATTTTTATGTTCAGGTGATGATACACTAATTTAAACAGACTTGTACACTGTAGTCCAATTCTAGGCTGTTCTGCTAAATGCCCCTAAATAAGTCACACTGCATCTTTAAGAAAACACTCTAAGGGATACTTGTGAGCGCTCAGCTTACAGGAGGCATTAACAGATGAATTTACAACAAATGAAAGACCTTTAAGCCAAAATGTCAAGGACGATATCTTTGCTCTTATCTGTCAGTGTGTGTATTTGTTGTGGGCGCTGGTGGGTGGGAACTTCTCACAGGGTCACATTAGCTATTAGCTACATCAAGCATGTACTGTAAGTCACATGAGGAATATCCCTGAAGTCACCTTGAAGGCTATGTGGTGATATTGTGAATAGTCAGCACTTCACTCAATTTTTCCCAGCCCTCTACACAAAGACACTGCGACCCTGAAGGATCTGGATCACCCCTAACAAGCAAGATATTTAAACCTGAAGATTTTGTGCTGACAATGCTAACACTGATACATTATATAATATTTAAAATAAATATAATATTTCATTTTTATCAGCATGTCAGCAGAGCTTCTGATCTCCTTACTTTTTTTTTTTTTCCCACAGACGTGACCAAGCCCCTAACCTACATTTGTACTCTATTCAGCATTATTACTTAACAAAAGAAATGGCCAAAGTAGATGACAGTGTCTTTTGGGGAGTTCTGCTGATCAATACCAGGAATATCAATTGAACAGTTTTTTAGGGAAGGAGCTTGGCTTTACAAAATCTTTCTGAATCAACTGATGAATTAAACTTAATAGCCTGAGGCTTGAGGCAGGGTCCCTTTTACTTGCAAGGTTTTTAATGCACATTTTGACAAAATATGGAAGTCTTCGCTACAGGTCTGTATGGTTGTGAAACTGGTCGTCTGTACCATGAGGTGCTGGACTTTAAACTCACACTGAAATGTAACCCATAACAGTAGCTGTCCTAATTTACTGAGAGAAAACAATAAGACCTGGATGCTGTCAGGATGTCAAGTTTGCTCAACAAAAGATACAGAAATTCTCTTCCGGATGGATCTTTCAGACAGTAAGAGGTAATGCAAAGTTAAATGTTAATTGTGTCAAAGGAAAACAATGAAAGAGTTCTTTGAAGTATGGCAGGAGGAGAGGAGTTTACATTTGCTGAATAGGCACAAGTGAGTACCTGGTGTACAAACATGTCATTGATTGCCATTACAGTCTTTCTTGAGTTGGGGCAAAAGCTGAAGAAGTTGACATGGGGACAGGGGAACAAATCCTCGATTTATCATGTTATCCATCAACACCACCTGTGAACCTTTTTCGCAGACACATTAAGGCATATCCTATCATCTGTGTGTGGATGTGTGTACTTACCCTCAGCCAGCGCCTCCCTAACTTTTTCAGAGTCAGCAGACAGATAGAGGTTGGTGTGCCAGGCTTTCAGGTAGCCGATGGGACTGCTGCCCCCTGTCATACAGAACCTCTCGATGAACAAGTCTGGAAGTAAGAGGAGCAAACAGCAACAAGGTTTCTCGTTTCAGTACACAGACTCTGTGTTAAATGTCATAGGGCAGATAAGAGACCCATTACAGTTCTGTCACAGGTTTTTATCTTGACAGACCTTGACAAATTGACATCAATACAATGCAATAATATGACATAATTTTAAAAGTGAAAGAGTGATCCCATTCAGTGGCTTTGGATTTGTCATGTAGTGCATTTAAGCAACTCCAGGGGTCATGAGGGGGAAAGTGGGGGGGAGAATGGGGGTAAGGGCAGCGTGAGAGGATAAACTTACTGCACTTTAACGGGGGCAAGAGTCCAAAGAGGAGGTTAACTTAAAGGGGGGCAGTTGGAGGGGCAAGGCTGTACAGATGCACAAGGAATTAAGACTGGTGGGATGGTGTCTATTTACAGTTTGGCTTGAAAAGGCTCTTAATTTCACAGCTGTTGGCTGATTCATTGAATAGTGAAGAGATGGGAAACAAGAGGAGACTTATATTAAGTAATTGGATCCTTACAGAGCTGCTCAGGTAAAATGTTTGAGGTTCAGAGATAACAGAAGATTAGTGCTGGAAAGGCCACAAGAGTAGAGTACCAGACTTACATTATGAAGAATGATGAAATGAGTTTGAAGGAGAGCTGAGAATTATTATTGAAAATAATAAGTGGGTAAGATCGGTGGTGTACAGTTCTCCAATAGTGAAGGTTAGAATACTCTGGTTATTAGACTGCCATTATGGAAAATGCGAGGGCAAGGTCATGCCTTTTAATTAAAGCTCTGCTAGTTCTGCAAATCCTTTTTTTCCCACTTGCTAAACATTTAGTGGTCTTTCCAGCAATTTGATGTTATAAAAATAAAGAAATAGAACTCTTGACAGCCTAAGTTGTCTGAAGAACTGTCAAATAGATGGACCTGAAACTGGCATAGCCTGGCTTGTAGATTAAGCCTACATTTCAGGTTCCTGTTGGCATCCAAACCTGATGCATGAGCTCTGTGTGTTTTGTTGTTGGTGGTTTAGGGTTCAGGGTGGCTTAGAGGGTCACTCATTCATACCTAACCCTTCAGAGTGGGCTTTCAAAAAGCCATAAGTGCTGCCCCCTTGTAGAGTGTGATCAATCAGCCCTCTTTTCCATTTTTTTTAGTCTGCCGCACCATCCAGTGTGCATCATAGCACATTTTCTCTACAAATGTCTCTTATAACAAATAAAGCAAAATAAAATAGTTTTAGTTGTTATTAGTGAGCAAATTTGTAGTTTTTTGACTTTGTGGCCTGTCTTCATTGTTAAAACCCTTGTCAACAGCAGAAACAAGACTGACTGGTTGACAAAACAAGTTTTATTCCAGTAAAACAAATGCTTAAGTTGTCATATTAAGCGTTACCTCAGGTGCTGTTACAGCTTTAGCTTGTTTGCTTTGATTCCATTCAAGTGATAAAATGGCACATTGTTGTATTATTATGTATTCCCTGAGACATTTTGTGTTCACACATAAGTAAACTAAAGTGGCCCAGAGCACAAACAATGCCCATACATAAGGGCAGGGCTGTCCTTTCATAATTACATCACAACTATATTTTTCCACTATACCAGTGAACAAATGTCATGTGTTATGGTCACTTCACATTGTTGGAAGCTGGTTTAAAATTAACCTACAAAATAACTTGTGGGTTGACTTGGGGTCAAATGTTTGTTGGGCAAAAAAGCATATTTTTTCAAATGTTGGATGCCACCAACAAAATTACAAAAGTTTACAAACTTGGAGATATATGAATGAGGAGGGCTCTCACTGCTTTGCCGCACACTAACACAGGCGGGTTCCAGTGATGAGAGAGAAAATTCCCCTCGTTTGTCAAGCTGGATCAAATTATCCCATTTTTTGTTAAAAAAGCAACTGGATTTTCTTGAGGTTCTTGAAGACATTTCACCTCTCTTTTAAAAGGCTTCTTCAGTTCTCGGAACATCTGCAAGAACCTCAAGCAAGCCCAGTTACCCTTTCAACAAAGAATTGGATAACCGTGACCTGAATGAATGAGAAACTACACAGACATCCGGATCAAATTCTTGGATCTAAACCAGTTGTTGAACTAGGAGATTTTGTAGAGTTCTGTGATGTTGCTACTGAGGTATCTACTGTGAAATCACATGTGATGAAGTTATGCTTCCTTGAAAATGTTTCCAATGAATATAGAGGAAGCCTTTCTTGTCTGTTTACTTCACCTGTTTCTTTCTGCCTCTTCCCTTTATCCTGTGACTAATTGTGCCAGTAACAGTTGGTGTCTCACAATTTAAAACCAGAGTCCAGTTCTCATCAACGTGTATGATGTGTAAGTACCTCCTAATTCTATATGAGAGGTGCTCAAACTGAAGTCAAGGAGAAAGACATCATTGGCAGTCGTCTCCCTGCATCCACGGTGCCTGTTCGATTCTGGTGCTGTCCTTGTGATGAAGTTTTACTGTACAAGCAAGCCAACGTAACAAAATCTCCTTCTGCATCTACACACCACGGATGAATTAGATACAACACTACGCTTTGCAACAGGTCTTCTGCTGATGATGGTAAGTAATGTTAGCTTATTGCTATTATTGACCTTCTACAAAACTAAAACTGTCTTAATGCATCTGTTGCTACGAGCTCACTACTGCTAGTATGCTGAGTAAAGTAGTAGATTTGATTGCAGTAGTAGGTTGACTGCATTCTCAATGCTAACAGTGGTTCATGCATTTGTGATAGCATTTTTGTTACCCTGTGACATGAAATAAGGAATGAGCAAAAGGAGACAGATGAACAAAAACATACAGATGCTGTCAGACTGCTGTGACCTAAACATCGGCAAGAACTAGCAATATCGTCACCCTCTTAAAACAACGGCCCAAATCAATGATCAAGTTTTTAAGAAATTTTTCTGAATACTCCCAGAAATTGTCCTTACTCACACTCGTAGATGATTATACTACAAGGATAGTATCACATGGTCTGTTTAACTGAGAATTTAGGCAATTCTAGCAGAGATGGGCAGCATCATGAGGGACTGACTTAGGGGGAAAAGTAATTTTTGTCAAAAGGTCACATAGGCCATTATTTTAAGAAGGTAACAATATGTGATGCATCTTGTCACTCCAAAAAAGGTTTCAAACATAGGAGGAAAAAAAGGACTGGAGGACTGGACTTGAGAACTTCAGTCCTAAAGGTTTGAGTGTGCAAAAACACGTGCAAACTTGATAGCGCGCACAAAGCTGATCTACCAAGTATTATGTCTGTCAAATTAGCAAAACAGCGTGCACAACCCATTTAGCGTGTTGGCCTTCATGAATATGCAAATTGAATGTAGATCATCTGACCGCGCAAAATTCTGCGAGGAGCAGATGCAAATGAAATCATTTAGCACCCGCAATGTGATTTATCAAACCTGGAAACCGATTGCAGTCACTGTTTTGCGTCTATATTTAGCACGTCTGAAAGGCATGTGCAAACTGGCTCAGCGTTACACGCAAATGGCTGCAGTGATTGTAAGGAGAAGGAGGCAAAGATGCAAAAGCATTTTTCTAGTGAATGACGGTTTTGATAAATAATTAGATCAAACATGGAACAGTAGCAAAAATGTATCTCTTTGTTTTACTGATTTTAAATTGTTTGAATATCTTTTTTTTTTCATTTTCAACATATTTTCTTGCATCTGTAAAGCACTTTGAAAAATGATGCTATACAAATAAACTTCCCTTGCCTTTTATGAAGTTGCTGGCTTTCCCAAAACAATAGGTGCAACTCCATGGCTTCATACTTCATTTTTCATCTATGATCACTCTGCTCTCACAAACTCTCCATGGTGACAGTCGATAGCGCACACAAAATCCTTGTTTAAAGACCACTTTTGCACCTGTTATCATTTGCGCATGCAATCATAGTAGATCACCCGCAACATGCCCACTAATAGCACATGCAATTTTATTTAGTTTGCACACACAATTTAGCATTCCCTATTTGGGATCTTAGTAGATCAGGCCCAAAGTGTTCCCAGTGGTCTTTAAGTTGTGATTATGACGTTTTTAGCCAACATCACGTTAGCTGTGTCATTTTCAAGGGCTTTTCCTCTGCAGAGCCTGACTAGCTCTATAGCAATTCGCCTCTGAGACGTGAGGGGAGACAGTGCAGCTCTGCACACTCCTCTTCACGCTAGCTTGCAGCCTAACATTAGTGTAGTAGAAGAACCAGCTCTCAGACACTAATGTCTTTAGGGAAACTATGAAAGTTAATATCATATTTAGCTTTCTTAGGAGTACTGCAATCCACTAACACACACACGCTTGTACCACGATCGTCCTCTCTACGTTTCTGAGTGTGGGCTTTGGGGACAGAGCTTGGATATATGACATAGGAAATCTGTGCCTGAGCCTGCCGCTCGGGCCTGCCAGAGATTCACAGCGATTTGAATGCAACTTTGCGCTTAGTTTTCTCATGATATGTCCTTTAGCATCAGAAAAATGCCATATAAACATGTAGACAACAACATGATTTTCATCAGAGTGGGTCTTTAAATGGCTCATCAAGTTTTTCAGACAGGCCTTGGTGGATCTGACTGGTCCTCCACTGTGCTTCATGATATCAAACCTCCCACACATTCGCTTGTTGTAAAAGCAAGAGCATGGGAAACTTCCTTAATGTTGATTTCTTTGTTATTTTTTTTCCCTGTAACAATGTTTTGGGATAATTTCTCTTTGTGAGACATATTTGTTTGTTCAAAAGATCTAAAACATAGTAACAGGAAAGCAGGAAATCAGCAGGACTGCTGCTGTCACATCAAAGACCCAACAGCTCCATCATGACAAACTGCTCAGTCCAGAATATTTTGCAAAATGCATGCATAAATTGTATTCCTCATCCTGCAGCTGTTAAAAATAGCTTGTGTGAGCAGCTACTCATATGACAATGGCGACATGAACACTTCTCTTTGGTCCTCATGGTTAAAGTGTTTTTTTTTTTTATTTTTTTTTTTATGTGGAACCCCAACTATGACTGACACTGTGTGGATGATGCTGAACAGAACCTTCTGTCTGCGACATCAGAGAACCCATGTTTTTCTATAGCTCAGTCAGAAAGGTCAGAGTTCAGGGGTTGGTTTGATGTGCTGGGCCACTCATGCAGAGTTTCACCAAAGAGATAAAAAACACTGAGTCCTCTGTGTGTTGCTTTGTGGCTCCGCTTGGACCTATTTGTGTTTGTTAGAAGTAAGGCCTCTTGGATTATTCTTACATCCCAAAGGGGTTAGTGTTGAACTCATCCAGACCTGAAGTTCTGGGGATCTGAAAACATCTAAGAAGCTAAACAGGAAACGGTCTCAGAGAACAACGTCATTTCAGGGTGGGAAATTTTCCTGGGAAGGCTCTTGACACTCAGCTGTCCATACAACTTGTTGTTTGCCTCTGAGCTGTGCTTGCGTCAGCTTTGGTGTTCTAAATTTCGGACCATGCCATTACATCAATATTTGGATCTTGTCTTTTTCCCCCCAAAATGTTGAAGTTGCATAACTAAAACATTAAACCCCAAAATCAATGAAACAAGACACCAACCCCATAAAATGCATTCTGAGTTAGACCTGTGCTTAACATTTGCCATCTTTATTCGAATTCCTCTTTATAATGTACATGGATATCTACTGCAGTCGTAGCATTGTTTAGATTCCTAGCAACTTCAAGTTATTTCCTTATTTATATTGAGCATTACTGACATTACTTCCAGACATCACATAAAGCTAGTATGACAGCTTTAATCTTATTTTTCAAAGTTTGTAGACATGCACTAACCAAGTCTGCCAACATTTGAGCTGACATGCGGCAGGCTGCACTCCAGGCTTAAACTAACTGTTCACAAAAACAAATTCCTGCTGAATCTACACTGTATCCTGGCACCCAGCAAGTAAGCATATATGACTTTACATTTAATTGGGCCATAAAGGTAACTCTTGTGTTTGCACATGCCTTTCCTTCCCTGGAGTTTTTTTTTTATGTCTCTGGCTACATAGACTTTTTAGTGCTGATGTTGTTCATTACATGTTGTTCATTGTAGGGGTCTGCCTCCACTCACATGATTAACTTGGACATTTGAAATGTTCTGTTGTTGAATATGTTTTTTGATGTAAGGTTGGCATTACTCTTCAATAACAGGGAATTCTAGAAGTCACCATTTGTCTGTTGCACTATATCCATTAATATTGCCTCTGAGGATCATCAATGTTGAAAAGTGTTGAAGTTTACAAATTGAGACTTTAACCTGTCTAAACATTGTCACTGACTAACAATGATATAATGGTGTTCAGATTGAAGCCCTCCCTCAGTTTGGGTCCACTTCATAGTTTAGTCTCCATGAAAGCTTACTGTGATGATTGATGGTGTTGATGAGTCGGATTCCTACGTGTGCGTGATTGTACGTCACCAAAACAATGTCAAAGAGTTCTTCACTTTGTGGATACAGCTCCCGCAGTCGAGCGTTTACCGCCTCTAGAGCCTGTCAAAATACATCAACAGTCAAAAATAAGTGGGGAGCAATACAAGTCAAGCTAGCATTTTGTTAATTCTATATCTTATATCTGTCACTTTCACCTTTACAAAGGGGAATGCAGGCCCAGGGGCAAAAGGTTCATTCTCATGTTCAATCTGGTATCTCAAATACTCCTCGACTCCTTTCTGCTGAAACACCTTCTGCTCCCGATCAGTACGAAACAAAACTCGAGTAGAAACAGCAATGGTCACTGCATTTTCTGGTTTTGGCTGCAGAAAAGAGTAGTAACAGAGGAAATGGTCAAATATAGAGGAACAAGAGGCTAAAAAGATGAGCCAGCATGAATGATGGACTGACAACACAGGAGGAGACAAGGAAAAAGGTGTCACAGGAATGGATGAGTCTTATTATTTGTGATGCACAACTATAACCCTAAACAGACCTTGTTAAAAATGCGTTAAAAAGGCTTGCACAAGTGCTGCAATTATTTAAAAAAATAATAATTCCCCTGGGGGCAATATCATAAAGTTTTATGATGACATCATAAGTCCCGTACCCCTCACAAAAGTGACACTAAAAGCTCAAAGTACCCTTCAAATAAAGTTTATCCAAACATGTTTATTATTTTAGGTAGTTATCATCACGATAATCCATGTACAAGGGTCCATTTCCCCGGATGAGATGGGTTTTATTCATTATTTGACGCTATAAACACACATTGACATCCTCGAGCTTTTATTTTGGTATTTCCGGTTACCGGCATTTGAATTAGCATATTAGCTAAATATTTAGTTTCACCTAAAACATTTAGATTTAACATTTAGATTTAGAATTTTGATTTAATATTTTGATTTAACATTTAACATTTAGGCGTAACATTTAATATTTAGATTTAACTATTTAAAATATCTCTAAGTTGACAAATATTGTTGTAAGTGTGCAAAAAAAGTGACCGTCAAAAGTTCATACCAGTTTTTTAAACGTTGTTTGAAGCTAAATGTAGCAAAATGTTGCCGTTTTTTTTCAGCGTGAGCCACTTTACAAACGGCGCCCCATACATAGGGCCTGTACAAAACCAATCCAGATGAGTAGCATTGTTCATAACTGATGACCCATGTTATTAATAATAACCCGTCTGTTTTAACCACTTGATTCTAATTGGCCAGTTGCTGGTGGAACTGTACAAAGCAGTACTACTTGAAAGCATTATGTCTTAAAAAAATAAAAAATAAAAAAAAAAAAGAGAGAGAGAAAATCTTTTCTGGGTCATGCAGAAATTTAGTTCTATTTGATTCCTTAAATGTCACAGTAGAAGTGGAGTGGAGTTTGCATTTTCAAAAAGTACTCTGGTACCATTTGCAGCTTCAAGAATGATTTTATTCACAGGATGATGGATTTGATAAGAAGATTAAAAAAAACGTTTTACACTTTTAAAAAGTGTGACAGGTGACCTTTTTTCAGTTCTGGTTCCTCAGCTAGTCTGTAAATCCTGACTGAGAGGACAAAATGAGCTCAGACAGCTTGTATGAGCAGTGCTAGATGACACACTGGCCTCATGTTGTGCTCATATTGCCAAGTGTGTGTTTATACACGCAGTGCACGTGTCTAATTGGGGAGGAGACATTCCTTTGAGGGCAGCCAGCTTTAGTGACCGCAGCAGGCAGCTAACCTCAGGTGAAGTCTGGTTGGAGAGAGTGGGGTTTGTATCAGGTCACAAGACTTGGTCTAAAAGTGACTCAATATGTGGTACAACATATAAGATAAGGTTGTACTCTGACTTTGTTTGCATCACAAACTTTGAAATGTTGCCTGTATTTTCAATACAATATTAATGGAATTTATATTGTAACACATTAATTTCACAAAAAAAGATGTTTTTACTTTTTGTACTAAGATGTTCATCTTACTCTCCATGTAATGCAAAAAAAAACAGGAAAAAAAAAAAGGAAGAGTACTTACTGCTAATCTTTGCATGCTTATGAGTGATAATACACATTAACTCATTTTATATACTGTCAGTAGTCTGCATGCAAGCTTTTTCCTCATGCACCTATCACTCTGTGCTGGTTAATAGGCCACAAGCGGACAGGGGCAGTGAATTATTGTACTTGCTCAGCTGTACTCCATTACACTAACACTGCCTGCCAACATATCGCAACACACACAAAAACACATGTACATAACTTATCTACTGTAAAAATCATCCTGTCAGAATGAATCATCCCAGTGTTACTATCATTCTTATCTTAAATTTTCTCTTAATTAATAGGATATTAGATATAAGTATCAATAAGAGATAAGTTACACCAAATGCTTAACAGGAAGAGCCCCTCATCCCCTCCAGTTTTTGTCATCTAATGTCAGTGTACACAGAACACAGGCAAATGTGGGGGCAGTATTTGTAGCACACACTGACAAGAATCAAGTTACAGTATGTCATCTGAAAAGGTGAAACTTAAACTCACACACACTTGGGCAAAATGTGGGCTTCTTGTCTTCTTTCTCTTATATAATTCCAACGTATTCACTGTAATCAAACTGCTGAAGTTAAGCCATGTTCAAGTACATCAATCATTTTTCCCTTTGTTTTTACTCCTGCACAAGTTTGATTAAGAGTTCCTTTTTTACTTGCATCATATGACCTGTATGTTTAATAAATAATAGATGGTGTACATAGCTCAGTTACTTTCACCCACTCTAGGGGCTGTTTAGATAACCCCTTTTTTATCACTTGAGGCAACCAGAGCCCACTTGAGGACCCCTTAACCGGAAAATGCATGGCTCCACTTTGTACCAGGATTTCCTAATTGAGGACTAACAGCCATTGTACTGAGTACCTGCCCCTCTGCATCTACAAAATCCCACCAAAGTGTTAAAAAGATACAATATTACATCTCAGAGTATATTTTTGAAATGTTCAATATTGTACTTGGTGGATTCTGTCAGCAATCCAGACAAGCAAACCAACTTGTGAAATGCTTTATTTTTCCATAGTTTGGATAAAAAAAAATTCCAGTGCAATCTCAAGACAACAGAAGTATCTTAGTGCTGATTAATGCAGTGAATGTGTGTGGTCATGCAGGCACAACAAAAGCTGTACAGTGGAGGTTAAAAGTAGGTGAAAGGCTAATGGTGATGGTCATTCAGTAGCCATGGGCACAGCCTTTGACCTCACTATAGGACATACTTACAAAGAACACGCCCCCTTCCACCTTCCGAGCTCGCCTTCCTGTCACCTTAGCACAATGACAGTTTGTTTTTGATCATAATCACACATCATATATTTACAAGGGAAGTTCATTGACAAGCCATCTAATCAAAGCACAACTTGTGATGCAATATCTCAAATTTTTCTTGTAAAGAATCTGTTACAACAAAGTTTTGCATTCTTATAAGTTGCGATCCTTAAACACAGACCCTAATATATGGTCACATATAAAGACAGATAGCAGTAAAGAAAACAATGAGACAGTGGGCTGTTGAATCAGAAACCTCTTTTCAGATGCTGCTCAGTGACAGCTTTGTATACATGAGACCTTTAGTGAAGCTTAACCATTAGAGTCACTTTACTCTATGAATAACATGTCACACTGTCTGGGAATGACTGACTCCAGAGCCAGTTCTTTGCTGTGATATGATACAAGTAGTGTTTACAGCCTGTCCTCTTTCAGGGAATGCATCTATCACAAGGCTCCTCTGCACAGGAGCCCACTGTAACTATTATCTCCTCCTATTGATTTGGTTGATGGCTGGTAAGTCAAAACAAGTTTAACCTGCTGGGAATTTGGAGCACTTCTTTGCATCACCGTCAAAGAGAACAGTTCTATTCTTGTCCTGTAAAGCACTGAAAAAGATTAACTGGGGAACCTTCAACCTCTTTGATCCTTCATAATAATCCAGTCAGAGCCTTGCAAGATCAGTAGGACTGGTATCATTGAACAAGACGGATCTGTGAGTAATCTCTACCCATATCTCTGAGCGTATGAGACATCTTTTCCTTGATCTAAGGATGAAAAGGGGAGTATGTATGGGTTTCCTGACATAAGACATTCAAATAGAGAGCAAAGGGGGAAGTGTAGATAAGCAAATTGAGGTGGGAGTGAGACTTGAGTGACTGGGGGTGAGGAGCAGTTTGCAGTATGGTGGTGGGGATGGGGGTAGGCGGATATTTTTAGATTAGTAAAAGGCCAACGATGATGTTATTCATTCACACGTTGGTAGATATGGTGACAGAGGTATGACTGCGCACTATGGAAGTCATACTGATGTCCTGGGTCAGCTGAGATCAGGACAATAGTATCCTTTTTCAAAGAACAAGGAATTGACATGTGCCTTTTAATCTCATGTATTGTGAAAGGATAACACTTGCATAACTGAAATGTTATTGAATCACCAAAAGCATAAAAAATTTAAGATAGTCTGGCATATAATTGTTCAAATACTAAAAGCTTCAGTTTCCATCAGTCCCTGATTTCAAACTGTTGCAGGCAGATTTTATCAGCCAGCTTGCTAGCTGATTGAGCGATAACAGATTAGAAGACATGAACAGTAAGAAACAGTCTCATTCTTGCACTATGTAGCCAGCTTGTTCCAGTTGGGATGTTTTAAAAGTCCAATTAAACTTTTATGTTTTCTTACATGAATGACTTCAACTTTTTTAATGTCAGCTAACATCCATTCCAATATGCTTTCAAAATGTTGGCTGTGACCCAATTCAGTGGCATGTGCACATGGTTTCACAGCAGTGTATCAAATACTGTTCTAATTCAAAAGCTCTTCCAAATGTAGCCAGCTCGTGTGTCTGGCTGTGTAAGCCAGCAAGCTACCTGTTGCTCTGTGATAAGGCAGTGCTATATGACACCAGTGTCATGATGCAAACAGGGGATCCTTCATAGCAATAGTTATTTTGGTCTCTTTTTTAGTTTAGTTTAGTTTTAGTCTTTCAGAGGATGCAGCCCAAGATTTAGGACATAGCCATTGCTTTGGTTTTTACCTTTCTTCCTCTTCTTAATTAAATTTCCCTTTGGAGATAAAAAAAAAAAGATCTTGTTATCTCATCTTCTTCTTCCTCTCATTATTATTATTATTATTATTATTATTATTATTATTATTATTATTATTATTATTATACATGTTAAAAGAGGCACATTATAAAGGTTGTAGCTGAAGATAGTAGTTTGGTTTTCATTGACTGATCCCGGTAACAGTTTTGTTTTGTTTTGTTTTGTTTGTCTGTTTTATTCCTGAAGTTATAGTGCTCAGTTCCCAAAGTTAAGACCCAGAACTTGAGCACATTTCCTGCCATTGAGATGTAAAGTGGGTAATTTTGGTTTGACCTGGCCTGTCCTGTATTCAACGTCAACATTCAAACAGCAATCGGAGTCCCAACAATAAAATACAATGCTCTAATATGTCCTAGTTTTAAAAAAAAACCTTTCCCATTTTAATCAATTGAAATACCCAAACAATGCATAATGTTTGCAGCTCTGATTTGTCCATATGTGTGTCAATCAATGTTGTTGACAAGGCTGTTGCTGTTTATAATAATAGCACAACATCCCTAGTCTGTGTACGTGTGTATGTGTATGTGTGTGTGTGTGCCAATGATGAATTCTTATTCCTGAGTTAATTTACTGCTAATGGATGTAAGAGGTTTTTTCATATCCTCAACATTGATAAGTGTCCTTAATCATCATAAATGCTACTCAATCATGCCGACCTGCTCTTTTGGTGTATCTGAATTCATGGTGGTTCTTGGTTCATTGCTTTCATTAGTGAAACTATATGCTACATTACTCTCTCTCTCTCTCTCTCTCTCTCTCTCTTTCTCTCTCTCTCTCTCTCTCTCTCTCTCTTATCTTTCACATAATTTCCTTTGACAACTAACGATTTGTGTATTACTGGTCTTCATTCATAAAAACATTTTCTTATGCAAAAACATTATGAGGTAAAAAATATCATTTCGGAGACAATTAAGCGCCTGGATGTAAGTCAGCCTAGGATACCAAAAATACTGTGTGCAATTTTAAACATTAACAAACAGCTGTAAATAAATGTGTTAAGTAATAAAAAGCAGCATGTGTGTACGAGCATATCTATTTTTTAAGTTCTTTATGCAAGTATCATTTTGGGAAGAAACTTACAGTGACTTCACTACTTCCTTTCTACAGATCCGATCTGAAAGACAATAAGTTGTGTTTGCGTAGTTCTGCATGTGTTCTCTCCAAGCGATGTTGTCGAGACAACACCTGTCTTAATGGCTAAATGTAGAGGAAAGGCAGAGCAAACAGCACCCAGACAAGCAGGGATTGTAATTACAGCTGTGGTAAAGAAGGATAATGAATTTTATATCTTAAGCCCAGGTCTTGAAGATTTTAAAATGAAGAATAATTTCTAAGATTTGAAATGCTTTCTCTGAAAAAGTTTCATAGGGCCAACATAAGGTCGCTGCCAAACTGCAAAGAGCATGCATTTGTTTCCTTCCAGATACACATTTTAAATTAGGTGCTCTGTGCTTGTTGTAAGCGGTTGCCATTTTTAATCTACAGTTGGTTGTTCAAATAAGTTTTGTCATTAATTTGGAGCTTCAAAAATGGAAACCTGTAGCATGTGAGTTGAAATATACTGTTGTTAAAAACTAACATCATCCAGCAAAATGAGCAACTGTGTCTTCTGCCTGCACAAATGCATGGTAGGACTACAATAATATTTAAGATTATTTTAAAAGGTACCCCAAAAAACAAATATTTTTAAAAGCAAGTATTCTAGTACTTTAACTCAAATACAAGCAACTTTCATGTTTATTGGAGTAGCAGTGGGCCAGAAGTATTCATACTTTTTCTAAACTAATAAAACAGTGTATTTTGTCCACTACTCTCTTTTGCCATCATTAGGCTACAAGAAACTACAAAAAAGTGTGCACCCTGGAAAAGACAATGGAGGGATTTGGCGCTAAATATTGAAAATTCATGTCTATTATATTTAACGGTACTCAAACTTAGAAGGTGCAATCTGGTAAATTGTATGTATTTCTTTACAAATACACTATGAATCATGCTTAGAAACATCAGTATAAATGTTGCTTATATATTGAACCATACGCCAAACACACATAAGATGTAATCACAGCCACAACCTCATTCTACTGAGTTGAAATGGTTATATCATGATCCACTCATATGAATAAGAGATCTACAGTATAATCCACCTTTTACATGAAACGATTGGATACATGATGTGTTATTAATTTCTCTTAAAACTGGAAACATGTTTTCTATACATCTGAGTATTATAAAGCATTTCAGGCAGACATGGATCTGTGCTGTCAATAATGTTAGAGTCATATATCATGGTAATGAAAAGCAGCAATATTGGGATTGGTAGTCTAGCAGGATGGATGTTTACTGTCTAAAAATACACCACACTGACCACACTAATCCTCCTACGCTAAACAAAGATTACTCTGCTTTTCCCCCCTTTTAGCTCGAGTACATAACCCTTAGGCAAAAACATGTAGCTTATAGGCCTATATTTTTTCCTTACCACTAACAAACAGACATACTGACAAATAGAAACAGATGAACCAGCATTCATGAATGGTTGGTGACACTTACTGGTGTTGGCTTGGTTGTGAGGCCCAAGTTGTCTTGATGAAACTCTTCTTTCTCTTCCCATGATCCTCTGCTGTCACCATTGGATGAAGGGGCAACTTTGAGTTCCTTGGCCTGTCCGCTCATCACCTGCACAGAATCCAGACTCATCTTCACCATAGAAAACCCCCCTCTCTGTTTCCAAAAGTGGGTATAAACCTTTTCTCACGTATCAATCCTTGAAAAAACAAATCTTGTCCTCATTCAAATCGGACAAATAAAATGTCCCGCTGTTGTTTGTGGCATTTATAAAGAATCCTGCAAGTTCATTGATAACAGGCTACTACGAAATTTTGCTGGACTTGCACCTGCCTGTGAAAGCTGGGCAAGTGTGAAGAGCAAAGTGCTCCCTCTTCCGTCTCCTGATCACTTGCCTGTGTCCTTCTTTATCACAAGAGGATTATTGCTTACTGCGTTCAGTTTTAAAAGGCCAAGACGCTCCCTGACTCACAACCATTCTTCTACACACAGCGTTTGTTAAACATGCATACACACATACTGTCACATATACAGGCTGTCCTTTGTAAGTGTGCTGTAAGCCGAGTGGCAGTCCATCTGCTGCTATCCCTGTGCCTCTCTCTTTCCCACTCTCAGTGCCCCCCACCCTCCCCCCTGTCTCATTCAATCACTCTCTCTGCTCTATGGCTTTATTCGTTCCCCTTCCTCTAGCTGACCAACCACAGACCTTTTTCCTTATTCAGGGTAGCTCCGCCCCCCTGCTATTCCGTGTTGACAGTGCAGTTTGTCCAGGAGGCTCATGGGACATTCAGGCACACACAGAGTGCGCCACAAAAATAGCTATCATGATGAGCCTGTTCATCTGAATTGCATTTTGTTTGTTTTTTGAGATGAAAAAAGAGATGGACAAAGATGATTCTGACTGTTAGTCATAAAAAAGCCAGGTATCCAAATGTCCAAATATCCAAACATTTAAGGAACAGAAGTCTTTTCAAAAATCTGAAATGTTATTATAACCAGTTTTCAGCATAATATGCTAGCATACATTTCATTTGTAGTGTTTCCTCCGAGTTGTAATCAGTTTCTTAAAACTTGAATTTAAGATACTTGTATTTAACCTCCACAATGTTCTTCCTGGGCCATTCCCAGTGTTTATGAACCAAGACAAGGGAGCATGATCAGATTAATCAATACATCCAATATCACAACTACGCACTCTATGTCAGTCTCTCTTAAAGACAAAAAAGTAATCAATTATGAATGGGAATTGTGTGGGCTTGAGTAAAAGCTATAATCACGACCTGTTGGGTTACAATCTCTCCAGAGATCTAAGATGCCAAGTACAGTAATCAAGGCATTGATTTTTTTTATGCAGGGATGTGGTAGTTGAAGTTTTTGATTAGTCTAAATTTGGATTTAGACATATGTTCCAGCCTCCACCACACACCACAAATAATGGACAATTCAAAACCCAAATGAATGATGAAATCAAAATGTTCCTAGAAGAAAATTAAAAATCAGGAAGTTAACTCAGCAATAGTATGGGATACATTAAAAGCAGTTGTCAGGGGAAAAATTCTATACTTTTGTGCATGTGAGAAGAAAGTAAAACAAGCAAGACTAAAAGAAAATATAAGCTACATGATATTTAAAAATAATGCAATGGTGTCCCTATGATCCTGATTTTAAACCCAACAAAACGGACTCCAGATTTAGGACATGGATCACAAAAGGAATAAAAACATTCTTTTCTTTAACGTAAAAAGTCAGTTTAAAGACTTCGAATACCTAAAGGCAGAGTACAGACTTAAAAAAATCTGACTTTATAGATAAAATATAAAAAGCAAAACAGACTTTAAGGATCCAATACTAAAGATCTTTGTAGGTGCATACCAAGATGATACGAGTAGGGGGCTTATATCCAAACTCTACAAAGGGTTTATGAAAAAGAAACTGTACATAAGAGAATATATTAGAGAAAAATGGACGCAAGAAGGTAATCTATCAATAACAAGTAAAAACCGGATGGATATGTGGAGTTTTATCTGGAAATGCACAAACTCTCAAGTGTGACGGGAGTTTGGATGGAAGTGCTGTATTCGATTTTGTGTTACACTGAAGCAGAAAGCCCATTTCACGGGAGGGGATGTTAAATGTTGGAGGCAGCGTGGACTTCAGGAAGCCAACCACTGGCACATCTTTTGGGGGTGTCCAGTGATAAAGCCCTTCTGGATAGCATTCAATAAAACATTAGAAGACATTTTTGTTATGATGCTGCCTTTGCAATTTACAACATTATTTTTCGGAAATGTTGATTTTCAGGGCTGAGGGCCTGATAAATACCTGTTTGGCATTCTGAGTCTGCCAGCAAAAATAGCTATCACGAGGTGCTGGTTACTTCTTGAAGCCCTCACAATACAAGAATGGATTGATATTGTAAATAATATATACGTTATGGAAAAGATTACCATATGTTTATGTCTACAGAAAGACCTTTTTGTTAAACTTTGGTCCGAGTGAGTTAAATATGTAAGGCCTTTGCGAGCAGATTTTGTGAAAGTGCCTAATTAAGGATTTTATGACATTGTCTTTCCTTTTTTTTTTTTTATTGCAGATGTTGCTGATCTATGAGTTGCTTTGTCTCTGCTCTCTGGGTCTCACCCCAAATCTGTCTCTCTTTTTTAGTCTTTAGTCTTTACTTAGTCTTACTCTAGCCACTTTGGAGTACATACTCTTCCTCCCACCTTGTTTATAGTTCTGTCCAAAAATCAAGGACTGCAAAGTAATTTAGTTGTCAGCCTTTTTCTATGCTATGTGATGTGATCTACTGTGCAATTCCCCAAAATAAAGAATAAATTAAAAAAACCTTGAGTTTAATTTTTTAAAAGCATGCCACCTACAATATACTTTTTAAATGTATCTTGTCTTTGTATGAATGCAAGCAGACAGCATTCCACCAATTTTAACAGACTGTTTTGGTCTTTGTCCTTTCCTTGTCCTCCATCTCCACCAGGCAGCAGCTCAGTAGTGACTGTCACAGCTTATATGTATTTATCAATCAATCAATCAATCAATCAATCAAACTTTATTTATAAAGCACTTTTCCCAGAAAGAATGTAACGCAAAGTGCTTTGGTGCTGATTCTACGCCTTCTGATGTCTGAGGTCAAAGACAAACTGGACTCCCTGCTGTTTGCATACAAAGAACACATTGGAGTGGGTGATGCTGTCCTCTACATGCTTCACCGTGCCCTGTCTCATCTGGAGGAACCTGGGGTTTATGTGAGGATCATGTTCTTCGACTTTTAAAGTGCATTCATCACCATCCAACCCACCATACTCAAAGACAAGCTCACAGAGATGGGAGTGGATCCTTCCTGTGTTTCCTGGATTACAGATTTCCTGACAGCAATGCCACAGTTTGTCAGGCTGGGGAACTGTGTTTCTGGGACAGTAATGAGCAGTACAGGGGCTCCACAAGGGACAGTTCTGGCTCCATTCCTGTTCACACTGTATACATCAGACTTCAAATACAGTACTGAGTCCTGCCACATCCAGAAATACTCAGATGACACCGCTATTGTTGCATGTATCAGAAATGGACAAGAAACTGAATACAGAGATCTGATAAGAGCCTTCAGTGACTGGAGTCACAAAAACTGCCTCCTCCTCAACACCTCAAAGACAAAGGAGATGGTCATAGACTTCCGTAGATCCAAACCCCCTCTTCAGCCAGTGAACACCTGTGGAGTGGACATCGAAGTGGTGACATCATATAAATACCTAGGTGTAAATCTGGATAATAAGTTGGATTGGTCTAAGAATATAGACTACATCTACAGAAAGGGGCAGAGCCGCCTCTTTTGCCTGAGAAGATTCCGATCAATAGACATCTGTAGTAAGATGCTGCAGATGTTTTATCAGTCTGTGGTGTTTTGTTCTACACTGCGATCTGCTGGAGAGGAAGTATCGAACACAAAGATGCAAGATGTCTTAACAAACTGGTGAAAAAGGCTGGCTCTGTGGTTGGATTCAAGCTGGACTCAGTGGAGGATGTGGTGGAGAGATCTACACTGAGGAAGGTGGAGACTATTCTAAAGAACATGGATCATCCACTTCACAACACCTTGATGGACCAAAGGGCCAATGGTGGTGGACGGCTCCTCTCTCTTCGCTGCAGGACAGAAAGATTCAGAAGATCTTTTGTACCAACAGCCATCAGGCTTTATAACTCTTGTGTAAATAGTAGATGACTGTAAACAGCAGATAACTTTTAGAGACATGTCAAGTGAGTCAACAGACAACTGAGTTTCCCTTCGGTGATTAATAAAGTTGTTCTTATCATATATATATATATATATGTATGTGTGTGTGTGTGTGTGTGTGTATTCATAGAGCTTCATAGAGCCATAAAGTCCATCTCTAATATCAGTCAGAATGGAGATTGCTACATGGACATACCAGCCAGGATGTGATGATTTGATATGTTGGAACGCAAAATGCAAACCAGACTGATGAAGCTTGTAACAGATTTTATTGTGAGCAAAAGTGCAATGGTGGGAGGTATCCCAAGGTCCAAGGGACGATCAAGGAAAAAGTGCTGGGTTAGTGGGCTGGCGTTTGGCAAGGAGCGAGGCACTGGAAAAGAAGTGGAGAAAACAAGGGTCAGTAAAAAAACAGGACCACCAAAAATCTTCACGCTTAAGGTCCTTACACACCAGCGAATTTGCGGAGCGAAACGAAAAAGCGAGACGAAAATGCGAAAATATTCGCCGGTCCGAAAAATCGCTTTCTCCTATACACACCGGGCGCGAAGTGAATATGCGTATAAATTTTGCAAAGCAAAGTTCTACCCCCCAAAGTTCCGCCAGTATTTTAGAATGTCCCTCGGGCAATTTAACGACCTCCTCCAGCAGCTGAGCCCACGGCTGGAGAAGCAGACAACTAACTACAGAGAGCCAATTGGTCCAGAGGAGCGGCTAGCCACATGTCTGAGGTAAGATTAAAATAATAGGCAATATTCTATATGAATGAGACAAAGTCCCGTTTTTTTTTAAAGCTCCGGCCCCCAGCCCCGTTATATTGTATATAAGCACATAATAGCTCATCTATAGCTCACTCGTCTCCAAGAGGAGCTGGATAGGTTTGCCATAGCGTGCTTGATAAATGAATATCATCAACAACATGACTTTTGATTGGCCAGAGGTCTAGCAGGTCCAGATATTGCGAATCTCCAAAAAATTCGACACAAGAGCGAAAAAATAAAAGACACTTTTCGCCCCGCAGAAAAATCGCCGCCAGTGTGGAAGCTTGCATTGACTTTATACTGTTTTAAAAAAAGGCGAATAAAGGCGAATTCGCGCCTGGTGTGTAAGGACCTTTACTCTTGAGTAACTAGATAGCACTGTAGAGAGCTGTAGTACACCTGCATGAACGATAATACTTTGCCACTGAGGCTTGTGTCTGCAGCGGTCTTAAAGCTGGCTTGATTGCAGGGCAGCTGCAGGTGAGAGTAATCAGCCTCATTGCTGTGGGGGAAGGGAGCAGCCTCTGGTAGAAGGTGAAGGAAACAGCAAACAGCCCACACAGGAAATGGAATTCAACAAAATAAAATATGTAGTGTTGTGAGGAATTAACATTTGAGTCAATGTTAAGCCCTTGTCTTACCCCTTAGCCCAGGGGTGGGCAATCATGTGCCATGGAGGGCCGAGAGGCTGCAGGTTTTCTTTCCAACCCAAAACTCCACCAGGTGATTTCACTGATTAGTCCCTGATCTCTGCTTGGAGGTAAAGTAATCAGTGAAATCACCTGGTGGAGTTTTGGGTTGGAAAGAAAACCTGCAGCCTCTCGGCCCTCCATGGCACATGATTGCCCACCCCTGCCTTAGCCCTTGGTTTTGTACCTTCACATCAAGCAAAGGGGTATCTCAGTTCTCTGTAAGGTTAAGGGGAAGGGCTAAGAGCAAGGGGTACACAGCCCTTGAAAAGGACACAGCAAGGGAAATGATCAGATATTCAACCATTTGCTACTCCATGTAAATGTCAACCATATTTGGAATTGTTTGCGTCTAAAAATCGCTTGTAGTGACGAGCCAGTTAACGAATCTATAGTTAATGATAGCTACATTGATGTCAGATGTAGAAGCCTCATTAGGAGCTTCTACCAATGCTCATGTATCAGAGGGATGCGGTGTTGTGTGTTATTTTCAACTTCTATTGCTAACAACAGCTAAACATTAAAACAGTAGGCGTCCATGGTTCTCGGTATTGTCACATCAGCTTACAAGCCTACATCAGCTTACAACAAGCAGCAAGGCATGATGACGTAGCAGGAATCGAGTGACATCTCGTTTCTTAGGGGCGTGTTTTCGACCCTTCCCCCTGGCCCTCTGTTTTGAGGGCCAAGGGGAAGGGGCAGACAAAGGGGTTTGACGAAAAGGAAGGGAATAATAGTGATAATTGGGATTGGCCCTTTATCAGATTCAGATTCAGATTGGATTTATCTGTCATTGCACATGTCACAAGTACAGAACAACGATTAGAATCTGTCCCTTTGATGCTCTCCAGTTACACTGTCCTGTACTCGAATGCAACAGCTTTTTTTCAACAACACTGATGGCATACAATACAATACAAACTAGAAAGGCACTCGGAGAGCGCAGACCTCCGCCAAGCAGTTCATGTCACCCCTTAAACAAGAAATGCCCTGACCGAGATTAGGACCCAGGAACTTCTGGTTGTGAGGTGACAGTGCTTACCACTACACCACTGTGCCACCTATCTACACCACTGTGCTGCCCATTGGTTATCTTTTAGCATTGAAAATTCCAATGACACCCTTATTTTTGTGTGTTCTGGATCACAGTATCCAGAATTTTGTCTGAATCACCACCAAAATTTAATGGGATCCTCCCAGGGCTGAGACGCACCTCTGGTGAAAATTTCAGGTCAATCCGTCTGTTACTTTCTCCGTAAAGTTGCTAACAGACAAACAAACCAACACTACAGAAAACATAACCTACTTGGCGGAGATAAGGCGAGAGTGTTGCTTTTACAGACTTGTGCACAGCTTTGAAGTTGCCCTCAGTCCAGAGGGGCTGAGCCCTCTCTGTTTTAATCACATCTTTATAGGCTGCTATATGTGACAGATGAGGTTCCAAAATATATAATGTTAATAAAGTACCTCTAGTACAAAGCTATTTTGTCCCTCACTTTTTACCAATGCATTTTTTAAGTAGTGTATTTGGTCTGTCTTTTCACTGTATTATTTCATTTGATTTTAACAGACTCAGCCATATCACATGGAATCTTTCAAATTATAATTGAACATAACTCCTGAGCCGAGGGTAAATAAGCTCACAGCCCCATCCTGTGGTCACTTTACAAACAGCACCAGTTGAGCGTGACCTCTGTTGCTGCAGTGTGATTCACTGTTTCTCTGTCCACATTTGTGATGTTTAGTTTTCCACTGTGCTGAAGCCTGACACTGTGCAGCTCAGAATAGGTTTTTATTGATCCTTGATGGATGGCGGGTGGGGTGGGGGTGGTGGGGGGGGCAGTAGAAAACAATCGTTAAGCCCATACACTTTCAACCAAGGGACAAACTGAAACAAAAACACAAATATCTGGAGGATGAGTTTTGTTTGTGTGTTTTGGGGCTTTTGGACTGATCTCATGTCACACTGAAAGCTACAATTAGAATGAATATACCTTTCACAGCTTTTTACAATAAAACAATTGTGTTTCATTTTGTGGCGTATATGCTTCCTCCAGCGTTTTCAGATTTTAAAGGGGTATAGTCTATGCTAAATTAATAACCCAGCACCTAATGTGCATAAGCTACTTTATTGTTGACAATTTTTCTGTATTGTCCTCCAGCTGAACAAATAAAACCATGCAATAACCATGATCAAAATTATTTTTTGCAGCCACTTACCAGTATGATATGACTGTGTGTCAGTATTTTTTTGATTGCATGTGTAGGTGTGTGTTTCTTGTGTGTTAATGTACTTATCTCCCCGCCTTGTGGCCTTGGCGTGGTTACCATGAGAACAGCATGAATGGTGACCTCACTGCAGCAATGTGACATCATTGCTAGACGGTGACTCATACTCTTGGCTCACTGTTCAGTGTGTGAGTGTGCTTCAGAGTGTGAAGATGTTGTAAACACGTTGGCTAAGGCAAGACGACAGCTGCAGGTACTCTCAACATCCATGTGTTTTATTCTATGTAACAAAAATAATGACATAGTCTTTATTCTAGGATTCTAATATTAAAATCAGAAACACAAAATCAAAGTCATCAGACAAGACAGTAGACATTAACATGAACGTTATAGAGAAATATTAAAGAGTAGAATTATTACACCACTGAGCACAAATGATCCCCTTAAGAAAACAATAAAATAAAATTAAAGAAGGAGACTATTAATGCTAATATTCATGACACAAATCTCAGTCTGTCCAGAGTTTTCTGTAAAATAAATAGCAGATTAAAAAAATCACATGGCATGAAATTAGAATTTTTTCAAACTCCAGCTAATACAATACAACTAATACAACCGTTAGCTGTTTTTAAAAAAATCCCGTCACTGGCACAGAAAGTCCTCAGAGTAAATGTTCAATTTTGTCAGTTTAATTTAAATCTGCGTATCGTGGGAAAAAAAAAAATCATTACAAAAGCAAGTCAAACAATAAAACAAAACCATTTGTGCTGTTGGAAGCCAAAATGGCTCCCCCACTTTAAACCTGCACTCATGAAAATGGTTGAAATCTAATAAGCAAAGGAATGTGAGATGATGTGCTACAATCAAACAATTTCATAACACACTCTTAATGTTAAATAGGATGATTACTCAGCAAATCATTATTACTGAGTAATTACATGAGGCAACAACATGTACTAACCTGTATTGGTGAGTATTTGTACATGATATTCATCATGGTTACATCAATCAACCTCATGTCTCTTATTCCAAAGAAGGAGCAAAATAATCTGACAGATAAGTAAAAGTTAGTGATACATTTAAATGTTTGTTGACAACCCCAATAAAACTTTTATATCTTGGGGAAAAAAGTGTATCATCGGTTTTGTAATTATGAGGACATGTTCATATGCTTATTTCTCCGCCTAACTGATTAGCTAGCAGCATACTTTATTGGTCAGTCACATAAAGACCAAGAAAACTGTCCCACAAAGGGATCACAGCCATTGCTTGGGTTTGCCAGTCTTATTATAAACTGTTAATATGGGGAAAAAAAATGTATTTGTGCAACTTAAAGTTTAGTTATGCATTCCAGTTGTAACAAAGAAACTACATTTCACAGTAGGCATGTGGGTAAGTGATATAAAGTATCTAAGATCATATCTTAATTGTTTGTTTTATTATGTGCGTGGTAAAAATTTTGAGTATGTCACTCATTTTACAAACAGCAATCAAAACATGTCTTGAGGGTTCACACACATTCACTGAATATGAGCAATTCTAGCGGGACAGACCGCTGCTTGTCACAGTGGGAACACATGCAGTGTTCACATATCACAACAAGTTAAAGGTGGGGTAGGCAGGATTCTGTTGAAGAAGCATCATTTTTGTGGTGTATATACAAAAAAGCTTTTAATATCAGTCAATAGCTGTTAGTTATTGATGACATTTAGTAATATAATGATATTGCTATTATCTTATGTCTGTAGTCAACGTTTTAACATTTTTGAGCGCTCCGCTCTTTCTGACTGTAAACAAAGCCATTCCCAGCCTCCCCCAACCTGATTGGTTGTGAGATGGACGCTGCTCCCTAGTGCTGACTGGTTGCTCGGTTCCTGGACTATGTCCACTTACAGTAATCCTAGTTTTAGAAGTCCTGCAAACATTGTGTTTGCTGGTAGTCTGTTGTCATCTACAGTAGCACCAGTGCTGTTTACTTTCATGTTGACTGGGCTCCATTTGTAATCATCTGAAGTATTTATCAGCTTTATAGCTGAAATTAATTGGAATGATACAAGCGAGCAGGAGCATCTGTTTGTGGGTGGGGCTTGCTGGAGCAGAGTGGGAGGGGAGAGGAGGAGCTGAGGGGAAAACTGGTTGGGAGGGGTGGTGTTAAGATTCAAGATCCAAAAAACTGGCACTTCCTCAGATTCTGCCTACCCCACCTTTAAGCTAGCGTAGCTGCCTGCATGACTGAAATTTAAAAACAGAGTGAAAAAACTGTGACAGGAGACTAAACAAACAGCACCAGTCTGGAAACCCAAGGTGTTAGATTAATTGCCTGAAAGGACAGGTGTTGCTCAAAAGAGGACAATCTGCAACTGGCCTATATATATATATATATATATATATATATATATATATATATATGTTATTTTCTCCAAATAATATCAACAACTGTGAATCATTATCCTCAAAATCCTCCAAAATATTTTTGACAATATCACACACCCTTATAAGCAGTTTTTGGTGGGTTTGTTCTGAAACTTTTTTGCAGAACTTTTAATTCAACAAAGATTTTAGCACTTATTTTCAGAGGGACTGAACAGTATTACCAAGTTTTTAACATCAATTAAATTGATAGCTTTGATCTTGAAGCATGTTTTTGAACTATTAGACAAAGAAGCTGTTATGTGTGAGGTGTGACATTATACCTCCATCCACTTGATGGCACTGTGACACACAAAAGCTGTATTGTTTTTTTTTTTTTTACCGATACCCCTCTCCTCACACCCCAGGTTTCTTCTGCCACTAACCTCCATTCCAGAAAGACTCAATGGTCCACCAAGCTGGTTACTATGCAAGTGCATTACTTGTAGAACTGCAACAACAGGCTGTAGCTAACAGAACAACATGCCCCATATCAGAGACAATACATAGATCACTGTACACCAGCGGACCACAAAAGCATATTTTTGAGGGTAATAATACTCAGTGCTTCGGTGTGAGGGTTAACTCTGAGATTCTTACAAACTTAAACTGGACTGAGGCATCTCTTGTTACACAAATGATACAAATACAAAACATGTAACACAACACATACAAAACACTTGTAAAAGTGTCCTGATATACAGTACGTACTAAGAGCTCACAAGCACTTTCAGTTATCACTCAATCTCAACCCATCACTTTTGAACACACAACTGGCATGCACACCGGCACACACACATCTACACACACACACACACACACACACACACACACACACACACATACTCTCTTTTTCTCACACTCGTGCAGTTGCTGTGTCATTTTATGAAATTATATCTAAGCTAGTGGTACATGTACATATCTCAACTTTTTAAATTCCTAAATATGATTACAGTCCTATCAGAATATACATTAAGTTTTATCATTACATTGTCACACAAGGGAGGCTCTTTCTATTACTTTAGGGAGGGAGCATTTTCACCGGTTGGGTGGGAGGTACAAAAATAATCTGATTTCTGAAAGGAGAGGGTTAAAATGTTCTTGATGTAAAGATGTCCCTAACTGATAAAGCATGTCAGTCATCTCCTCAGACCTATTAGCATGCTTTTTGCTTCGCATGGTTTGCTGTTCCAAAAACCACACAGATGTTTCAAAGCTTAATGATGGAAACAACATACCTCTTTAAATTTAAAGTATACTTATAGGGTACTTTGAGGAAGCCAATGCCACAACAGTGTTATTGTATTAGCTGGAGGCCAAACAAAACAAAACGTAATAGTTAAGTAATAGTAATAGTTATGTATCAAGACTGAGATTCTGCCATATACCGTACCAGTTGTCACTGCCCATCAACTAAAGCAATTACAACTATGGTCAAATGTAGTCAAAAATGAACCAGGTAGAGGTGAAAATCAAAATTGATTGCATGTTTTTTTTACACACTACCCATCTGATAATGTAAAAAAGCACCTGTTGTCTATCAGTGCGTTTACATGCACAGCTTAATCGGACTAAGCTCATAACTCGTTTTTTTTCGCTGAATCGGACTTCTCTCCTTGTCCGCATATACATGCAGCTGAGAAAATTAAATTATTTACATGAATGTTTCCTCCTCCCAAAACTAGGGGTCAATATGGGTCTTTTCAGCGGTGGTGTTTCTGGATGACATTCAACCATCAACAACAGGTCCGTGCAGGACGTCGGAAGTGGCTACACCTGCTGCTAGGCATTTTACGAGCAAAAAGATGGAACATCATACACCGTTTTTTTTTGTCGTACATGATGTGTGCGTTACTTTTTCTGCACGAGGCGCACGCTACTCCTTCTCTGGTTTTTGTTTCATTTATGTTCTGGGGTTATGGGGGCGTGGCACACGTGCACACGCATTGTCCGAACACTCCGACTACGCTGATTACATGGTAAGGAAAATCGAATTCCAATCCCATTATCTGGGTGTCTTAATCAGAGTTCTCCGGCTCTAATTGGAGTTTTCAAACTCAGATTACAGTTGGACTAAGGTGTATACATGCGCTTCAGTTGTCCGGTCTTTATCGAAGTAAGGCAATAATTAGTTTTTCTCGAGTGTCATGTAAACGTATTGTATTGGTTATCTTTATCCTTGACTTAGGTATCTGGAAGCCATTGACAAGATTGTTTTATAAATTTATCCATGAAGGTAAATATCAGGCCTTTTTAGCCTTTTAAGTCCTTTCAAATCATCCATCATCCATCCATCCATCCATCCATCCATCTGTCCATAGGAGTTGGCCAGTCTGTTCTAAGTAGTAATTGTTAACTCATTGAGGAGACTTTTGGATCCAAACAATAAGTGACCTCACATATAGAGAGAATTGAGTTATCTTTCACCATTGTTGAAAACAAGCCAGCAGCTTGCTAGCTAGTGCTGGTTTATATGTCTAGAGGATTATTTTCCCCTCCAGCTAAGCCCTGCACACTAATACTATCACAATGTTTGGGAGCTCTAAAAAAGTCTTTACTCTTTCTAGTTGTCTGCTTCTATTCACATGCACAAGCAGGTGCACACACACACACACACACACACATACACACCACCACCACCACCACCACCAAGGCTTACTCTTCAACCTTTGCTCTTTTTTCAATTGATTTTAGATCTGAGATGAGTTCAGCGCAAAGTTCCTCTCCCCCAACCCATAATCAAAGCGCTTCCCCTCTGACATTTAGGATGGAAGGAGAAGCAGGACAACAGGACAGAGAGGAAGAGGAGAGAAGCCAATTTCAGCCCTCCATGTAAAACAACAATGAATCATTGAGGCCGTTCTGGCCTTTCACAGAAACACCTTTTCTGTCTTTTGGCCTGAATTACTGCCCCGATTATCCCCACTTCACACTGGTCTAGTGACTTCTGTCTCTCCTGAAATTGCAAGTTTCACAATATCCTGTATGTTTCTCTGCTTCAAACTGTGTTCAAATCATATACACGTAAGTCTACCGAGACAATCTTAATGGTCAGCTTTGCTACCCACGAAGTTTCATTTTACAGTAAACAGAGAGCTAATTTCATTTACTTGTTTCATTGCTGTAAGTTGGACTTTGTGTTAGTTCAGGTGAGCCACAAAATCAGACTAAGCCCTCAGTACACCAGCTGCTCCCAAAGCCAGCTAATATCACCTGACAGCTCCTCCAATTACCTTTTATGCATCCAAATGGCAATTGTCAAAATAGACATTCTATAGATGATCCTGGCTTAACATCAGTAATAGTGTTAAAATGTGAAAACACTGAAAAATTAGTTTTGGGTTCCCCCTTGTTCTTATTACTATAGCAACTGGCAAAAACAGTTACTGACTGTTTTTACACTATTACATGACATATTTTGGGCCTACTTGTATGACTAATATATCCTGAAGTTAAAAAAAAAAACATAATTGAAAATGATACTTGCATTAGGGGACAACACATACTTTTCCAAACAGTCTTCAATGGGAATTTGCAGATACTGTAATTCAGGTGAATTTCTATGCTGTCCCTAAAAAATATGATCCAAGGTTTCTCTCACACAACTTTTTCTTTACATGTTAAATGACATTCATTGAATTCGGTTGAATGTTAAATATAAAATTTTAAGGCCTGAAACTGAGACTGCCATTGAAAAAGAGTCAATTAATTGCAAAGATAACTATGTAAAAACATGTTCACTAACTAAAAATAGACTAAATTTAAGGACAAAGTGAATTCAGCCTAATTAAATGGTTTTTAAATTTTTTTTTTTTAATTATTATTTGGATTAAATACTGATTTATTGACATGGGGAAAAGCTGTAGGTGCAGCCCGAAGGTACTTAGTGACACATCAGTATGCTTGATCATGCTGCTGAAGGCAGCCATCTGAGACATTCATCACCTGCCTTCCCCATACTCAGAGCTTCTACGTGAAATGTAGCCTGTTGGAAATGCTGTCTTCTAGTGGCTGTCAAAATAACTGCTGTTATTGCACACTTCTGACACATGTTTGATGGTTAGTTTGAGCTGGTTTTAACAAGACTGTTTTGTTCTAAACTGTCTGCACATACTGTACATTTCACATTCATATTCAAAACATCAACAACCAAATTCAAACACAGCTCATAAATTTGTTGATTTAAGTAGTATCTTACCCTATTGTTTACCGCTGTCTTGTAGCTCAAGATGGACCATACAGAACAAACAACATCTGATTTAATGCCATTCCTGTCTTCAGGTCATCCCATAGAGCATAGAATCCAATCACCACATTTGCTATTTTGGGAGTGTGAATTTAAACACTGTATCTCAAGATTAAGTATGGAAACAAGGTGAAATAGCTAGCCAAACTCTGTCCAAAGACAAAGGAAAATCCAGGGACTTTAAGTGATAGGCTGCAGTAATACCTGGGGTTAAAGATTTCTTGACATTTCTAGCCAGTTACAGTGATATACTCACATAATTTTCATTAGTTTGCTTGTGTCAAATTAGATTAAACAACCTGTTTTTTGTTTGTTGTTTTTTCTTTCGGGGGGGTGACTTATGTTTTGCATCACTTAAACTAAAACATACAGCAATTTAACAGTCAAGTTGCGTATAAAGCTTATGGAGTTCCCTTTATATGACCTTGCATAGCTCTTTCCTCTTAATAATTTTAGACTTCATCTCAAGACTTCATTTTAATCAATATTTATGAGTAACTCAAATCCTTTTTATGTAGTTGTCTAAAAGCAAAAGAATGATAGCTTTATTTAAAAAAAAAGAGAGAGCATATTGTTGATGTTTTTCATTAGGGGAACAATTAATTTGTATCACCAGATGGCTAAGTTACCATTTATTATTTCAGAAATAAGAGCTTTTGCACTTCAGACACTGCCACAGTGAAACACAGGGGCTTTAGAAGTGAACTTCACAATGGGATAACCTGGAAAAAGAATGGCATTAACCATGGGTCCACCATGTTCCCAATTTGCTTTATTCACTGTGATACAGAAAAGTTTTCCACCTACTCCTCCTCCCTTAACTGCATCCCTCCCTTTTATCATCAGCCCTTCTGTTGTCTCATCCATCCTTCTCTTGCTTCAACTCAACTCTACCTCCCACCGCCCCTTTTGTTTCTCTACCCATCCCTCTTTCTACTTCTGCATGTCGCACTGCAGCAGTAAGACGATGGAAGGGTCAGATTTGGCAGCCTCTTTAAATTCTTCCAGGGTGATCTCATCATTGTGGTCCTTGTCCATCTTTGAGAAGATCTTGTCCACACGCTGCTGCGGGGTCAGCCCATCTTCATTCATTCGCATCATGATCACTGTTCCAACCATCTTATAGATGGCCTAAAGAGGGGAATAAGGAGAAAATGATAGCGGTTCACTTGTGTAAGCAAAAAAAGCTCCAATCCTGCTACTACTACTTCTAAGGTCCACTACTGCTTGAATGACACATTCTGTACCTCAATGATCTCGAGCATCTCCATACGAGTGATCTTTCCATCTCCATCAAGGTCATACATGTTGAAGGCCCAGTTGAGTTTCTGTTCAAAGCTGCCCCTGGAGGTGATGGACAGGGCACAGATGAACTCTCTGAAGTCAATGGTTCCATCACCATTCTTGTCGAATGTCCGGAACGCATGCTGGGCGAATTTAGAAGCATCACCATATGGGAAAAACTGAGGGGGAAAATGAAAAACAAGGTAAGATAAGATAAGATATGGTAAGGTCAGAAGAACTCTATTGATCACCAAAGGGAAATTCAATTGTCTGGAGTCTCATGTCATCTACTAAGGTGATTTGAGTACTGCAAATTGTATGGCACATCCTCCTTTGATAGGCAATGTAGGATCAATCCAGTGTTGTAATAACCTGAATGAAGCATTTGATTCTGATTGGTTAAAAACCCCTTGACAAGGGGTGTGCAGATGGCCAAGAGGGTTAGTACGCCCCATGTATGGGGGACCACGGTCCATGCAGTGGTCGTGGGTTTGAGTCTGGCCCCGACCATGCGCTGCATGTTCTCCCCCCCTCAAAGTCCAAATCCTTAGTCTCATAACAATGGAAATTAATAATGATGGGACGCAGTCCGTCCCATGGGCCAGGCTGGGATGTGAGACTCTGGTGGGCTCTGTCCAGCTCTGGGGTAGAAGAGAGTATATGCTCACCAAGGACACTGAAGAGCTGAGAAAAAGGGAGTCAGGCGTGCACCCTCAACGGACTGAGTACTCTGTCTTCTACTGTGTCCCTCTAAATCATAGAGTTTGGTTTTCAGCCACTTATTATCTTTCTGCATATAGCATCAAGCTGCTGCAAATGTTGACTAATCTCCTCCACAGTGGACTCAAGATCAGTTATACACTGTCCTTGGTCCACGACCACCACTTGAATCTTATCCAGCTTGGTTTCCAGACTCATAAATAATGACTTGAAGTCAGCTGCTAATGAAGCTACAGTGCATCCAGATAGTATTCATACCACTTCATTTTTTCCACATTTTGTTATGTTACAGCCTTATTCCAAAATGGATTAAATTCCTTTTTTTTCCTCAAAATTCTACACAAAATACTCCATAATGACAAAGCGAAAAACTTTTTTTAGAACATTTTTGCAAATTTATTAAAAATAAGACACTCAAATGTTGCAAATACAAGTATTCACACACTTTGCTATAAAACTCAAAACTGAGCTCCGGTGCATCCTGTTTCCACTGATCAGCCTTGAAATGTTCCTCCAACTTGATTGCAGTCCACCTGTGGCAAATTCAGCTGATTGGACATGATTTGGAAAGCCACACCTGTCTATATAAGATCCACCAGCTGACAGAGCACGTCAGAGCACAAACCAAGCCATGAAGTCGAAAGAATTGTCTGTAGACCTCCGAAACAGGGTTGTTTCGGCGCACAGATCTGGAGAAGGTTACAGGAAATATCAGCTGCATTGAAGATCCCAAAAAACACAGTGGTCTCCATCGTTAAGAAATGGAAGATGTTTGGAACCACCAGGACTCTTCCTAGAGCTGGCCACCCAGCCAAAATGAGCAAGTGGGGGAGAAGGGCCTTGGTCAGGGAGGTGACCAAGAACCCGATGGTCACTCTGACAGAGCTCCAGTGTTCCTCTGAGGAGATGGGAGAACCCTACAGAAGGACCACCATCTCTGCAGCACTCCACCACTCAGGCATTTATGGTAGAGTGGCCAGACAGAAGCCACTCCTCAGTAAAAAGCACATGACAGCCCACTTGGACTTTGCTAGAAGGCACCTGAAGGACTCAGACCAGGAGAAACAAAATTCTCTGGTCTGATGAAACAAAGATCAAACTCTTTGGCCTGAATGCCAAGTATCATGTCTGGAGGAAACCAGGCACCGCTCACCACCTCGCCAATACCATCCCTACAGTGAAGCACGGTGGTGGCAGCATCATGCTGTGGGGATGTTTTTCAGCGGCAGGAACTTGGAGACTTGTCAGGATCGAGGGAAAAATTAATGCAGCTAAGTACATCAAAATCCTTGATAAAGACCTGCTCCAGAGCGCTCGAGACCTTCGACTGGGGCAACGCTTCATCTTCCAGCATGACAATGACCCTAAGCACTCGGCCAAGAAGACAAAGGAGTGGCTTCAGGACAAGTCTCTGAATGTCCCTGAGTGGCCCAGCCAGAGCCCAGACTCGAACCCGATTGCACATCCTTGTAAAGACCTGAAAGTAGCTGTGCACCGACGCTGCCCACTCAACCTCACTGAGCTTGAGAGGATGTGCAAGGAAGAATGGGGAAAAAAAACTCCCCAAATCCAGGTGTGCCAAGCTTGTTGCATCATACACAAGAAGACTGGAGGCTGTAATCGCTGCCAAAGGTGCTTCAACCAAGTATTGAGTAAAAGGTGTGAATACTTATGTATATGCAACATTTGAGTGTTCTTATTTTTAATAAATTTGCTAAATGTTCCCAAAAAAGTTTTTCACTTTGTCATTATGGGGTATTTTGAGTAGAATTTTTGAGGGAAAAAGGGAATTTAATCCATTTTGGACTAAGGCTGTAACATAACAAAATGTGGAAAAAGTGAAGTGGTATGAATACTCTCCGGATGCACTGTATGTGTCTCTCGAGCAGATCTGAGATGTTGAAATGCTAGCTGCTGAATTCTCTGCTGCTATGTCTTTGTTGGGTTGTTCTCCCAATTTTGATATAAATACTGCCATAGCATCAGTGCTATTCCCAGTTAGACCCAGTCACTTGGTGTTGTGACAAGAAAAGTAGGGTTCGAAATGGTAAATGAGAAAGTTGGTAGCAGGAGCTAGAGAACTGCTCCATGCTAGAGAACTGCTCCACTTTCTTCCCCTTAAGAAATGAAATAACTTATTATTTACTCAGGTAATCTATGTCTGAAAGATCTGTGGCATGTGTGACAAAAAATCATTAACAGGAAATCTGTAAGGGGCAAATACTTTCGCACAGCACAAAAATGATTGCAAATGAAACGGTTGTTTTGGACATCTGATTTCATTGAAAATATAATAACAACAAAAGCACACAACGGAAGCATAACCTCATTTTTTTATGTCAGGCTACTAGGACTATGATTAATGCCTCTTGCACCACAGGAAATTTTAATCACAGGATTTCATTGGAATAACCAAAAGTGGTCATGCAAATCTGCTTACTTGTAACAAGACGGAATTATGTTTATTTGTTTGCCCTTACTTTTCACTGACAGCAGCTCATACTGAGAAAAAAAGGAGTTGAAGTTGCTTATTGAAAAGAAAATATTTCAGTCATGACCAGAAGTTGAAGACACTCTGTTTAATATGTAAAATACTTGTCCCTATGAATAAGATATTTCAATCAAACCTCTTCTTTCTCTGCTGCTTAGCTTCAGCCTGGTTAATTTAGTCTTATTTTTTGATATTCTAAAAATTACAGCTCAGTTACTCACACTGGTTAATTAATTCCTCAATTATATGGCCTAGTTGTCCCTTTTTGCTTTTTTAAAATTACAAAAGCAGAAATAAAAAAAAAACTGATTTAGAAATATAAACTTCAATGTTGGTCACTCTCCGGTACTGTGCCAAATTATGGGCCAAAGAATTTTCAATCAAATTGTCAGGAAGCAACAGAGTCATGACCAGAAACAAAGCCTCTGTGTGTGCCTCAAAATCAAGATGCCCCCTCTGTAATGAATATATGAGCTTTCTGTATAACAGCCAAATGTTCAGAGTTATTCTAGTTATAAGAGAAAAAATATTCAATTTTCTATGTAGAGAAAAGCCACTTTGTAAAAGCCTTGTATTGAGTGAATAACTGTATAATTTCCTTAACTCTGATTTATCTCTTAATATATGTCTTGCCTTCCCTCACCTTGACATAGAGCTGTTGAAACTCGTCCAGGTTAAGAATGCCAGAAGGACAATCTTTAAGGAAGCCTTTGTACCATTGCTTCAGCTCTGCCTCATTGAATTCGGTGTTCTTGGTAAGGTCATCCAGGACCTCTGGAGCCAGCTTGCTGTTGTGTTTCCCCATGTTGTTTCACTTCTCTGGGGGGTGAGGATGAGAGCAGGATACAGAAAGAGAGACAGAGTTAACACTATTGGAGGAGTTGGTAGACAAACAACAGCAACCGCAATAATTCCCCTGTGTTGTTGGAACAGCACAGGTCTCTCAGGATGGAAGCAAACAATGAATTACCTGCAGAGAGACACATGCATAGGAAAGCTGCACTGTCTCTGTCTATCTTATGTGTAAAATGTGCACTATAAAAAATCACACACCTATATCATAAAAGTTTGACAAGGATGGCTAGGTGTTAAAACTTTACCATTTTGTTAAGATGATGTTTGTGCTTGGATGATTAAAGGGTCTGATCTTCTTGGTGTTGTTATGACCAAGCAATCAAGATCATGGGACCCTGTTTTAGCTGGTCTTCAGTTATGATGTCCAGGTTCTTGGAAGATATGCTGCTGATTTGTTCAAGCTGGATTAAAATCAGTTGTACAGAGGGACTTGTTGAGATGACCCAGAGTTAAACCTTTAACAGTTTTTTCTTTAACATCTGAAGAAGTATTCTGTACAGCTGAAAACGCTTTCTCTGAACTTGTGGCAAAAAGACCAACGACACACAAATACACAAATTGTTAATTTTCTGCCCCCCTCTTTATCCATTACGCATCTGCTCAGCATTTAAAATGCAAAAATGTTATAGGCTAACCTTATCACAACTGGACAGATCCAACTTAAGTACAAACTCCTCTGTCATTACAACATAGCCAGGAGGAACACACAGTACAAATCACAGTCAGGAATCAAGAAAGAAAAGTTATTTTGATTTTGATTTTGCAAAGCTTTTAGCTCTTGCTGGATGGATTGCCTGGGTGAATGAAGTGAGGACTAAGTGAATAATAATAAAAAGATAATAGTCTAAACCTGGCCTGAGTTGTTACTTGGCATGAAACTATCGATATATAACCTCGGTTGTGGTTTGATGCTGTTTAAAAACACAGTAATTTACTGATACAAAGTTTTTGTTGGCACACCATCTAAGAGTGAAATATTATTTACCTTACTGTATAAAGTGTGTTGTAACAAGAACTAGTGACTGAACTGCTGACCACTTTTGAAATCATGAACTATCATATTGGTTTCAGGAATGTATACAGCTGAGTAAAAACGAGCGATGTCAAAGTATTGTCAATATCAGTGTCATTGAAAGAATAAGTGTCCAGATACTATTATGGATCTGTGACTATACAAAACACTAGATTTTCCAGGCAAAAGTGTTGTTTCGTTTTAGCTGTGTAGTATTAGAGTGGAGAGAAGTGAGAACTGTCCCCTGCCTTGGCAAAAATGACAAAATCTGGAAGTAGGACATAAAATGAAGGTTAAAAAATTGTGGATGTTTGAGAAGTTTTTAATTTCAATTTCCTAGCTGTGGGTTTAGTGTTGGGCATTGAATCTTGGGTATCGATGGGAACCAGGAGTACCATTCCGATTCTTCCAGAACCGTTCAAATTTGTAAAATTTCGATTCCAAATTTCAATGCCAGAGTCCCTGACCAGTAGAAATAGCCACCAAAGACCAATGAAGAAATGCCAACAAAGACATAGCATATGAGCCAAAGCCACAGAGAGAGCAACAGACAGAGAGAGAGAGAGAGAGAGAGAGAGAGAGAGAGAGAGTGTGTGTGTGTGTGTGTGTGTGTGTGTGTGTGTGTGTGTGTGTGTGTGTGTGTGCGTGTGTGTGCATTGCAACCCACAGCGGCGGTCAAAAGTTTGGCTTAACTTTCGCAGGGATAATGAACTGTCATCTCAATATTTGCCACACAGTTGTATTGTGCAAAGGAGGGTGCACGACCGGCATGATTAAACACCTACAGATTCATGGAGTAAATAACTGAGCACCCCCTCTTTGACGCCTTGTGCCGATCTTCCTCTAACCCGTCAGAATCAGATAAGTAAAACAATAAATTACTTCTGTCTTTGGCTAACATTGTAGGGGTGAATGAATTGTACTATATACGGTGGGTCAACTTAAATATCCAACTAACGTTAGCCCATGTGCTTTTTTCATAGCAAAACGACCTGACAACAAAGATTGATTTTTATATACTGGTTAAAAAAAGCCCCGTGAGATATTCATATTCATATTTTCATTCATTCATTCAAAATTCATGGAGAAGTTCAGACATTTTATCCAAAAAAGAACTCTGGCTAGCGCCCTCATTTAAAACAAAGAATTTTCTTGACACTGCCATTTTACTGGCGTCACTCTCATAAGGTCAGACAGAGATCCTAAAACCAGTGGCAAGAAGAAAGGAGGCGGTCTGGCTTTATTTGTTAACCAGAGATGGTGTAACCCTTCACTCATAACTGTCAAGGAGAAGTTGTGTTGTCCAGATATCGAACTGTTGGCAGTTGCTCTTCAGCCATATTATGTTCCAAGAGAATTTAGTCATATCATAAGAATACTTGTTTGCACCCACTCAAATTAACTGCAGAAATTCCATGGAATCTTTTGCATAATAGTGTTGCCAGGCTACAGACTCAACACCCTGAGGCACTAATAATAATATCAGGAGACTTCAACCATGTCACCCTCTCCTCTCACCTGACTGGATTCACACAGTTTGTGAACTGTCCTACCTGAGAAAACAAAACCCTGGATCTGCTGTATGCCAACGTCAAAGAAGCCTACAGAGCCACTGCCTTACCACCACTGGGCAAGTCAAATTAAACTTGGTCTATCTGCAAACCTGCAGACCTTGTGTGCTGAGGCAGCCTGTGACCAAAGTCAAAATCAGAAGATGGACACCTCAAGCCAGTGAAGCTCTAAGGGACAGTTTTAAATCAACAGACTGGAATGTGCTGCTGGAAACAGATGTGGATAGTATGAACATTGATAAACAGGTTGACTGCTTTACTGAGTACATCAACTTCTCACAAGTGACATAAAAGCAATCCTTAACCAGAAAAAGAAAGCTTTTAAAGATGATGACAAAGAACGACTCGAACAAGTGCAACAAGAGTTTAAGAGGAGACTGAAGATGGCAAAGCTGGAGTACAAAAAGAAGATAGAGAAGAAGCTACAACACAGCAACATCTGTGAAGTGTGGAGAGGAATCAGTACCATCTCTGGACAAAGCAATGAAAAGAAAAGACAGCCAGTGGTGGGTGATGTGAAAAGAGCTGATGAACTCAACCTGTTCTTCAACAGATTTGACACTGTTGTCACACCCACTTCCACTGCTACTCCACCTTCCTCTCTGCAACAAATCTCCACTACAACTGCTCCCCTTCCTCTTCCATCTTGTTCAACTACCTCCCTTCTCAAACACCAGTCCTTGTCTGTCACCGAAACAGGGGTGAGGTTGGAGCTTGGAAGACTTTGTCCTGGGAAGGCAGCTGGCCGAACTATGTCAGCCTCTCCACAGGATCCTTAACCTGAGACTACAGCTGGGGCGGGTACCTGCTCTGTGGAAAACATCCTGCATTGTGCCAGTACCGAAAACAAAATGTCCTGCTGAACTCAATGACTACAGATCAGTGGCCCTCACTTCACACATCATGAAAACCCTGGAGCGGCTGATTCTACGCCTTCTGAGGTCTGAGGTCAAAATCAAACTGGATTCCCTGCAGTTCGCGTACAAAGAACACATTGGAGTGGATGATGCTGTCCTCTACATGCTTCATCTTGCCCTGTCTCATCTGGAGGAACCTGGGGTTTATGTGAGGATCATGTTCTTCGACTTTTAAAGTGCATTCAACACCATCCAACCCACCATACTCAAAGACAAGCTCACAGAGATGGGAGTGGATCCTACCTGTGTTTCCTGGATCACAGATTACCTGACAGGAAGGCCACAGTTTGTCAGGCTGGGGAACTGTGTTTCTGGGACATTAATGAGCAGTACAGGGGCTTCACAAGGGACAGTCCTGGCGCCATTCCTGTTCACACTGTACACGTCAGGCTTCAAATACAGCACTGAGTCCTGCCACATCCAGAAATACTCAGATGACACCGCTATTGTGGCATGTATCAGAAATGGACAAGAAGCTGAATACAGAGATCTGATAAGAGCCTTCAGTGACTGGAGTCACAAAAACTGCCTCCTCCTCAACACCTCAAAGACAAAGGAGATGGTCATAGACTTCTGCAGATCCAAACCCCCTCTTCAGCCAGTGAACACCTGTGGAGTGGACATCGAAGTGGTGACATCATAAATATCTAGGTGTACATCTGGATAATAAGTTGGATTGGTCTAAGAATATAGACTACATCTACAGAAAGGGGCGGAGCCACCTCTTTTGCCTGAGAAGACTCCGATCAATAGACATCTGTAGTAAGACGCTGCAGATGTTTTATCAGTCTGTGGTGGCAAGAGTTCTGTTCCACGCTGCAGTCTGCTGGGGAGGAAGCATCAAACACAAAGATGTAAGACGTCTTAACAAACTGGTGAAAAAGGCTGGCTCTGTGGTTGGACTCAAGCTGGACTCAGTGGAGGATGTGGTGGAGAGATCTACACTGAGGAAGGTGGAGACTATTCTCAAGAACAAGGATCACCCACTTTATAACACCTTGATGGACCAAAGGGCCAATGGTGGTGGACGACTCCTCTCTCTTCGATTTGTGACAGAGAGATTCAGAAGATCTTTTGTACCAACAGCTATCACACTTTACAACTCTTCTTTAAATAGTGACTGACTTTTTGACACATGACAACTGAGACTACAGACAATTGAATTTCCTTTCAGGGATGAATAAAGTTAATCCTAAGGTCCTTACACACCAGAGCCGATGTGAATATAGAACGAGAATTGTGAAATATTCAGAGGCGAATTTTGACGCGCCTGACTATACACATCAAGCCTGATGCAATTTTGCAACTTTCCGGGGTAAAAAAAGATGCATCCCGAGGAAGACTTTTCCCAGGAAGAGTCCCACCTCCTTTGCCTCTGATTGACTAGAAAAGCTGGAAACGTCATTACCCGCTCAAGCCAAACGGTCAGCACTTATAGCCAATCGGAGGCGATAACATAAGCACGCAAGACATTCAGCAAACTGTTAAAGCACAAAAAAACATCGTATGACAAATCCGACGCTAAGACTCTCCACAAGTTGTCCTTCAGGTCGTTATCTTTGTAATGTCTGTCTTTTATCAAAAAGCACTCTGTTCTCCGACACGTAAACAATCAGCCGGTCAGCCATGTTGGATATACCACAATCTGACGTCACAACAACACGCAGTCTGATTGGTGGGAAGTGGATACACAGTATGCGAAACGTAAGAAAAATTGACCATGATCTGAAAAAATAAATGCTGCAATATGGCAGGACGGGAAGACGTAGCTGATGTGAACGCTTGTATTGACAGGATACAGGTTCGAAAAAAATATTGACATCCAAAATAATCGCACAACAAAAACGGTCCCGGTGTGAAAGGACCTTTATTCTTATTTTAAAGAATCAGAACAGAGAATTGTTTGGAACCAGAATTGAAAAAAGGAGTTGGAATTCTTCAAATTCAAACAATACTTAACCCTAAGTGGGTCCTCAGAAATGAGAAAGGAGAAAATAAGACAGACTCACAAAAACAATAAGCAGTTAGACTACAGTGTTCTTTGCCTCAGAGAATATAAGAGCCTGCCCTGATTGTCACCTCATAAAGATTTGACTGGATGCAAGGAAACAGGTCAAAAAGCTCACTTCCCCATATAAGTTTGAAAGCTCAAGAGATCACAAGATGTATCACTGATAATGTAGCCAAAGACTTGTGTAAAATCTCTGTGCTGGAAAACCAAGGACACAGAGAAAGTCAGTAAACCTGCTGCAGTCACAATTTCAAATCCTCACTGCAGCCATGTTTAGTCAAACACTATTACCAGCTCTCCACAAAAAGACAAAGACTTCAGTTACACAGAACCTCAATCAGAGTGCATCTCACTCACTCCCTCACTGATTTTCCATCGTTTGCCTACCGACAACCATTGGCGTCGTTAGGCTGAAGCCCCCCTTAAATATTCTTTAGCCCCCCTAAATATATATATATTTTTTAAACATTTTTTAACATGTCATTATTCACTTAAATATGATCACAAATCATTTAGTTTCCCATGACTTCACTGTGTAAGGTGGAGAGCCTTCGTCAGCGCTAAGTTATTCAATCCGTTCCACTTGTTGATATAGAGAACGCCCACATTACTGAAAATCCAGTCCGCGTTTTCACTGCTGCCAGCAGCAGCACCTACATGCTCCCTGCACACAGTCACAGCGAGACGGTCACGTCACGAGCCAGGCAGAGAGCAGCATCATGGACATACGCAAGTTTTTCAAAAAAGTAAGTCTTTATAGCAGCTGGTAGTAACAATAAGCTCCAGCTAACAGCAAATAGTCCCATGTAATTTATGAACCAGGTGCTCCCCATTTTGAGAAATAAAAACCTGGCTGTCACACCAAGTTAAATTGTTAGCATGATGTTGATTTCTGTCACTTGTTTTAGCTCTGAAAAAAGCGAGCTGAGCTCATTCACGTATGATTATCATCAGTGGATAATAATAATGCACTAATAATAGTCATCCCACCATCCCCACTGACCTGTAGGAGTCAGGACAGAGGAGCAAAGCTAGTGAGAGGTAGTGGTGGGGGAAAATATCGATTCTTAGATGCATCTCGATTCAGGCAAGGACGATTCTGAATCGATTCACAAACGTCCAAATTCCGATTATTTAGATGTTAAATAACGTGAAATAGGCGGAACGAAAAGGCGGAACTCGTGCAGCGCGTTGTCACCCGGCGGACACTTTAAGGGGAGCACATAACAAAGAAGCATGGCTGAGCGCGAGATCCACCCTGCCCCTTCCGGATTAAAAGCTAATGTATGCAAGAATTTTGGCTTCTACAGAGTTGAGGGTGGACTTGAACTGGACAAGAGCCACACTATATGTAAACTGTGTCACTCCAAGATAAAATACTTTGGTAACACCCCGAACATGAGGAGCCACATCACTCGTTTTCACCCGAACGAGGAGGGAAGATGCCCGGCTGCTGTCGAGGCTACGGCTGCCTCCACCAAACAGAGAACAATCGAGAAAGCAATTACAAAGCTTCCCCCCTCATCGGAAAAGGCGAAACGAATCACGAAGTCCATCGCTACATTTATTGCCAAGGATTTACGTCCGTATTCAGGTCAGGATATGCTAAAAGCCAAGGATGCTGCTACCTTTTGTTCTTTACATGAAGTTGTAACTTTCCTGTTTACACATTTCCACAAGTATAATAAAAGATAGTGGAAATTAATTCATTTAATTGTTTCTCATGATTAATATTTTAAAAACACAAAGTGGTGAATGGTTACACAGTGAGACAAAAAGAAATGTGTAATAGCTGGGGGGGGATAATCGTTTCAGAATCGAATCGTAGCCCCTGAATCGTAATCGTAATCGAATCGTGATGTGCCTGAAGATTCCCACCCCTAGTGAGAGGGGAGACACCTCTACTGGACAGGTGAGTCTAAAAGAATTCACAGGAGTGATGCAGACAGTCTGATTAGAATTTTATGGAGCTCAATATGGATATAAAATATGAAATTTCAGTCATGGTGCACCATATAAGACTTATTTCATTTGAGTTTTTATTTGAGAGTCAAGATTAGAAAGTGGAGAGAGCAAAGAGATAAATTAGCCTGACCCAAATATTTTTGGGGGTTCTGTTTTAATATTACTTTAAGTCAAGTAATTTAGTAATATTTTTCAGGGCTTTAAATTGCAACCATTTTAGTCACATATGGGCCCAAAATGTAATCTGTGTAACATCTTACTATTTGGGAGCAAAAAATTACTGTGGTGTGTGAGCATAAGTCATGACATTAGCCTCTATGTTGGATTAGTTATTAATTCAATGTGTTTCAATGTATCTTGGAGGGTCAGGCAGAAGGAAAGGCTGAGGAGCTGCAGCAAATGGCAGAGGAAGCTGAGAGAGGAGAGCAAACAGGCCAAGAGAGGGAAAATAATGAAGCAGCTGCAGCAACTCATTTCACTACAGGGTTTGATTTAGGTGACAAAGACACAGGGCCCAGACAGGTCAAGCTGAAGAGCTACCCACAAGATAGTTTTGGTACACAGAAGCGAGCATTTCACTACAGCTGGTTTGAAAAGCACAACTGGTTAGGATATTCAGTCAACCAGAATACAGCTTTCTGTTTCCCATGACTGTTTGGCAAAAACATAAAACATGATAGTTTGGTCAGTAGTGGTTGCAAGAACTGAAGAAAAAACAGACTGAAATAAAACAAAAAAACTACTGGTGGCCTGAGACTATATCGTAGTTAAATCCATCCAAAAAAACTAAAAAGCAATTTCTCAGTCTTTGTTTTCTGTTTGTGAAATTTTCACTCTCACTACGTTCACTCACAGCCTGTTCATCTCTTGGGGGCTAAGCCCCCCCTGTCCTTAAAACCTAGTGACGCCCCTGCAAACAGCAAAATAAAAACATTGTGGCTGAAAAATCTAAACCTTAGACTGTGTATGCCTGTTATTTCACTTTGTCAATAAAAGGCTGCTGGATGAAAACCCATTTACTAATCAATCAGACTTTATTGAAAAAGCTCTTTTTATCAAACGACAATGCAACGCCAAGTGCTGTACATAAAAAGAAAAGGAAATTAATAAAAAAAGACACACACACAATTGCCAATCCATATATGAAGCTAACAAGAGCCATTGAAAAGTAATAATAAAAATAAACTCAAAATACATAAAAATACATTTACAAAAGAAGTGAACATACTAAGGGACCACCATCACAAGGGCTTACTGAGGAAAACACATTAGTATAGAAAACACTGGAGGTTTAGAAATATACCTACAGAGAATTGCCTGTTACAAATCAAAAAGGTCACAGTAATAATTAATAACAGAGCAAGAAAACTGCCAAAATACTAACACAGCTTCACAGTATTACAGCTGCAAACTCTGACTCAGCTTGACATCTCCTTTCAAGCAGAGGTGTATAGTAATGAAGTTGATGTACTTTGTTGCACTACTTAAGTATTTTTTAAAGGATTTGTACCTTGTTTTTTTTTTTATTTTTTTTATCAGGACTTTTACTTAACTACATTTAAAAGTGTAGCAATCAAGACAACCTCGTGGGCGAAACCCACACATTCCTCACAGGAAAGGTTCCTTATCTGGTTCCAGGTCACAGGATAATATAAATCTCTCCAGACTTGTTTGCACTTTCAGGTTACCTAACTGACCTGATCGGAGGTTGACCTATACCTCTGGCTCTTCACGATTGGTCAATTCGGAGAACAGAGTCTTTATTACCTTTCAAACTGACTCCATCGCGGACCATTCAAATATAAACATTAACACCTCAACCCAGGTCTCCCATTTGAGATTTACTGTCTTTAGGTGTGTGAACACACTGACCTCAAGGAAAGGTCTGAGGAGCAGGACACTGACCTCCAGACCTCTGTCGTAAAACCCTGCTTGACCATGTTCTGATAAAAAATGATTTAAACCTGTCTTTTTCTTTCGAAGTTCATGGATTTGTGTATATGGTTTTGCTTCTTTGGAAATAATGAAGTGCTTTGGTTGTGGTGCAGAGGGGCACCTGATCAACTCCAGTCCGCAGGGAGGAGGAGCACAGCAGCCTGCTGCTGCTGCTACTGGGGGGGATCCGCCCGATACTGCTGCTGCGGGGGGAGATACGCCCACCACTTTAACCCCGGCCCCCTTGTGGGGTACAAGATCTGTTGGTTTGGCTCAGGAGTTAACTGTCTGGTTGGCACAGGTTTTTCTGAGCATGAGGAATCCATGTTGTCAGACACAGCTGAGGAAAATGATGAAAAAAGAAAAATTGAGGAACTGAAAGAGGAGGACATGACAGGTGATGACCTCCTTAAAGAGTCCAAAAAAAGAAAAACTCTGGATCTGTTAAAAAGAACAGAAAAAAAAGAAAAATGAAAGATTTTGCCAAAGATAAAAGCCCAAATCATCAATGATGAAGATGATTTTTAGATGCTTTCACCTTTTACTGACTGCTCTTCTAACTGTAATTTCTTTTTATCCATGTGTGATTTTAATATCAGCACTTGAAACCTAAACGGGGCCAAGGCTGATTTTAAACGAGCCGCTCTCTTTAAACTGATGAAGAATAAAAGAATTGATGTCATGTTTGTCCAGGAAACCCATAGCACCTCTGACAATGAGAGTGACTGGAAAAGGGCTTTTAAACGGGAGGTGATTTTCAGCCACAGGTCCAGTCTGAGTGGAGGGGTGGGTGAGCACAGAGTTGAACACAATGTCAGCCACTTATTTATTTTTCAGTTTTTAGTGCTGCTTTTGTACTGGCACTATACTAGGGTAGCTGCATACCCTTTCAACACCTTTTTTTTAATATTTACATTTGTATTGAATGGACACTTTATGGTGACTGCCGCTTGTTTTACAGAAAGCAAATAGTTTGTTATTCTCCAGTGCAGAGCCTTTATTTTTATTTATACAGCCGCTTTATTTCATTTGAGTTAGTTTGTTCAAAGTTTTCAATAATGTAATGAAAGGTTGGGGAAAAATAAAAGATAGTTATCTTGAAAGCCACATATGTAAGCTCTCAAATACTTTTTGAATTTGAATTTTGCTACAGAGGCCGAGATATCAGCTTTTTGTAAACCTCAACACTTCAGAAAACCTCAGGATCTGGGGGCCCTTCTCGAAATTGGCCTCACAATTTCAGAGGCATGTCTCAGACCGGGTTCAGGTCTTAATGGGTTAAATTGTAATGAAAAGTGCCTAAAATAAAATGGGATTGTTGTATCCAGATTACATACTATGTGCATACTCTGTACTGATTAAGGTTTTTGTTATTGGAACCTCCACGCCCCCACCCAGTCCTTGGAAAAAGTTTCCTGCATGAAACTGGTCCCTGGTACAAAAAAGGTTGGGCACCACTGGCCTACATACACCTGGACTTTGCAGAACAAGCAAACTGGGTTCACCTCTGGGAAGGAAAGCAGTCAACAGATGCCTCCCATCATTCTGCCTTCTTTCTTATTGTTTCTTCTCTTTCTTCTTTTGATACCCCAATTCATGCTTTGAGGGCAGCATGATGTCTATCCCCCGGTTCAATGTTACAGTTGTTGCTGGTCACTGTAGGGCAGACTAAACCATTTTTGCCCCTCCAAGATGGGGGTCCCCCAGAATGTTCAATATGTTGGGAGGATTGTGACATAAAGTTCATTCTCTCAGTTGATGTTATCAATATATTTGAAATAAATAATGACACCAATTAATTGGAGGGCCCAAGTCATTCGAAATAAAACATCACAAAAAAAAAAAAAAATCAGGATTTTTATGGGCCCCCCTCCCTCTTCAGGCCTTGAGTAGTCAGGTCCACTTTTCCCCTACAACCACGCCCATGGTCCTGTTTAAGGTGTGACAGATGATTTTCCAACCTTTATTTTTTAATCCTTGATCACTCTAATAACCACAATTAGCATCCAATTGCTATGAAAAATGCCAGTTCCACGTCCAGTGAAAGAAGGCACTGGAAGACACGTCCATAATTCACACAAGGCATCATGGGGTACAGATCGTTACAGATCCTTTCCACCTGTGACTTTTCTCTTCAATCATCACCTTGTTCTTATATAGTAACGCATTGCTGCTCCTCAGGCCATAAAATGCCCCATTAACCCGGTTTCCTTACCACACACATTTTTATGTCGCGGGACCACTGCACTGCCTTCATGACGCCATCCCTGACTCACAGTGCTATCTGACCTCTTTTGCACTTTGTCACCAAGATGCAGCCAACACAGCCGTGTCAAGTGGCCACAAATTCTCTCCTTAATTGCTGAGGGAGTGTGGAGACAGTTAAAATGCTGAAATCTCATCCTGCCTTGCTTTACGGCATATGAATCATCTAGAGAGATGTAACAAAACCACAAGACATTGCACAATAAAAAATATTTTAGACTGAGTTCTCAAGACAACTAGGGTACACTGAAGGAAAGACAAGAGCTTTGAGGTGAAGCAATAAATAGAGAAAGCATGAACTGATTGTCGCAGCTAAAAAAATGTGAAAGAAAGAAAGAAAGAAAGAAAAAAATGGGTATGACCACATATTACAAGAGGTAAATGGTATATAAAAGGCTAAGACCTCATGAGGCAGTGGCTACCCAACTTGTACAAATACAGGCATCATAAATCTAACACTAGTGGTGTGTTATTTTAGGGTACCTCCCAATTTGATTTGATAATGATTTTGGGTGCCACGATTTGATTGTTAGAATAGAATAGAATAGAATAGAATAGAATATTCCTTTATTGATACCCCATGGGGGAATTTTTTTTTGTCACAGCAGCATCACAGACAAAGAGTGCAAAAATGCAGTTATAAAAATAAAGATCCTAATATTAAGAACTTAAATAAATGTAATAATTAAGAAAAAATTTAGAAAAAGGAAAAAGGGAGAAGAAAAATTCTATTCTATTCTAAATGTACGTCCATCATGTTTTATTGCCATTAGACCAAACAATCCAACACTTTTTTGACTTTTTGACAACAAAAAGCTGCTCTTGTTACATAAAGTGCTATAACTATTATTATAACTATTATGATCTAACAAAAAGTGATAATTTCCCTTTGGGGATCAATAAAGTTACCTTATCTTAACTTAATAACATAACCTCTGTAATGATAGAGTTCTAAGCACAGTATTTAATAAGCAGCATTGCATCCCACAACAATCAAACATTTTGCTATCCACAACCAAAGGCAACTTTACATCCACATAACTGGCAGATTAACAGAATGAGAACAGAAGACAGCTGGTTAACTGTCTGTTATGAGTCTGTCCTTTAAAACCTTCCGGGCAGCTTTTTTTGTTCCAGCCAACTCCTGGGTGCTCCAGTTGTGTTTCTGTATTTAAGCTATCATGGGAAATAATATATTTTTGAGCATTTGTTAACCTTAATTGATTGTTACATGTTGCATTATGATGCATCAAAGAATCTATGTATTTACCCACCCCTAACAGACACACAGAAGACTGACTGCTGCTCCACAAATGCAGACAGATTTTAAGGGCACTGATATTATGAAGCATTGCATGGTAGTGTGAAGTCACGTGGGAGGAAACGTCATTTGCTCAGGAATATTCAATTAATGAACTCAATCTCTCTTTAACAAATGCAAACTTATGCCTGAGGCAGTGAGTGTTTTAAGTAAAATGAAACTGTCCTAAATCACTGACAGATTTCATTAAAAGTTCATCTGTCAGTCACTCACAGTATCAGTGCCACAACCATAAAAACTTTTGGCACAAGCACTCATTTTGCTTTTACTGTCCTGGAAACATTAGATTGTGTTCTCATTGACACAGTTATACACACAATCACACCACCACAATGTATTTCTTGCCTTTGACTGAGGCAGATGAGATTCATCCTACTGCTCGGGAAGTAAATGTAGCGAAAAATAGATTTTCCTGTGGAGGACAGCAAGAGGTGTGACTAGCCAGGTGGGCAAACACAATTGAAACTTGTGCCATCTGAAAGAATCACAATAAACACCGCTCATTAAGCCCACAAAGAATCACTGAGATCTATCCATATAACTAATTACCGAGAGCTTCTTCACCATTCTCTCATTTAACTTACTATCCAAACATTAATCATCCTAAAGAATCACTGGTGGTCCCAAAGTCGACTTAAGTTAAATGGGACAGAAAAGCACCTCACATAGAATAAAGCAAAAACACAAACAAACAGATGTAAAATGAATACAATGGGCAATATTTGTTTGTTGATAGTTTACATACCAGGGGGACATGCCTCAAATACTATGCCCCCTTCAAAGAATACCATAAAAGAATTCCACATACTGCTAAAGATGAGATATTTATCCTTTGATGTAAAAGTGTTTTTTTTCCAATGCAAGAGAATGTGACAGTTGTGCAAGCCAGACTCTTATACTTGGTTTAGCCGTGGATTTCCAAGATTTGGCTATGGTATATTAAGCTTGTAACTAGGGCTGTGCGATATAAGGATAATGATATGTATCGACAATTAATTTCCCTCAATATCAATATAAAACATGGTCAATATGCTTTTCGATAGTCGGCATTCTGACATGTTTTGATAGACAAGAATTGCACAAATCCTTCAATAGAGCATTTCCAAAACACTTCCAGAAAATCCAGTTATTACATCAGCAAAGACACTTTTTAAGGTGCATGTTCTCCACCTCCAACATTGCAAAAGACCATGGGGCAATTCTGTACAAAACAGGTTATCAGAGCTTAAATGATAAATTTACACTATATACATAAAAGTGGCAAATATTTAACAAAAAATGTAACAAGACAGTAAGAGAAGAATAATACAAAATATTAAATAAAATATAGACTAATAATCTTACATAGCAAATCACACCAATTTGAAAACACACTAAAGAAAATGTGATTGTTCTATGACAGGAAACACAAACTAAAACTAAAACCTGACCTTTCTTGCCTTCCTTGTTGCAAAATCATCAATAATCTCGTCATAAGAAATCTGCTCCCCTATTAACTCATTAAGACCCTGTCTGAGCCACGCCTCTGAAATCCTGAGGGCCATTTTAAGAAGGGCCCCCAGATCCAGAGGTTTTCTGAAGTGTTGAGGATTACAAAAAAGCTGATATCTCGGCCTCTGTAGCAGATAGAAACAAAATTTTTAAAAAGTATTTGAGAGCTTACACATGTGGCTTTCAAGATAACTATCTTCTATTTGTCCAAACTTTCATCACATAATTGAATACCTTGAACAAACAAACTTAAATGAAATAAAGCGTCTGTATAAATAAAAGTAAAGACTCTGCACTGGAGAATAAGAAACTGTTTGCTTTTTGTAAAACAAGTGGCAGTCATGATAAAGTGTCAATTTAATTAAAATGTAAATATAAAAAAATTAAGTGTTGAAAGGGTATACAGCTGCCCTAGTATAGTGCCAGTACAAAAGCAGCTCTAAAAAATAAATAAATAAATAAATGCGTGGTTGACAGTGTGTTCATCTCTGTGCTCACCCAAAGTCATGCAACACTCACAGAAATCGCCAATAGTGTGAGCCAAAGACCTCAATATGAAGAGGTTGTTCACACTGCTGGATGTTTCTCCTCCAAAGCTGCTCTCTGCCTGTCATTGTTTAGTTTCCTCACGACGCACGTAGCAAGATCCGAGCATGAATCCGATTGCTTTACTCGCTTATCAGAGGCAGACTGGTATGATGATTTGATTCACCACGACTCCAGAAATTATTAAAAAACTACAGAATGTTACAAAATGACGTATCCGCGCTCCCGGCTTGAAGGCTGATCTGCGGACATACTGTCCCGATTTCAATGGGTTAAGTGATTGATGACGACAAGGCCAGTGAGCTGTTCCTGAGACATGGTTGACCTTAGGTACGACTTTATCAACTTCAGTTTTGAGAAGCTCTTCTCTGCTTGAGCCACCGTGACTGGCAGAGTGAGAGCAATCCTGAGAGCAGAGCTGTCCCCTGCGACCCTCTCCCCATTTTGTCTCATACAGTCTGTCAGCCTCTGTGCGGCACCTTCACAGCAAGGGGGGCACCAATTTGACAACAAGAGTCAATACAAAACCGCTTTGCGGCGCAGATTTATTATTATTATTATTATCTTTTATTTTATTTTTTTCGAAGTGCTCATGCCACCCCCCATGAGTCATGACACAAATGCCTCCCCGGGTGGCTGCCCTGTTCGCCCGTGCCTAGAACCGCTACTGAGTCCATCTTATTATCCAGATGTACACCGAGGTATTTATATGATGTCACCACTTCGATGTCCACTCCACAGGTGTTCACTGGTTGAAGAGAGGGTTTGGATCTATGGAAGTCTATGACCATCTCCTTTGTCTTTGAGGTGTTGAGGAGGAGGCAGTTTTTGTGACTCCAGTCACTGAAGGCTCTTATCAGATCTCTGTATTCAGCTTCTTGTCCATTTCTGATCCATGCCACAATAGCAGTGTCATCTGAGTATTTCTGGATGTGGCAGGACTCAGTGCTGTATTTGAAGTCTGACATATACCGTGTGAACAGGAATGGCGCCAGCAATGTCCCTTGTGGAGCCCCTGTACTGCTCATTAAAGTCCCAGAAACACAGTTCCTCAGCCTGACAAACTGTGGCCTTCCTGTCAGGTAATCTGTGATCCAGGAAACACAGGCTGGATCCACTCCCATCTCTGTGAGCTTGTCTTTGAGTATGGTGGGTTAGATGGTGTTAAATGCACTTGAAAAGTCGAAGAACATGATCCTCACATAGACCCCAGGTTCCTCCAGATGAGACAGGGCACAGTGAAGCATGTCGAGGACAGCATCATCCACTCCAATGTGTTCTTTGTATGCAAACTGCAGGGAATCCAGTTTGTCTTTGACCTCAGACCTCAGAAGGCGTAGAATCAGCCGCTCCAGGGTTTTCATGATGTGTGAAGTGAGGGCCACTGATCTGTAGTCATTGAGTTCAGCAGGACATTTTGTTTTTGGTACTGGCACAATGCAGGATGTTTTTCACAGAGCAGGTACCCGCCCCAGCTGTAGACTCAGGATGAAGATCTTGTGGAGAGGTTGACACAGTTCTGCAGCACAGTCTATAAGCAGCCTTGGACACACACCATCTGGACCAGCTGCCTTCCCAGGACAAAGTCTTCCAAGCTCCATCCTCACCCCTGTTTCAGTGACAGACAAGGACTGGTGTTCTAGGAGGGAGGCAGTTGAAGTGGTTGAGACATTTTAACAAGATGGAGGAGGAACAGGAGAAGTTGTAGTGGAGATTTGTTGTGCAGAGGAAGTTTGGAGTAGCAGTGGAAGTGGGTGACAGCAGTGTCAAATCTGTTGAAGAACAGGTTGAGTTCATTAGCTCTTTCCAGATCACCCACCACTGGCTGTCTTTTCGTTTTATTGTTGTGTCCAGAGATGGTACTGATTCCTCTCCACACTTCACGGATGTTGCTGTGTTGTAGATTCTTCTCTATCATCTTTTTGTACTCCAGCTTTGCTATCTTCAGTCTCCTCTTAAACTCTTGTTGAACTTGTTTGAGTCGTTCTTTGTCACCATCTTTAAAAGCTTTCTTTTTCTGGTTAAGGATTGCTTTTATGTCTCTTGTGATCCAGGATTTGTTGTTGGGGAAACAGCGAACAGTCTTTGTAGGTATAACTGTGTCTCTACAGAAGTTGACATAATCAGTAAAGCAGTCAACCTGTTTATCAATGTTCATACTATCCACATCTGTTTCCAGCAGCACATTCCAGTCTGTTGATTTAAAACAGTCCCTTAGAGCTTCACTGGCTTGAGGTATCCATCTTCAGATTTTGACTTTGGTCACAGGCTGCCTCAGCACACAAGGTCTGTAACAGGTTTCCAGATAGACCAAGTTATGATCTGACTTGCCCAGTGGTGGTAAGGCTGTGGCTGTGTAGGCTTCTTTGACGTTGGCATACAGCTGATCCAGGGTTTTGTTTTCTCTGGTAGGACAGTTCACCAACTTTGTGAATCCAGTCAGGTGAGAGGAGAGGGTGACATGGTTGAAGTCTCCTGATATTATTATTAGTGCCTCCGGGTGTTGAGTCTGTAGCCTGGTAACACTATTTTGCAAAACATCGCAACATTCTTCAGTTGATTTGGGTGGAATGTAAACAATTATTATGATATGACTAAATTCTCTAGGAACATAATATGGCTGAAGAGCAACTGCCAACAGTTCAATATCTGGACAACACAACTTCTCCTTGACAGTTATGAGTGAAGGGTTACACCATCTCTGGTTGACAAATTAAGCCAGACCTCCTCCTTTCTTCTTGCCACTAGCTTGAGCATCTCTGTCTGACCTTATAAAAGTGAAGCCAGGTAGATCCACACTGGAGTCTGAGTTGTTTTGATTCAACCAGATTTCAGTAAAACAGGAAACTGCACTCATGGTATGCTTTCTCAGTCTTCACCAATATCTCCAGGGCAGAGAGTTGACGTTTCCCATGACGATTGATGGGAGAAAGGGTTTATATCACCACCTCCTAGCATTCAGCTTTGCCTTCACCTTTGGACCAGCACGGCAACCACGATAACACCTCCTGGTGTCCTCTGGAATTGTATGTTGTTGTCTAGATTTGCTTTACCTCAATGAAAGGAGCTTTTCTCTTGAGTAAAGTCTTTGCCCAGCAGAAGTATCCATCAGCAGCCAACAAAATGACAATAAAAATATGAAAAAAAAATCTAGCAAAAATGACAGATAATGCAGAGACCAGACTTACAGCAACCTCTCAGTTCAAGCGCATCATTTTAGTGGTGCAGTGCAAACAATGCTACTGCACAATGTTGGTTTCAGGAAGTGGAGAAAAAAATTGTAATCACCGAGATCCATATACAAGGTTTCCACAGTCTACGGTTGATTCCAGCTATCACTGATAGTAAACACAAGGTCAAATCAGAGTTGAAAATGTGTCAAACATTGTTCACATGTACTAAATCAAGCTTGGCAGTAATAAAGCTGACTGGGAAAGCTAGTTCAATGTGTCTCCTTATTTTGATGGCAATGTTTAAACCAAGGCCAGAAAAGTAAAAAATTGCCTGGAATAACCCAGCCCTGGATAGCCCCATATGTATATCTACCCATGGGTGCTGGACCCGTTGTATAAAAGTGGAAGAAGTCCCACTCACTTTTTAAAATGGTTTATATGGACCCAGCACTTTTACAGTTTTACAAACAGTATATCTGTTTTTACACTTTGCACTTTTTCCAGAACATTAACTTTAGGATAGCCCTATGAATCTAATTTAGTTTTTTGTCTGCATCCTCAGATTTATTTTAGTCTTTTATTTTGCCTAGTTTCAATGCCCTTAAAGGTGGGGTAGGTATTCTGTTAAAGACGCATCTTTTTTGTGGTGTACAAAATAGCTTTTAATATCAGTCAATAGCTATTAGTTATTGATGACATTTGGTAATATAACGATATCGCTGTGTTTCGTTAGGTCTGTGTAGTCAACATTTTAAAATTTTTGAGCGGCCTGCTCTTTCTAACTGTAAACAAAGCCCCCCCTGATTGGTTGTTAGGTAGACGCTGCTCCCCCGTGTTGTTCAACAGCTGAAAGAAAGTTAGCGTGCTACAATATCGTAGCCTGGCTGGGCCATCCTGTTGTGATTCATGCAACAGGATGGCCCAGCCAGGCTAACAATATCGTACAGTAGAAGCAAGTAGCACAAGGCCTTTGTTTGTTGTTGTTGTTATTTTGACAAACAATCCATAAGATTCCTGAAATGTATTTTGCCTTTGATTTGTTACTCACAATAAAGTGTTGTTCATGATAACTACAATGGTCATTTCATACAGTCACAGAAGGGTGGCAGCTTGTGACTTGTACCCTGTCAACAGGATCTCCATATTACTATCTCCATATTTCTATGGTGACTGCAGTAAATAGGATGCATTGCTGATGGAGAGTCTGGCACTGCACCCCTAGTGGTAGGTTTGGCAACACATGCAAACTACGTGCTGCAGCTCTCAGTTCCACTCTGATTCATTGATAGCAGGAGTAGACAGCTGATATGAACCTCTCCATGGGGACTTGTGTTTGGTGTGATTATGTGGTGCGTGTGTAGATGATCAAAAGTAAGTGCTGTTGTGGACTTTCCTGTGAACAGAATCTTTACAACAATGTCTGTAACCAGACTACTGTGTTTAAGGCCATTTGTAAAGCTATCTGTAAGCTAGAGAGCTACTTAGCAGCTTACTACCATGACTCAGCAATTTTCTGTTTAGGTGTCCTGTAACCCTACTTAGCATCATTTATTTTACTGCCCAGTTATTTGTTGTATGACTGCCTATACAATTCAAGCTCTGTTGTGTTTCAGCTTCATGCAGCTATTATACATTGCTCACTTTACTGTAATTAGTGTCTACATTCCTCTTAACTGCTGTATTTAGTCAGGAATTACAATTTCCCTATTTATCTTGCTTGTTCATTGTAATGAGAAGTGTAATTTTAGTCAATGTGTGCAGTTCACCCTCTGTTTGTATCTGTTAATTTCAGACCACACATACACTCCCTCCCTTTACCCACCTAATTACTCAACATATGCCATCGCATAGATGCTGTCAAGAGAGACTAAGACTGTACCAGCAATAGTGGGACAAGAATTAAGTGTGGAAATTATACATTCTCTAGAGCCTGGTTCTCTAACTGGAGTCAATGCTCATATTGTCCGCTTCAACCAGTGTAAATTTTGGAGAGTGAGCTCTAGAATAATTGCTATAGCAACGCAGCTCACCTCTGTGCAGTTTAAATTCCAATTTAGGACCATGAAGCATGTTGAGCCCTGGGAAGAAACACAGGGAAGAAACACACAAAACAACTCTGTGTGTGAGAGTATGAGTCAGACTCTCAGCTTTATCCTTCTGTCTTGAAAACCTCATGTATTCACCTCAGCATTTCTTGATCCGACAATGAATCTCTTGTGTTTGCAATGTTTGCACGGAGACCTGGGTGACTCATGTCTGGGTAATTGTCACCCATTGTTTCTATCTCTGCTGTATCCAACCTGCATGGCCTTGTGGCATTTAACACTCCTGTGATACCTTTATACTCAGCCAGACAGGAAAAAATGCAAGCATGTAAACTCACACATGCTCAAATACATGAAAATACACTTATGCAAAGTAAAATAGGCAATGATTATGAGTATTGTTGCCACAAGTATCAAGCAATTCTAGACCACTGGCTTGCACAGTCAGTGTGCCCCTATTTCCTCCTGTTGTAAAAAAGTGACTCCAAACCATTGCAAAGAGTGCTGGCATACTACACTGGTCAAGGTCATAGAAGGTCAAGGCATGCGCAGCAGCAATTGGGTTTATGGAGCCACAGGGTTGATGTGATGTCACACCCCTTCTGCTGCTCAAAGAAAACCTTTAACTCATTAATAGCCTCTTTCACACTGCATTTCTGCAACAGCACTGTGACGAATTTTCACCATCACTACACCTTTGTACTTACATATTGCACCGGATAGTGGCATAGTGTGATTTCACATCTCGTTATGGCTGTTGCAGAAGCTGCAGGGGCAGGGCTTGTCAACACACAACAGGAGCGTGACACACAAAGACATTCTGATACACACACCAACATAGCATTGTTCTGTCATGCCAGCTTTAATGCTACACATTGCCACTCAATAATCCCTATTCCGGCTCTGTAACTACCTCAGAGGAAGGGTCAGAGGCAAAACAACTCCACTGAGGCTAAAAAATCCAGCCTTGAATTGGAAGTATGTAAAAGCCTGATAAAAAACCTTGGAGATCCTATAGGTCAGTACTATCCACAGCAGAATAGATCCTTGGCTCTTTGGTTAGATGCAGACACTCACAGGCAAGAGAGGTTTACATTTCCTCTCATTGCCCTTCTCCACTGTGGTATTTTGGTCAAGAGTGCTGCTATAGCCTGTAGATGTCAATGGAGCAGTTAATCATTACATCATATTCCTTTAAGAAAAATCAAATAACTATTCCAAACTCAAATTTAAAAAGTACTTGAAAAGAAATCTGCATGAGAAGAGCTAACAACTCTGACACATTAGAATAACTTTCTAGGATTCACATTAGAAAACCACCGCAATACAACCAATGGCTTTATGATACACTTCCTGACTAGAGGTCAAAACTGTTTACAAAAGCACAAAGTTTTTTTATACATCCTCTAAATTTGGCTCAAGATGTGCAACCAAGCAGCAATCTCTAGACTTGAGAGAAAAAGTCAATGCAGGGGTGCTAAAAATTGCTATTCCTTATTCTAAAAACACCATTTTCTGTCTGCTTCCTGGTGAGATATGTGTTTTTTGTCTCATTGGGTATTTCTATATCTACACAAACTGAATGGGGGGATTCTCACTTATTGGTCCTGACAATATATAACATTACAAGTTTTGCAACATTAGAGGCAAAGCTTACTTGACTGACAGGTGGGCACACTATAGCTGTAAGTGAAGCCCACCATAACTACACCTCTCAGCCCTTCCAAAATGGCAACCATTATGAGTGAGCTTCAAAACACAAAAAGCAATAGGTGATATCTCTGTGACTGTATCCATGTGTTCTATGCACGCAATAGATTCATACCTATTACTTCTGACAGGACGCACCCAAACCATTTCAGTAATCTTTGCCAGAGAGAAGCTACATCATGCAAAGATGCGCAGTACACCACTGCTGAGTATGCATTTATGATATGAAGTCAGCTGTGGTCTGTCAGCTTTTGTTGACAACCAAACTGAGAATTTTGTTTTCACTTCTTTGGCCATGTCTGGTGTATATTACCTCTCCATTTTTCCTGTGAAGCCACATAAAGTTACCTTATCAACAGCATTCACTCACAACTAAAGGTGTTCATTTGCTATCCACTAGTAATGCCAAAATCCATCACTCAGCAGTTCTTTGTTGTTGCTCAACCACTATTTACTGATCCATGAGTGTGTGTCAAGCACACAACTACACACATTTTCCAACATCAGTCTGCCTATGTAATATAGCAACAATATAGATTAGAGCCCGACCGATTTATCGGCAAGCCGATAGTTGAAAATGCTTTTCTGGTCTGAGTTTGATCAGTCGGTCTTCCTGTCGGCGTGAAGATTAGTAGCCTACAGTATAGTATACTGTTGATATCTACAGTACATACACATACATACAGTACAGGACAAAAGTTTGGACACACCTTCTAATTCAATGTCTTTTCTTTATTTTTTTATATGACTATTTACATTGTAGATTATCACTGAAGGCATCAAAACTATGAATGAACACATGTAGAATTCTGTACTTATAAAAAAAGTGTGAAATAACCGAAAACATGTTTTATATTCTAGTTTCTTTAAAATAGCCACCCTTTGCTCTTGATGACAGAAGTACCTTGTCAGGGTTACTTCAGGCACTCCTGTGAAGTAAAAACCATTTCAGGTGACTACCTCATGAAGCTCTTTGAGAGAACAGCTTAAGTTTGCAGCGCTATCAAAAAAGCAAAGGGTGGCTACTTGGAGAAATCTAAAATATAATACATGTTTTCAGTTATTTCACACTTTTTTCTTAAGCACATGATTCCACATGTGTTCATTCATAGTTTTGAGAATCTACAATTTAAATAGTAATGAAAACAAAGAAAATGCATTGAATGAGAAGGTGTGTCCAAACTTTTGGCCTGTACTGTATATATATATATATATATATATATATATATATATATATATAAATTATAACTTCATAAAAAAATTTAAAAATCGCCCAATTGGTAATCAGATGTTTCCCCCCCTAATAATCGATATCGGCATCGGCCCCAAAAAAATCCATATCGGTCGTGTCCTGGTATAGATGACTTTAAACACACACTTCAGCAAACATACAATGAGCCAGAGATGCATAACAAAAGATGCAGAGTACACCTGACCACAGGCTCCAGACAAAATGGAAGTGATGCAAAGGCAGGGAGATAGAAAAGCAGAAAGGGTCAGCTGGTTGTATCACAAGCACCATGTATCTACGGCTGAAAAATGAAACTGGAAAAACACACAGGCATACACACAGACAGGAAATTGTAGAGTCACATGTTGCTCCAAGCTGATGTTATTATAGAGGATCAATAGGTCTTTCCAGAGTAGAGAAAGTAACCATAACCTTGTGTTTTCCCATCCAGCGTCCTGTCAGTCAGATGTTAGGTGTGACAGCAGCCTCTGTTCGCCTACTGCTGTAATTAACAGGGAAGTATGACAATGTCTAATATCACTGTAAAGGGCCAAGCAATCAACTGACTTTATAAGCCTACTGTTTTTTGATAGTGTGAGACCAATGAATGTAGCTCCAGCATAAGTTCTGTCAGGAAGACAATAATTGCCATCACAGCTGCTTAAGTGTCTTTTCCAAATTCATGATCACTCACTTTTCCTGCTGTCATCACTCAGTGCAGTCATTGGTTAATGAACCATTCATCGTTGTCTTCTTTATCCAACAGTATGGTAAGAACACCAGAGGAGCAAAACGCCAGCTGCTGGTAGACAGAACAGTCGCTTGAGACTGCAGAACCAGACAGACTAATCTGTGCACTGCCTGGATTGATTATAAGAAAACCTATGACCCAATGCCACATACCTGCCTGAAGCTGTAAAAGGTCAACAAGACTCTAAGAGAATCCACCCTTGAGGCCAATAGCACAAGTCTCCATCAAATGTGGCATATATCAAGGAGATGCTCTGTCCCCACTGTTGTTCTGCATAGGCTTGAATCTCAGCCAAATAATCAGCAAGTCCGGCTATGGATACCGACTCCGAAATGGGATCACCATTAGCCACCTCTTACATCAAGCTGTATGCTAAAAGCGAGCGAGACATCAGCTCACTGACCCACACCACCAGGATCAACAGCAGTAACATTGGAATGTCGTTTGGACTGGAGAAGTGTGGCCAAATGGTGACGAAAGAGGGAAGGTAGTCCAAACAGAGGGCATTACACTACCAGAGGGCAGAATAGCGGATGTGGAGAAGAACTACAAATACCTTGGCATACCACAGGCAAATGCAACCATGAAGAGGCCACAAGAAAATCAGCAATGGCCAAGTACGTGAAGCGAGTAAGGCAGGTCCTAAAGAGGTAGCTTAATGCAGAAACAAAGTTTGGGCAATTAACAGCTATGCACTTCCAGTGATCAGATACCCTGCTGGAATAATAAGCTGGCCAAAGGAGGAAATTCTGGCCACCGATGTTAAAACTCTGAAGTTGTTCACCATGACCAGTATCCAGAGGCTATACACTAAGCACAAAGAAGAAGGCAGAGGTTTAGTGAGCATCAGACCCACTATCCAAGATAAAACATCCAAGCTCCATGACTACGTCAGGAAGATGGCCCCAAAAGATGGAGTGAGTGTCTCAGACAATGGAAACTCACAGGGAAGGAGGAACCAGAGGAACCATCATGGGAGGAAAACCTCCTGCATCGGATGTACCACCGACAGATAGTTGAAATGGCTGATATGAGCAAATCCTACCAATGGCTGGAGAGGGCTGGACTGAAGGACAGCACAGAGGCACTAATCATGGCGGCACAAGAACAGGCCTTAAGCACCAGAGAAATAGAGGCCCAGATCTACCAAACCAGGCTAGATCCCAGGTGCAGGCTGTGCAAAGATGGCACTAAAACAGTCCAACACCTAACAGCGGGATGTAAGATACTGGCAGGAAAACCATACATGGAACACCACAACCAAGTAGCTGGTGAAGTGTACAGAATTATTTGTGCAGAATATGGACTCGAAACCACAAGGTCAAAATGGGAGGCACTTTACAAGGTGATGGAGAATGACTGAGCAAAGATCCTGTGGGACCTCCAAATACAGACCAACAAAATAGTAATTGCCAACCAACTGTACATTGTCATCATAGAAATACAGTAGAATAAAGCTGTTGTGGTAGATGTTGCCATCCCAAGTGATACCAATATCAGGAATAAGGAACATGAGAAACTGGAGAAGTACCAAGGGCTCAAAGAGGAGCTAGAGAAAGCCTTGAAGTTATAGATATAACTAATATAACTAATATATACATATCTATATATATATATACCACTGTGGTATATATATATATATAGATAGATAGATAGATAGATAGATAGATAGATAGATAGATATGTGTGTGTGTGTGTGTGTGTGTGTGTGTGTGTGTGTGTGTGTGTGTGTGTGTGTGTACATCTTTGAGTATATAAGACTTTGAGTTGCAGGTTTGATGGGTCGAGTTGCAGCACGATAGCCATTACTGATACTTCAGAATAAGAAAAAGAGGCTTGCGTGGGCCATGAAACACTGCCAATGGACTACTGAAGACTGGAAGAAGGTGTTGTGGACTGATTAACCAAAATTTGAAATCTTCGGTTCATCACAGGATTTCTGTATGCCATCGAGTAGGTGAAAGGATGGAAAGCAACCTACAAGTGCCACACATTTATGGAAACTTCTGCAACAGAGTTGGGAGAACTTTCTGAAGAATATTTGATTTCCATTGTCGAAAGAATACCATGAGTGTGTTCAGCTGTCATATCTGCCAAAGGTGGCTTGTTTGATAAGTCAAGTGTAGAATACATTTTCATTTTAATTTCAATTGTTTATTCGTTCTATGCATTAATTTTAGAGTAAAGTGAGGTATTAAACTGCATCATTTTTAATAAAATTCTGGAAAAGATGGGGTGTTGTAAAACTTGACTAGTGTGTATATATATATATATATATATATATATATATATATATATACATACAGTATATGTGTGTATACACACACTACAGGCCAAAAGTTTGGAAGCAAGGCCATCACAGGCCAAATGCTATAATTCATGGTGGTGACAACGTGGAAATTTGTGTCAGGTCTGAAAGTACTTCACAAGGGACTGGTGATAGCGAGGGTCAGAATGCAGGACAGGACGAGTCGGCGAGGCAAGGGTAATTAATTAATTAGTTTCCAATTAGGAGCATAACAACGCAAAGCCGACGTGTACGTGGTTTTTATTCCTCTTTCCAGATCTTCTCAAAAACACAGAGCCAGTGGCTTTGACAAGCAATGGCTCAATCAATTTACCTGGCTCAGGCATACTGAGGAAGGCATGCACTGCTATTTATGCCAAAAGCACTGTGCCCCAACACAGCAGGCAATTGCTGCCTCCTTAGTGAGACAGCCATCAACCAACTACAGGCTGGACACAATAAAAAGACATGAGGTGACAGCCATTCACAAAGCAGCAGAAGAGAAGGAGAAGTATATTAAAAATGGTAGTACCTAAAAAAAACTCAACTAATAAAGTTACAAAAACTAAAATAACATAGTTTAGATAGTTTAAGAAATAATTGCTTGTCGTTTTTTTTTAGGGAGGACACTGCAGCGTATACATATATATAATATATGATTGAAAACACTATCACTCTTTATGTCTGTATCAGAATAAAAACAAAAATACTTAATGCATGATGAATTGTTTTGTTTAAGGTGAAGACACCTCTGTGGAACAGACTGAAGGAGAGGCACTTGGATGTCTGTTGTAAGGTGGCCGTTGATGGACCAGACCAGCAGGCCTTGGACTACAAGGAGTGCATGAGGAGGTTCTACAGAATGAAAAAGAGGAGGCTGAAATGTTCTGTCTGGTTGCGAGATGTGTGGATGAAGTGTACTTTCAATTTAAAGTTGCCAGCTGATTTGTGTATGTATATAGTTTTAACAAATGAACGCTTTAACATGATAATGGTCACACTCTTTTTTGAACTCTTAACTTAAAGTATGTTGCCTGTAAAAGAAAGTGAGTCGGTTGAATTTACAAATACATGCACGTCATGGCGCATGGTCAGGATGGTGCCACCTCTGCCTCAATTTGAGCCAGGAAAAACCCTGATAGCCAAAAATACAATAACCAAGAAAGGTACAAAATAACACACACATAGAGATGCACCGATCAATCAGCCGCCGATTTAAAAAGCCGGTTTTATATCCAACCGGCCCCAACCGGTGACCGGCCGGTCACTGTCGTAATTTGCCGGTTTTCCCCGAGCAAACTGACCCGCTTGCGCATGCGCGGTGCGTATCAGCTCAGCGCAAAACAGCTAAAAACTAGCAAGACTCGGGAAGCAACATGTCGGTAATATGGACTCATTTCACTGTGTGCCAGAGCGACCCAAAACACGCTGTTTGTAATTCTTGCAAGTCAAAAGTCAGCCGTGGAGGATCAACGCCTAAGACATTTGGAACAACAAACTTAATACGCCACTTGGAAAAGAAGCACCCAGGCGTGTTTAGCAAATATAAGGACGACACTGCCGCTAAGAGGAGGGATGCAGCAGAGTCGCAGCGACCACAACAACCCTCCGCCGTGGCTCCTATATTCGACACCAACACTGAAAAATCAAAAGCCACAACTAGGAAAATAATGGAGTTCATGGCACTGGACGACCAGCCGTTTAGCGTAGTACAGGATAAAGGCTTCGTAAATCTAATGAAACACCTGAGTCCACGGTACAAATTACCAAGTCGGCGGTATTTTTCTGACACAGCGCTGCCAGAGTTGTTTGAGAGCGTTTCAAGCCACATACACAAACTGCTGGACACCACTAAATCCCCGGCCAGTTTCACAACGGACATTTGGACTTCTAAAGTGAGCTTAATGTCAATGTTGAGCCTGACTGCTCAGTGGCTGGATGATGAGTTTGAGCTACATCAAGTCCTTCTACACTGTGAAGAATGCCCCGGGTCCCACACCGCCGACAATCTAAGAGCCAAATTTGAAAAAATGTTGGCGCAGTGGACAATCGACAAGAAGAGGGTTCATGTCGTGTTACGTGACAACGCTCGGAATATGACCAAAGCACTGGATGATGGCAACTTCCCCAGTCTCCCGTGTATGGCACATACACTCCAGTTAGCGGTGAGTGAGGGACTGCAGTCTCAACGCACTATCACTGATGCTGTGGCAACAGGCAGGAGAATAGTCACGCACTTTAAACACTCATCGCTAGCCTATTCAAAACTCCACGCTATCCAGGAGGAGTTGGGTCAACCCACTAAGCGCTTGCAACAAGATGTCCCGACGAGGTGGAACAGCACATTTTATATGTTGCAGTCGCTGTTGGAACAGAAACGTGCCCTGGGCTTATACGCAACAGAACACGAGCTCCCGGCCGTACTCACCACAAATCAGTGGGGTTTAATTGAGAACGTGGTGAGCATCCTTGAACCTTTTGAGGAACTCACTAAGACAATTAGCGTCTCGTCAGCCACCGCCGCAGTTGTCATCCCTGAAATCACTGCACTGAAGCGCCTTTTGGGGAGGGCAGCAGACACAGACCGTGGTGTGGGCACTGCCAAAGCCACGCTGTTGGAAGTGGTCCAGAGAAGGTTTGCAGACATCGAGAAGAATCCACTGTACGCTGTTGCCACTGCTCTGGATCCCAGGCAAGTTATAACTTACTGCTAATAATGTTTATTAGCCCACTACTATTCTTAAATGAATAAGCATTTGCTACTGAGCTATAGGCTAATGTGTTTGCAGGGGTATATCAAAACATGACATTAATTAAAACAAAAAAATGTATTCTTTGTTGGCCTTTTAGTGCCTGCTTGTGTATGTGCAGAGTGCACAACATTTATATATTGACCGGCTAATGTGGCTATATAATAAAAATAAAATTCTTTTTGTCTGTTGATACAGATACAAAACCTGCTACTTCTCAGCAGAAGTAAAGGATGAAGTGAAAAGGGTGCTTCTGCACATGCTGGACACAGTGGACACCAGTGCCAGCAGACCCACACCTGATCAGCCTTCTGTGAAACTTGCAGCCAAAAGGGCAAGTCTACTGCTTTCGGTGCATGATGAGATACTGAAGGAGGGTGCTAGCAATGAGGAAGAGCAACTGCTGTGCAGCCCTTCATCTGTGCAGTTACATCGTTACCTGTCCGAGTTGCCCATCAAGAGATCTGAAGATGAAACTGTAAATGATGTACTGAGATACTGGCACGAAAACAAAACACACTACCCTGCACTTGCCCCACTTGCCCAAGCCTACCTCTCTGCTCCATGTACAAGCATCGATAGTGAGCGCTTGTTTAACTTGGCTAGTAATGTCATAGATGAGAAAAGAAACAGGCTTTCTGGTGAGAAGGCAGAGATGCTTCTGTTTGTGAAGAAGAACCTGCCATTGATGGTTAGGTGATTTCATTGGGAGTGGGACGGAGTACTTTGTTCACAACCTAAAGCTACCTGTTTGTATTAATGTCTTTTTTTATCCCATATTATGACGCACTTTTTTATTTAGAGATGTCAAGAGAGGCCAAAGGCCTGAAATGTGGTGCAGTTCACTTTAAGAACCAGTTTTCACTTTCAAGTGCATATAGTGCACTTTATCTTTTGTTTGTATTAATATTTTAGTTTTATCCTATATTATATGCTGCACTTTTTATTTTGAAATATTAAAAGAGGTGGTGCAATTTACTTTGAGCACCAGCTTTAATTTTCGAGTACAACGATTTCATTGCACTTTATTTTTTTAGATGGAGTTCAAGTTTTAACTTGCAACACAACTTAAGTTGCAGCAACTGCTGCTTGTGTTAAGGTGTTGTTGAAAGCCTGCAATATATTGAATGTGATGTGACATTGAAAGTCAACTATTCCAGTGTTTCTCAAATGGAGGTACAAGTACCCCTAGGGGTACCCAGAGGTACTGGAGGGGCAGTCAATAAATTACATTGTACCAGGCAAATGCTGGGACGTTTTTGAATGTTGTTTGAATGTAAGTTCTGTAAACTGGACTGAATTTTATGGTCAGTGTTGAAAATAAATCTGCTCAGGAGGCACTGTTGAAACTCTCACTCTATTTCTTATTTGTGAGGTTTTATTCTTGAAAAGGGGGGTTATGATCGCATATAGCCTACCATTAGTTGTGGTTTTAATTGCAGTTATATACGCAAAATTTTGTCTGGGAGAGGGGTACTTGTATTAAATTTGAGAAAGGGTACTCAAGCCAAACAAATATGGTGTCTATTATATGATTATAATTATTTCTTAGATAGAAAATCGGTATCGGAAAAACCGGTTTTGGCAGGTCAGACCTCCTTTAAAACCGGAAATCGGTATCGGCCAAGAATTTTGCAATCGGTGCATCTCTACACACACACACATAATAAAGTACTCATATTTTAAAAAATCAGGGGTTTTTCAGGGTCCTCTAGTCCAGTTTTTTTGCTATTGTGAATCTACCATAACCTGCCCATATAAAATAAGGCTGCAAGCGTTTTTTGTTTGTTTCCAAAAAGAACTAAAATGAACAAAAAAAAATTGTGTAAATGAATCTCTGCCAACTGTTGTAACTCAAGTATAAAATCAAAATCCTCCTTAGAAAGGGGTAATAGCTCCGTTTACTTTAGATATGTAGTCACAAAAATAATTCATAAATCCACTTGATTCCGTAATACAATTTAAAGGTGAGTATACTTAAAAAGAAATCTCAGATCAACTCAATAAAAGCAGTTTGGCTTAGAAAGTCACAGCTATGAATGATCAAGGATATGTATCCTTCCTTTTAAGGCCAGAGATTGTTGCCTGGGTGCAGCAGCCTTTTCCTCTTTACCTTAATGGTGAGCATAAAAGATTCTGTTAATTGTTTTTTTTTTTGTTTGTTTGTTTGTTTGTTTTCAGTTTTTGTTTTGTTTTTTTTCAGTTTTTGGATGACATATCTAATTGGTATCAAATGCTGCTGCACTGCTACTGCCTCACAAACAACTGTATTGCATGTACTGCACTTAGTATTTGGACTGTATTTGCACTCTAGTTAAAAAAATATTCACTCTGTTGACATTTTAGTCAGAGGGTAGTTAATGCTAAATTACTTGTGCTCTCAAGTTCTACTGCATATTTTATATGATTGAGATTAGATAATCCGCTGAAACTGCCAAACCCTGTCCAGCAAAAAAAAAAAAAAGCCCAGATTGTCTTTTAACTGATATAGCTGAGGTATGGATCAGGAGATCCCAAGATCCTAACATTAGCTTTTCTGTAGTAAAAAAAGAAATCCTTCACAACACTGAACCAGGCCTTACACCAATGCCAGCAGTCATATAAGAGCCGCACACTTTAAGTATGCAGCTGTTAAAGATAAACAATTACTTGCATCACTCTTTATCAGTATCACCATGAAAATTTATATCAACCAATATTCGAGTTGGTATGGGAGAACAAAAAATACAAACATCTCTCAATTCAACAAAAAACATAGGCTGCAACATGTAGTCATGAATGAATTAAATTTGGTTAAAGGCTGACAGTTGAGGTTACATAGCCAAACTGAGCTGTCACTGTCACTAGCAGTCTTGAATGTGCCCATTCAACTCTGCCTGTTTGTGTCTTTCCATTCACATGCTACATTGCTCTGCTGTAATGTATGCCAACAACAATCAATGGAAACTACACTATATATAGATTTAGCAAAATACACAAGTTTACAGACAAACACAGTCAGTGACTATGATGCAATAACTCATCTGGCATGACCCCAGAGTGCCATGTGGCCAGCAGTAATGGGAACAAGCTCATACACAGCACACGTTGGAAACTGGTCCTATTGATTGTACAAGACCTGCTGGCATTTACAGAGGACTAGATAATGCAGATAGGTCTAAACTTGTTCAACATCACATTTCCTTATTTCCACATTTTTGTCTCCTCTTCTCCTGACTCACATCGGTTCAGAAAATGTCTTTGTTTGCCAACAGCAAGACTTTTTTGGCAAACATATCTGTAAATTATTGGTATACTCTGTTCTATCAGCCAGTCAGAAGGCACTGATTGCCTAAATCTTCAAAAACAGACTGGTGGTGAAAAGTCATGGTCAAGCTTTAAGCTCTTGCTTTTGCAGAACAGCACAGACAGCCTTATTTTGTTCATACATTGATTGCATCTAAAGCATGAAGGACATTGAGGACTTCCCTGGCTGCCTTTTCATATCAGTGCTGAAGGCAACAGTTTATGCTTCACCTTAATATGTACTGAGCGTTCTTGTAATAGGTAGTGCAGCTAAGAAAAAATAATACACTTCCTGTCACCACGTCAGACATGGCCAAGAAAGTGTTTTGTTTTTCTCCTTTCAAATTAGAAATCATTATAATATGTTAACTGCCGGTCTCTACAACCCAAAGTGTCCTTGAACAATTAACAAACACCTAAATCTCCACAAATCAGTAGCCCATAACTGAATCTTTGAGTTTGGCTCATTTGGAGTGTTATAAAGATGTGACTACACCATAACTGCAGGGTTATGGGCTCTCCCAAGAAAAGACAACTCCGATAGTAGACTGGTAAAATAATGTCCATGACTTCCTTTCTCTTTACCTATTGTTTATTTTAGTCAAGAATTAAAGGTACGACGGTGAACATGTGACACATCCAAACCCGCTCTTGTACATATTAACATGTTGGTACAAAGAGACAAATAATGTCCTCTACTTACCCTGTAATGTTTGGAGGAAAAAATAGCCTTGCTCCTTACAGCTTCTAAGGGAAAGTATCTTCTCCGCTTTTCAGCTATTATCACGGCAGTGTTCAGGTCAAAGACTGCTCCTCCCTCATGTGAAATAACCTTCCCGCTAACTCACCTCTCTCTCTGGAAGAAGATGAATGAACCGCTGCGTCTCCCTTGCCAACACACTTGCATAAAGGCCGCCTCCCCTGTGCGATGATTAGCTGGAATGCTGTTCAAAGGTAAGTACTTGTCATCTGATTCGACGAGGCCCCTTGTCAATAACAATCTGAGACCGCGCGTGCCCGTGCCCTCGCGTCCTCTCCGTAGCAGCCGTTCGCGCGTGCACAGAGGAAAAGGGATGAAAATAATAAACGGCTACACTGCAAAAGCGAGCAGGGAAACGCACATGATTGTCGCATCATTAACTTATCTGTTTGCCCTGAACCTTTCACTCAAGTCCATCTGATACTACAATATATTGAACATCGAACATAGAAAATGTTGGTTATGTCAGCACCAGGCTGATTGACTTCATTAACTTAAACAAACAACTCTAACGGAGAACACATAAAGCCATCTCTAACATCAGTAAGAAGACTTGCTTGGAGTCTCTGGGCACAAATATTTACACAATAACCCAATTAAAACACATGTATAAACACACACACACACACACACACACACACACACACACACACACACACACACACACACACACACACACACATATATATATATATATAGTTAGTTATAGTTATGCATGTTAGAAGTTTCTTCTTGACACTTAAGCTAAAACTGGATCTTTTTGCTTGAGAATTAACTCAAAGAGTTAAGAAGGATTTTAAAATGGAGTATTACAGCCATCTTATGGATGAAAAAAGCTACATTTTGAGATTGAAGTCATGACTTATTGGAAATCAGTCACATTGTGACAAGAATAAAATTGTTCTGTTATGATAATAATGGTGTTATGCAATGAGAGTAAAGCTGTTTTGTCGTGAAAATAATGTGATTTTGGTCAACAACAAGCCTGTGCTCTGTAAATATTATTTATCTGTGAACATTTTCATTAGGAAAGAAAGAAGTGGTTATTTTAACACCTTTGTGAATGCATCTCATCTGCAAAACTTATCACCTATTAGGAAGGTTGATATTAGATTATTCTGCAACCAGCGTTACCATATCTTCATGACAGTGTTTTGAAATGTTGGTCCAGTGTTCTGTGTGTACAGCCTGCATATTATGCTACAGTATGCCATAGTTAGGGTGTGAACAATTTTGGTCCCTGCAGAAAAGCTAAACAATGAACCTACATAAGTGAACTGACATGGATGGCTTTGTTAAAAATACAAATAACATATCTATTGCACAAAGCAGTATTTACTCTTCCGGCTGAAAAAGAAGAGGTGAGTTTATCATCAAAGGAATGGCCTCCTTAGTATGGGGGACTCTCTCAATGGCACAAGTCTCATTTTATAGAAGAAATTCTTTTGCAATTTTCTTCTCATTGGAATTATTTTGCAGGTTTTGACATCCCAACTCTAGCAGAGACCGATCTTTTCCTCCATGGTTATACAATTATTTCAACTCTGGTGCATTATTGATTAATTTTGTGCTGACATGGTTTTACACTCAGTGGTTATTATTTGAAAAATCTATTGACCATAGCATCCATTATTGTTTTATATGAGTTTACATAAGTAAACTACTTTAACAATAACTCGTGTCTAAAATTCTATTGTACCCATACCTTCATGAATACCTTGTGGTATACCTGATATCAAATTTGTATTATTGCTTATTTATGTGAGGAGGTGGGATTTAGTTGCATTGTTTTTCTGTTTTTCTCAATTCATTTGTTTCTCAATTCACCATTTGAGCTCAAAAACAACACAGAGAGAACAAAAGCAATTCTTTAATGCCTCCTCAAAAAGATTTAATCAAGTTAGTTATGATAGTTATGAAGCACAGAACTGCATTCTATAAAAATGCTCTACAGCAGTCCAACGAGGGGAAATGTGAATTTGTGTGATGCAAAATGTAGAAAGAATATGTTTCCATCTGATGAGTGAAGGTCAGCCTGGACCTTTGAATGTTACATAAGCAGCAGCACAAGGTAAACGTCTATCAAACTGAAGAACCTCTGCAACTCCCACTTATGTGATTCTATAACGTGTGTGTGTGTGTGTGTGTGTGTGTGCGTGTGCGTGTGTGTGTGTGTGTGTGTGTGTGTGTGTGTGTGTGTGTGTGTCCTTCAATCCAAGGTAAGCATCACTGACTCAAAAAGAGACCGGAATGAAATCATAAAACAACCAGTCAGCCTAAAGTCATTTAAGAAGACTGAGGGTGGCGACACAGAAAAACAAACAACTCCTGCTGTATTGTCTACAAAAAATGTCATACATCACATTTAAATTATTCTAAATAATGAATTTTATCCTGATACTGCAAGCAGCCTCAAACAAAGCTTTCTTTAAATTTTCAATTGCAAATTCATATTGTACACTCAAAAAAGACTATCTTTAACTAACTTCCAGCACTGTGTATTTCATGTTTATAATTATCTCAAAAGAGTTGGTGTCAACATAATAAGCCCCCTGTAGTCCAAAAATTTGAGAATGTACAGAGCAAAGTGAAAATATTTAATTTTGCTTGCTCAAAGACTATAAAAGCGGGGGTCAACTAACTTGGATGCACAGCACAATCAGTGAAAAGTGAGGTTTGAGACTTACAGGGGGTATTCTGGTTTATTGTCATTATGCTAAACTAGGCGAACTAGCTGCTGGCTTTGGCTTTATATTTAATGATAAAATGAATGTGTATATCCTTAAATGCAACGTCACAAACTCAACACACACAATATTGTAATTCAAATATGTATAATTGAAACCTTGGTAATTGATATAAAATGAATGTCTGGCTCTAATTGAAAAATGCTTTATTGAGATGGCATGAATATAGGATGAGGCTCTTTTCTTTTTATCTCTATGAATATTAATGAGTGTGTGTGGGTGTGTGTGTGTGTCCATCAGCAACGGAGAGTTGCCACAGGAGACAATCCATCCAGTATATCTTCACCCTCTCATCCCTTTCTTCTTTCTTTCATCTCTCCTGTCCGTGGTAACCAACCTGCCATTAATATCTACACTTTGGCACTGTTCAGTATTTTACTTTCATAGATTCCTTTTATGACCACTTTTGATACTGGTAATTGTTTATAAATTCATAGTCAGTGTACTGGGAAAAAAATCAAAGCAAATCTGGAGGCTAGAGGCCCATTCCCCCAGCAAGAGGTGATAAAATCTTATTCATGTTAATTGACAGTCAGATTGACAGCCGGATAACAAAATTTAAACCTCCACTCACTCCCAGTGTGTGTCTGAGGCTCTGCATATGTGGTGTGTAATTCCCTGTGATAACTGTCTAATTGGCCTTTACACAGCCCACAAAGGACAGCCCTTCTTCTGACTTTCCCCCATCTTGCCTTCTTCTTCTTTTCTGTTTTCCAATGCCACTTCTGCTTCCTCTGTCTTCTTGTTTCTTTCTCAATTTAACCTTGATTAATTCAGAAAATTAAAATGAAAGTAAACGACCAGCGTTGCCAACTCGCAAGCAGCTTTCCTAGAAGTTTCTGCGTGCGTGTGTGTTTACTGTTGTTTACTGTTTACTGTTTACTGTTGACACACACCCACTACCCGTTTAGAACACTGATGCCTGTTTTCACATCAGAGACTCCAAACTCCGGAAAAAGTCACTCGATTTGTCACTGGGCGCTTTTTTTGTTTTTTAAAAACTTGCCAAATCTAGTGACAAAGTTGCTAGGTTGGCAACACTGTTAGCAACTCCAATGTAGTCATAATGAGTTTATCTTTATTATCAATGCTGATTAAAAGTATTATTTATATTATAACATTAATTTCCCCAAAAGATGGTATGCCGTGTAAAATGTTGTTAAAAACATATTTTAATGGTTTGCAAATAATTGTAATCCCTATTGGCTAAGTTAAAAAAAGGGCGTGTCAGAAAGGCTTAGTCCCACAGAGATGGGAATGGGTTCATCACTTAGTTAAGTAATTTTAGAAAATTTCTCTCTGTACTAAATTACAAAACGGGGAATTTCATCATCTTCATTTTACAGTATGACCAAAAGGACCAAAGGATCCAGAGAAATTTGTGTAAAAGAAGGTCCATACCAAGATAATATATTGGCTGGAAGGCTTCTTTGGCCCTCAGGTGACACTGCATTGTATACAGGCATGTATTTGTAGTGAAGAACCCTGCATGGCCTCAAAATGATTTGACAAAAAAAAAAAACAGTTTGTTGCTGTGTCCACAGATGCTGGTTTAAACCAAACCATGCAAATAAAAATCTCTGGCAACTTCTCTTCGGCTGAGCCCATTTAAGATGGATCACAGCTAAATAGAAAACTGTCCTCTGTCTGACAAATCATAATCATTCAACATTCCTCTTGCCAATGGAGATCAGAAAGAATAAATGTTAGAAAGGAAAGAATATAATTGAAACCATATGCTTGGCTCTAAAACAGAAGGGACCACCTAATTTCTTATCAGTTGTGACATTGAGTTGGAGTGAGGCTTAGCCACGAATGCTGTTGGTCTAGCTCGGGCATAAAATAAGGTTGTGAGGAAGGAGGCGAAGTGGAGAGATTTTCACACTGTACATTTATTTTACAGAATATGGACCAAACAAGCCAGGTCTCACTGTAAGAACTGTAACTCAACAAAACAACAAACAGAGAACAAAGATGCCCATGGCCTGTAGCCCTCACCAGCGTCCACATCACTACAGTCAAGGGAAGAGACTTTGTCAACACAGCATTCCAACTTCTTAGGGTGAAATTGTACATTTTTCTCTGTGATGGTTTTATTGCCATGCTGTTTCCACTGAAAGACCTCAGTGATGAAACTGCTACAAAATGGGGGAAATGACTGAAGTTGGTCATCTGCAGGGTTATCGGTGGATGTATCAGCGGGTCATTCAGAGAGATTTTGTGGTTTCTCAAAATGCTCCATGGCCCTTACGACTTTATTCTCGTAAATTCACGACTTTGATCTCGAAGTCTTTAAAAAAAAAATTTCAATACGGCCCTCATACTCCTTCATACAAAACAATCATTGGATGAATTTTGTGGGAATGATCTGTGCTTGTATGTATCTATTGTTTTGTGTCTATGCAAGGTTGCACTAATAAAAAATAATTGCTGCGCTCCACGGCTTTTCTTCAAGTCAGTCGTGACGTGAGCCTGAGGGCAGGGACATTTGGCAACTCAACCAGGAAGTCATCCGAAGGGTAGTCTGTCCCATTTCACAAAAACTAGACCATCTCACTCAGGGTACTCAAGTCCACATAACGGCAATGCGCTCAGCTAAGCGCGCTTGAGCGCACTCAGCCTGATGCGGTCTCTGAAATGAGACACAGCCCCTGAGACACAGGTGCAGACAATAACTGAGGAGGGAAAACTAAGGAAGTAAAACAAGACTATACACACAAGGATGGACTACAAAAAAAAAAAAAAACACTGAAAACTGATCTAAAGTATAAAACACTAAGAACAAGAGGGAAACATAAAATGAAACTCACAAGACAGGATCACAAGGAACAGGAACAATAGGGAAAATAAACCAAAAATGCACTCAAATAACAAAACCAAGAGAAAGCTAAATTAACATTAAGTGTCATGACAGTTTCCTTTCTGTAAATGGTATTTGGTTGAACTGCTGCATACAGCAGTTCAACCACATTCCTTGAAGTAATAATCACCATAATAATCATTTTGCACTGCAGACGCGGTAGTTCTTCTGCCTTAGCATCTTGGTCTGATTGCATTCCCATAAAGAAATGATCATAAATGTTCTTCCTTGGGCTGCGCCACCCCGCAGCAGTCCGTAACAGACTGGCCTGAGGTCTCACTATAAACAAGCTGCTACTGGAAAGGAGCGGGTGAGTTGTGTTTTGTCTCTTTGCTAAAGAAATTAGGCAAAGTTTAAAAAAATGTTTGGTGGCTAGTGCTACAGCTGGGACCCGATACAGTTGAAACTAGAAGTTTACATACACTATATAAAACAGCAACCAACCTTTTTTTCCTCACCATCTAATATTCAATCAGATCAAACTTTCCTGTTTTTGGTCAATTAGAATTATTTTTATTTGCTAAATGCCAGAATAATGACAGAGAGAATTTTTTAGACATTTTTTTTTTTATTACTTTCTTGAGAGTCAAAAGTTAACATACATTTCATTAGTATTTGGTAGCTGCCTTTGAATTGTATGACTTGGGTCAAACCATAGACCTTGTTTGCACATGACATTTCAGTTCTTCTCATAAATTTTCAATAGGATTGAGACCAGGGCTTTGTGATGGCCACTTCAAAACATTGACTTTTTTATCCTTACGCCATTTTTTATGCTTAGGGTCACTGTCCATTTGGAAAACCCATTTGTGCCCAAACTTTAACTTCCTGGCTGATGTCTTGAGATGTTGCTTCAGTATTTCCACACAATGTTCTTCCCTCATGATGCCATCTATTTTGTGAAATGCACCAGTCCCTCCTGCAGCAAAACAACCCCACAACATGATGCTGCCACCCCCATATTTCACAGTTGGGATGGTGTTTTCAGGCTTGCAAGCTTCTCCTTTTTTCCCTCCAATGTAACAATGGTCATTATGGCCAAAAAGTTCTATTCCAGTTTCATCAGACCACAGGACATGTCCCTGGCCCTGTGTGCATTTGCAAACTTTAATCTGGCTTTTTAGGTTTCTTTTGGAGTGATGGCTTCTTCCTGGAAGAGTGGCCTCACAGCCCATGTTGACTCCTTTCACTGTTAATAATGACACACTCTTACCAGCTTCAGCCAGCATCTTCACAAGGTCTTTCGTGTAATGGGTATTGACTGGACCCAATTGCAGCACAAACAAGCAGGTTCACTTTAACGGTCTTTATTTAACACCAATTCCAATGAAGCAGCAGAGTATAGCAGGTGGGTTTGGCAGGATTCGAACTCGGGTCTTCTGGGTGATAGGCGAGCAGATTAGCAGTGGACCACAGGTCAGACAAGAATTTTGGACTTGTGAGCAGGGAATTGTCCACAGTCTTAATTTGCTCTACGAGTGTAGTGAAGGGGAAAACGCTCAACTCACAGCTGGAGGAAGATTTCTTGGAGAGTGGTTCAGGTGAGGATCCAGAGCTTGCAGAGGAGCTGGCAGAACCAACGTCGGCAGAGGAGGTGAGTTGGCGAGGTGAAGCTGACGAGAAGGGGGATCTCAACAGAGCAGGAACAGGCTGAGTGCCATTCAGCCGCAGGCAGACGAATAGCAGGAAACAGGCAGGCAGAGCTCGTAGTCAAGGACAGAAGGCAGGTAGGTTTACCGGGGCTGAGGCGTGAAGCAAAGGTCAGGGGCAGATCAGGTCGATAACAGGTAAGCAGTCCGAGGATAAACGCTGGAGAGTCAGGCATGAGAGCGAAGACAATATGGCAAAGAGTGAGGGGAAAGAAGCTGCATATATACTGGCCTGATTGGAGATGATGAGCAGGTGAGAGCAGCAGGTGGAAGCAGTTAGCTGATGAGGGGTGTGGCTGAGCAGCAGAGCAGGAGAGGGGCAGAGCAGACTGTTACACTTTCGCTGTTGTTCTTGGGTTGATATGCACATTTTGGACCAAACCACGTTCATCTCTGGGACACAGAACCTGTCTCCTCCCTGAGCAGTATGATGTCTGGACATTCCCATGGTGTTTATACTTGCGTATAATTGTTTGAACGGATGAAAGTGGCACCTCTTACATCTGCTCACCGGAGACAACATGGTGTAAACTTTTAACACCAAATCACAATCCTTCTACAACCTCCTGTCTCTATACAAGATAACCAAAGAAGCCTTCCCAAAACACAAACTGTCTATCCTTTCTACTTCAAAAAGACAAAGACACTGTTTATGGCCAGCAGGAAAGAACTGCAGGACCACTCGATCAGATATTGTGGTGAGACGCGTCCTCATCTTGTTTTATTTTGGCTGGACTTCCTGTGTTACCCTGTTTGCCTGGTCTGGCTTTACTTTCTTCCAGAGCTTCCTCCCCTCCCCCGGCGCTGAGGCTGAGTGAGACCACACACCTGCTCCACATCTCCAATAAAGGCACTTTAAGAAGCCTGCAGCCCTCAGCCTCAAGGCCTTAGTATTGTCTACCCTTCCTAGCGGTAAAGACGCGTCTCCTGGCCAACCTCGTTTGTATCATTATCAGAACTTTGCCTCTCGTGATTCTGTGCATGTTCAATAACTTCTATCTCCTCTGGTTTTTCCTGCAGTGTCTCCAGCCCACACGACAGCCAGCCAACCAGCCTACCGGACATCCTCTGTTGCATTAACAACCCTTTTGTATGGACATTAAAATTCTCTTTAAGTTGATCTCAGTCTCAGTATCTGCTTCTGGGTCCTCACAACGAACCAGCCACACTACAGATATCTGGCACCATACCTTGACTGGGAAGCAGTGGCGGTTCTACAGTAAATTACTCCCCAGGCGAGACCCCCTCCAAGCACCCCCCACACACACACACACACACACACACACACACAAATACAAAGTGAAAACACAAACAAAAACTAAAACCTGACCTTCCTTGCTGCAAAAGCATCGATTATGTCATCATATGAAATCTGCTCCCCTATTGAGTGACTGATACTGATGACGGCAAGTCCAGTGAGCCGTTCTTGAGACATGGTTGACCTTAGGTATGACTTTATTAACTTTAGTTTTGAGAAGCTCCTCTCTGCTTGAGCCACCGTGACTGGCAGAGTGAGAGCAATCCTGAGAGCAGTCCAAAAGTTGGGATAGATCTCTGATAGATCCTTATCATCCATGAAAGTGATCAGTTCAAGGAGGCTCATGGTTTTTGATGGCAGGTCAGGGAAGCTCTTGATTTCCTGCACAAGCTGTGTACAGTCTAAATCTGAGTGCCCTTCAAAGGACAGTGTGGTGCCTAGTGCCTCACATTGTTCTTTCAGCTCCTTGTCTTCAAGACTTGGGAAACTAGTCAAAATGCTGAATTTGTTTCCGACATTTTCCAATGTGGAAAACCTCTCGTTGATGGCTGATGTGGCAACATTAACAACAGCATTGAAGAATTCAATTTCTAATTTCTTCAGTGCATCACTTAGAGGCTCATCATGAGACTCATAAGAGAAGCGGCGCTTTGTGGACCTCAGCCTTTTTTGCTGAAGGACAGCCTCCACATTCATTTCTTCACAAATGTCTTTGGCTGCCACCTGTGCTGTCACAAAGCCACTTGCTCTGTAGCTCTGAAGACCTTGCTCAGTCTTCTTCAAAAGACTCAGAGCTATGTCCATGTGCATATCTGGAGGCTTATAACAATGTGTAAAGCTTTTGCAGGACACCAAAGTAGCTTAGAGCATCAACAGAGGCCTTAGCAGCATCACATACAACTAAATTCAATGTATGTGCTCCACATGGCACAAACAGAGCTCTTGGATTCTTTTCTAAGAGCCTGGCTTGAACTCCCTTATTTTTTCCTCTCATGTTTGCCCCATTGTCATATGACTGTCCTCTGCAGTCTTCAAAAGGAATTCCCAACTCCTCAAGTCTTGTCAGTATCATGGATGCCAAGTGCTGGCCTGTGGACTCCTCTGCCTCTAAAAATCCCATAAAATGTTCCCTGATATGGGGCTTCTCCATCAGTGACACCACTCTAATGACCACTGACAACTGTTCTGTGTGGCTTGTGTCTGGGGTGCAGTCAAGAATAATTGAAAAAAAACTTTGCCTGCGTAATGTCATCCACCAGAGCAGATATTATTTTGCCCCTCAACAAATCAATCAGCTCATTCTGCACATGATGGGCTAGGTAGCTGTTGTGATTTGCTGTTCCTCTTACAACACAGTCAAGGTGATTTTTCATTATGGGTCAAACTTGGCCATAAGTTCGACCTCTTTGAGAAAATTACCATTTGATGATGTGAACAGTGACTGCACAATAGCAGTCAGACGTGTCAGCACTGCCCTCCATCTAACCCTCTCAGCCTCCAAAAGTGCCATCTCCTGCTTATCAATAGTTTCCCCACCTCGTAACCTCACTGCCAGTTCCTTCCATGCTTTCATGCAATTGAGGTGTTCTGGACTGTTTTCATGTGATGTGAGATAAGTGCTTGCATGTTTCCAATTTGTCACCCCTTGTTAGAACTTGTTAGAAGAATGTTCCTCCTGGAAAACAATTTGCAGCAGAAGCAAATAAGGCTATTATTCTCCATGGAATATATCAGCCAACTTCTTGCCATCGTTTCACCACTAACTAGTGTCTTTTTATAATATTGGTGGCGGCAGCTTCTCCCATCACTTTCATTCCGACAGAAAACAAAGTCAGGTGGCTCCTTACTGGGTCCTCTGTGAACCAGCTCAGTTCGAATCCTGTCAGTCAAAGGTGAGGGCCACTTAGCAGGGTCAGTTGACAGAGGCTCATCCTCAGCAGTGGGACTGAGTGGGCATTCAGCTTCAGGCATTTCTATCAGACAGCATGGTAGCACATTAGTCAGAGCACATAGCAGTGGAACATAACTCATAGGCCTACTAAGAAATGATGAAAAATAATGTATTAAATTTACATTAAATTGCAGTAGTCTTACCCTAGGCATACCCCCTCTAAACAAACATACACAGGCAGAGAGAGAGAGAGACAGACAGACAGACCTGCAAACCCACCTGAAGACTCATGCTGGGGAGAAGTAGAAGTAGAGAGAGATTTTTGTGAAGATATAGTGGCTGAAGACATAGATAGCGGCTCATCATCAAGGGTTGAGACCATTTCAGAAGAGGCCTGTGTAGATGATGAGGTAGATGGCAGCTTCTCCTCATCTTGTCTGGTGGGGGAGGTAGATGGCACATCATGAACAGTGGCAGAGGGTGCTCCAAAATATTTCAGAAGTGCCCCTGAAATTGCAATTGAAATAATCATCAAAGACACAGAATGCAATATTCAAATTAAAATAAAACCTCTCCATGAATTGCACATTTTATAAACATGCCCTTACATGCTTAATGTTTTAATCACACTAAAGCATGGTAAAACAAGGTGGAACAATTAGCTTTTTATTGTTTTAGTTTGGATGGAGTTGTAGCTAAATGGCATGGCAAATGTATGTTCGTCGTTGAAATAGGCTACCTAATGTTAACTTACAGATACATTACGTTAATACAGGGCCCAACGTTAACCCAAATGATGGAAATAAATGATAACTCAACTTGTAACAGTTGTCTTGCAAAGCACAATCTAATGGTGAAATGAGATCTCCTGTTTGTTAGGTGAAAACCGAAATAGTAGGCTATTGTTTTTAGCAAGAAGGCAAACTAAACATTATACATAAGCCCTTTATTTACCACATGGATACCGTAATCATGTCCGGTTCCGGGTTAGGAGAGGATGGCCGCTTAAGGAAAGTTAAGTCACCACCACCTGAAAAAGACAAACAACCGAGGTCCATAGTGGTCAATTTCCTCAGCTTTAATGTTAAAGAAGAGGCGTTAAAGCTGGCTTGGCAGAAGAAAGGCTTCACTTGGCAGAGAGGGTTTTTCACAGTCGCTAGAATGCTATAGTCTTTAAAGATAGATCGAGACTTGACTTTTGGTTGTCATCTAACACAGCTAGGTTATAGAGGCTAGCCCTCGGGAGGGAGGCAGGTCAGTTGGGGAAGACCACTGCCGGAACACAAGTTCACTAGGGTGTTATTGTTAATGTTTGATTGCACTATTGTAAATACCGTCGAGTTTGTCTTTGTTTTTCCAAGTGCTGAGGGGTTTTGATTTTCATGTACGAAGAGAAGGGGAGACAAAAATTGTTTACAGGGTATACTATGCAGGGGGATCCAATGAAAATGATCACCTTCAATGTAAATGGGGTTTTGAATCCTATCAAAAGAAATAAGATACTAAGTAAGTTGAGAAGGGAGAGGGCACAGTTCGCTCTGTTTCAAGAGACACATATGAGTCAAGCTGAGCATCTCAAATTGAAAAGGATGGGATTTAGACATGTGTTCTCGTCTGCTGATGGGATTAGTCATAAAAGGGGAGTTGCAACCCTCATATCAAATGCAGTCAATTATAAACTTATCTCTGAGGTAGTGGATGAGGAGGGGAGGTTTGTGAGTAATACAGGCAAGATAGAGGGAACATTGGTAACCACCGGGAAGCGAATGGCCCTTGTACAGACGTATTCTAGATTTAATGGTGAATTCACAGGGAGTGGTAATTTGTGGAGGAGACTTTAATATAAAGCTGTCTAACATGGACTCTTCTGCCACAACAGGTCTGAATAATCCTGTTAGCAGGAAGGTGAACTTGCATATGGGAGAGCTGGGTATATTCGATGTGTGGAGAGAGCTTTTGATGTTTACAGTTGACGGGTTCAAAGTACAGAGCTGTAACATTGAAACAATAGAATTATCAGACCACAGCCCAGTTTCTATGTCTTTACACCTTGGGAGGAAGAAAAGAGTAACCCTCTGGAGACTAAACTTATACGTATTGAATAAACCAACAATAGTGGAGAAGATAAAAAAAAATATTTAAGACTTTATGGAGCTAAACAACTCAGAGTAAATATCCCCGGCAATATTATGGGACACTTTAAAAGGGGTGATGAGGGGTTAACTTATATCTTTAACTGCTCATTTTAGGAAAATGAAACAACAGAAGCTATTGGATTTAGAAGGCAAACTGAAACAATTACAGTTAGCGGACAGCAGAGGAGGCACTAATTCTATTTTAAAACAAGATTTTAACAAGATTCAGGGTGAAATAAACAACATTTACACCCAGGAAACACAGAGGAGCTTTCTCTTCCTAAGGCAAAAGCGTTATGAAGTAGGAGGCAGATCAGCTAAATATCTGGCCTACAAACTACGAAAGCAACAGGAAGAGGGTACGATTTATAAAATAAAAAACCCAGTTACCAAGGCCATTGAAACTAAATCAGAGAAAATTAAGGAATGTTTTGAATCCTTTTATTATAACTTATACTCCAAACCAGCAGCTGCTGATGAGGCCCGGGTTGACTCCTTTTTGAACCGATTGGACTAACCAACACTTACAGACCTCCAAAATGAAGATTTAATCAAACCCATTACAAGCAGGGAAGTGGATTTGGCAATTTCCAGATTAAAGACTGGGAAGTCTCCGGGCTCTGATGGGTACAATACAGAATGGTATAAATGTCTACGAACAGAACTGTCTCCAATATTGTAAAACACTTTCAATTGGAAGAATCTACAACACAGCAACATCTGTGAAGTGTGGAGAGGAATCAGTACCATCTCTGGACACAGCAATAAAAATAAAAGACAGCCAGTGGTGGGTGATGTGAAAAGAGCTGATGAACTCAACCTGTTCTTCAACAGATTTGACACTGCTGTCATACCCACTCCCACTGCTACTCCACCTTCCTCTCCGCAACAAATCTCCACTACAACTTCTCCCCTTCCTCCTCCATCTTGTACAAATGTCTCAACCACTTCAACTGCCTCCCTCCTAGAACACCAGTCCTTGTCTGTCACTGAAACAGGGGTGAGGATGGAGCTTGGAGGACTTTGTCCTGGGAAGGCAGCTGGTCCAGATGGTGTGTGTCCAAGGCTGCTTAGAGACTGTGCTGCAGAACTGTGTCAACCTCTCCACAAGATCTTCAACCTGAGTCTACAGCTGGGGCGGGTACCTGCTCTGTGAAAAACATCCTGCATTGTGCCAGTATCAACAACAAAATGTCCTGCTGAACTCAATGACTACAGACCAGTGGCCCTCAGTTCACACATCATGAAAACCCTGGAGCGGCTGATTCTACGCCTTCTGATGTCTGAGGTCAAAGACAAACTGGACTCCCTGCAGTTTGCATACAAAGAACACATTGGAGTGGATGATGCTGTCCTCTACATGCTTCGCCATGCCCTGTCTCATCTGGAGGAACCTGGGGTTTATGTGAGGATCATGTTCTTTGACTTTTCAAAAGCATTCAATACAATCCAACCCACCATACTCAAAGACAAGCTCACAGTGGATCCTTCCTGTGTTTCCTGGATCACAGATTACCTGACAGGAAGGCCACAGTTTGTCAGGCTGGGGAACTGTGTTTCTGGGACATTAATGAGCAGTACAGGGGCTCCACAAGGGACAGTGCTGGAGCCATTCCTGTTCACACTGTACACGTCAGACTTCAAATTCAGCACTGAGTCCTGCCACATCCAGAAATACTCAGATGACACCGCTATTGTGGCATGTATCAGAAATGGACAAGAAGCTGAATACAGAGATCTGATAAGAGCCTTCAGTGACTGGAGTCACAAAAACTGCCTCCTCCTCAACAAGAAAGGAGAAAAGAAAGAAGAGGAGCAGGAGGATGATCAAAAGAGCGAGAATTATATGGCCTGACACGTCCTTGTGATCAAGACAACAGAGGGGTAGATGAAGAAAAAGAGGCAAAATGGTCTTTTCTTCAAACCTCAATGCACCTGCAAAACTGTGTCAAACAGCGTTTCAGCAAAGTGCTCTCCTGCATTTCTCTTGCCACACATTTCAAGAAGGACAAGAAAAAGTGGTTGACGTTCCCTCGATGACGACCCTTTGACTACTGCAAACTGTCCAGAGTTTAGCTTAAATTCAGTGCCATGCTGTTTTTTTTTATGAAACTGCAAAATAGGACAAGAAGCTGAATACAGAGATCTAATAAGAGCCTTCAGTGACTGGAGTCACAAAAACTGCCTCCTCCTCAACACCTCAAAAACAAAGGAGATGGTCATAGACTTCCGTAGATCCAAACCCCCTCTTCAGCCAGTGAACACCTGTGGAGTGGACATCGAAGTGGTGACATCATATAAATATCTAGGTGTACATCTGGTTAATAAGTTGGATTGGTCTAAGAATATAGACTTCATTTACACAAAGGGGCAGAGCCGCCTCTTTTGCCTGAGAAGACTCTGATCAATAGACATCTGTAGTAAGATGCTGCAGATGTTTTATCAGTCTGTGGTGTCCACAGTGTTCTGTTCTACGCTGCAGTCTGCTGGGGAGGAAGCATCAAACACAAAGATGCAAGACGTCTTAACAAACTGGTGAAAAGGCTGGCTCTGTGGACAGCTCATCTCTTTTCGCTGCAGGACAGAAAGATTCAGATCTTTTGTCCCAACAGCCATTAGACTGTATAACTCTTATGTCTCTAACAGTTATCTACTATTTACACATTTTGTGAGACAACAGACAATTGAATTTCCCTTCGGGGATTAATAAAGTTGTTCTTATTCTTGATCTTATTCTTATTGTTTTAACCTTCTCTTGTAAGGTGACCTTGAGTGTTCATCATTATTAAATATGAGAAACAATATCACTACAACTAGCCATACACACCAACAGTCATATTAACTAATGTTAGCTCTGGCTTCTATGATTGATATTTACCCAAGGCATTCATGATTAGTAATTAATTATACAGTGAAAATTTGCCATTTTTCTGGACTAATAACTCTCCAGTCCCCGTAAATGGAGTTCTTTGGTGTTAATGGCTCTTGTCTTCAAGCAGACCAATGGATGTACCATTTTGGGCACTGAACCGCTTCATCAAAAAGAGACAGAAAAGAGAGCAGGTGGGGAGAGATCTTGTGAGGGAAAAGTGGGGAGGATGACGATTACCTCAAATCAGAAAATAATTCCAGTTCAGTGACTTCAACCAGAAAGGAGAGGAGCAGGAGGATGATCAAAAGAGCGAGAATTATATGGCCTGACACGTCCTTGTGATCAAGACAACAGAGGGGTAAATGAAGAAAAAGAGGCAAAATGGTCTTTTCTTCAAACCTCAATGCACCTGCAAAACTGTGTCAAACAGTGTTTAAGCAAAGTGCTCTCCTGCATTTCTCTTGCCACACATTTCAAGAAGGACAAGAAAAAGTTGTTGACGTTCCCTCGATGACGACCCTTTGACTACTGCAAACTGTCCAGAGTTTAGCTTAAATTCAGTGTTATGCTGGGTTTTTTTTTAATGAAAGTGCAAAATAGTCAGCTAATGCTGGTGCTAATTTGATTAGCAAGGTCAGTGGTTAATAAACGTTAACAAATTGCATTTCTTTGTTGTTTATTGAAATACCAAGTAGCCAATGCAATCCTTAAAGCCACTTTTGAATTAAACTTAAAGATATGTAAAACATTTTAGGATGCTACAGCAGCACTTGTCAACAGTCCTGTGTCCAGCCACCTCAAACATACTGGTTTTTTTAATACCAGCAAGGGCTCTATTTTCGTGTACGCCCGTGAGGCGGCGGAGGGCGGCGAGCCCCGCGCAGTTGTATTTTTGTCTGGCGCAGCCCGGCGTACAGCCAGTTTGGTATTTTCGTGGACTGAGGCGCACGGAGGCGAGCCGAGATCCGCCAAGCTGGGCGTGGTGGCATGGCAGGGGGAGGTGGGCGCAGAGACATTTTCGCGCTCGCCACCGGCGTGTAAAGTGCGCTGAAAGCTTGCCGATTCTAACCTGGTCAGCTTTCAGCGCAGGCGGAACGCAGCTGGTCTAGTAGTATTTTGGTAGACCGGTGGCGTATCAGCATATGTCACTGATGCTTCACCGACAGGTTTCCACAGTGTCAGGAACATTTCAGTGCAATAAATAATCATCAACAACTATTTACCTGAGTCAGCACATACATTTAGATGTATATAGATATATTCTGATCTATATCTGATCTGATGAGCGCGTTTGGCACGCGTTTGGACACACAACCTGACCGAATCAACACAGCTGAAACCGCATTAAATTAAATTAAATATCTAGTAAATAGACACACATTATGAAGTTAACAAGATATTTAATTCGTCTCCCTCCTTTTCTTTCTTCCTCTTCCTCTTATTTTTCGCACAGCTCGACCTGGACACGTCTCCGTGTCCACTGTCCATCTTGCTGCTGCTGCGGCTGAACAGATGATTTGTTTCAGCGCTCAGATGAGTTATTTACTTTACGCCTACATACAGATATAATATTCAGTTTTGTGAGCCAAATTTATTTTATATGCCAACATCTATGAAAGAAAGAGTCAGGCCACGGAGCGCGATGCGTCATGTACGCACAGATGGTTCCGATTTTAATGCCATTATTGGAATTTATGTAGTGATCTGTGCGCTCAACCCACCTTTGTCACGTGAGGTTTGGATATGAGCAACTTTATGTGAGTGTCTTTCTTTGTGGAAAAGGGTGTTTGTCTTACCAGTGGTTCCAACATTACACACACCAAATCCATCTATGCTCATATGAGAGAGTGTGGAGGACGCCCAATGCAGCGCTTACAGTGACACTTGTTGAGGAGCTGCCCTTTGTCGCCATCGTGTGGCATAACTGTCTCCAGACATCTCTTCATGAAAATTGTAATACGACTCGCTGGTGGCGGATTTAAAGGCAAGGAGAGGAGCTGATGTGATTGGTGAAAACAGGTCTCGGCTGTGTTAAACCCACTCCCCGCCCTCTCTCCTCCCTCGCTACGACTTACGCCGCTGGGAGGAGCTGAGTTAGGGAGGGGGGATACTTACGCCGGGCTGCACCGCTCATCAAAATACCAAATTGTGCTTGGGAACGCCTTGTCGGCGCGGCTCTGAGCGAATCTGACTTACGCCGCGCATGCGCCGCGTCGCCGGCAAGGCACGAAAATAGAGCCCCAAGTGTCTACAAAGGATGAGCAAGTTGATAAAGAGCAATCATATAGGGCTTTATTTTCGTGCTTCGCCGGAGACATGCCAGAGACGTGCCTGCTGACAATGATGCACCTGAGCCCCTTAGAGACCCTGACCAACCTCCTGCATTCTGCCAGAATGAGCAAACAGGACGTGCAACAAGGGACGCAATAGTTAGACACTATTTCTGATTTGGATTTGTTCTGGATTTCAAAAACTAGTGATGCCATTGCCATTGCTTTGATATTCTGTTTTGTCATTGCGTGTATCACTAAAAAATAATCTAAAGACAAAAAATTTATATTTTTGATTGCAATGAATACACATTAATTAGTGACAGAATTAAATATATTATTTGTGGTCAATATTGACAGCTGTTTGGAGGATAATTTTATGAGGCCAAACTCTTTCTACTTTGCCGGAAGCCTATACTGAAAGGCTGAATGTGTTATAGCCTACCTAATCTCTGTAGCCTGATGAATTAACAAATCAAATTAAAACCTTATGAATAAATAGGACATCTTGTAGGCTATACTGCATGATCCAAATATAGTATTATTTGATACAATTTTAAAATTTCATTACATTTTGGGCCTGAAATCCACACTGAATCCACCCTTCTGATGGGATCAATTTAATCCAGATTTTTTGGATTAAAGTGACTCCAATCCTACTACAAAGTTCTGAAAAACCCAAACTAAAGGTTTGATCTCAACACCAAGATAGTGAACTTATCAGTTACATAACCCATTTTCAAGATTAAATCCAATCCGTTATCCAAAATCTGAGCGGATTACTTTTGAAAAACCAGGCTCAGGTGTCTACGCACACAGATTTCATAGCAGCTGACAACACAAGCTAGCTGAAATATGATTGGATAAAAACTTCTATCATAATATACATCACTGGAAGCAGCTCAACTGAGTGGATATAATTTGACATAAAGAGAACAGACAATAGAGAATATATGTATTTACATATTTATGAAAAAATACATACATAAATAATTGTACTTTTCTGAGTATGTTTAGGCCAGCAGAGAAGGCCTTGCTGGCCCTGACGGCCCACCCCTGGTCTGCATGTGTGTGCATGTCAACCTAAAACACAATTCATGCTGCATTTTATTGTCAAGGATTCAGGATCAGTTGCCTCGTGAAAATTGGTGGACTCCTTTTTTAAGCAAGTGGTTACAGTACTTTTGGATGTGTGTCAAACTGGACACAGTTATCCTGAAATACATCCTGACAACATGACTCAACCTCCCATCATTGTGTGAATTTAAAGCCAAATTACTGTTGGTATTTCTAGGATTTTCTCCATTCCTGAAACCAGAATTTCCACAGTAGTATTCGGCAGGAGAGTCTCTGTGATGATGCTCTTCTCAAACAGTGTACCCCCAGATGATTTATGCAGTCTGTACACCCATAGGCTGTATCAAGTGTCAATCATAGAAAACATGAACCCCCTAATAACTTTTAAAATGGAGCTGCACAGAAAAAAGAGGACTTGGGCACAAACCACTCTTACAATAACTAAATGTCAACATCATGACTGGGGAGGAGGAAAAATAATGTTCTGTGTAATTAATTTTTTAAGTTTGTCCACAGTACCATTAAATTTGCTGGAGGAGGCGGGATTTATGACCTATATATAGTCTATAGGAAAAACCCAGTCTGTAAAACAGTTGCTCTGTTTGTAAAGTTGCCACAACTGGTTAAGTTTTTTGTTTGTTTGTTTTTTAGGGGTCATGCATTTGCTCATAGCATGTGCGAATTCCTTCAGGGTTTGATTAGATCTTCCCACTTTGCATCAGGGTCAGATTTTACCCTGGATTCTAAAGTCCATCACAACCTGTTTGCCATGCATTATCCTGCTCAATATCTGCCTATTGACTGAAGTAATACACCAAAAATTGATTTAAAGACCATTTTATTGATTAAAAAATGATACAGGCCAATGTTCAGATAAAGATAGTCCCTCTTAATCATTGTTGGTAGCTCTACCACAGCTACAAAATTAACTCTCTTTTAAGCTTAAACAGATGTCAAAAGTATTGCATTTAACATTTAAGTTAAGACGTTGGCATACTAATAATCATTTTACCGAAATTGTACACGGAAGGTAAAGATGAGCAGAACTTCTGTGGGAACATTTGTAGACTGATCATTTGTTATTATTCACACAAAATTTAACATAACTGTTTACTGCTGCATCAGACATACGTAAGCAGGTTTTCTGTAAGAATAGAAGTAATGACTTTGTCCTGTTTTAATTCTCCTTCTTGGCAGAGCTTTGTAGTTGACACTCCTTAAAAATTAATGACATTTTAACATGCTGACAGAAACTGATGATTATACTGCAGTGTTTACCAGTGATGCTAAAGGAAACTGACATCTTTGCCTTGATGTCAACAAGCTAAAAGAAAAATGTGTCCAAACTATTCTCCGCAAATTGTTTTGATATGGCATACTCTTTTGTTTGTCTCTGGCATTGCTCTTATTGTGCAGAGTAAAAAAAACGTTGCCAAGGGGTTTCAACCAATCACAAGTAACACTCTTAGGTGATTAGCAAGAAAGACGGGCAATGATAGATGAAACAATAGTCAACACGGCCCCTGTTTGAAGAAGCCAGCCAGAGTTCTGTAACACAAACCAAGCTATGTATTACTGCAAGCAAGGTCAGTGGAAAATTAAAGATGTAACATTCGCGAACGAGTCAGTCATTTGAACAGCTCTTAAGTAAACAATGAGAACTGGTGGCGAGCCATTCTCATATGCAAATTGCCCACACTGCCTTCATGTGTCACTTGTGTGCCCCAAACACAAGGTAGGGTAATACAATTTTGCATTCACATTTTTGTTGTGTCTTCATTTTTATCAGTTGTCTGTAGCCTGCATTGTTTTTATTGTGCCACAAAGTTTTTTAGCTGAGGGAAAAATTCAAAATATGATCTCACTGTCCAAGAACAGGGATATGACACCTTCTTATTGAATGTTTACAATGAAAACACAAGCCAGATGAAATTATGATCAATATTTTTTAATAGTTCCCACCCATGTGTTCCCCTGGTTGACTTCTAAAAAATGAAGAAGTATAACATTGAGCCAGTCTTTTGAACGGTTCTTTGAAAGGAGTGGCTTCTCAAGATCCAGCTCTTTTCAAGGAGCAAAATGTGAGATAGTATTTCAGTTTCAGAGGTGTTTGCTGTTTTTCCAAAACATCCCCAACCTGCGCATACACCACTGACCGCCCCCCTCATACACAAAGACAGACACAAGCACATACACACAAACCTGTATTGAGAAGAACACACACACACACACACACACACACACACACACACTTCCTTTCTATGACTATTATGAAGCTCACCCAGTTTCCATAGCGACAGGGACAGGCTTGGTTGCTGGCTGCTGATTCCCAGGACAGACCCTTCCTTCACAAATACAACGAGAGCTGACATGAGACAAACAGATGCAAATTGAGGAAAATTAAGTAATGAAGTTGTAACTGAGAGGCAAAAGGAGAAGGTTGAGGGATGACGAGATAAAAGAGATAGAAGAAAACCAAAATCTCCTAGTTTCATGTCATTTTTTTAGACTTCTAAATAATATATCTGTTATGTTTATGGAGTTGGAAAAAAAAATCCACGAAGGAATGCATTCTACATGGAAATCAAAAGAATTGTATCTTCTTGGAAAGAAAAGGAGCTTGACAATGTCCCTTTCAGCAAAGAAGAAGAAGAAGAAGAAGAAGAAGAACTTTATTGATCCCCGAAGGGAAATTCAATTGTCTGTTGTCTCATGTAATATGTCTATAAAAGTTATCTATTATTTACATAAGAGTTATAAAGCCTGATGGCTGTTGGTACAAAAGATCTTCTGAATCTCTCTGTCCTGCAGTGAGGAGAGAGGGTTTGTTGATTGTTGAGAGAGGGTTGTTGGTTCAAATCCCCTGTCTTGCAAGGGCCTCTATTTGTGGATTCTTTGTGTTCAAACCAATCTCTGAACTGGTTCTTTTTGAGTATCCTTTCTACCATGGTGTATTGGCATTCCTTAATTGGTGACTCTAATTTGCCCACATGTGTGGGTGAGTGGTAGTTTGTCTAGCCAGATTAGCTGGCTTACTGTCAAAGGTATATTCAAATGTCACCCATGCAGTGACAGCTGGGAGTTGCTTTGTCCACCCTGAGAACCATAAGGGACAAAGGATGTAGATAATGTAAGTGGGATGGATTTCATCCTCATCCTTTTTGCTGTATTCTGTACCCAAACTTCTTCCTGCTCTTTCCTGCTCCCTGCCATAAAAAAGACCTCTGTGGCAGAGCAAAGTTAAAATCAGTTTCTATTCTTGCAGACATTAATATATTACATCTAACAGACAGTGATGTATGTTGCTAGTTCCTAAAATAAATGCTGGGGTAAATTTAGGCCCAGCTTGCCTGCAGCACAGTTGAATGGAACAGAATGAGTATGAATGAGCACCAGGCCACTCTATGAGCTATGACAAAGATAGCAGGTGGTGGTTATTTGTGGTTTGTTTTTGTGTGAAGAGAGCAAGTGAATCAGCGAGAGCAAAAGGTGAAGGTGACAGGGATTCTCACTTCAAAGGCAGGCAAGAGCAGAGCACAGATTAAAGGAATCAAAGTAGCCTCAGGTGGTAGGCAACACAGGTGTCCCCCATGTTATGTTTTTGAGCTCGTTTGTCTGTTGTGAAAAAGAGAGCCCATCTGCCTTTGCTCGTTATCTTTATCAGCAGCTTTCTTTCTCTCCTCGGCTAGAGTCATTGCCATTCAGGACTTCCAAAACAGAAGTATTTTGAGAGATACTGGAAATTTTTTAAAACACAAGGGCTGCTCACCGTAAAGTATCATATGTGTATTTGTGTATGCTATTACCTTACCATAGTAAGAACACTTTATACCATCAGTAAAATGTAAAAAATATTTTTTTAATAAGCTGTGAAATTAAACTGTAAAAATACAGCTTAATTTAAAGGCATGCAACAGTGGAAAAGGTTGATTGTTGATTGTGAGATTCAAAGCCATAAACAGCCAATATGATGGAATCAAAAGCACCTGCCAGAGAGTTTTATTACCCTGAGTGAGACAGCTGGGGTTTTTTTTTTTTGTTTTGTTTTGTTTTGTTCTGATTTTTTTTTAAATTCAGGTCAGGATTGCTTTGTTGTGTAAAGGTCCTTACACACTGGAGCCGATGCCAATATAGAACGCGAAATTACGAAATATTCAGAGGAGAATTTTGATGCCTCTAGTGTTAAGATGGCTCTCTGTCATGATAGCATGTACTGAGTCGGGGCCAGTACCGGATAAGCACATTAAATTAGAATCCATAAACGTAAGGTAACAACCGAGACCTAATGGTGCTGTGACAGCAACGTGATTGAGTTTGAGACAGTGAAAATACATATGGTATGTTGTATCTGAACAGGCTAGCTTGCAAGCTAATGTTACTTAGCACAGATGAAAGTTAAAACAAAGACATTTAGCAAACTGTTAAAGCACACAAACCATCGTCATATGAGAATCTGACGCTGACTCTCCACAAGTTGTCCTTCAGATCATTATCTTCATAATATTTGTGTTTTTTATCAAAAATCACTCTGTTCTCCGACACGTAAACAATCAGCCGGTCAGCCATGTTGGATATACCGGAGAATCTGATGTCGCAATAACACGCAATCTGATTGGTCAGAAGTGGACACACAGTATGCAAAACTTCAGAAAAATCAACCATGAAACGAAAAAATAAATGCCGCAATATCGCAGGAAGGGAAAACGTCACTGATGTGAACGCTTATATTGACAGGATATGGGTTTGAAAAAAATATTGACGTCCGAAATAATCGCACGACAAAAAAGGTCCCGGTGTGAAAGGACCTTAAGAAGTTATTAAAATCACCAAAAAAGGGTATTGTATTAGAAATAATAGGTCTCTCATGTTACAATATTAAGTGATGGACAAAGTACACAGCATTATTACTTATGTCAAAGTACAGATACTCATGTTCAACTGTTACTCTAACACACATGAAAGTTACTTAGTCAAATTATTTTTTGAGCTAAATACTGAAATATTTGCTTTTGAAAATATTTGTTTATTCAAACTAATTTAGATTTTTTTTTTTTAAAAGAATGTCAAAGTGTTGTAGTTTCATTCTGGGATATGGCTGAAAACCAATACTAGATGGCAGTAATGTTCAGGCTGGAGGGATCACTGCTATCAGAGATCATTGTATAATAAAATTATGACTCTCTAACGGTGAAAATCACTGCATGGGCTTAAAATCATGTCCAAAAACCCCCTGTGTAATACAGGTTCTTGCTGCAACCATAAATGCAAGTAAACTACCATGCAAAGAGGTGATGTGTATAAATATGATCCAGAAATGCCAACAACTTCTCTGACATGTGGCTGGTAAGGAAGGCTAGTTCTGTTCTGGATCCTGCAGAGGTGGTGAGGGACAGGAGGATGACAACTTAACTCTCATCTCTCATGGACAATGTTTCCTACCTTCTGCAGAGCACTGTGACAACACTAAGTAGCTCCTTCAGTGACAGGCTTCTTCACCCAGGGTGTGTGGCAGAGAGATACAACTAATGGACAATAACTCGATGGGCTCTATTTTCATGACCCCGCGCAGTTAAAATTTTTCATTGCCGGAGCCCGGCATACAGCCAGTTTGGTATTTTCATAGACTGAGGTGCACCGAGGTCCACCAAGCTGGGTGTGGTGGCGTGGCAGGGGGAGGTGTCGACAGAATCAGCTGGTGCAGTGACATTTTTGTGCTCGCCGCCTGCGTGTAAAGTGCACTGAAAGCTCCCCAATTCAAACCTGGTCAGCTTTCAGCGCAGGCAGAGCGCAGCTGGTCTAGTGGTATTTTGGTAGACCGGCGGCATATTACACATACGTCACCGGCAGGTTTCCACAGTGGCAGGCACATTTCAGTGTAATAAATAATCAACAACTAATAATCTGAGTTAGCACATACATTTAGATCTACACTCACCGGCCACTTTATTAGGTACACCATGCTAGTAACGGGTTGGACCCCCTTTTGCCTTCAGAACTGCCTCAATTCTTCGTGGCATAGATTCAACAAGGTGCTGGAAGCATTCCTCAGAGAGCTTGGTCCATATTGACATGATGGCATCACACAGTTGCCGCAGATTTGTCGGCTGCACATCCATGATGCGAATCTCCCGTTCCACCACATCCCAAAGATGCTCTATTGGATTGAGATCTGGTGACTGTGGAGGCCATTTGAGTACAGTGAACTCATTGTCATGTTCAAGAAACCAGTCTGAGATGATTCCAGCTTTATGACATGGCGCATTATCCTGCTGAAAGTAGCCATCAGAAGTTGGGTACATTGTGGTCATAAAGGGATGGACATGGTCAGCAACAATACTCAGGTAGGCTGTGGCGTTGCAACGATGCTCAATTGGTACCAAGGGGCCCAAAGAGTGCCAAGAAAATATTCCCCACACCATGACACCACCACCACCAGCCTGAACCGTTGATACAAGGCAGGATGGATCCATGCTTTCATGTTGTTGACGCCAAATTCTGACCCTACCATCCGAATGTCGCAGCAGAAATTGAGACTCATCAGACCAGGCAACGTTTTTCCAATCTTCTATTGTCCAATTTCGATGAGCTTGTGCAAATTGTAGCCTCAGTTTCCTGTTCTTAGCTGAAAGGAGTGGCACCCGGCGTGGTCTTCTGCTGCTGTAGCCCATCTGCCTCAAAGTTCGACGTACTGTGCGTTCAGAGATGCTCTTCTGCCTACCTTGGTTGTAACGGGTGGTTATTTGAGTCACTGTTGCCTTTCTATCGGCTCGAACCAGTCTGGCCATTCTCCTCTGACCTCTGGCATCAACAAGGCATTTCCGCCCACAGAACTGCCGCTCACTGGATATTTTTTCTTTTTCGGACCATTCTCTGTAAACCCTAGAGATGGTTGTGCGTGAAAATCCCAGTAGATCAGCAGTTTCTGAAATACTCAGACCAGCCCTTCTGGCACCAACAACCATGCCACGTTCAAAGTCACTCAAATCACCTTTCTTCCCCATACTGATGCTCGGTTTGAACTGCAGGAGATTGTCTTGACCATGTCTACATGCCTAAATGCACTAAGTTGCCGCCATGTGATTGGCTGATTAGAAATTAAGTGTTAACGAGCAGTTGGACAGGTGTACCTAATAAAGTGGCCGGTGAGTGTATGTGTTCTGTATGTTATTTGCCTTTGGTGTTAGGTGTCTCTAATGAGTTGCCATAGCTGCAGTAAAAGGTGTTGTGGTTATCGTAAAACCTGCGTTCTGAGTTCACATGTGCCTTTAATAAAGGTGGATGCAGAGAAAAGAGCTCCTCGCCTATGTGCCATTTATTACTTCATTATTCAGCATATCAGGTCCAGAGAACCCAGAAGGCTCGGTTACAGCAGTGTTAAGTCTGCCTCACGTATGAATAGCACTGTTGTTATTTTTGTTGACAGCACTGAGAAAGCTCACCAGCTGATAATGGAGTCGTGATCCAGGAATCACTGACACCGTTTCTCTCTTTGGTTAGCCCTGCTAAAAAAGTTTCAAATGAAATGATAGCCGGCATGGACAGCTGGTGTCCCCGGTTAAAATGATCCCCCTCGGATGTAAGTCACCACCATAGACTGTATATAAGATGGACAGAGTCTGCCTCCTCGCTGGGTGAAACCACTGCGAGAACAGCACCCTCTGTTGATGGGCTGCAGTATAGGTCATAAATCCCGCCTCCACCAGCAAAGCTTATGGGACTTAGTTATTGTAAGACTGATTTGTGCTCAAGTCCTCTTTTTTCTGTACAGCTCAGTTTTTAAAAGTTATTAGGGGGTTCATGTTTTCTATGATTGACACCTGGTACAGCCTATTGGCGTTCAGGGATTGCGTAGCTCTCCCGGGGGGATACGCTGTTTGAGCCGAGCGTCATCACAGGGACTCTCGGCGACTGCGCGGCCGAATGCGCACAACGCTACTGCACAGCTCTGGTTTCAAGGAAGTGGAGAAAAACCCGGTATTACCGAGAGCTATTTGGCTTCAAATCCGTATACAGGCGGTAGGCGGAACCACGGTTGTCCATCTTATATACAGTCTATGGTCACCACACCTGAAGCACGTGATGTCTTTCAGAAGACAAGTCTTCATGATTCTGAAAGAAATGAGCCACTGAATTTAGCTTTTGTGTTCCGTATCAATGACTTTGACGATACTGTTCATGTCACATCTGATGCTTTGAAATGTTTTGGCTGTGGGGCAGAGGGACACTTGGTCTGCTCATGTCCGGAGAAAATGAATCATCGTCAGAGTGCTGCGTCAGTGGCAGAGCCGCCTGACTGATACTCACTGGGCCACACAGACAACACGAAAGGGTACAATAAACATAAAGGAAGCACAGAAGGATACAGAAAACATTCAGGATACAGAGAAAGATGCAGAAAACATGCAAGGCATAGCGCAAGACACATACAGGATACGCAAGACACACAGAATACCAGCTCACATACTGCTGATGCGCAGATAACACACAGATGAGCACAGACAAGGGTGAAGGGGGGACAGAGAATAATGATTACACTGCAACTAGAGTGGCTGAGTCTGTTCGAGATGAAGAATCTGTAATGGACGGTGAGCTGTCGAAATTTTCTGTTAAAAGAAAAAATGCAGAAACTAAAGAGAACAGTGCTAAAGCTACTAAAGTGTCTGAAACATATCCGCAGGTTTCTTAATCTCAGTTAGAGGAAAACACGCAGAGTACACTGATGATGACGATGATGTTGGGAGTATGCAGGGTGAAATACAGAGTGGCTACTCTTTCCAGAGAGTTAGAACCTTCCTGACTCAAACCAAAGGCAGTAAAGGTGTTAAAGTGGAAGATCATTTTCCTGATTTGAAACTCTTTTATGATTCGGTCCACTTTTATATGAAAAATACCAGAAACATTGGACAGCCTTCTTTTACTGATCTGGAAATCTTCTGGCTGAGAAAATTTTTGGTTGAAGTTTGAGAACTAAAAGCTAGTGATGACTAATAGCTTTCCCTGGTCCCTCTTCTTTTCTCTGTGCTGGTCAGGATTTAGCTTTATAATCATTATGTGTGAGATACAGCTGGGCTCCTTAAACATTAACGGTGCCAGAGAAGACACCAAAAAGATTAAGAGTAAAAACATAAATGTCACCTTCCTGCAGGAGACACACAGTTCCACTGATATTGAGTCTGACCGGAAGAGAGAATGGGGTGGGGAGGTTATTCTGAGTCATAGCAGTAACACCAGTGGAGGAGTGGGAATCGTCTTCTCTGTAGATTTTTTACCTTCTTCCTTTTCTGTAGAGGAAGTTGTTCCTGGTCGATTGTTAAAGATTTTAGCCGAATTTGAAAAAGTCAAAGTTGTGTTTATAAATGTCTATGCTCCGAGTCAGTGAGCTTGGTCTGATTTCTCTGGACCAAGAAAAGGCTTTTGGGTTCAGCTCTGGTCTCTGTTACGCCCCACCCTTAGGCGGCCCTATGGGGCTAACAACAATCCTCAACTTTTGACCCATCAAATTAACAAAACACCTTCAAAAGTTTAACACGTGATTTATTGTGACAAAATTGCAAACTAGACACAAAGCACCCACAACACAAATGAGAGGCAGCAGGGCAGCAGTTCCCCACCAAATTGCCTCTCCAGACTGCAGGCAACTCTCAGTCTTTAAAAGGCCCAGCACCAGGTGAGTCTGATTAGCACTCAGTGATTTCACCTGGGCAGCTATGGAGAGACAAAAGGGGAAAAACACACACAAAACAAACACACAGCCGTAACATCTCATGGGCCAGATCCAGGTCTTGTAAAAAGACATTGAGAGTGTACTGAAGGTGAATGGTGGTGTAAGTTTTTTAACTTTTAAGGTTCAGAGGGGTGTTAGGCAGGGTTGTTCCCTGTCAGGGATGCTATACTCTCTGGCCACAGAGCCTTTCCTGCACAAACTAAGATTACAGTTGTCTGGTTTCTCTTTTCCTGGATGTGTGAATTGTGTTGAAGTGTCAGCTTATGCTGATGATCTTATTAGTATTGTTCAAAACCAACATGATGTTAATGTTTTAAATAAAAGTGTGTGTCACTTTGGCAAATTGTCCTCTGCCAAAGTGAATTGGAGGAAAAGTGAAGCCTTAGCCGTGGGTAAAGGACTGATTACCAGGCTGGTTTTGCCTGGAGGCCTGGGGCCTGTTCTACGAAGCAGGATTACTGCTTAGCGAGGTAACTTCGAGGGTAAGTTCGGGGTTTCCTGTTCTACGACGCGGGTTCACTTCTTAGCGAGGCGAGTCTCCATAGCAATATACGCTGAACGGCTAACCTGCTCCGGGGCAGGTTAAATTCCAGATTGAACTCACCGAGTATAAAAACCCCGCCCTATGACCAATGAGCTCTCTCGAAAAAACGGCTTGTCCGTTCTCGGGGGATCCTGTAGACCTCGGTGCTCGCATTGTCCGAGGAGGAGCACTCCGGCTCGCGAGAGTTTTCAGGGAGAGTTTTCTCCGGATGACCACCTTTATGGAAGGCTCATATGGCCGACAGATCACACAAAACATGTAAACACGATAGGAATGAACAAATGAATGATTCATCTTGGGAATGAATGGGCATGGGCTGTGTGATCACAGACAACATCTCGGTACTATTTAGTAGCAGCGCACGCCCCTTATAATTACCCGGTAAATACTGTTGTTCAGGACTGCTTACTTGTGCTTCCTACCCACTGTAACAACCGTTGTTCTAGCCCACATGCAACATTTTTGTTCTCATTTATGAAACGCTTAAATCAGGGACATTTTCGGGGACAGCTTTAGCCGGGGACAGATCATCCAATTCGGGGACTGTCACCTTAGTTAAAAGCGCATGTTGAACAGTGCTATTTCAGGGTGATAATGGCATCAAAGATTACTTTTCTGCCAGCGTTCCCTCCGTGCTTTTGCAGCGGCGACGGTGTTGCTTTTGAGGTTTATGATAGCTTTCAATTCATGATCTCATGATCGTCTCCTGTTCCTCGTTTGTAAAGTCCGCGGTCCTTCACTCTCCAGCCTGCTCTGACGCTCCAGACTGATCCATGTTCGCGATTGGTCAGATGCGACGGGCTCCGCCTTATATGTGTGCACGCGCTCATAGCAGAGCTGGATCCACTTACGAGGTTGATAACCAGCGTCGTAAAACCGCTTAGCGAGACCGCTGGCTACCGCGCTAAATTGAGCGCGGTAGCTCCAAGGCTACCTCGCTAAGTTGAACCTGCTTCGTAGAACAGGCCCCTGGTGTGGAGAAGAGAAGGGTTAAAGTATCTGGGAGTGTACTTGGGAGATGAGACTTTCTTATTTTAAAAATGGGACAATGTCCTGGAAAAAGTCGAGGGTCGACTTAAAAAGTGGAAATGGATACTACCAAAGCTGTCTTTTAGAGTTTGAGTCCTGATTATTAATTATATGGTGTCTTCTATGTTGTGGCAGCGGCTAGCGTGTGTGGACCCCCAGCAGAACTTGCTGTCCTGAGTGCAAGCATGTTTGGTGGACTTTTTCTGGGACCGTCTGCATTGGGTCCCACAGAGCGTCCTCTTTCTGCCCAAGGAGGAGGGAGGGCAAGAACTTGTCCACTTGATGAGCAGAGGAGCTACCTTCAGGCTCCAGTTTGTTCAGATACTCCTAACTGGACCGGTGGACCTGGTCTGGAGGCCTGTTGCTCTTGCATTATTGAAACTCTGTGGAGGGCTGGGTCTGGCAAAGTCCTGGTTTCTCATGGACCTGAGTGGATTCAAATGAGACTATTTCCCCACCTTTTACAAGGGACTGTTTAAAGCATGGGGACTTTCCAGGAAGGAGAGGCTGAAGGACTATGGCTCTTTGTTCTGGCCTCTCAAAGAGCCAGTGGTGTACGGGACACATCTGCAGTGTTCGGCAGGGCGATCCCTGCTTCAGAGACTCTGGGAGGCTCACATCTTCACACTAGGCCAGCTGATGGAGGTGTGTGGCCCTGATCTGGACAATGCTGCTGCTCTGGCCTCTTACCTGGGGATCAGTTCGGTCAGACTGGCAAGCCTTCTGCTGCGGGGCTGGAAACAGTAGCTCAGTCTCAGGGAGCGCTCCCTGACTGCTGCTTATAATCATGGACTGATACAGCCTGATGGCTCGGACTCTCTACCCCAGGTGATCATTGCTCCAGTGTTTAAATGTGAGGTTGGTTGTCTGCTCAAACTGCATCCAGGTGTTGATTATAAACTGAGTGCTATAGCAGGTAAAACAATGTGTTATTTATGTGTTAAAGTGTTAAACCAGAACAAAATTAAAGATCGAGTCGATAGTCCATGGAGAGCTCATTTAAACCTGGCAGGGCTCAGAGGCCTGAGTGGAGAGCACTGTACAAACCACCATTTACTAGAAGAGCTGGGGATTTACAGTGGAGTCTTCTACATGGTATTGTCACTGTTCAGTCTTTTGTTTCTGTGATCAGTCCAAGTGTTGATACCTGTCCTTTCTGTTCACAGAGAGAAACCGTTTTTCATTGTTTCTTAGAATGCAGCAGACTGGTTTCTCTATTTCACTTTCTAGTCCAGGTGTTTGCTTTGTTTAAGGAGGTTTTCTTTCATCAGATGTTCATCCTGGGTTACAGATACAACAGGAAAAACAAGACAAAATGTCAACTTTTTAACTTCCTGCTGGGCCAGGCAAAAATGTCTATCTATCTCAGTAGAAGAAACAAACTGGAAAGTTTTTTAGATGTTGATGCAAAGATCTTTTTTGTTCGCATGATAAAGGTCAGACTGAAAACTGATTCCTGTTTCTTTAAACTGACAAACAGTTTGAAGGAGTTCACTGATGTGGGCCCTGCAAAAAAATATTGTGCTCTGTGAAAGATGGTGATCTAGCTTTTGGTCCAATTTTGTATTATTTTTTTTTTATTTTTCATTGTAAGCACTCAGACATGAGAGGTCTGTTTTCATCCTGTTGATATTTTATTGAGAAAGTAAAGGTGGTTTGAAACATCAAAACACAACATAAAGTCAAAGACTTTCAGTTTTGACTATGAAGTCAAATATACTAACTCGTCCACTTCAGAATTCATTCAATCAGGTATAATTCACTTAAACCCTTTATTGAGTATTCTTATTAAGTCATACAACCTTCATTCCAAAAGAGTGGGTAAATATGACTAATATTGCTGAGTTAAAAAAAAATCAGGACCATGATCAGCAACATTGCGACTCACTGTAATTAGTGCATCAGACCACTGGAGGGGGATACAGCTTCATATTATCAGTTCTATGCCCACCAAGAGTTCATCATACATGGTGCCACCCAACCACATCAACTGGTGAGCCAGTTTAACTATCCGGCTGAGGTGTACTTAAGCAAGTCTCTTACCTACAGTTTTCTTCTGGCCTTAGCCTATGACCGCTCTTCGAGGTAGACATAAAACACAGCTAGGCTTATCATGATTAACAATGTTGATTTATTTTCAATATTTTCAAAATACAGAATCAGAATTAGCTTTATTGGTTAAGAATGTTACACATCCAAGGACATTGACTCTGGTAGACTTTGCTATGTACCTACATTTAGTATAAAGGTTTACACAAAATTTACAAGCTTAGACCTTTCACTTATGTATACAAGATTATTTCAGGCAGTATTGCAATGGTGAGGAGTGCAGAGGAATGTTGAGTGAGAAAAATATATACATATGTCATTATATAACAGGTGGGTTATGTACATTAGGTAAATATACATTTGATTGAATAGTCTTTTGACAATAAATATTAGATTTTAAATAATGGTATGCAGAGGTACATGTCAGATGAGAGGATGATGTCGGCAGTTAACATGTGGGAATTTCTGTGAATAAATGTCATTATAAGGGTTGTATGATAAACTGTTATTTACAATCACAGTGAATGTTTGTATACAGGTTATTGCACAGAGGTTGTTCTGTGTCTCTGTGAACGTTAGGAGTTCATCAGACCAACGGTCCGGGGGAAGAAGCCATCCTTGTTTTGGTCTACAGTGATCTGTAATGCTTACCAGAGGGAAGGAGTTTAAATAGTGTATGTCCAGGGTGTGAGGCGTCTGTAGTAATGTTACCTGCACGTTTCCTGACCCTGGACTGATATAAGTCCTGGATGGAGGGCAGGTTGGCCTCTGTGATTTTTTTCCGCAGTCCTGATAATCTGTTGAAGTCTGTCCCTGTCCTGTTTGGTTGCTGACCCAAACCAAAGAGTGACAGATGATGGTTGTGTAGAAGTACTGCAAAAATTGCTGGTACAACTTAAAATAATTTGTAACCTGACTTCCTAAAAATACTGAAATAGGCAGGCTAAGAAATATAAGTTGCTTACTTATGTCTAAGTTCAGTAAACTTAAAATAAGTAGTTGTTAAGCGCTTGTAGTATCAGTAAAGGGCCATTCCTAAAAAATAAAATCACACATGCTGGAACCTTACCGTGAAAAAACTCCTGATGTTGAACTTGGGAGATGAAGTGGAAATTGCCTTTTTTCAAGAGAAATGTTAGGCCCAGACTTTCTTATTAATAAATTAAAAACTTCCCTGAACATTTTCTTACAGTGTGGGAGAAAGAAAAAGCTTCAATGTGGGAAACCAACACAACAGCAGATAATTTGTTTTTTAATAGTTTTTAGTGCACAGTGAAAATAGTCACAAATTGCCATCTAAGCTATCAAATGATCTGACTACTAGTCCAGGAGCAGCAGCACATGCATCAAGAATGTTTTACAAAAGGTTACCGTACAAAGAATGACAAGATCTAAATTACAGTTACACATTACATTGCATACTTGTCAGATATGATCCTAATTTCAGGGATTATTTGCATTAACAGTATATAATCAAACAGAACAAATGGTTGGCTAACCCAAAACTGCTTTCATAAATCACTGCCACTGTGATTCACTGCATAAAATGGGGACATTGTTAGGCTACTCTGGTGTAAAGAAGAGATCTTAAATTACTTAAAACAGTTCTTTTATTTAAATGGCTTTGGTGATTTTGTGTTCGATTTCTTTTAACAGTCATTCTAAGATCCCTCTTAGTGCATTTTAGGTGATATAACTGCCTTTTTTGCACCCTGGCAATGTGCACTCGTTTGAAGAAACAATATGATGTAATAAGAACAGATAAAAACAAGATAAAAAATGTGCTATATGTAACATTTTTCATTAGAAAACAAAAATACCCTTTATATGCGCCTTGGCTTTAGCATTAGAGAGTAGCTATACCTTGGAACAGTTATAGTGATATTATTGTCCAGTCTTTTTGTCTTCATTGTCAATGGCCAGACTGACTGCACAGATAAAATCCCTCATTTTTTTATTAGGTGACAAATCTTAAACTTCTCCTGTATACAACTACAGCTTGTGCATGCATGAATAATTGTTGTGCTATACCCTATAAGACCCCTGTCATCAACACTCTAATTGGATATTTAGGAAACCCAAAAGTACCTCATTATTTGAGGTAATAGATAAAAAAAGAAAATATTAGTTAACAAAACATAACAAAGCTCTTCAACCAGTGATACAGCAATGGTTTACTATCAGAGAATATTTGGGGGGGGGGGGGGTTACAAAACCCAATTCCATTGAAGTTGGGGAAATTGTGATAAACGTAAATAAAAACAGAATACAATGATTTGCAAATCTTTTTTTTTTTACCTATATTCAATTGAATACACCACAAAGACAAGATATTTAATGTTCAAACTTATAAACTTTATTTTTATTTTTTTTGCAAATACTAAATAACTCAGAAATTCATGCCTGCAACACGTGCCAAAGTAGTTGGGACAGGGGCATGTTTACCTCTGTGTTACATCACCTTTCCTTTTAACAACACTCAATAAACATTTGGCAATTGAGGAGACTAATTGTTGAAGCTTTGAAGGTGGAATTCTTTTCCATTCTTGCTTGATGTACAGCTTCAGTTGTTCAACAGTCCATGGTCTCCATTGTCATATTTTACGCTTCATAATGCGCCACACATTTTCAATGGGAGACAGGTCTGGACTGCAGGCAGGCCAGTCGAGTACCCGCACTTTTTTACTACGAAGCCACGCTGTTTTAACACGTGCAGAATGTGGCTTGGCATTGTCTTGCTGAAATAAGCAGGGGCGTCGATGAAAAAGACGTTGCTTGGATGGCAGCATATGTTGCTCCAAAACCTGTGTGTACCTTTCAGCATTAATGTTGCCTTCACAACATCCACTATTCCCAAAAACAATTTAAAATGTGGACTCGTCAGACCACAGAACACTTTTTCCACTTTGCATCAGTCCATCTTAGATGAGCTCGGGCCCAGAGAAGCTGGCAGCGTTTCTGGATGTTGTTGATAAATGGCTTTGGCTTTGCAATAGTAGAGTTTTAACTTGAACTTTCAGATGTAGCGACAAACTGTATTTACTGACAGTGGTTTTCTGAAGTGTTCCTGAGCCCATGTGGTGATATCCTTTACACATTGATGTTGGTTTTTGATACAGTGCCGCCTGAGGGATCGCAGGTCATGGGCATTTAATGTTGGTTTCTGGCCGTGCCGCTTACGTGCAGTGATTTCTCCAGATTCTCTGAACCTTTTGATGATATTATGGGCCGTAGATGCTGAAATCCCTAAATTCCTTGCAATTGTACTTTGAGAAACATTGTTCTTAAACTGTTTGACTATTTGCTCATACAGTCGTTCACAAAGTGGTTAACCTCGGCCCATCCTTGCTTGTGAATGACTGAGAATTTTTGGGGAAGCTGCTTTTATACCCAATCATGGCACCCACCTGTTCCTAATTAGCCTGCTCACCTGTTCCCAATTAGCCTGCTCACCTGTGGGATGTTCCAAATAGGTGTTTGATGAGCATTCCTCAAATTTAAAGTTCATGATTTTGAATATTGAACATCTTGTTTTTGTAGTGTATTCAGTTGAATATAGGTTAAGAAGAATTTGCAAATCATTGTATTCTGTTTTTATTTACATTAATCACAATTTCCCAACTTCAATGAAATAGGGTTTTGTATTTGGATCTCATGGAACAAGACAATATTATTTTTCTCTTGCTTTAAAATGGCTATTAACTGGTGTAAAGGGTTAGGGTTACAAGCACACAAAGTTCACTTTGAGAGTTTTTGATATGTGTGGAGCTTTGTAGATGCCTAGGAGTTTCATCATCATAGGCACAACAGCAAACTTCAGTATCTGTAAGTCCACCACAAGAAGTCATTCCACAGATAACCACATACTTGCTGTGACTCCAAACAAGGCCTACTCCTCTGTGCCAGCCTGTTCCATGAGCTCAGCTATGTTCTTCTCCAGTTCATCGATGCGGGTTCCCATTTCAAACAGTGCCAAAGTTAAGGAAAAAGTCTACAGGCAGGAACCGGAAAAAAACAAAAAACAACAAAACAAAACAAAAAAAAAAACATCAAATTTATAGCTACTACTTTTAACTTAAAACCAAACTATAATTAGGCTACTTTCTTTTGTTGCCAGGTATTTTCTTTGCTTTTGAAAGTCAGTTGTTTTTAATTTACGAAGTCTTTGTCTTAATTTTTAATTAATGTAGTATGTCTTCACTTAAAAATCATCATACTGCTTTACTTTAAGATTTGTTGCATATTGCACAAAGACTGCAGGCTGATCACGTTCTACGGTCAAGTGTTTGGATGTCGAGACATGCCTTAAGTTTGTTATGTTTGACTTAACGCTGCAAGCTCAATACACATTTAAGCAATTCTGCCCAATGCTGTGATTTTTAACCAAGCTGCCAAAAGTGAAGCTGAAAGCCAAAGTCAAGGAGTATAGTAAGTTACATTTGGGTCGTTCACTCAGAAAGGATATTCTTTTTCTCGATTTGCTCGGAGACAGTCTGAAATCTGTCTTGAAGTTGTTGCATCGTTTTCTCCATCTAAGGGGAAAGAAAGGAGTTATAAAACGCGGATTAAAAAATGCCGAGGTCATGTTAAACAAACTTACCGAATTTAACATGTCATCCTCAGCTCCTTTGCCGTCTTTCCGTGACATCGTCCCTTAAGTGTCAAAGGAAAAATATTACATCACCCCTTGAAATATAGCTCAACCTCAACAGTCCAACGGAACTAGCCTTGTTCTGTGAGTACACTGGATCGCAGAATCGATTAAATCACCTCTCCTTCCACCCACCCTGTACGCTGTGACTACTATAACTTCAGACGATGCAGTGAAGTGACTCTTCTTCTTCTTATTTCTGTTTTATGGCGGTTGGCAACCAGCTTTGTCGCATTACCGCCACCTGTCCTGGAGTGTGGGTCAGACAAGGCTTTCAATCTATTCCAGCACTCTACCCCATTAGTGAAGTGAGTCATCCGGTCGGGGTGAGGAAAAAACGACTTCCGCTTGTTGAGATGGACATTTCAAAATAAAGGTTCCTCGGTGAATTAAGGTTCCACTTGCCTTCAGGAAAATCTCAACGACAAGATAAATAGAAAAAAATCCAAAAGATATGTCGCACCAAGATTATAGAAAAACTTGGAGCATTCCTGTTTTATCATACTGACACAGTCATTTCGGAAATATGCTTAAATTTGAAGGGCTGATTACATACAGTGTAAAAATGATCGTCGAACACAAAATATCTACACTAAGTATCAGTCATGACGTTGACAAATAGTTTATGGGATCTGATTCATTCATTCATTTATTTATTTTCAAACCAAAATTGTGTTGATATTAGTTTGTCACAGCCAGGGGCGACCAGTGGAGCGGACAGTGGTTAATATACGGAGGCAGAAGTATTTCCGGTGTGTGTCGGGGGTGGCGCTTTACGAAGACAATAAAGTGGGGTTTTCTGTGAATTCACATTGATGAGTATGACATTTGGCCATTATAAGAATAAAATCAATAATGAGTATGCGCGGGTTTTTTTCTGTACATCGTCATTTTCTAAGATAGGCTACCAATCACAATATTCTTCCACAGTAATCAATATCAATATTCTCAGCAGTGAGTGAACTATTTTGATCGGGTTGAACATCTTTCTGTAGCATCAGCACAAGGTCGTTTTTTACACAGAGATGGATCTAAAGAACTAGAGAATGGACACATAGGTGCTGCTTTTTACATCCCACAGTACAGCATAGCAGTCAAAAAAAGACTCTCAAATCACATTTTAGTATTCACAACTTAAATAACTGCAATACTTTTAGCATTACAGTGGGTGCAAGAAAATAAAGAAAGGAAAAATGTAATAATTGCCGCAGACAGTCTTTCCGCGCTGGAAAGCACAAGATCAGGGAAGTCGTTATGCAGACAGGACATTGTGACATACTAAATCTACTTCTTTGCCGACATGTAGAAGGACAAGTTATCTCTTTCCTTTGGATCCCTGCTCATGTAGGAGTCAAAGGGAATGAAAAAGTTGACTTGTTGGCAAAAACTGCAATGAAATCACAGGAAATAGACATAGCAGTAACAACACTTTCCAAAACAGAAGTAAAATCTATTATAAAGAATCACACTTTAAGAATATGGCAAGAATATTGGAATATAGCTGACACAGGAAGACATCTTTACAATATTCAAAAACATGTTGGCAGAATAGCTATGCAAGGCAGAAACACAAAGGAGGAGACAGTATTTACCCATCTGAGAATTGGGCATACAGGACTCAATCAGAGCCTGTATTTGATAAAATAAAAATAAAAATAAAAATAAAAAAACAATAAACAGGACTTTGTGATTACTGTAAGACAGGGGAAACAGTAAAACATGTATTACTTGATTGTGTTAAACACACACAGAAAAGGCAACAGGTTAGTCACCAACTTGAAAAAGAAAATCTGGATCTCACTGTAGAGAATCTGTTAGGGTCAGCATCTGACAAAGCAATCAAGGCATTAATGAAGTATCTGAGGGAGACTGGCTTACTGTACTGTTATAATTTGGAGCCTAGAGAGTATATATAGGTATAGGCATATATGCCTTTCTTTTTTTTTTCCTGCTTAATTTCCCGTGCCACACTCCAATCCAGTAGGTGGCAGGAGTGCTCCTTAAGTTGGTTGCCAACCGCCAGAAGAAGAAGATCTTTCTGTCTAACTATGACAAAGGCTGCCTCAGCTTTTTAGACTTCTAAACTTTAAATAACACTTTCAAAATTAATTGGCTGAAGCAATTCATTAAAAACTCTTCCTCAATTTGGAGCTTTATCCTTAAATATTTTTTCTGAAGTAGGTGGCCTACATTTTCTTTTACTGTGCAATAACAAAATCGAAAAAATCCCATTGAAACTATCAAATTTTCAAGAGTACCCAGATGCAGCGCAAGATGGCGGACCCAAAGACAAAAAACCGCAACAAAAAACTGCCATAAGTTTCCACATTACCTCCGATTGGCGGACCCAAAACATGAACTTCTGCTTTGCGATGCCAGAACAGTAGGTGGCGGTATGTACCTACACTTTCTGACGGCAAAATTTACAGAAGAAGAAGAACTCAATCGACGTCGTTACAGGAGCACACACCTTCCAATGCGCATTTGTACAGCGAAACAACGGTAAGGAAAATATTATTTTGGTCTCAGAGACAATGCGCATTGTACAGCGAAACAACGGTAAGGAAAATATTATTTTAATCACCGTTTGACGAGTATGGCATGGTCTCAGAGATTGCATTCGTGCTATTTACAACGGCGAAGAACTTGTTTCATGCGTGTGGAATTTAGTTTTCTTTTCCTGTCGGCTCTGCGCTGCGGTGGATTTGAAAAATTTGCGGCCTCTTAATGTCTGTGTTTATGCGCGTGTGTTTTCGCCACGTGAGTGTATTCTTTTCTTTTCTTCCAGATGCATATTTCCGTTGTGAGCGAGGGAAAATTGATGATATTGTTAAGAGGTTGTTCTTATTCATTTGGAAAGCTCAAGAACAACAATTAACCCATACTGCATAACTTCAATTGTTCACATTATTTGCCTGTTTTTCAGCTTTTGATCAAAGCACTGAAGGAGCATGGCATCAACCGGTTCAGAGCAGAGCTGATGATGGCCGGTGGCAACGCGTTTTAAGCCCCCCACCACACCGACGGCAGTGCTGAATTTTGTATATATATATATTTTTTTTTACTGTTCACAATTTTGTTTGGAAAAAATTAAAGAAATCTTCAAAGCAGTTGTATGACAATTTCCCATTTCTTTACACAGTCTGTAATGATATCGCTATTCAATTGTTTTTGCTATATGGCTCTTCTGAACCTTAAAGAGATCATGTGACTTGTGTCTCTACAACTATTGTATACTTGGATTTTGCATGGTCAAGCAATCCTGAAGAGGTTCACCAGGAAGCACACCATTTCATAAATTATGTCCCTGGTTACACAATGTTACTAAAGGATGGGGGGAGTAAATTTGTGCAGCAACATAAGCACTCTCATAAAACATAATTATGAACAACAGAAAATATGTGAGGGTCAGGGCAACATTGTTGACATTAAACGAGGTCCTAATAGGAGTGGAGAAACAAGGTCACAGAGAAGTTAAGAAACATTGATGTGCTGTGTAATAAAGCTATTGGAGAGAAAAGTTAGAAAACACTGTCATATGATGTGTAACGAGAGGTTAAAACAGTCCATACTTGTAGCAAACTCTTACAAAAGAATTTGAGTAAGATGATAACTTCTACATACATTTACCTATTCTGACAAATTATCAGAATATGAGGACATCAGGCTATATATACATATTACTGTAAACTTCAGAATTAAATCAGAACAAAACAGTAGTCATAATTAATACATAAACGTTTTATTTTGATTTTTAGCTCAATAATAAATTTAATTCGATTCTTATGGAATGAACGGAGCAAAAAAAAAAGGATCCGGCGACTAAATCCGACTACCTGAAGTATTTTGGCGCCGGAAGTCCGCCAACGAGAAAGCCTTTCCACCGGAAGTAATTGTTTTGGGTCCGCCAATCGGAGGTAATGCGGAAACTTATGGCGGTTTTTTGTTGCGGTTTTTTGTCTTTGGGTCCGCCATCTTGCGCTGCATCTGGCCTCCTCTCCAAATTTTCATAAACAGATGCTTCTTTCATGGTCGCTAATATATAAACATAACTTCTCTCCACACAGATATTACATATGGAATAATAAAGACATAACACACAGAAACAAATCCTTATTTTACCCTGCCTGGTTTTCTCATAATATACGCCTGGTTCACCAGCTGTTTGATTCCAACGGTTTATTGCTTACTTATGAAGATTTTACTTCAAAACACAAAATTTCAATTCCTTCTGTGGAATTTAACAATATCATTAATGCAATTCCTTCTGGTGTCTCTTTATTATTTAGAAGCACAGTGGAGATACCAGCTCTCTTGCCTCTGGATTCACTTAAGCTTGAAGTTGGCAGGACTTGTTTCTCGATGACATGGAGCAACAATCATGCTGTGTGTACTTTGTTTCATAACTTATTACGGAATCTTGATTGGGAAAAAAATCTGGATCTTACCAACCAAGTATATGATTAACAACAAAAGAAAAAAAATATCTTTTAAATTAATCCATAAAATCTATCCTTGTAAAATATTTTTCTTACAGTGTTTCAAGAGTCATATTGACACTAACTGCTCTTTCTGTCCGCAATGCCCTGAAGATACCTTTCACTTATTTTGGTCTTGCCCTTTCTCAAAGAACTTCTGGACAGATCTTTGTCATTTTATTTCTACTTCTTTTGAGAAAAATTTCACTCTTTGTTTTGAAAATATACTGTTTGGTTTCACTTCCCTTATACCCAACAAAAACAAACATTATTATATAATTAACCTCATTATTTTGTTGGCTGAGTGGCATATCCATAAATGTAGATATATAAATAAAAATCCTTGCTCTATTTTTTTTCAAAAATGAAACCAAGCTTTATGTTAATACTATTAAAAATTCTACCAATAGTAAAGCTAACAAGACCATACATTTATGTACTCTCCTTGATGTTTTTCTGTAAAGACTCCTGTTTTCCTATATGAGTGACCCCCTGGCAAAAAAAAAAAAAATCCTTGTTTGTGTGTGTCCTGTTCTGTCAAACGCTCAATAAAGTTTTATTGGGTAAAAAAAAACAAAAAAACTTTCTGTCGTAACTCGTGACGTGTGACGTTCCGGGAAGTATGGTCTCTAGACAGTTGAATAGAAACGTACTGGGTTTGAGCTGTCTGTGATCAAACTAAACTGGTTTTGAAACCCTGTAGTAAAATAACTGCTTTGGGTTTCCGTCGATTTTAGGAGCCTTTTGTTCGACTTCAGCAATTCCCTCTTAAGAGTTTGGTGCATCGTTTAAAACAACGCCAGCTAGCATCAAGTGTTAAATCGAAGGAGAATATATATCCATAACTGCGGTCTGTGGCAGATAGCGCTTTCTTCCACAGCCACTTCTGTTTTGTCGGTACAGTATCATTAGAGGACATATTTATGCTGTAACTGATCAACTCCATCTCTCCGCCGTCCCACTGGCTCGTCGTTTCTGTGATGGCGTGGCAGTAGTAGCCTCTTTGTCTGTGCAATCCGTGTCATAACTAATGCTACATGAACAATCCGGATGTTCCAGTTTTTCTTTTAAAGGAAGCAGTGGAGGATAAAAGCCTTGAAACAGTCTCCGTCCAGCCGGTGTCTCTCAGCTGACATCACTTCAGAACTTCTCGCCCAGGCGCTGGAGTGGTGAGCAGCTGAAGATGGAAGATGAAGTGTTCGAACAGATTGTGTACGTCTTCAATAAGCTGGTAGCGTGGGTCGCTGCTGGTGCCATGGTGTTTGGTGGAGTTGTCCCCTATATCCCCCAGTACAGAGACATCCGCAGGACCCAGAATGCAGAGGGCTTCTCCGCCTATGTTTGCCTGGTCCTACTGGTGGCCAACATCCTGCGGATACTTTTCAGGTAACAAACTAATACTGGCGTTTCTCTTTCAAGGTAGCTTTTTTTTTCCTTTTGTTTTTCAGCAGCAACTGCATTTGAAAAAGTATTTATTAGCAGTTGCATCACGTTAGCATGAATTAAGTTCGAAAAGATCATAATAACACATATTCTTATGTTATGACACGTAAAATACAGCAACTTTTTGCTTTTAAATTTAAGGGTTTTGTCTTATGGATAATGAAAATAAGATATTCAGAATTTCAAATTATTAAAATGCTTCCCAAGATCATAAAAAAGAGACCTGAAATACAGAAGTGTACATTCTTTGAAAGGTGGTTCATTTATACACTTGGTTTTTGGTTGATACCACACATTTCTGTATCAGTGTAGCACTGCCAGATGGGTTTTACAGCAGCCTTCAGCTAGTCTATTTGGCTGGCCAGTCGAGCACAGTAATACCTTGGCGAGCAAATCATTTACAGTTTTGCAGTGGGCAGGTGCTAAGTCCTGCTGGAAAAAAGGGGACATTAACACAGAGCTTTTTGGCAGGATAAAGCGGTAGACTTTTCAGACAATTTTTTTTTTCTTTAAATAAACATTTTTATGAGGAGGTAAGGAACATTAGAACAGGAACCTATAACTGCATAAGGTATCATATAACATCTGCATCACAATTAAAAAATGTCAACATATCGACACAGTAGAAATACTGTGCATCACAATAAAGGACAAGACATAGCTTTGCAGGCAACTTTAATGGCAACATTGTCTCTGAACTTGATAAAAGTCACTTGACTAACACCAGTGTATGATGGCACCCATAATCATCACAAACTACCTAAACTTCACTCGTCTGGACTTCAGACACTTTAGAATCTGTGCCAGACCCTGGGACCTTGATTCCCAAATAAAATGCACCATGTAGTCATAATATAATGAGTCTATAATATAAGAAATGTTGATTTTCTGAAATAAGTAGGAAATGTTAAACTTTGACATAATATTGTGTGGATACTCCTCTAAAGTGAGTCAACAAATATTCCCGATTAAGTTGGACTGTGAGTTTTTAACTTGTGTGTTCTCTGAAAATACAACTCAGGGGGTATCATAAGAGCTTTTACTGTTATGTTATTTATTTATGATTAGTTTTACCTGTGTTGCTGCATCTACTAGAGTGACTGATGATACTATTACTAATAAATGAACATGCCCACAAGCGACCCCTACCATACATTCAGCGAAGAATTGTTTGATTTTAGTTCATTTAGTAAAACTTTGTTTTAAAGTAATTTGTAAAACAGTCCACTGTGATTAAATTGATATGTGAAACACACAGCACATATGGTCTTTCTTGTGTAAGAAATGTACAACAGGTGTTTTTTAAATAGTATGTGGCTTGTACCTGGTGGGCTTCAGCTACAGAAAGAGCATAGTTTACAGGGCCAAACTTATTTCTTCCAAACAGATCGGGAACATTTTCCAGTATTTACAGTTGTGAGGCAGTGTTTGCTACAGTAATGATTCTGTGAAATTACTTATGTGAAATATTAAAGCATGGACTGCATTTCTTCACACATTTTATTCTTCAGATTTGGCCGCTTCTTTGAGACACTGCTGCTATGGCAGAGCATCATCATGATCATCACCATGCTCGTCATGCTGAACTTGTGCACCAATGTCCGCATGGCCACCGAACTCAACACCAAAAGACGCTCCTTTATAGGTCAGAAACCCTCTGGAAGTCTTTTACAGTGCAAAATAAAACTTAGCTCAGCTACAAATGCAATGTGCAGTGAAGAGCAAGTGTACCCTTGGGAACTATTTTGTCAGTTTGTGATTCAGAGATGTGATTGTTTGTTAGAATGTCAAAATACTGAGGAGTAAGCAAGAGTGTGCATGTGTGTGGATGTGACTTATCATGCACTAAAGGCAGTTTGAGACTGTTTAGTGCTAATATGTATCACTACATGGGACTGACTATAGATTAGCTCTTGAAGCTGGTCTTTGTTCAATTAATGTGGCAAACCAGAACCAGAGGTGAATTTTGCCTTGTAGCTATGCTGGGTACTGTTGCTTGTGACAGGATGTGCAGGGTGTGTTTGTTATTAAGTAAAAACAAACTAAAGTTTAAAAGGTAGCTGTCAGGAGAGAAACTAGCTCTATACTGAATCACAGTACTTGAAAATTAACTGGTAATTCCATGTTAAAGATGCAGCGCGTGCAGTTGAAGCTTTTTGTATAAAGTTTTATTTTCAGACAGGAAACTTTCTTCATTATTTATTTAATCAGGACAATGCTTCACTGCAATTGATCAACATATCAACAAAAAGCATCAAAGTAAATATGCTGGAATTAGCAAAGTTGCTAAATTTTAACGATTGTCCTAAGGAAGGTATCATAAAAAAACAAAATACAGACCATGCACCATGACAATTTGATAAAATATGAAGAAATCTTACACAAACAGTCAATCCACACAAAGGTTCAAGGTCCATACACAAATTAGAAAAGACAAAGAGGTTATCCATGAGAGCAGGTCTGGCTTGTTTTAAACCGCTGTTTCGGGAACTTTTTAAATGTACTGGAGCTGACACAGTTTCCATCAGTCCCTCTGATGGACACCACTGTAGCCCAAATTTAGTCCTGTGCCATGCTACATCACAGTCTCCTTCATTAAGTGCCCTAGTGTTTGCTCTAGAATATTTTTTCTATATTACGTCCTGTAATAATCGAGAGGCTAGTCCATTCAAAACCTTAAAGATAAGAGGGATCCTGGTGGCTATCACAGTCCAAGATTTTGTACTCTAACAATTTTACAATAATGATAATGAATAGTTTTTTTTTTTGTCGAGAAATTTTAATGTTCTCTTGATGAGAGACCTGATTGGTTTAAGAATACTCTCTGATAGGGCTGGGCGATATTGGAAAAAGTTAATCACAATAACTATTTTTCATATCAGCCAATATATCACAATATAAAAAAACACTTGTCAATCTTAAATGCTCCCTGTTACTCTTAAATGAAATTTAACAGTGCTTATTGGTAGCAGGTCTTTTGCAATACAATAAGCTACTGCATCTTTGTGCCTCTTTGACATTTTGTCGTAAGGTGTTGCGCAAGAGAAAGCAGAAAGGTAATGTTCTTATATATATGTATATATATATATATATATATATATATATATTTATATGTATATGTATATATATATAAATATATCTGTTGTAGGTTAGGGATGGTCTGAAGCAACTCATTTCCTAGTAGTTTCAACAGTTATTTTAATTTTGACCTATGATGTTACCATATTCCATTTTCATTTATCATATGCTTATGTCTAAAGGGACATACATCATAGAGTAAGTACAAGACAAGTAAACACTTAGGAAGATCTAGACTAACCAGCTAGTCCCAAGGTAAAACACAAGAAAAGGGTCAAAATTGAACGCAGTTGGTTCAACTTTGGCAAGGGCTGTATAATGAATATCACCTAAGATGAGATCTTGTGTGAAATGAAAATATTGAGTACATCACTTATTTTACCAAAAACAATCAAAATACACCTTGAGAATTCACGCACGCTCACTGAATATGATCAAGCCTAGTTGAACAGACTACTGAACTACAGTGCTTGATAGCACATACAGTGTTCACACTTTTCAACAGGCAAAGATTGCTTCAGTAACTGTGAATTAACCACAGCACAGAATATGAACAACAAAGAAAGCTTCAGGTGACTTAAAAATACTTTTTTGTTTTCTGTTCCTTTTTCAGAGTTTTGGGGGGATGAAAAAAAAGTTAAACTAAACTAAATCCAGCAAAATACTAAGACTGCCATCTGTGCTTGTGTTTATCCATGTAGTTGAGCATTATCTTAGTATGGCTGTAACCATTAACCTGAGCTAAAGTTCCAGCTGGTGGAGGGTGGCTGTACTACAGCGATGACCATCATTTGGCACACAGAAATTTTTTTTTAAAATAAAATTTTCAACTGACTAGTAATCCTGGTGCTAAAAGAGATACAATTAACCATTACGTTGAATAAACATGCACATTACAAGCGAAGGTAGTGAATTAAGCTGGGAAAATAGAAATTAAAAAACAAAAGTACAGAGAATTTAAAAAAGTAGAGAAATTTAGCTAAAAATCACAACCTAGAGCCTCTAACACCTGTTGTACTTCTAGTTCCAAACTGTGGAAGCATGCTATATTTGATGACTTAGGATTACATGCTTCAGTGGTGTCTTCTGTTTCTTTGACAGTTTGAAGATATAAATGAGCTAGCTTTAGTTATCTTATTTTGCACCTTGTAGGAGTGCAAAAACGAGTAGCCGTCTGTTTAAAGAATATTTACAGAATTTGTATTCTTGTATTCTGTACACTTTCAAATTGTGATTAAATAGCCACGATTTAAAATGAAACAATTGATGTCAAAATTGGAAAAGAAAGATGACAGCTAAGATGACAGCAACTAAGCTGGACTTTTTAAAAGTCTGTACAAGTGAACAGAAGATACTAGAGTTGAGATCACCACTTCCTGGCTTCAGACAACTTATTTGAAGTAAAAGCCTTTCCATCTTTGTTCTTAGGTAACACCTTATTTCTCGACTGAGGAGCTATTGAGTGTTTTTATGGTTGCTGAAGAAGTAAAGATTCCATTCATGTGTTTTGGAAATAATCAGAAAACGACAATGTTTAGTAAAAACTTGCATTTCTGCAATGAAGGTGGGACACAAATTTTTTAAAACACTTTCCAAGCTGCTTTGAGACATAACCAGGACATGGTGAATGAAATGAAACTTTGTAGTGTTTTGCATGAATTGCACTTGATCAGTTATATCTCAGATCAGGAAATCGAAACATCTGTGATTTCTTAGGCAATTACTTAAAATGTCGGAAGGTCATTCTCCTGACACAATAAGTCACACATATTTCCTGAGAAAAAGAAGAAAACAAAGCTTTTGTCTTTCTCTTCTTTCCTTTTTTTCTTTTCCTTTATTTTGTAATTTTTTGTCTGTAGCAACAGACAGTAAGGACGAGGAGATCAGAATCCCTAAGAGACTCTTTCTGGGTATGTACAGAACTAACTGTGTCTGCAATGAAATATCAGTTATAGTTCATCTGCTACTCTCACTCCATCTGTATGTTGTGCATGCTGACCCAGTATGGCTATTCCTCTCACCCAACACTAACTGATGACTAATAACAGCCAGCGCATGCTTGGATGAAGCATGAAGTCCATTTCACTAGCATGTAGTTCTGTTGTTGCACCCAAGTAAGATTCATGAAACTTGTTTACTGACCATCTTTGTGGTCAGTAAAGTGATGTGTTAAATGCTCATTATCCTGCACATCATCAGTAGAAATTCATACAGTTTAACAATAAATCAACCCTCATGCTGTGGTGTGATTTTGCATGTTTTTTATGCATGTGATTAACAGTGTTCATCAAGGAAAAAATCAGTGGGTTATGTAGTCTGAGCTGACAGACCACAGGTGCATCTCAATAAATTAGAATATCAGAAATTAATCCATTTTAGTTCCAAAAGTGAGACTAATACAATATATAGATTCATTCCACACAGACTGATAGATTCCAAGGTTTTTTTTCATTTTGATTATTACTTCCTGCAAATTAAAACCCAAAATTTAGTATCTCTCAAAATAAGAATATTGTGAAGAAGTTTAATATTGAAGACCTATGGTGTCACACTAATCACAAGATTAACTCAAAACATCTGCAAAGGTGTCCTGGGCCTTTAAGTGGTCCATCAGTCTGGATTAGTTGGACCATAGACATTATATAGAATGGACGCCATCTGCCTCCTCACAAACTTTAGAAATTAATGACGCAGGATATAATTTTTTTCCCCTTGGATGTGATGTTGACATGTAGTTACTGTAAGACTGGTTCATGCTTAAGTCCTCTTTTTTCTGTGCAGCTCCATTGTGTCAAGCCACTCTTTAACCAGAGACAACGTCAGAGGCGTCTTACCTGACAAAAAGAACTGGACTGTTGCTCAGTGGTCCAAAGCCCTTTTCATATAAAAGTGAAGTTTGCATTTTTAAAAAAATTCAAGGTCCCAGAGTCTGGAGGAAGAGAAGAGGCACGGAATTCCAGTTGCTTGAGGTCTAGTGTAAAGTTTCCCCAGTCAGTGGTGGTTTGGGGAGCCATGTCATCTGCTGGTGTTGGTCTGCTGTACTGTACTTTATCAGGTCCAAGGTCAGCATACCTGTCTACCAAGAAGTTTTAGAGCACTTCATGCCTCCCTCTGGTGACCAGCTTCATAGAGATACTGATTTCATTTTTACAGCAAAACTTGACACCTGCCAACACTGCCAAAAGTACCAATACCTGGTTTAGGACCATTGTATCTCTGCAATTGATTGTGCAGCAAACTTCCCTGACCTGAACCTCATAGAGAATCTATGGGGTATAGTGACGAGCTGAATGCTGCTATCAGAGCAACCTGGGCTTTCAGAACACCTCAGCAGAGTCACAGTCTGATTACCTTCAATGCTACAGTAATTCATGAAAAAGGAGCCCCATCCAGGTATTGAGCGCTATACATGTCCATACTTGTCAGTAGTCGAACACTTCTGTTAAAAATCCTTTTTTATTGGTCTTAAGTAATATTCTAATTTTAGGAGATAGAGAATTTTGGGGTTTTATTAGCTTTAAGCTTCAAGCCTTAAAATGAAAAGAAACACTTCAAATATATCAGACTGTGTGTGATGAATCAATATAATATAAGTTTCACTTTTTGAACTGAATGACTGAAATAAATTAACTTTTTGATAATATTCTAATTTATTTAGATGCACCTGTAGATAATAGTTATGATAGTTTACTATAGACTGACCTGCTGATAGCACAGTTCAAAGCAACTTAATGACATCTAGTTGTGCAATCTTTCTGCATTTGTTTGTTGCTGAAAGTGATTTTTTTCCACGTAAATATTTTGTGTGAGTGGGTGTTTGATTACCTTCAAACTTTTGCATGCTTATTTGTCCCCTTGAGTAATGTTAATGTGAAGCATCTGTTCTATGGCTGAATGATGCAACCTCTAATACTGATGGCTTGTAGCCAGTGTTGTCTTTTAACTTGCATTTTGTACTTTGAACTACACTTGTTTTTAGCACTTTGGCTCATCTGTGTTGAATCTGCTTCAAAAGAAGAGAACTTATTTACTTACTGTCAGCTAAATGAAGATGTTTCTACCAGTTTTTCTTTGTGTGTTGATTTTTAATCAATCACTCCAGAGGTTGACTTGAAAACTCTGTTGCAGTAGTTTTTTGGAATATACAGCTCTATGAGTATGAGGTGAGTTGTTATGTCAATGCATGAGCAAGAGCAAATGTAGCAAAATCAAACTGGTCCAGGGCACAGCTGGTTTAAGGGACTTAGGGCTCTTCATATACACAGATGGCTTGGAATTAGTTTCAACTTGTGGCCACTGCCCTCCTTGTCACTTCCTGCTCTATTCGTCCTCTTTTAATAAGTAAAACCCAAAGTGAAATAAATCTTTAAATTAAAACTGGGACCTGACTGGAACCCTGATGGACTCCATAGATGGCTGAATGCTGGCATTTAGTACATTTACATGCAATTAAAAAAACATTGATTTATTGACTTGGACTGATACTGGACTTCAAAAAATCATGTCATTGTAATTAAAAGTTTATGATTCGCCTGGCTCTATATCATATTGATAAAGAGACAAGCATTCTTCTTAGAACAGTGGACAATGGTATGGCCCATCCTTGTTCTGTAACACTAAAATGTAGTCTGATGTAGGTGTGTTAAAAGTGTGCTGGTTGGCGTTTCTGGAATAGCTCTAAGTGGTTCAGTTCACACTTAGTTCAAAGTGAAACTATGTATGTTTATGTGCACAGTGAAATCCATTTTGCTCATCCACAAGTAAGCCTGTTTACTCAAGGTGATCAGCAAGAATACAGTTCATACGCATATCTAATAAGACCAAGGCCCCTATACTATAGTTGAGAGGTAACTTGGGATAATTTTAGGGGGGATTTAGAAACGGGTTTAATAAAGTCTTGTGCTACTGTGTGGGTATAACACTTGTTTAAACAAAACTGGAATAAATTATGCTGAATACTAAACAAATTTTGTGACATCGGCACTACATTTAAAATTTTGTCAGTTACAGTAACTTGTATAACATGTATATATTACATCTTTTGCCTCTTCTAAGGATAGGCTTAGGGTTAGGTCTGCACACAAAACAATATATCAGTATTACTTTTTGCTGACATTTCAGATTCTATATTCTTTCTTCAAATAACCATTCCCTTTCGGAAAGAATTATCAAATAATCTGTTATACCCAGAGGACAAATTTGTCAAACCTTTTCTCCACTTATCAAATACAGCCTCCATGGGAATGCCCCTACGCTGTTTAATCTATTTATTTCATGCCAGGCGAGTTTCTAAGTGATTGATATGCAAGGACTAAGCTCTGTTGAGCTTGCGTTTCATAGTCCACTCTCTGCTGTTCTTAAGTTGTCCTACAATGCCTGTAGCTTTTGATTCCAGAGGGGTTGCAAGACTTTCTAAACCCTTTTGACCTACCAGGTCTAGCTTTCATAAATGTACTTAATTCTGAGTAAACCTTGCCGCACAATTTATTTTACCAACTATCCAGCTCTTGCTGATTGATAGTAATAAACCTCAATTGCTCATTAAAACATAGCAAATGTTATCACCTTGCATGGATCAGAAGGATGAGTCAGAGAGTAACCTTGGTATCAGAGTTTATCTATAGACCTACAGGATAAGTCTGAAAAATCTTTAGCAACATAAGACAGTTTCCTTGCAATTTTAACATTAATGAAGAATGATCAGGCAAGATCTCCCATTAAAGAGAAAACATCTACCTTAAATCTCTCAAAGGGCAAATTTGGGATGAGATCCCAAAATTCAACACAATTACTTAAGCCTTCATGTGAAATAATCTAGTCTACAACAGCTTTTTCCTTAACCAAGACTGAAGTGAAACTGTCATGTCTTATTAAGCACACAACACTCTGTGTCTCAGAAAATTAATCAATATTTCCCCGTTGCTTTTAACTGTACTGAATTATTTCAAATAGGAATGTTATCCACATCAACTATACAGTCATCAAGATTGCTGATATGACTACTTAAATCCCCACATAAGTAAATAGCATCCACATCAGACAGATAAAACATCTGAGCCATTAGGTGACTAAAAAAAGTATAGCACATCACAATCTTGTAGATCCTTCTGGAGGTGCTAGTATCCCCTTCAGAAATTGGTCCTGTACTTTAACCTCATCGGACTCACACAGTTTGTTGTTGACTAACAAGTCACAGTTTTACATGTAACAAAACTCCAGTGTTACACAGTAAATGAACTAGATGATGATTAACAGAGCATCATCAAGGATACCTAATGCATATTATTATTATGATTATTATTATTATTATTATTATTATTATTGTTAATAATAATAATGATAATACACATTTGTATATTTTAATATTCATATTTATTTTTCAGTAATAGTAATACACTGAATACAGTTTGAACTGTGAACACAGCGATGTCTGATAATCCATGTGTTGTCATTTCTTTTTAGAATACATTGCAGAATCTCCATTTTCATTTATTGTAAATAAATAAGAAAGGTTGTTACGTGGAGCTCATTGAAGATTTTCATTCCAGGTATAGACACTAGATGGCAGAAAAGCTACAATATTGTTGCTGTGTGCAGAGGCACTGACACTTGCCTCAGTGGGTTTATTACGTATCACAAATTTTTCACTTTGGACACTAGATGGCTTGATGTTTCAAGTGCTGTTCGACCTGTTTTTACCCCTGTAGGCTTCAGTTGTTCTAAAAAGAATTAAAGCTGTAGCAGCCATCATCATCATCGTCATCATTTTGTGGTTTCATTTGTTTATCTCTGGCTTTTGGCATCATCTGTTGTTGGACCATGTGTGGAAGCCAGTCAGGGGCTTGAGTCTCTATTAAGTATCACTGATCAGCGAGCTTTGCTGAGCATCATTATAACTCACAGGCAATAATGTTCTTTGATTGCTGCTTTGCTGGTCTGTTGGTGCTCATTGATCTGCTAATGGAAATATCAAATGTTAGCATATTGTCTACAGTTGATAGTAGCATCAAGACACCAAGGAAGAGAGAGGGGGAAATGATAGAGTGAGGTGAAGCTGAGGAATAATCACAAACAGCATTACCAAGATGTTTGCAGCAGCCTTTGTCAAGAAATTTGTAGAAAGCTAACAGTCTTATATTGAGCTGGTACATAGTGGTGCTGGTCTGCAGAGGTATGGTGAAAAGAGGTAGGGTAAGGTGAAACAGCTCCTCATAAAGTACTTTGCCATGACTCATCATGTTGTGTAGTCAGCAGGACATACTGCCAACCTGTGTGTTTTTCTTATTGGTCATTTTGTTCTTTTTTTGTCACTCAGAGTCCCTATAAAAAAACAAACAAAAAACAAACATATTTGATTTCATAGCAGCACAGTGTCATTATCACACCAGCCACTTCAATCAAACAGCCGGAGATTTGTACTAAGAGAGAAAAACATAGTGGCTGCAATTTGGTGTCTGAGGTCAACTTTTGAAACTCACAGGTTAAGGAACTGTACCACATCACAAAACTTTCCACATGTTTTGTATTATTATTATTATTTTTTTTTTAATAAAGAGGAGAAATGTTGTTGCAACAGCATCTTAGTGTGATTTATAAGGAAGACTACCTGCAGCAATCTTTTTAGAAGATTAAAAGATCATATCATATAACTCTGTGCGAACCCAAAATACTGGTGATCACTTCAGTGAAAGTAAAGGGGTCAGGGAGTTCTGATGGTGACTGATGGAAAAGTTCCTCTGTCAAATGTCTGCCTAAGTCAAAATTCAGTTTTTTGAAAGACATGGGACAGGAAACTAAATCTCCTGCTGCATATAAATGCAAGTGTGTCAGCAAGCAAACCATCGGGCACCATCATTAGAAAATCTGTATGCAAACTCCTGAGTGTTTGTGGTTTCTGGCTGCACAATTTTGTGCTTGTTTATTCCTGAGATGCAGCAGTTCTGTCTGTCTGTTGTCCCCTTTACATTTCCAATCACTTTCAGCTTAGTTTTAATTCATACATTAGACTTTAATGTTACAGCTGCAGATCTTTAATGAAAGGAAATAATGGCAGGAACATGAAGAATGTAATGTAATGCATTTTCAGTAAAAAAAATAAAAAGAAAGAAGGAAAAAAGTAAACATTTCAAACCTTTTTTGATCCTCGAAAAAAAGTTTCCCTCATTTGCAACAAGTCGCAGTGTTCCCCTACATTCATTCAGCAGCGATTTACGTGCAGCGCTACTTAAATTTCACATGATCATTAATATCATTGCACCACTGATAATTTCCACTCACACTGTGTGAACACAACACACAACGTTATTTCCAACTTATTTTGAGCGCATCAAATCCTGTCAGACCCTCTTCCATCAACGTTAAAAGTAACGTTCAAGCTTATACGCAGTCTATAGAGTGAGTAGCATTAATTGCATTAGTAGCAATAATATCAATGCGCCGCTAAGGATTTCTACTCGCACTGTGTGAGCACAACAACACATAACGTTATTTTGGACTTATTTTGAGCCATCAACGAGTGCATCAAATCCTGTCAGACCCTTTTCCATCAATGTGAAGGGTGACATTTAAGCTTATAGGTAGTCTATATAGCGATTAGCACATGTAGCGTAATGTAAAGTGAATGTAACAGTGTAGCTTTGTACAATTGACGTTTGTATAATTATTGTACAAGGCACACAGCAATGCATGAGATTTCACCTCGCTATTGTTTGGTCGTGGCTCATTGCTCATGCTGGTCCCTCTGGGATCTGTACCTGTAGTTTCAGTGGGTTTGTCAGCTTAGAATAAATCACTTTATCTTGTAGGTGCAGTTACCTTCTCTCGAAGGACAGGTGGGGGGTTTTACTTTTTGCTTCAATCCCTTAATGGTTGAGCCACAGTATTTAGCCGCAGTGGCAGTGCACAAAGCTTGATGTGCTCTGGCTTTGGAGCAGCCACAGCAAAGCATAAAACCTATTGTGAAAAGAAACTGTTAAATGTTTCATGAAATGCTTTTGAAGTCTGAGGTTCTATTTTGCAGGCTGTTGTGGCAATCCTTTCATATAATTTGTACGCCTCCCCCACTGCGTGCTTTTGAGTGACAAAAGTGGCTGTTTCAACTATCTGCATAGGTATCTCTAAGACCTGACTGACGCTAGTAAGGAAGAGTTGGTAAACAGGGATTGAAATCACTGACTCTGACCTGAGTCTTCCTACACATGTACTCAACTCTGTGGGAATTCTAACTGATCTGTGCACAAGACGCTTGGCCACCACAGGCAGTCTATTGTTTGCAGTTCCAGTCTGTTCCCACACAGTGCTGCTACAGCTGCTGCACAGCGCAGGGATTAAATAGGAGGAGGAGAGTACCCCAGGGTACACAAGTAGCACAGAAAGACAGAGTGTATGGCAGGATATGGCTTTGGTAGAGCACCATGATAAACATCCTGTAATGATCACGGATAACTGATGTGATCCCCATAAGCATATAAGACATTTTTCTTGCTTTTTCTGCTTCTCAGAAGTCAAAGCAAGATTTTTAACATTATATACCTGCAGGATTATGACATGACAACTGCACAGCATGAGCATGAAGGAGTGTAATTAGTAAAACATGAGGCTGAGATGAGGGCTGCACAAATAATTGAAAAGCAAGTCACTTTCAATGTTCTCTAAAAAGGTTGTCAGTGCTTTGCAGAGCGCCTGGCTTCCAAATGAAGATGAGACATAAAAAGAATATCTTCAACTTTTTTATGGATAAAATTTCATGCATTATCTCTTCTTCTTGTGACAACAGTGACAAAAGTACAGTCCAAGTTAAAAAAAAACTAGGGATGTTGTATAGGCTAATAAAAAACACATTTCAGATATTAGGGACATGTGCAGGATTATGATTATTTTACGTAATTTCTTCTGTTAACAACACTGAAGAAACATTTTTGAAGAGAGTGACACATTGTACCACTATTGCCTAAAATGGATTTCAGCTGCTCAATTGCTTAGGGTTAGTACAGAATGGGATTTACCATTGTCTTTCTAAAATAAACAAAGTGTACTCTGATAAAAGCACTGCCTTGGTGGCAGCATATGTTACTCCAAAACATATTGATTAGTATCAATGGTGTCTTCCCAGGTGTGTAAGCTGACATGCATAGGAGAACTTCTAGTCCCAATTCCAACAAACATGCTGACTTTTGAACTGTGCATTCATAAAAAGCTAGGTGGTCTTTTTTCTAATTGGACCAGAGTAGGTGGTGTCCATGATGATAAAAAAAATAAAAAAATAAAAAAACAGAAATTTTGAGTCCTCAGACCAGAAGACAGTTTTCCACTTTAACTCATTTCATCCTAAATTCTAAACAGACTACATTTTCAGTGATGCTAAGTGAAAGTCATAAAATCAGCCATCCAGTATCTGATTGACCAAGGAAGAACAGTTTTTCTAGAATTGTTAAATTATTCAAACAGTCTCTCCCAGAGTTGGGGAACCTCTTCCCATCTGTAGTTCCAAGAGACTCAGCCTCTTTGGAATGCCTTATTATGTTACTAACCTAATATAAACCAACCTTTAGTCAAGAAGGGATTCTCTGTATTTTTAATCATTACACAAATCCCTCAGTGTTTTGAAGTCCATTTACCAATTTTTAAAATCCTGTTACTTGCAATACATTCAACATCTTGTAGATAGGGCTGGGTTTTGAAACAACAACGATATATATCGAAAACTAATTTCCCTCAATATCAATATAAAACATGGTCAATATGCTTTTTGATAGTCGGCATTCTGCCATGTTTTGGTAGACTATAAGAATAGCCAATGAAAAGGGGAGTTGCTCTGGGTCTGCTTCATGCTGCACCAATCAAGTGCGAATTAGAACCAAGTAGCAAACAACTGCTTAGTAGCAGGCTGCAGCTACATGCAACCATTGCACTTTAACAGGTGAAGCCGACAGCACTGTTGGTGAAAGAAAATAAAAAGAAAAAAGAAAAATGACATCGTCAACAACACTGGCACAAAAACGTCAGTGGTGTGGAGGTATTTTGTTTTTTTGAGGTCGGACATGAAGCAGAGTAATGTGTACTGCAAATTATGTCGAGTAGACATTCTTGCAAAGTCAGGGAATTTTTCACCACCTGAAGCAATGCCACGCGGCAGAGCACGCGCAATGCAAAAGGTCACAAACCAAGAGTGGAGCAAGGGGCCCATGGCGCCTGCGCAGCCGAAACAGCCGACCATTCAGTCTGCTTTCTCTAGCGCAACACCTTACGACAAAATGTAAAAGAGCACAAAGACCTCACAGATGCAGTGGCTTATTGTATTGCCAAAGACATGCTACCAATAAGCACTGTTAAATTTCATTTTTTATGTTGTGATGTATATTGATATCAACTGATATGAAAAAAATATATCGTGATAAACTTTTTCCCATATCGCCCAGCCCTACTTGTACATAAAATCAAAACTACTTAATCTCTTTGCCTTAATGACCAAATGTACAGAAACATTTGTACAGCATGGGACATGAAGCCCTTTTTCTGCTGCTGTTTTGATTTCTTCTAGGCTTTTCAATGACAATAAATTCTTTCTGCACTTTTAATTAGCTCTGGTCTATGTTACAGTAGTCCCCGGACTATTACACTTAAACCTAACATGACAAATAAACTAAATTTGGGATAATACACTTTTATTCTGTTGTTGTCTTTTCAATTTAAATTAGCCAAACAGTTAGTGGATTGTGTGAAGCTGGTTTCTTTACCTTTGATCTATAGTTACAAAATATTATCTGGCTTTAGAATAGAATAGAATATTCCTTTATCGATCCCCCGTGGGGGAAATTTTTTTGTTAGGAAAATTTGCTTTTTATAGAAGCATGTCAAGTCAAAGAGACAACAATCTTTGCTTAGCTTTTGCAAAAAAGAGCAAAACACTTTATATACATCCACAGTCCCCTTAATCTAGTTCTGCACATGTTTCTGTTTTTACTATGCAAACTGAGGCCATGCCAAATCATCTCATGGAGCCTTACTTTATATTATACGTTCAGTTTTGTGTTTAGGGTAAGAAATGACATGCTAGCAGCCAGGCTGATGTGCAATACTCCTTTTTTTGTCCCCGAATGCTTCCCTGTGTATTTGGCTGTTATCAAGCAGCACCAGGCTGGTGCTAGTTGGCCCAGATTCACAGTCCTTTGGCTCTGCTGCCAACTAGGCTTCAAAGCCACACCAGGCAATTGCAGCCACAGCACCTACAGACTAAGCACTGCACTGAGGATACTGTACAGAGAAGATATTCTTTAAGTTGATTATACTAAAATCTGAAATACATGCCCTTTTTGTTTTACATTTGAGAGTTGTTTCCTATTCTTTGTTAAACACTACTTTGTGTTGCTATCCTACTTAGTTGTAAGGTTTTGTTGTAGAAAATCTTGTTGTAAACAGTATGGTCAACTCATCATACATTGACGGACAGGCAGGAGCCCTTTGCGTCAGTAAGCAACGTTCATGGTGTACCCCTCGCATCTATTAAGATGCCGTCATTGAAAAAAAATAAGAGTCCTGGCCAAAGTGCCCAATTCCAAGACGATTTGGGTACATTCTCAAGGTGTCAAATCTGACAAAGCAGGACTTTGATTTAAGTCTATGGCTGACCCTCCGCCAACAAAGACAACTTGAGCACAGTCTCAAAGCCTCACCATCAGATGAAAGAGTACTCTTATTGAAGTCTAGTGCCAACCCGCCATGTCAAAAATAGACTAAAGGGGTACCCCGTGTGCATAGCTTACTGACACAAAGGGCTCCTGCCCATCCATCAATATATGACAAATTGGGAATAAGAACTTGTTGATACTGTTGGTTGATAGAAGGCCTTGATTTCTTTTGCTCTTTGACATTTATTTTTATACACATAGGGATTTGAGTAAGTCGTCCATCAGAACTTAACTGGTTATTCTTAATATTGCAAAGCTAGGTTGGCTCTCACACATTTATCCTCACTTTGCCATCTGAATAACAGAATATCTTACTGTTAAATCTATACTGAATAATAATTCTTTCAATCAAAAGTCTCTGTGATAAGCTCTTAATTTGGTAACCTCTGAGGAAAAAGTGGTACTATTGATCTCTGGTTTTGTGTGTTGTGTATTCCAACAAATAAAAAATTGTCCATTCTTTAACACTCAGATGTTGAATATTTGTCGTGGAAAGGATTGCCACAATAAATTTCCATTCTGGCACCTAGAAGCTCTTTTGGATGTTAAATAACAACTCTGAAATTTACAATCTTGATGCTCACATCCTTGTGTGCAATTTTAGGTCCTAAGGAATCATTAGAATTCATTTCAGCCTGTATCATAATCAGGTAAAAATTTCTTGCACGTATCTTAATTTTGAAGTCAAACACATTGGTATCTTTTTACACCTGATTTGAATAAGTCTTGGTAAATGAAGGCTTTGTTTAATTTAGCCATGATACTGAATTGTGAATTTATTTCAAACAGTACTTTAATATGTTTCTTTTTGTTCTTTTCGGCTTAATCTACTCTATAGTCCTTCCTCTGGAGGCCCATGCAGGCCTATCCACTGGGCTTCCTTTAGGCCTCCAAGATAAATAGAGCCTTATTTAACTGTGATTAAACAAATCAGCTTTATTGCATTTGAGGCTTGTAGAAATTTTATTAAAGATACAGCAGCAGAGCCAGAATGAGATTTTCATAATAAAATCTTTCAGTGTCTCCCGCTAAGACATTAAACCAGCAGCTACATGTGCGCTCTTTTTCTCTGCCCCTGTATCAGGAAGAAAAGTTGAATGTGCTAAAGACGTTAGAGAAATATCTCCCAGTGCTTTATCAACCAATTTTCTTATCATCTGTGGTCAAAGCAGCACCTGAGGTGATCAAAGATTTGGTTTGCACTCTGGAGAATATTATCATAATGTGATTAGTACTGGCTGTGTGGCTTATTACAGGGACATTCAGCAAGGTGCAGATCCCCAACAAGCCCATTACTACCATATTTTGGAGGAAATTCTGCTACCTGGGATGACCATTATTGTCCGTCAGGGATTATCACCACCATCAGTTTTTCTGACTGAGCATCCCCTCTCAAGACCTTGTCTGCTTTTGCAAAATTCTTTACAAAAAGCAACATAGACTTTGTGTATAAGTGACATACTCACTGCTTATCTGATATACACATACATGTATATATATTCATATATCTATATGAAAAAAGGGCTGTGTGATTAATTATGATGGCCTATGATGCACTTAACAGTTATATACCAAACATTTCCCTATTAGAAAGGATTTCTGGGTATAATTCACATTTATCTTCTCGGGCAGGGGTTGCCCTGGACTTACACGCAACCAAGTGTCATTGGCCAGCTATCTCTGATGTGAACAGACCAACTACTGTTCAGGTGGTCTTACTAAAATGTGCTCTGAAATGTCTGAGTGTGTGTGTGTGTGTGTTGACCTTGAGGCGTGTATACTGTAGTAGACCTGTCCAACAGAAAAAAGAAAGCCATGTTGTTCATTGGGCTCCTGCTTATCAATGGTCTCACACCAGTTTGATTGAATGAAATTAACCTGTTACTTAAATGTAAATGTTCAGTAAGTTACATTAGTTCAGTGGAAAAGTACAAATCTGATGTTAGCAAGAGAAAAGCCAATTAAAATATTTTCCCCTTTTGACTTAAATTTATTATGTCGATGAAACACAGATGGAAGGTTTTTGTTTGTTTGTTTGTTTGTTTGTTTGTTTGTTTTTCATGTATTTTGCCCTAACCCCAGTCTTCTCATGAACGTTAATGTAGTCTTGTGCAGTTTATACTTCTTTTTACTTTTGCTGGTTCTCAGCTGTAAATATTTCTTATATAGTAATTTTTTTCTTTTTGCATGCCCTGAGTAGACTCTTAATCATCTGTAGTTCCCCTCACCCAGCACTTTTTAATAGGGCAATGTTTGTTATATAACCCTGTTAATGTATATAAAAGTGCATCATAGGCCCCGTTGGGATCATCAACATACACCTCTTCCCAGTTACATTTCGTAAGATCCATCCTATTAGTCTCAATTCTTTTTGGAATTCTTATTCTCACTAACTTAGAAGCAGGCTCATTTACATCGACCTGGTATTTAAGCCTTAAAAGTATGCAAAATCACAAATATGGAAAGATGGTCACTGATATCACTTCGAGAAAAAAAGTGGGCCATGGATATGGTCAAAATGTTATCAATAAGTGTGGCATTTTCATTGGTTATCCAAGGAGGTTTGTTTATAAGGGCCCGTAGACTAAAACTAAATATTGTGTTACAAAAATCTCTGAAGGTTTCCTTTTTCAGAGTTATGATCATTGTCAGTCAGTGAGGTTCCTAAAACAGTCTAAATCTCAGTCAATGTTCTTTCTGTAGGGTCTGAAGTCAGTGCACAGTGAGTCTCATAGATCCAGTTGCTCAGTCTGTTAGTGCAGTGGTAAGGGCCAATCCCAACTGCCACTCTTTCCCCTTCATCTTAAAACATGCCCCAAGAAAACGATATGCCACTCGACTCCTGCTACTTCATCATGTCTTGCTGTTTGCAGTGAATTTGTCGAGTCTGATATCAGTGTAGCCATAGACATAGTGCAGTGGCCAAGTACAAATTTTAGCCAGAATCGTTCAGTTGGTGATACAAGAATGAAAATTCTTCATGGGTCATTTGACTAGAAAAGTGTCCCAGCCATTTGAAATTTCCAGATGGCCACCATTTTTAAGATGGCTGCCATCTCACTGGAGCAGTTAAATGATGTAAGTTGGTGATAACAGGAAAAATAGTAAGGCCATTCTCCCTGAGTAGCTTAACAAGAAATAGCCCCAAGCTGCTTGAAATTTCAAGGTGATGACCATTTAAAAGATGGCAGCCATCTCATTACAGCAGTAATATCACGTTAAGTTGGTGATATAAAAATAAAAATTGCAAAGACCATTCTCCATAGGTCAATTCACAAGAAAATGCTTGACTGTGTTTTGTCCAACTCCTCGCCCTCGACCTGTCCAATTTGGTAAATCCTGCCAGGAGTTGCCTCCTAATGGCAGAGCTCTTAGGGTTAATCGAAGTATGAAAGCTCCCTTACCACAACAAGGTTACAGTCACAAGGGAGGTTGTTTTTTTTCTTTAAACAATTTTTTAAAACTTTTTTGTTTTTTGTACCTTTTTTAATTTTTTTTCTCTCTGACAAGGGGAAGGTAAACAAGGGAAAGTAGTCCTGGCAAAAACAATACACACATTGCTTCTAACAGAGGCAACTACATAGGCATGTGCAGGTGAGACCATACTTGAAGCACTTGTATCGTCCAGTACATTCCTTGGTGCACCCACATTTGGTCATCTCCCAACAATACTCTGCAACAAGAGGAAAAGGGGTCCAAAAGATTCTCCATTCCTCATCTTCTTTTATCCATCCCCAGTCAGATGGGCTTGGCATTTCTGGCTTTTGCTTCAATGCCTGTCCCCACACATATCCAGCCTCACAAGCTGCACATATGGCGTGCTCTTTCAGTGCTACTTGAGTTGGTGGGATCAGATCATACGGTCTCTGCTTTCTCGCAAAAAGATAAAGCCACGCCTCATTGACAGTTGTGACATCACTGGATCTGTCGTACATCACCTCAATAAATCTCTCCAATGCTTGCAGGTCGCTCTCATCAATTGCAGAGGGGCATTCACCAAGTTTTGCCAAAGTGTTTGAGGCTAGACAACTAGACTAGACAACTAGATTATGATGTTTTAACATTAACTTTTTACTGTATCATTATGTGACTTTTATTTTATTTTACAATATTTTTAATCACATTATTTTATACCATCAGGATTCCACTTTAAGATCATTGTAGACTGTATGAGGACAATAAACATATTCTGTACAATGTCTATTCTATTAAAAAAAGTAATGATGAATTTTATTTGTATAGCACCCAACAACAAGTCAATGATCTCAAAGTGCTTAGCAGTAAAAAAAAAAAAAAAAAGTTAAATATGAAATGTTTATAAACTACAGAGCCCCTAAAGGGACATGGAGAAACAGACAAAAAAAAGAAAGAAACATTCATGTGCACACGCAAAAGAGGTAGGTTGTTCTCTGATTGGAGTCGGGATACCACGGGATGTATTTTCGCTCTAATCGTTGTTCTCCAGTGGGGATACACCCCATGGTATCCCTGAGCCAAGAGGAGAACAACGCTCCTCTTTCGCATGCACGCGCAAAACGTTTTTTTCTTTTTTTTTTCAACTGACCCCTTTAGGGGCCCCTTCATAAACATATGTTTGAATTAAAAAGAAAAACACAAAATATTGAGAAAAAATTTGAAATTTCAAATGGCTGGGACACTTTCCTGGTGAGTGACCCAAAAAGCTATCAATAGCTATAGCTTCATTAGTTAGCTCTTCATAACGCCCAATTTTAATATGCAAACAATTCAAAACATAGCTAATATTTATGTGGATTGAGTATCTGGTAAAAATAAATAAAATGTGTCATTCCTATGAAACAATATCAAAACAATATCGTACCCTTTGTCTTCAAGTGAGGTCTTGGTTTCAAGGGCTGTGTACCCATTGCCCTTAGCCCATCCCTTGACCTTACAGAGAATTGCGATACCCCTTCGCTTGACGTTACGCACAAAACGGAGGGCAAAGGGGTACAATTGGGGTTGATCCTAAATGGACATAGCATTTTCCTCCCTCTCAAAATCTTACGTGGGTAAACATTCATTGTCACATTTGAAGAGGATCTCAGGTTAAATAGCACTATAGGGAGGGCTTTGATCCAAGTTAGTTTTGTGTCTAAGCAGACTCTAGCCTGTTTTAAAAGTGCGATTATGGGGCATCAGGGACTGGAAAACTTCCTTGTCCTGCTTTAGTGGAACCTTTAGATCTGACTAACAATAGATTTAAAGTATATACAATATATTCACAAGTGTCTTGGAGTTTGGGGTGCCACCAGTGTTGAGAAATGAAAGCTGTAATGGGGTGTTCACATCAAAATCATTTGCGCAAGTGAATTACAGGTAAAGTCAATGCAAAGATGCAATTAGATGGTCTTTGTACTCTGGCGGTATGAATGAGGTGAATAATGCGAATTGAATGAGTTATTTGCACGAATTATGCAAATTTGCCTCATTCGTATGAATGACCAGAATTCACAAGAGCAAAAATATCTCAACTCGAGCAAATAATCATGTCGCAATAACCAATCAGCACAAAGATTCCTGGGCGACGCAGTAACACGTCCGTAACATGTTCACGAGTGTGGAAATCCTTTTACTCACAGTAGACAGATGGACAGGCACTCTGCAGCTGATAGAGCGTCTGTAGATGGTATCTCGGAGAAATATACAAGCACCGACCCTCAACAACAGGTCGGCAAATTGTGTCGCTTAACCCGAAAATAAAGCTGAAAACAGCTCTCATGCAGTCACAGCCCTCCAGGCGCAGCAGTCCGCGGAACATGGTTCACTCCATGTGTACCATGCTTGATCGCCCCCCCCGTATCCACACTATGTTGACGCATGAATCGTGCAAATAGATAACTCTCGCCAATAGATACTTATACTTTTGAGTGACAGTGACCTCTATTGTCTGCTTCGCTGCACAGCAAATTTAGTCATCAAGTTGGAGCTACTATCTTGCCTGTATGATTTCTCCAGAGCCCTTTATCACCTTTTGTGGCTCCTTTTTATATCCATACCTTTTTTTAAGTTGGGGATGCTGCTTCTTGCAGATCTTGCACACATAGATCTCTTTGTGGTTTATCACTTATTCTTTTTTGCGTAATTTGCCTATTCACATTGTATCATGCTGTGGCTTTTACTACCAATTAATGCTGCATCATTTCCTCTTGCTACTGTGCTGTCTCCTTTTTGGTGCCCTCTGCACTTGACTATGGCTATTTGTTTTAGTTCCAATAAGGTATAAAAAAGGTCAAGCAGTTGATTCAAAGATTCAAATGTTAAACAGGGGTGCCAGCTGAGGTCATGAAAGCTCTGCATCTCCAATGGCACATGTCTACATGTACAGCTTGCACTGCGTAGACTTAGTAAGTTTTGTCTTTGGTAATAGCCAACAATTCTGCCATTTGTCTTTACTCGGCAGTATTTAGGTCATTCCTTATGACTACCAGAGAGCCCATCATCGGAGGTGAGCTCCGGGTTTGTGTTTTGTGTCAGAGTGTGTGTGTGTGTGTGTGTGTGTGTGTGTGTGTGTGTGTGTGTGTGTGTGTGTGTGTGTGTGTGTGTGTGTGTGTGTGTGTGTGTGTGTGTGTGTGTGTGTGTGTGTGTTTGTTTGTTTGTGTGTGCCAATAGCATCTGGTGTTGGAGGGCCTCTATCATAGAACATGCTTCTGCATAGGGAGGAGTGGAGTGGAGTGTGGTTAGGCTCTTCATTTTTTGGCTGATGCATCTCTGAAGAAGTCAAGGTTGTAACTGGCATTTGATGTTCCAGCCATGCAGAGGACAGAGATTGAATGGAGAATTTAACTTCTTCCAAGAAACACTGGCAGTCTGCATAAACTGTCTGCCTTTCTTAACTGCTTTTTCTGCCTTTCATTTCTTATCCTGTCTTCGCTTCATCTTTTGGAACTTTTTTCTGCCATCTTGCTGCTGTTTTAGCTAACACTGACCTCAAAGAGCCAGATTTCTAATCCTTCCATTTATTCACAAATGTCTGTGACATTGTAAACACCTCTACATGTGTAATTCAGGGAGGGTACAGCACAGTGCCTGAATGAGGACCTGATCAAGAAGCTACTACACAGTCTATAACTCTGTGTGCTTCATCGTTGAGGTTTTCTCAGTCTCGTCACTTGTTTTAATTTACCAACCTTTACAACACCCTAACTAAAAGATCCACTTTTATCCTCTTCCAACCCCTCGAACAGAACTAAGACCTGTGTGAGTGCTGAATCCTCCTACAGTACAGGACTGTCAGATACACTGCCACACAGAAAAAATATCAACCAAGTAGGAAACTACCCCACATTTACATGGAAAATAAGAAACTTATCCCTAAGTCCTCATAAAAATATTCATCTCTACAATTTTCAGGGATAATTCACACTTCCAATCAACATGAGTCTTCACCTAATGTGACATCAGGCTTCACTGGCATCGCCTATTGCAACGTCTAACACAGCTTCGGGACAATTAAACTTCTCCTGGCATCACACTTCCCTTGCATCGCCTTACACAGAATCATCTGACATGGCATAGGGACAATTCTCTATTTTCCCGGGATCTGGCTAACCCAGGAAAAATCTATGAAACTAATCTCTCTGTTTTAACCAATTTAGAACAAACAAAGAACGTTTACTGTCCCTCATGTGAAACTCTTGACTCTAGCAGTCCCCAATCAGACATAATCTCAGCCAATACGGGTCACTGCACCAAAGTATTTTTTCTTTGTTTTGGATCCCTCTAAAAACTTTGTAGCATTTGTAAATGTGTGTCTTGTCAACAGCTGCTTCGTGGAGGCTGTTATTACTGGGTGCTTGCCAGTCTCTCTTCTTTTGAGCCATGAACTGTTTATATTCTTACATACTGACTTTATATACTTTCAAAAGATAGTTTAAGACCCAGCTCTTTAGAAAACACTGCATTACATGCATTTAGCGAGACTGTTCTCCACTGTTGTTTCAGTGGTAAAATAAGTCTTCCAGCTACAGTCGGCTTGCACTGTGCTGCTTTTTTTCAGGGGATTTTTGTGCCCAGCTCTTTGTGAGTGACCCAGCACTTGGTGCTTGGTCATTATTGTTATGAAGACAATTTCATTGATAATTGATTCATTGTTGTTCATAAAAAATAAAATCCTTTAATACCTTTTGTGCATTGCCTCTAACACTGCATGGCAGTACCTGCGTCCAAATTGGCTTGAAGCACTTTGTGGCTCTTGTTTCTTCTTTTTACCCTCTTCTTTTTTGTCAAGGTAACCCTGACAGAGCTTGGCAGAGTGCTTAGGGTCATTGTCTTGCTGCAAAACAAACTTATAAGCCACAAGTCTGAGTCCAGATGGAGCAGCATGGTGCTGAATGATGGAGTGGTACTGTTCCTTCTTCATGAAACCCTTTACTTCAAACAAATCTCCTACTCCATCACCTGCAAATCATCCCCATACCACGGAACTACCACCTCCATGCTGAATTGGGGGTGTAACACATGGTGCTTTCAGACGTTCACCAGTTTGCCTGTGGACAAAGACTCTGCGTTTTGAACCACACAGTGCAAACTTGTTTCTAGTCATCATAAGTCCAATTTTTGTGAGCTTTTGCCCACTCATATCTCTTTCTCTTGTTCTGTGGTAGAAGTAGTGTTTTTTTACACAACCCTTCAGACCAGCCTTTCTCAAACGTCATTTCACGGTTGTAAGAGATATGGGTTCCGACCTTGTCATGTTGATATCTTCCCTTATTTGTGGTGCTGTCTTTCACTGATCTCTCTTACTGGTGACAATGCTAACTGTCACCAGTAAGAGAGATCTCTCTTTCTCTCTTTCGTCCAGGTCTTTTTCTATCATCATAACTTCCAGGTTCCTCTCGTCTCTTCAGTGTAGTGGACTCCTTTGTTAAACACCTTTAGGCGTTTTGCAATTTCTCTTTCTGTGTATCCTTCTTTCCTCAATGTACAAATCTGTACTTTTGTTTCTTTACTCAGTTGCTTCTTTCTAGCCATTTCTGCAGTAGTTTGAACGCAGTTGAGATTTATTAGGATTTTTGTATGCAGACTCTCAAAAGCCAAAAAGTTGAAGTGAATAATCCAACTGTGATTTGTTTTTTTGCTTTTGCACTGAAGTTGTGACTCTTGCAAATGTTTTCAACCCTAAAACTAAGCCCTTACTATCTTTTGCTGACATATATTTAGCAATGGTCTGTTAACATCAATGTATATCTAAAGGAAAATGGAGTAAAATGGTGCATTTCCATGAAAGCAACATCTGATCATGGAGTAAATACATCTCAAAATACATAAAACTCACGCTGGATCAAAAAAAAAAGCATTGTGGACAAAAACTTGAAGTTACTCCCAATTTTTCAGCCTGTAATGGTCTTGCTTCCAAACTTTTGGCCTGTAGTGTGTGTCCTGTATTAACATAAGTACAATGCATGCCAGAAATGTACTTTTTTTTAATCGAAGAAAGGCATTGATAAGGGAATCGCTAAAGAAATGAATTGATTAGCAGAATCGATAATGGCATCGAAATAAATAAAATCTTATCAATTCCCATCACTAGTCTTTAAGGGAACTGCACATGCGCAGTCAATGAAAGTATTCACAAATCAAAGAAAAGGTTCAACATAATAACAATAATGATACTAATAATAATAACAAACATGGGCAAGATCACACAGGTTGAAGGTTCTGAATATACCTTTTGATAAGTTTTTGATTATTATCCTGACCTACTGAATGTTGGATCCTTTCTTTTTTCGTAACATTTGGGAATGAAACTCAGCTCCTGTGATGCAATAAAATGCTGTTTTGTCTCATATTGGAACAATATTATAGTTGCTTGTCTATTTTAAGGACTGCTCTACCTAACAGTCTTTGTTTTTGCAGGAATAGCACATCAAGTCATTTTTCTGTTTCTGGTCAAGCACTGGCCAACTGGTTGAGAGTTGTACTCCCTTTGGTTACTTCAAAATGGTTATTTCTGATTCACTCATTTGTGTTTTAGACTTTGACTGGAGCCACTTCTGGTCATGGAGTCACTTTGTGGACTACCTTCAGTGTGTGCTGGCTTTCACGTTGGTTGCCGCCTACATCACCTACCTCTTCCTGGACTCTGCACTTTTCGTGGAGACTCTGGGCTTTTTGGCTGTCTTCACTGAAGCAATGCTGGGCACACCACAACTCCACTGCAACTATCAGAACAAGTCCACAGAAGGCATGAGGTAAAGATTTGATACTGATCACCCTAGCCTGATACATTCACATGACTTGGAAAGCAGAATTCTCTGTGACATGGTACATATTTTATCCATTTAAACTTAATGTTTCAGTCCTGTGTTGAATGTGTCACAAAGACAATCACATATTTTTCTTAATTTACTTCTGATTCAAATGTAAATTTGAATGGCTTTTAGACACACTTGGATTTTCAAAGGTAGGGAAGATGAATTCTCAATTCTTAGTGTTTCTGAAATAGCCACCCAACGAAATTGACAGAAGGGAGGGTTAGTTCATGGCCCCAATGAGCTCCTTATGTCAACAATCAGGTAAAAAATGGTTTACCCAAAGCTGCCCCCCCCCTGGTAAAGACATTACCATCAGCTGAGAATTGGTGGTATGTGTTGCTGAATTTATGAAGGATGTCACACTCAAATTTTCCACAACTTTAACATTGCTGTTATTATGCTCAGGAATCAAATGATTCTGGGCTTTTGATGGCTTAACCCTGATGTTAAGGACCCTCATTGTCCACATTTGTGACAATAGTCCATGCAGTTACAACACTGAGTATACAAAAATTACCATTAATATGTTATGTGTTAGCCTTTAAAACCTGGATAGACTAGTTTCAAATTATTCGTGCTTTTTTTGGGTACAAACATTTCCTCAATGCTTCACGTTGTGTGTATGTCAATAGGAATCAAACAAGGTGGAAAAATGTGAATTATGGATACACACATTCACAGCCTGGCTCAGGAAGTTGTTTTGGTCTGAATAGTTAATGTCTGTATGTAAAAACACCTTTAAGGGGAGGGAATTTTTTATAACACATTTATTTTAGAGATACTAAGATCGTGAGTTTTTCATACATAGGGGCATGGTGACTTTGACTCAAGGGTGGGCACACAGTAGCTGTTATCTAAGAGGCAAAAGACCCGCCTCCATTACCTCAACATCGAATTACCCATTGTAAACTATATAATTTGACTAAACCACATAAACATTTCTAATGGAAAACAGTGATGAATGGAAAAAAGGTAACACACTAATCTTTAGCGTTATTGGGCAAGAGCAACGTAAGAAATGACCTAATTTTTAAGGTGTGGTAGCTTTTATTAAGCTGTGGCGGTGCACCACGATCAGTCACATGTAGGGGATACCCTGCTTTTTATTTGTGAGACTGTGCTGAAATAAAATTATTTTGCACAAATGGACAGCAAATTGAAGGATACAGCAAAAGTATCACATGATGGAACCATAGACTGTTTGATATCTGGTCATAGTCTCAGTGAGGCCACCCTTTTGTTTTTGAAACACAGTTGTGAAGCTATTGATGTTGGTCAATCAAACTTTAGTTGGATTAAAAGAGGTTTAATGGCTACAGCTGCTATGTGCCCACCCGTTGATCATGCCAAACCATGTAACCTCAATAGTTCTTAAAAATTATGCATTATTTTTATATGTAACTATAGATTTTTAGATGGTGAGACCAACTAAAGGAGTGTTAGGTTTACCATTCAAACTTACAGGAAACAAGAAAGAGCAGGCAAAGTACCCTTTTATAACATTATACTGGTAAACCAACAGACACAGTAAGAAATTTCCAAAAGTAATGTTTACTGTATCAATTTAGGAACAAACCACTGCATTTGTTACATAGTCAAGTTTTGTATGTACTAAACAGTGTAAATTTTGTATACTCAGTGTTGAGAATTTGTTGCTAGTTGGCCACATTATTCTGCTTGTATGACTTTGCCACAATGATTAAGAATTCAGTGATAATCATGTGCAGTACTTCAGTGAATGCTTTAACAGAGAAACAGCATGCGTTTGAATATGAGACAGACATTCTTACTCAAAATAAAATAAAAATCAAATTTAGGCTTTGTTAAGAATTTAAGCCAAATACCTAGACAGTGTAAAACATGTCAGTTATGCTTGTCGGCTCTTTTGTCTTAGCCTGGCTGATTCTGCCAGCCATCAAACAGTGAAAATAAAGCTGCAATAGAGGGCTGGGGACATTGTCATCTCCAGTTGTGTTTGTTGTTTATGTTCTCTCCTCCGTCAGTACAAAACCTGTTGAGTCTGTTCGGCTGTTGCTAGGTTACTTTACCTCAGCACTCTGTTCAAGGTTTCAGTGTGAGTGTAGAGAGGGATGTGTGTGCAGGGAAAGAAAGCAAAAGCCTATAAAGTGAGGTTGTTTTCCCATGACCAATATTTTAAAGCAGATAGTTTTAATTTTAGAAGATTGCATCAAACAACAGACGTAGGGGTACATCAGGTTGGTGTTTGTGATGGGACTTTGCAGGAACAGAAAAGTTGAGATTTAAGAATGAATGAATTTAACTTTGTTTTTATGAAAAGAAACACACAAAAATGAAGTAAATAAACAAAAGTACACACTTTTGACAAATCAAAAAAAAAAACAGCTGGAATAACCCTCTCTTACATTGCCTAAATTTCTAAGATGTCCTCCAGTACTTGTTTTATCCTCCAAGCTGTAGGAAGCTTCTCAATTTTATAATACACATGGGATGGAATAAGGGTAGTAAAAATGTTGGCAGAAAAATAAATCATATATGATGTCCACAGTGTGTATGAACACCAGCATTGCACCATGACACAATGTCAGGCAGGCTGTAGAAAGTATTTGGTCCTGAGTTGTCCCTTGAGGACATAACTGAAGGCATTAAGGCCCGAACTACACGAAGGCAGATATATTTCAAACCGCACATATTTATGTCCGATTAGGCCTCCCTACCACACCAAACTGGGAGTTTGGAGCACTCAAACCGGATAAATCTGAATCCGGAAAAACAAGCGGAGAAATAAAAAAATATCTGATCCCGTATCCGCAGTGGATTCGTGTGGTCGGACTTTTACGGATCGATGACGTCAAACCGCAGCTCGCGCATGCGCATTGAAAACAAAAACAATAACGATGGCGGACAGACAGGGTATTCTTTACGTTTGTTTTGCCCTCTTGGGGCTAATTTCAGCCTTGCAAGTGAACCTTATTTTATACAATTACATCCACCAGTCAGTTTTTTTTAAGCGGCACCAGATAGGATTGAGTTTGAAGCCTACGTGTGGACGCAGATATTTTTTTGAACTAACACGTGTGGACAGGTACATTTATTTAGACGGGAGTACAAAAATATCCAGATAAATAAATATCTGCCTTCGTGTAGTTCGGGCCTTAATCTGGTCTTGACTTTTCCCCAGGCTTATTGTTAACTAGGGCTGCACCCAACGATTGTTTTCCTACCGATTAATCTAACAATTATCTTTTCAATTAGTCGACTAATCTATTTGCTAATTTATCTATTATTCTAAAGATTATTTTTTATTAACCGATTAATATGACAATGAATTTAACCAAAACAGCAAGTCAAAACTTGTCCTATCCCTATTAGTATTTAATTCAATGATTCAGTCAAGAATCTCTTGAAATCAAACAAACAGATTTTTGCAGGGTGCGCTGGGCAGTTTTGGGGTTACCTTGTATGGTGGATATGAGCTCATTATGAGAGTATTTGTAATTAGATTGCTCATCCAAATAAGTCTAAGTGAAGCTGGACACTTTTTTGTTTCACTTTAACAATAACAAATGGTGATAGAAAAAAAATAGCTACAATATGTCTTGAACTTATTTAGTCCACTAATATTAGTGTTAGAGTCCTTGTATATTTTACATGCTCTCCCGGCTCCAGGCTCTCTGAACATCTGTGTGTGCAATACAGCACTCTTTTATCTGAGGCTGCCCTGAACGCATCACTCCAAGATGGTGAAAGACTATCAACGTAAATATTATATCTCACATTTGTTTCCCTTTCATTGAAGTTTTCTTTTTGCAACAAACACTGTTTAAATGTAGTTTACAGCTTAAACTGACCTGAATCATCCCAAACTGTCAAGTAAAAGCATCAATTCAGTGTCTGTGAGGCTCAGCAGAAACACATAACAATCTAAAGTTGTCTTGAAACCTGGCAACTTTGGACGAATATCGTGATCCGATTCATGAATGAACGTGGACCATCAAACTATGGGAGATTCCCGGGAGAAATGACAATACGGGAGAGGTCTAAAATACAGGAGATTCCTGGTAAAAACAGGAGTGTTGGCAGTTATGGTATCAGTACATGCGCAGTGGTGCTCGTGATTGCTGAGTATTAGCATTAGCAAGCTGTTGTCAGCGATCACATAGCTGATAAATTAGCGAGTTGAAGGACAATTAAAAGCACAAAACTGATGCTTCAACTCCGAGCTAACTGCTTAAAGTGAATGAATTAGTTATGGGATGCAGGGCATATGATGCAGCGTTCACTGTGGCGTTTGCTGCACCAGCGGTGGATTATTTGATTGACAGGTCACTGCATGTCTCCTTGAATGAAAGCGGGGCAATCTTGGAAAGGTGAACGAGGAAGCCAGGAAGAACACGTGCATTGATGGAGAGGAGCTGCTCATAGATCATGTTAAAGTACTGTAGGTTTGAAATCGACCCCATGAGGTGGAGCTTATTTGCTGTCCATTCCTCCACCGTTACCTGAAGTAGCCATAGTCTACATCATCATGCAACGCTTTGACACTTGTTTTTTGCATCAACAAATTTTTGTAGTCGATTATGTCGATTACATCGACAAATCGCCCCAGTCCTACTGGTAACCCCACTGTTACTGCTTAAAGCCGTTTACTGCTATGACTGTTATCATAATGGGCCTTCAGAGACTTGGATCTTTGCCAACCTTAAGACATGTTTGTCACAATAGTTCTATTCCCTGACCTATCAAAGTCCATATTACCATTCCAAATTCATTTTACCAAAGTTTCTCTTTTTATTTCCCCCATTTATAGCTTGTGCAGTTTCTAATTTCTGTCTAACTTGATAAGTACAACATGTTGTGACACAAAATTCTTTGTAATGCCAGAAACTTCAGTCTTTGATGACACGAAAGAAACCCATAATCTTATTGTTAGAGAACAAAAATCACTTAAACCAGCTGAAGTGAGAATTTTGAATTAGAGTGGCTTGTTGCCTTATAATGCCTTGTTAGTTGTTTGCCTTGTACAGACTTGGACTAAACACTGTCTAGGTTAACTGTTGCAAATTTTTTTTCAACTGAAAACTTCTCTAAATCTAGTAAAGCATGGGGTGGGTGTAGCCATGGCGAGAGAGAGAGAGAGGGCACTGAACCAGTAATGATGTATAGCTTTTTTAATTATATCCATTAATCTTATGATAGAATTTTCAGATAAGATAAACCTTTTTTCGTCCCACTGAAGGGAAATTTACAATTTCAGTATTAATTCCTCATACTGCTAATACTTATAAAAGTTGTACTCAACCTTAACCCCAGATTACTGTGTTTAAATATTCTTTTTGTGCAAGATAGGTTGGTTCATTGTCTTTTTGCTGCTTCACCATTTCCCATTTGCAAAAGTGCATGTCAAAATTTCACCCAATTGTCAACTGAAAAAACAACTCTTGTTTAACTTGGGGCCTCAAAACAATGCAACTCTCTTGTTTGGCTCATTTCACCTGAGGGTCTGCACTGTTTACAGACTCTGCTCTCATAATTATTATTCGAGCCCAAACAGCTTACATACTGTGACAGGAGGCACAAACCTCCCATTTAAGAGCTCATCTGAACCCTCAAAAAAAGAAGAAAAAAGGAGAAAACAGCAGACTCTAAAAAGACAAGGGTGGTGGCTTAATAAAGCTAAAACAACAGAATGTAACGGTTATAAATTATTGACTGACGCGGAAAAAAAAAGAGAAGAAAAAAAAAACTAGGACTTAAGACTTAATAATGGAAGGGCTTTTTGAAACAGCCTTTTTTTGCTTTTGCTTTGTGTACTTTTTGCAGTAACCATTGATCACAGCCACTATTACCCTAAGTCATTTCCAACTGAAAAATTAATTAAGGCCAAGTTACTTATACTGTTTGCACAAAAATTGACATAAAACATTTAAACAATGTCTTGATTCTGTCAGACAGGATTTGGGCCAAGTAAGCAATTGCCTCAGTGCTGCTGTAAACCTTAAAGACAGATACTTTATGGAGACATTAGGTAAGATGTGAAATCAAAGCATCTGTGTTAAGTTGAGTGTAGGAGATGAGAAGATCAAAGTGTTAATAGTTTTCAGGTTGTTGCTATGAATGGATGGTCTACAGCTTGGAGAGCCAGAGGTACACATTGATACTGACCAGTCTGTCATAAACCAAATACAACACCCACATACAAACACAAAACACATAAGGGACATCCAGATAGCCAACTGCAGCCTTATAAGGCTTGCAGGCTTTAGTTGTATCCCAGTGTGCTAGATAAGAGTGCCAGAGCCTTATTTAGCCTGCAGTGTGCTGTCCACACAATCACACACAGACCCATGTTTGGATAGATCTGAATTGACTGGGCAGTCACCCCTGTGGCCACTTGCATGGTGCTTTGATGTTTAGCATGGCTGGAGAACAGAGTAGCTGCGGCCCCCCACAGTTGATCACCACAGCTGGAGAACCTTAAGATCATCCGTCCGGCCTTTTCTTCTCCATCTGCTTTTATTACTAAGACAGCTGACTGAGATAAACATAAATGAACTTATTTCTATTCCTTCAGGGTGAAAATTATGTGGTGTTTAATTTATAGAAGTACATTTTGTTTTTTTTTTTTCATGAATTTCTTTTAGTCTTGGCTGAAAGCAATTGTACCAAAGTATTAAGACCTGTTAAATTAGATTTTTTTTTCCCAGTAAACTCACCAGAGATGAGGGCTTGAAAGGAACAAGCCCTCCGTCTTTTAGGTCCAGACATCTAGCCCTCACTGAGAGTCAACAGGCAAGGGAAAATGTTCAAAGTGTCTGCTTCGGGTGATGTTTGAGGGTACTCGCTCTCCCTCTAACAACCTACATCCAGAGGTCATGCCTTGTTTAACAAATGCAATATAAATAGAACAGCCTGTGTATCTGCAACACTCACCCAACACCTCTATGAATAGTTGCAATCCTCTGTTTTAACAAGCACTTGGTAATGGCACAGAAAAGTTTTAAGGGCTTGAAAAAAGAAGTCCCAAGGGCAATGCTTCAACTGTTCCTTCAAAAAGCTGAAGTAATCTTTCAGATTCTCTAGTCGCACACACTTAAAACCATTTAACTCTCAAGGAGATTAAAACGGAATCTCCACAATTCATTCTTTAATTGCAGGCATATATGTTTTATTGCAATTAAGCAAGGGCATATCTAAATATATAAATAATAAATATATCTGAGAGAGGGTGATAAAGAGGTAGTAAGACATGCTCACACTTAGTTTTACTGCCTCTACCCAAATAACATTTTTTTAGAGGAATAGCTGAGAAATTGATCAAGCATGGATCCTACCTCCCTAATTTTAGCCTGTAGAAATACACTGTAGTGTGGACCACAGATGCTGAATAACAGGGAAGGAGAGAGCAGTGTGGAGTGAAGCTTCACAGAACTAACAAGCTTCTTACAGAGAAGGAAAAGTGTATTTGCCTCCCCTCCTCACAAACACAAGTATAGAAAGACACAGGCGACTGAAAGGCAGCAGTCGGGGAAAAAATGGACATAAAGGAAGAGAGAAGTGCTGTAGAGAGAGGGCTTCAGAAAAAAGAGAACTATGTGAAAATGGAAGCAAGAAGGGGCATTCAGAGATCCTGCTAAGGAAAGAGCTGGTAGAGACTATGTGAAAAATGGCAGGGTTTGCACAAATCGGTCATGAAAAGGGCTAAGGTGAGACTGCAGGCATGAATAATGTTAAAGAAAATTTGACAGAAAAGCTTTGACTAAAGAATAAAAGACAGACAGACTGACAAACCGAGTTCTGCTTCGGAAGCTGACACAAGATAACCTCTCATCCATCTTTTACATCTGTAAAGAGGCTCATTAAAAGAAAGACATCTACAAACACAAAGAAGCTTTTTCTTTGTGGTTATACCACCATTTTTTGTTCTGTAATGTGTTTTTTTTTCATGGTGATCTCCAAGAATATCTATTGACAAAAACAGTCATTTCTTGATCCTTATGGATTAATAGTTAAGGCCACAAAATAAACAAAAAAATAAAAAACCCACATTGAGGCAATACTGTTATACTGTGGATTTTTTCTTATTCCCTTTCCAGGCAAATTTCGATTCCCTACTCGTTCTACAGCTTGAAGTGTTAAAGGACAAAGTATATATAAAAACATGTGGTTTGATAGCATCATAAGTCGTGAAAATTTTCAGAAAAATTTTGCGTTAAAGTCAATTTGACAAGCTCCTTAAAAAAAGCAATTATTGTAGTATTTGAAACATCTACTGGCTCAGCATACTTTGACCTAGAGACTAAATTCAAACTTTAAAGTTAGGGTTGGGTCCTGAGAACTGGTTCCTATTGGCAACTGGTTCCTAACATCCATTTCTGGAACCGTGAAGCAGATTTTTGAATTTGATTCTTCTTTTTTCTTTGGTTCCGAGTCCCAGCACTAGTTTGTTTTCGGGGTGTGTATTACTCCGCTCGGCATTCTCTGTGCATCTGCTAGCAAGAACATCACTTGTCTGAACATGAACCGCAAAAAACACATGAAAATCTGGTTTCATTTTAAAGTGGCAAAGGAGGACGGAGTAGCACAGTGCAACATCTGCAAAAAAAAAACAAATTTTCCCTGTTCTTTCGCTCACCAGCAGACAGTGTAGGCGTGCTGTGCGTCAGTGGCTTCGCTTAGAACTGAGCGGAGGGGCAGAGCAGCAGAGAGCGCTGATGTGCTGCACTGTTTTATAATGAATGAATACATGTTCTGGGGTTCCACCTCTCAGAGCATGTTTCTAAATGAACCATTGAATGTATACGGTAAATACAATGATTTGTGATGCAAAGATTAAGTACACACTACACAAGCTCAAAACAATGGAAGCCACCAGTGGAAAAAAAAACAGACTTCCATGCAAAACCCTGGACAATTGAAGGATTTTATAAACTCCCCCCTGGACAGCCTGAACAGTCCCCCAAAAAAGGACATGTCTGGGTAAAACTTAACTTACTTAACCAGTCAGAATCAGATAAGTCGAACAATAAATTATGCATGTCTTCTGTGTTAAAGCGGTCAACGAATTGTACTGTATATGATGGGCCAACTTAAATATCCAACTAACGTAGCCCATGTTCTTTTTCATAGCCAAATGACCTGACAACAAAGATTGATATTTATATACTGGTTGAAAATAGCCCTGTGAGATATTCATAGTAAAGATCATGTCATTGAAAAATTCATGGAGAAGTTCAGACATTTCACCCAAAAAGAACTCTGGTAAGCGCCCTCATTATTTAAACCATTATTTAATGTTCAAACTCATAAACTTTATATATATTTTTTGCAAATAATTATTAATAATTAGTAGAGTTTTAACTTGCACTTAGTTACAGATGTAGCGACAAACTGTATTTACTGACAGTGGTTTTCTGAAGTGTTCCTGAGCCCATGTGGTGATATCCTTTACACATTGATGTTGGTTTTTGATACAGTGCCGCCTGAGAGATCAAAGGTCACGGACACTCAATGTTGGTTTCCGGCCGTGCCGCTTAGATGCAGTGATTTCTCCAGATTCTTTGAACCTTTTGATGATATTATGGACCGTAGATGTTGAAATCCCTAAATTCCTTGCAATTGTACTTTGAGAAACATTGTTCTGAAACTGTTCAACTATTTGCTCACGCTTTGCCCCATCCTTGCTTGCGAATGACTGAGAATTTTTGGGGAAGCTGCTTTTATACTCAATCATGGCATCCACCTGTTCCCAATTAGCCTGCTCACCTGTGGGATGTTCCAAATATGTGTTTGATAAGCATTCCTCAAATTTCTCAGTATTTTTTGCCACCTTTCCCAACCACTTTGGCACGTGTTGCAGCCATGAAATTCTAAAGTTAATGATTAATTGCAAAAAAAAACAGGGTTTATGAGTTTGAACATTAAATATCTTGTCTTTGTAGTGTATTCAATTGAATATAGGTTGAAAAGGATTTGAGAACTATTGTATTCTGTTTTTACTTAAGTTTATCACAATTTCCCAACTTCAATGGAATTGGGTTTTGTAGAAGAATCAAAATAGAGAATCGTTAGGAACTGGAATCAAAACTAGGAATCAGAATCAGAACCGGAATCATTTAAATTTAAACAATGCCCAACCCTATTTAAAATGTAAATTTATAAATGTAAATTGTCTATTGGTGTATTAATCCACATTTCGATGTTGCAGTTTTTGGTCATTCCCTGGTCAAAGACCATGATTATTTTTGGAGAAGTTTTGAGATTATAATTGGTGTGTATTGTGTGGAATCTTCATGCCAGAGTGGGTTACATCATCAGCTAGCAAGAGAGAAGTTGCATGAAACTGTCTGAAACTTTACACTTTCCATGCTCCTCTTGGCCAGGAATAACACTCTACACACGTTTTTTCCCACAATTGTAGACACACTTTTTCTGTTTCTAACAATGCGTTCATCTAAGCAAAGAGACTTAAAGGGCTCTACTTTTGTGCCGCCGCCGGCACGGTGTAAGCCAGGTCCACCGTGCCGACGAGGCGTGCCCAAGCACACTTTGGTATTTTGGTGAGCAGCCCAGCCCAGCCAAAGTATCCCCCCTCCCTAACTCAGCTCCCCCCAGCGGTGCGAGTAGCAGAGAGGGATGGGATACGGCATGGAGTGGGTTTAACACAGCCAAGTCCTGTTTTTTTACAAATCACATCAGCTCCTCTCCTCACCTTTAAATTCGCCGCCGGGGAGGCGTATTACAATTTTAATTAAGTAGTCGAAGAGAGCAAGAGATGTCTGAAGACAGTAATGCCACACAATGACAGAAGGCAGCCCCTCAACAAGTTTCGCTGTAAGCACTGCAGAGAGAGGAAACTCTCTCAAATAAGCACAGAGGGATTTGGTGTGTATAAGGTTGGACCCACTAGTAAGACAAACACCCTTTTCCACAAATTAAGACACTCACGTAAAGTTGCATAGATTTAAACCCCACGTGACAAAGGTGGGATGTGTGCACAGATCACAACATAAACAAATTCCAATACTGGCATTAAAATCGTAACCATCTGTGTGTCAAGGTCGCACTCCGTGGCCTGGCTCTTTCTTTTATTGATGTTGGCATATAAAATGAACTTGGCTCACGCAACTGAATATTATTATATTTGTAAGTGGGCTTAACTCCAGATTGAATAATTACAAAATTTTAAGGATGTGAAAACATCAGATAAACGGGTACTTTTTAATTAAAGTTTCTTTTATTCTTTAAGTAAATAACTCATCTGATCACTAAAATAAATCATCTGGTCAGCCTTGACGCCCCAGCAGCAGCAGCAGCAGCAGGACAGGACAGGACACAGAGATGTGTCCGAGTCGAGCTGCACAAGAAAGAAGAGGAAGCATGAGAAAGAGAAGGGGGGAGGCAAATTAAATATCTTGTTAACTTCATCATGTGTGACCATTTACCTGATATTTAATTTAATGCGGTTTCAGCTGTGTTAATTCGGTCAGGTTGAGTGTCCAAACGCGTGCCAAATGCACTCATCAGATAAGACAGTGTTTTTCAACCTGTGTGCCGCAAGAGATCGTCGGGTGTGCTGTGGGAATAAACCAATTTGCGAATAATATGCCATTGTCGAGTGTCTGTGCTGCAATAAAGTGAGCGTCAGAGCAGTACTCTTCTATGTCACTGGATGGCAGCAGACGGCTAATTGCCTGGGAAAAAAACTGAAAACCGAGAGAAGCTAGGAGCTGTTGAGGAAGAGCTTTGTGTGTGTCTTTCTTCCATTCCTGCTAGGATATCAGCTTTGTATTCATCTAAATCGCCAGGGCTCACACTGAGTGAGTATAAATAAATTTAAGAACTATATTACTAGCTATACTCTGGGGATGCACCAAAAATTTGGCCACCAAAAATGGCCAAAAAGTGCATTTTCAGTTTTCAGCCGAAACTATTTTCTCACCGAAACAACGCGGCTGAAACAGATGTTGTGATGAAGCAAGCAAAAACCACAAACAGTATGTGCTTGTCTGGATAAGAGCCAAAATGTCTGCAGTGTGGATGTATTACAGTGTACCTGAGAACTACGAATATTGGCATAGCGTGTAATGCAAAAATTGGGGGGGGTGCATCCGCAAAGGGTCCCAGCCACTAACCACCAACATCTTTTTAGCTTTGCCTGATTTCTTAAGCAAAGAGACTAAACACAACTTACCTACTCTCTTCCAGCAGCTGCTTGTTTGTAGGGAGACCTCGGACAAGTCCATCACCGACTGCAGCTAGATGACGCAGCTCAAGGAAGAACATTTATGATCATTTCTTTATGGAAATGCAATCAGACCGAGACACTAAGGCAGAAGAACTACCGCAGTGCAAAGTGATTAATATGATGATTATTACTTCAAGGAAATGATAAAATAATGATCATAAATGTTTTACCTTGAGCTGTGTCACCCCGCTGCAGTCGGTGATGGACTCGTGCAAGGTCTCCCTTCAAACAAACAGCTGCTGAAGTGGGTAAGTTGTGTTTAGTCTCTTTACTGAGGAAATCAGGCAAAGTTTAAAAGATGTTTGGTGGCTAGTGCTGTGGCTGGGACCCTCTATGTACTGTTGATGAAGTTAGGTGCTGTTCTGAGCATTATTTGTGGCTATAGAGTGGCTCTTTGGTTGAGGTGTGCACGTGGCTCCTTAGACCAGTGTATTGCCATTGTGCGGTCATTACTAAAGTTGATATAACTAGAGAAGCAAGCAGTCAGCTTTAAGATTAATAAAGGTGTCCCCAGCAATAGGGACCCATTCTGCTCTCTATTTTGATACATGGCATGGGTCAGGACATCAAGGTAAGGTAAAGGTGTAGACTTAAAAACAGATAGCTCAAAAAAAAAAAAACATTCAGAGATGTATTGCATGACTAAATAAAAAAAGGAAAATAAACCAAGACATTCAGTTCACTGGAGCTAGGAACAAAAATACCTCTTGCAATGTGTATTCAAATAGTGCTGACCAACCAAACAGCACGCTTGAGTGAAAGGATTTCAAAGGTCTTAGTGTGTGTTTGCCTTGTTGTGGGCAGGTTACCTTAGAAGGCACATCTGAAAAGTGCTGTGTGAGTATGTGTGCACACAAGAGCATTGTAGCCTCAGTGCTGGCTCAGTCATTTTTATGCCAGCATTGCCTACACTTATCCCTGCCTCAAGCAAAAAAGAATAAATAAGTACGCTGCTCACCAAGCAAGCTCTGCAAAAGTTGATATGTGTCTTGAAACTGGTGTACAAAACACACGTATAAGTGCCACTTATAATGGAGCTTAAAGTAGCAGGGGCCACATCCTGCCCTTTTTTGCACTTATTGTCTTACTTTTTAAAGGCCACCAGTTGTAAATAAGTTGTGTTCTTTGATTTAAAGGCTATGTTGTTTTCTCAACTTTCATTAGACTTTATTTTCACCTCATTAGCTGAGTTCACAATGCTTCCCATGGATTTATGAGAATTAGTCCGCTCATGCTTGAAAAATCTCTTTCCTTCCCTAGACCTGATTTGGTTAACTGTCTACAAATATTATTAGACAAGGCACCGAGGCTTGGAGGACAGATTATTATTGTTGCTAGAACAAGGGTTACAGGGGAGTAATGACATAACTCTAAGATTTGAAGTCATTCAGCTGCAGAAAATTTTCAGACATCTAATTCTTGATTTGAATCAGACAGGGTATGTAAGATTATTGTCAGACATATCAGTAGTCCGAGGTGCAACTGTGCATAGAGATTAGTGTCATCAGGATTTGCCCCAGCAGGTCAGTGAAAAAAAGAGGACCCCTGGGGGACCTTACATGAGAGAGGGTTATAAAAAGAAGAGGCATTTCCAAGCACACTAGAACACACTAGAACACAAAAGATGTGCTCTCCTCTTCTGGTTCTGCTCAGTATTTGGGCTGCAGCATTTTGGACCAGCTGAAGAGTCTTGAAAGACTTTTTAGGGCAGCCTGACAAAAAGGAAATACAGTGATCCAACCTAGCGGTGAAAAATACATGGACTGTTTTTTCTGCATCATTCTCAGACACAACATGTCTCATATTTGCTCTACTGGGCAGGTGAAAGGCAGTTCTAAAGATGTGTTGGATGGAGAATTTAAAGAAACTCACAAAGTCTTAACAGTGGTGCTGGATACCAGACTGATGCCATCTACTACAGTCATATCATTCTTGTCTGATGAGGTCTCCCTGACCTGAGCTTGTCATGAATGTCACCATTTTTTTAAAATCTTGTTTTAATCCTCTCTACTTGAAGTTTGGAGAAATTGAAGACGTCTGCCACCTCAGCAGCAGACTTGGTCTTCTGGCTCTCAATGAAAATGGTCTATGGTTGGATTTTTGGCATATTGTCAGAGGTCAGATTTCACATTAAGGTCTGGTGTGCTGGGGTTCTTTTTATACACACCTGGGAATATGTTATTCACAGTATTTGTCACAAGTGGAGCTCTACTTTGTGATTGTTTGAATCATTTCAAGACACGACAAGACATTTGTCCGTGCAAAAACGGATGTTATGGGTTCTACCAAGCTGTGAAGTCTTATGCCACAAGACTTCTATGGTTGTATATCTTTACAGATACATCTGGGGATGAAAAGGCCATGGCAGCCCTCAGTGAATTTTGGTCTGAGTAATGATATTAATGATGCCTTAAACTTTTTCCATCTGATCCTGCTGTTGGTGTGGGAACATAGCTGGAAATACCTACTGAATTATCAGGGATCCCTTCCCTTTTACAAAGGCGAAAACATGCCCACACTTAAGACTTGCAAACCACCAACTTACTTAAATTTCCTGGCTTTGTTGCATGTTGCTGTGTAAGGTATTATGTCGCCCCTAATTACCAGTCAATGTCTCCTGTAAGATAGACAGTGATATTGAGTCTGATTTATTTGCCAGCAAGAAATGATCTACAGTGGTGGATGCCCTTTCGTAAAAGTTTTCATCAACTAGTAAGGTTACGTCCAATCTCCACTACTGGCATGTGGTCTGACTCCACAATGATTCACTTTTCTAAACAAAGGGTAGCAGTGTTTTATCAATGGAAGAAAAAAATCAAGTCTAGAACAGGATTTGTGTACATGGGAAAAGAATAAGAACTCTTCATTACGTGGATAAAGAAAATGCCAAGGGTCTGCAAAGCCTGCCTTGTTCATAAATGTAGATAGGGTATGGGCCATCTTGGGTGGAGACACTGACTTGGGGCTAGATCTTTCCATAGTCAGATCCATAACACGTCACCATCAAAGATCAAATGGTGAGGTTAGATGAGTTAGGTAAAACAGAGATTAGCCTTGATGCAAAGCTGGCACCATCACAATTAGGAGTGTAACTTGAATATAAAAGAGGGAGCCAGTCACTATGACAATTGGGCCCTGTGGGTCTGCTATGGACCTCTTAAGATTAAACTGTACAATTTTGGGTACTATTATCGCTGTTCCTCTTGCCTTGGTATTGAATTGTGAATGGTAAAGTTGTCCTAACCATGTTTTTTTTTAAGTTTCAAATGGTCTGCTGTTACCTTGTAAAAATCCTATTTCTATTTTTAATTTTTGAAAGTGGGCATGTTTCACCGGCTCTCACATGCCTTTTTACATTCCATCTAGTGAAGCTTACTGCTTAACCGGTCATTCTTACATCGCTGCTTGATAAGTCAGTAATGGTCATTCAGTTTTATGGTTGACCTTATCTGAAAGCTCATCGTATGAAAGAATATGAAAATTGTATTCACTAAATCAAATATCATAAAATTTCAAAAAACAAACACAAATGAATCATATAACCCAAATTGACAGCACTGAATCTGAACCCCAGTAGAGGTAGAGCCCATCCTAGCTGTAGCTTTGCTTCCCCAACTGAAGCAAACTGCAGTTCCCAATATAACCTGTAGATCTCCCGATAGACCATCCTCTCATTAACTAACTTGGTAGGGCTGCCAATCAACTCAATGTGCAGGAATTACATTTTTGATCTATGAACCAAACCAGTAACCGTGGTTATCAACTGTGATTTTTATGCAAATATGCTGTTTTTCAGGGCAGCATCTTAACCATAAGAGCATCATAATCAACCTGGCATTAATGAGATCAGTGGTCAAGATCCAGTTAACATAATAACCTAAAATTATTAGCATCAGGGCTTTAGATAAGGTGGATAGAAAATAAAACAAGATAGGTGATTAAAAAAATATGGTAGTGATCTAAACAAAACCATACACAATCCAATATTACTTGCAGATGTGTGGGGAGATACTTAGAAATAAAGTAAACAGTGGATTCTTGAAACTTAGCTTTTATCTTACCCACTGAGTCCCAAGAGCCTGGAAAGACCAAAACCAAAAGCAGTCCATGTTGACATGAACAGAGTTGTTCTGTTGTCTTGTCTAAAGCTTGCAGAGGCTGAATTGACTCTTAGATTAACATGGCCACATCTTCCTTAAAGTTGATCCATTGCTTAGATAGTTCTATAATCAGTTCTGACATGAGACAGGATCTCTGTTTATTTTCGCCAGGTTATCCTGCTTTGGTGGACACAGCCACCATTGTTGCTAGCTAGCTAGCTCCATTTCACTGTTGTGAGGATTCAGCAACTATATTCGTACAGTACTTAACATATAATTAAGTCTGTGGTGCTTTACCTGCATAAAACTAAGATTATTTAAGTTAGTTAGAGAGCTGATACAAAGCCTATTAACCCTACGTCCCTCTCCTACATTGCAAAACTGTAAGTTCTGCAAGATGATAATAAATCAAAATGTGTCTAATAGGATTCCCATGTTGCCTTTTATTGATCAATGCAGGTAGACTGTGGGGCTTTACATTGATGCATTCATACGACTAATTAGTCAGCATGTAGTTTAAGTATCATCAGGGAGATGTGAAATTTTCACATTATGGAGGGGCTCAAAGTCAGAGAAGGGCAGTATGTGTGTTCGTCTTTTTTTTTTTCAAGCCTTAATAGCACAATATGTAGATTATTGCAAATTTAATAAACAAAGTACATATAGAAAGCTAATTTCTTATATGTATATATATATATGTATATATATATATATATATATATATATATATATATATATATATACATATTTTTATTTTATTTTTTTCAAATTTGTACATTACAAATAACTTCAGTAATGCACAAAGGGGAATTCATTCACACAGCTTGTATGACAAAAAGAAAAAAACATCAGGAGGGGTTTGTCTTTATTTTTCAGTGGCTTGTAATTATTCCTCTTTTTCTAATGAAAGTCACTACAACTGCGTTATTCTCTTGTTAGTGTTATCCTTTCTTGTCTTTTCTCCCAGTATCAAGATGGTGCTGATGTGGACCAGCGGAGACACTTTTAAAACAGGCTACTTCCTCCTCACCCAGGCTCCTGTCCAGTTTTGGATTTGTGGCCTACTACAGGTCTTTGTGGACTTCGCTATCCTGTTCCAGGTTTACTACTACAGCCGCTACCCACAGAAGCCAGTGTCCCACACTGTCTCTCACACCACCAGTGCCAAAGCCCTCTGAAAGCTTCTGCCAGCTTTCAGAGAATCTATCAAGATCCACAAACTGCAGTGAGGAAGCAATTTTAGAGGAGCTTTGGACATGTATAAACATGCAGAAGTACCAAAGCACCTTGATAGGATGCAGGCTGCTCACTCACTCCTCAAAGTATACATAAAGACACACACATCCATAAACAAGACATAAACATACACAGACACTTGGAAGTGTTAGTGCCAGCAGCCATACCTGTGGAACATTTGTTACAAACAAACCTTTTTGTTTTATTTATGTTACTGATTTCCCCTCAATGCAACTGAATGCTTGTGTCTTCGAATGCAGACTTCACAAAGAATATCTACATCAATCAGCATGTGGATTATTAACGCACATACATTAAGATATACAGCATGTGCACTGCAGATGTATGCACTGGAATCTGCACTTCAGAAAATATGGACTAGCTTTTATGGTCCACATTAGCTGATGATTGTAGCATGAACCCTCTGCCTTAAAAATACACACACAGTTAAACATAGCTTTCTGCATTTCCAGCATTATAAATGTGTCAATCAATTAAAACAATGTTATCATACAACTTTGCTGAATGTATGGCATTTGTCTATTGTTTGTTGTTTTTGCAATACAGTGGAGAAATGCTGGTCGGTCTACCACTTGTTGGACAGATGGTCACTGTCGTCACTTTTGAGATAAAAGAGGAAACAGTAGAAAGTGGTAGAAACTGGAGGCAATCAGACTTTAGCAACTGAAGAAAATCTCAAAGGCTCTCAGATGCAATTAATTGACTTAAAAAAACATGGTCTTGCAATTAAATTATGATGTCTGGGCAGCAGGATCCATCGAAAGACCAATGTGAACATTTTTGTACTGAAAATGTTTAGATTTTTTTATACAATGAGTACTTTCCTTCTAGGGGGATTAAAGTGAAAACAAAGCACATTATGGATAAGGCACAATGCAGAACAAACTCATCAACAGATGACCAAGGAATTGTGAAGCAAAGATAAAATGTATTTCATCGAAAGTGTCTAAATTCAGCAAAACCTTGCCAAATTTGAGTTCATGGAAAGACTTTGTTGAACTAAGTTACAGCACAAGGAAAATAATGAGGGATTTAAGTAAATTACACAAAGTAGTTGTGTTCCTGCTGCCTGCTGAGAACTGTTAGAAGTGTGACATGCAAACTGCATGGACTCACGTGGTGCATGCATTACTTGTAAGCTACAGCTGCACAAATAGTCCCCTGAAAAGTTATCCACAGATTGAGGATGGAGGATGTATTAAAATTCCTATTGCTTGTCTCTTACTCATGGTGAAGTCATTACGACTTTCATTGAGTTTGCTTTTTTAACACCAGCAGCTCAGGAACCTTAATTCACGGTTACTTTTGTTTGTTAGTTGCTCTAGACCACATGAGCGAAACATTAGAGTTTATTTTATGGCCATACTTTCTTTAGCAGCGCTAAAAATTATCATGGTTTCGTAGCCTTCTTAATGAAAAAAGGCTGTCATATTTCTGTGAATACTCTAACATTTTTGAATAATAATATTAATGACAATATTAAATGACAATATTGCAAACCATCAGGATTTTTTTTAATGTCTTGATATAAACGAGAGGAGTGAAGTTATTTTAAATACTTGAATATTTTCAGAGTGTTTCATAAAACATTTTGGTGTTTACATTTACTTTCTTTTTGAATACTGCAACCATTATCCTGCAGTTCTCTACTGAGACGCATACTATGCTGTGAAAAATATAAAGGTGCTACACAAAGTAGATTATTATTGTTTTTGTTAGACCACAGTAGAGATTATAACGCTGCTATTAAAATAAGTACACTTGAGAGATTTTTTTTAAAAGCCAGTCCTCTGCAATTTAACTGCGTAAAATATCTTGATTTTTTTTTTTTTTTTTAAATATGACAAGAAGTTCTTAGCAAATGTATGGTAATAAATTTAACTTGTACGTTCAACTAATATGGTTCATAACATCTAATATACAAAGTAATTGTGAATCAAGGTTCTTTTACTGATGATACGTTAAATGAAAATTAATTCACTAAAGTTATAGTTACTTCATCATTAGCTTATTGTGAGCAACAAGAAGTGGTGACACATCCTATATTAATTAATATATTTAATGATAATGGGTCATAGTTTACTTCACCATCAATTATCAAATTTGTACCCTTATTATTGAGTGTTACTATTCAGTATTAGCTAGGCTTTAAGATGCCGGAAAGACAGGCTGTTTGCAAAGGCTAGTTGATTTGATTTGGCTTGGCAAACAGCTCCTTAAATAATCCTTTCTTGTTTTAACAAGTTAATGTTTTTTTCTCTATTCAAGACTCCAGTCGCTAACTGTATGACCCGCCATTTGAAAAATCTGAATGATCTACTTCTGCTATGGACTGTCTTGGTTAATATTGGATTTTTTGGCAACTGCGAAAGGTCTTCAGCCTTTTTGTCACAAGAATTTTAACACTTTCATTGTTGTTTTTCATCTGGTAAAAAGAAAAGAAAATGTCATTGAGGGTTTTACAGGACACAACATTTTGTGAACTAACATGATTTGCTCCTCTTTTTTTACTCATAAACTATACCAAACTCCCACATCAAAAAGTCTTTAGCATGATGCAATGACTATATGACTTCCCAAGCTAATCACTATTAACTGTGGTTTATAACTATTTAATTCAGTTTGATATCTGAATCTTTGGGTTCCAGAAGAATATGCTTAGTAAGCTGTAGTTTGGCTGGGAGATCCCCGAACAGAAGGACATCAAAGACATTTTGATATGCTGTACGTTTTGTAAAATATCTTGATTTTTTTTTTTTTTAATTTATTTTTATTTTTTATGTGTAGCCCTTTGAGATCCTTGGATGTAAAGGGGCACTACAAACAAAATGTATTATTCTTCTTATCATCATTACTATTATCATTATAAGTCAGTTAAGTGAAGTAGATGACCTCTAGTCATGATCTGTTTTTCTGTTGAACAGCCAGCGGTGAAGACACCTTAAGGAGAAGATAGCAGCAGCTCAACCCCCAGCCTCTCCTGGTACTATTCATCAGGATGTCATGTGATCAATGAACAACTCCGAGCCATTTGTATCTTATAAATTAGTTTTCCTGCATGACAGCTTTGAATTTGACCTGAAAATTAAACACTTATGCAGCATTGTTTTGCAAGTTCAACTCCCTCAGGCACTATAAATGTTACATGCTTCAAGTCATTCGCTGAGATGAACAAGGTAGCTAGAAAAGAAAGGTCAGACTATCTCAGAGAATCTAATGATGTGAACAGGGGTTAGTTTTACCTGGTAATTACCAAGTGTTACCCAGTAAGGTTATAATGCAAGATCCAAAATAGCAGTGACCCAGAATCAATCTTGTGTGTTTCACTCACTGATACTTCTGTGCATAATCAGCAAAATCCTATCTTCACTTCCCATCGTATTGAGTGAAGGCAACCTGACAGGCCAGTTTAATATTTATGTGGCAAATCCAATCAATCTCCCAATACCCATACTCATGACTCAGAGGTGTAGTGTCCTCATCAACATATTGTCATGAGAAAATTTAATTTCCTGTTCAGAGAGAGAGGCAGCCACACGGCACAGTGAAGATTTCTATTGTTGTCTTTTATGTAATTTTCTCTGGAGAGAGGGGAAAATGCCAAACCAGGTGTATCACTGTCAGCCCTTCAGTGAACTGTATACCAGAGCAGACCTGATTCTGTCCTCCTCTTTTCTAAGCCTCAAGAAATGAAAAGTGCTGTTTTTGCTGTGAGACTTGGAAGGAGTTGTCATTATTTTTTTTCTGTTCTTGCTCTTATACAAACAGAAGATACGAAGGACTGACATGTTGATATCTTAGCAGTAGGTGTGCTTTTGCTGAGTTCACATCTGCTCATTAGCCCTGTGTTTTGTATTAATTTTGTTATTCCACTATAAGTAGTGTATGTCTGTTATATAGTCAAGTGAAGGTATTCTGTTTTTTTGTTTGTCTGTTTGTTTTACTTCACTGGATTATGATGACCATAAAAGTACAATTTATTTACTGTTTTCTTTCATGGTTTTATTTGACTTTATCTGTTTTCTATTTTGTATCATTCGGTTGGTTCATTTTACCTTCAAAAAGCATTTTTCCATGTAAACTTCCAAGTTTTGTCTTTGTAATGTAAACCCACTCCTAGTTTCAAATGTATCAAAAACATTATCTGCTGAATTTTAATGCTATTTTTTAAAAACTTTTTGCCACATCTGTTATCCACTTCAACAACTAATGACATCCTCAACACTTCAGGCTGTATGAAGGCATGACTGAGAATGTGGTTTGGCATAGTCTCCCAATAAAAAGGACATAGAGAGAGTTCTGTGTCATGCTTTGTTTGATGGGGATGTTTTGCAGATATCCATGCTGGTCTCATCACTAGTGTACCTCTGGTAGACATCAATTGTGAAAAGAAGAATAAGCCAAAAAGCCGTTGTCCTTTTTTGGGCTTTGTGAATATCTAAATAATAAACACATAAATTAGCAGCTGGGCTCACAAAAGGTAAATCTCCAAGAATAAGAGATATACCTGACAGGTACAGGAAAACTGATAATAATAACAGTTTGAAAAAATTGTAATAGTAATTATTTCCATGTTGAGTTGTTAGATATTTCTGTAGACCAAAATTAATATTTGCAAGATATACTGTAAAATGACTAGATAACATTTGCATGACTTTTGCAAGTGTCAGTAAGTCGTGCAAAGTGGCCCCAAGTGCTCTGACCAACACTGGTACCACGGTTGCCGTCACTTCCTACATTTTCTCCAAGTCAAACAAAAAAGTAATGGTGAATTGATTTTTGAAATCTCTCAGTATGCTCCCATTGTTAATGCTGTTGTTTAGCTGTTTTTTCCTCATTTTTATTTTAAAGGTATGCTATCTATGGCCAAATAAACAACCAAAACTTGATGGATGGGAATATATCATGTGATGACCCCTACACACCACTAGGTTTTTCTGTTTTGCTGGGTCTTCTTTCTTTTCCAGGACCAGAGAGTAGGGTTGTCATTCAGAAATGAGCTAAATGGGCCCTGTTGGGTCCTCTTCATATCCCTCTGCACCTTCGGTGTCGGTCTCCCCCTCCATCTGCTTGCTTCCCGTGCAGGCAATGTGGCTGCTCATTTTCTTTGTTTTAATTCACTCATACACTTACACACACTTATGCAGGCCGTCACTACTGGTATGGATAAGGTTCATTTATTCTGTAGTTAATTAGACTTATCAATTGAAGTCTTTTGATTTTGCTGTGCACAGATACAGTATTTCTGTATATTATGTCTATGCTGTTACTTCATGGAGTTATGGAGCTCAAGGAAGAAAACTTATGATCATTACTTGGGGGAAATGCAATCAGACAGAGACGCTAAGGCGCTAAGCTGACTCCTCGGGACCTCTCTCACTTTGTGGAGGTATTTGGCCATGGCTAATCTCTTAGCAGCCTCCTCATGGTTCTGTTGATCATAATTATCATCACAATGATAATTATTATATTTCTGTTGTCATTATTTATAAATGATGTGCTGCTGGGGCCTGTGTGCGAATGAAAATCAGTATGAAAACGTTTGTAGTGAAATATAAAGTGTTGACGTGTATGTAGAGTGTACAGAAGAAAAGAACGGTGGCTGCAATGTGACAGGCTGAAGGGTGGAATGTGAGAAAACAAGGCCGTGGCAGAAGCCAGCCTTTTATAGTCCTAGGAATCACACTACTAGGGTTCCTGTAGTTTCCAGCCATACACATAATAGGTCACATATTAAGGGACAATGACACTTGGTATTCACATATAGCTTTAAAAGGGTTCACCTAAGTACAGCACTCTACAAAGATCTTCTTGAGCTCATGGCCATAACAGATAGATCCAAGGTCTATTTTTCCTTTCAGCAGCCCAAACTAGCATCACCTCAAAGCTCTGTTAATATGAGGGTTCATTAAACAGGCTTCTTTTAGTCAAGTCACATTTCATAGAAGCTCTGACACCATCCATTAAAATTTACAGAGCACAGGGCCAACAGCACTCCTAGGGACAAGATTCATTTATTATTAAAAATGGGTGTGGAAAAAACATTAACCAAATCACAGACAAACCAATTTAGGATGTTCTAGCACACAGTGTCCTAAATTTGAGAGCATTCTTGTTTAGTTTTTGAATCAAAGCCCCTCCACATGGGAGAGTGTTCATTTTTATCTTTATTTCATGGATTTATGATACAAAGCACAAGTCTAGATTTGCTGTCTCACTGTCTCATTTTCTCTTCATCAAAACAACATTTTTTATTCCTTTAAATCAAAGCATTGTGGCTGTTGTAGCTTCTGTGTGGGTATTATAAGATTTTTTGTGTCATGTTTCCAAAATAGTTGGGGTCTATTTTTTAACACTAGGTTGTGGATATTTGCCTTCGTTACTTCTTTTAAAGGAGTTAATGAGCATTAGTCCCTCTGAATGGTTTCATAAGCATTAAGTAATAACTTACACAGAAGAAAACATATGCCACTTCACATTCTAATTAAAAAGGTGAAACAAAAACTTGTGCCAACGTCAACCTCATTTTTCTAAGTAACTGTTGCTCTTACCAGTGCGCAGTCTACACTTAGTGCTAACTTAAGGTGGCTTTTCACTATAAGAACACCCTGAGTCCTGCAAATGCACAGATTGGAACACTTACTGCTCATGGATTTAAAAAGCAGAAGCCTTGAAGCAGCATTGAAAGATCTCATACAACTGATTAAACTCTGGCAACTGGACCTTCTAGACATACCTGGAGACATAGGTCTGGCATAGGCCAATCTAGTTATTACATGTTACTGCTTTTATGAAGGTGGGGGTAGATGTATGTGGCTTATTCGTTAGTGTTAAGATCATAATATTTCCTTATATACACACTTCAACTCTTCAACACCTTTATTTATACTTTATTTATGCAGACCTTTAATGTATGCTGAAGTAGTTGTAGCACCAAGACAACCCTGTGTGTGAAACTCACACATTCCTCGCAGGAAAGGTTCCCTACTTGGTCCCAGGACACAAGCAGAGAGAGAGAGAGATCGTTTAATCGATCAAATATACATACAGTACAATTTTAGACAAGAAATTCCCTATTTTTTGGAGATCCAAAAAGGAGTAGGTAGAAGATATTTAGCTTATTTGTATCTACCCTCATTCCTTCCTATTCGTTGACTCTTAACATGTCTCTAGAATTTTAGAATTTCTGATGTCACCAAAAAGTAACCAAAGCTCCAAAGTCGAACATGAATATGTAACTAATCATTAATACTGAAACAAAGACCTTATATATACACATATACATCCATACCTATATACACGTATATACACAAAAATATGCACACAATATATATGTATATATATATATATATATATAAATCTTCTTCCTTGAGCTGCATCACCCCGCTGCACTCTGTGATGGACTCGTCTGAGCTCTGCCTACAAACAAGCGGCTGCTGGAAGATAGTGGGTAAGTTGTTTTTAGTCTCTTTGCTCAAAAAATCAGGCAAAGCCAAAAAGACGTTTGGTGTCTAGTGCTGTGGCTGGGACCCTATATGTACTGTTGATGAAGTTAGGTGCTGTTCTGAGCATTATTTGTGGCTATAGAGTGGCGTTTTGATTGAGGTTTATTTATGGCTTCTCAGACCGCTGTTTATTGCTATCTTGCGGTCATTACTAAAGTTGGTATGACTAGAGAAGCAAGCAGTTGGCAACATTCATCTCCCGAGAGGGTGTCTAACTCGGTGTTATGGTCTGATTGACCCTAACTTAATTCTATGCCGGAATATACCTGTAACCTCTTATCCTTTTAGTACTCTAAGTCTTTTTGTCTTACTCTTACACTTAGTCCTACTTTTTCCTCATCCTCTTTTAAGTTTTACACAATGTGTTCATTCACGATTTTTCTTCAGCATCGTCTTTGTTCAAGTCACACAGTTTTGATTGGCCATGGAGCTTCTTTTTTCTTAGTTAGATTTTAAAGTTGCCTCTGAACGCCACACAGTGGGCCCAAAGTCATCCTGTGAGCCTGACTTTTGTGAGACCAAAGGAGCATCCAAAGGATAGATAAGGTGCTGACTCCTGGTCCATCTTTCGGCTGACTTTGGTCCCTTTTCTGAGCTGAACCTCTCAAACTGCCAGTAGCCCAGACCTTTGGTGAACCTACTCCATCTTCTCCAAGGAACAGCCTCACTCAAGTATCCAAACCTCCAGAGCTCCAAACAGGGCTGATGCGGTCTCATGTGGTCATGATTGCAATATTTTTTTTTTTTATAATCCTAGATCCATCCAGATCCACATCCAAATTATCTTTACACCAGAGTTAGTGTAGGTTAATATGTTAGAGCACATTCACTATCATTAACTTAAGTAATCCTAGCCTGACTCAGAGTCTATTATTATTCATCGATTATTATCTATACTCATTATCTTATCATTTATTGCATGTATGTTGTACCATCATTTATCCTGTAATAAACAGATCATTATTTTTCTAAGTTCTTGTCTGTTAGTGTTCTTTCAGAAGTGGAGTCCCTGAAATGAGAATTTCGGCCAAAGATACGAGATTGATTAATTTAAGATTAACTTAATGTTTGATTTCTATATTAAACCTTTGTTTTTCTTTATTTTTCCTACATCAAGGTGGGTGGTGCCCCTTTCAATGAGTGCATAAATGTCATAGTTTAAGTTTGTTAATCTTAGGATGTTTATTATAAATTCAATTCGCTACATAGTAAAGCACAATATCTGCACTCATACAATGTTATCTGAATTTGTATGACAGTGCATTTTTAATGCTTTTTCATGAATACCCTGTGAGATTATTTCTATATTTTATTTCTCCATATTGTTTTGTGCAGGGACAAATCAGACCAAAAATACAGAAAACATTCATGCAAGAGATTCTCTGTGAAGATGATAGGCCAAAAATGTACACTCACCGGCCACTTTATTAGGTACACCTGTCCAACTGCTCGTTAACACTTAATTTCTAATCAGCCAATCACATGGCGGCAACTTAGTGCATTTAGGCATGTAGACATGGTCAAGACAATCTCCTGCAGTTCAAACCGAGCATCAGTATGGGGAAGAAAGGTGATTTGAGTGACTTTGAACGTGGCATGGTTGTTGGTGCCAGAAGGGCTGCTCTGAGTATTTCAGAAACTGCTGATCTACTGGGATTTTCACGCACAACCATCTCTAGGGTTTACAGAGAATGGTCCGAAAAAGAAAAAATATCCAGTGAGCGGCAGTTCTGTGGGCGGAAATGCCTTGTTGATGCCAGAGGTCAGAGGAGAATGGCCAGACTGGTTCGAGCTGATAGAAAGGCAACAGTGACTCAAATAACCACCCGTTACAACCAAGGTAGGCAGAAGAGCATCTCTGAACGCACAGTACATCGAACTTTGAGGCAGATGGGCTACAGCAGCAGAAGACCACGCCGGGTGCCACTCCTTTCAGCTAAGAACAGGAAACTGAGGCTACAATTTGCACAAGCTCATCGAAATTGGACAATAGAAGATTGGAAAAACGTTGCCTGGTCTGATGAGTCTCGATTTCTGCTGCGACATTCGGATGGTAGGGTCAGAATTTGGCGTCAACAACATGAAAGCATGGATCCATCCTGCCTTGTATCAATGGTTCAGGCTGGTGGTGGTGGTGTCATGGTGTGGGGAATATTTTCTTGGCACTCTTTGGGCCCCTTGGTACCAATTGAGCATCGTTGCAACGCCACAGCCTACCTGAGTATTGTTGCTGACCATGTCCATCCCTTTATGACCACAATGTACCCAACTTCTGATGGCTACTTTCAGCAGGATAATGCGCCATGTCATAAAGCTGGAATCATCTCAGACTGGTTTCTTGAACATGACAATGAGTTCACTGTACTCAAATGGCCTCCACAGTCACCAGATCTCAATCCAATAGAGCATCTTTGGGATGTGGTGGAACGGGAGATTCGCATCATGGATGTGCAGCCGACAAATCTGCGGCAACTGTGTGATGCCATCATGTCAATATGGACCAAGCTCTCTGAGGAATGCTTCCAGCACCTTGTTGAATCTATGCCACGAAGAATTGAGGCAGTTCTGAAGGCAAAAGGGGGTCCAACCCGTTTCTAGCATGGTGTACCTAATAAAGTGGCCGGTGAGTGTAAGTAGTTCAGAAAAAATAAGCAACTTACATGGTAAATATAAAAACAGTCAGTCTAATCTTAAAATACATCCTCTATTGACTACGGGTAAGATGCCGTGGGTAAATGGAGATAATGACACATTTGAATAGTGGCATTTATGCAAACACCTCCTTTAAACAGCCTCTTTAAAGTCCCACTCTGATCAATTTTTTTTTCCAATAAGTTTTTTCAGTGGGCTTTAAATTGTGATTATGAAGTTTTCAGCCAAAATCACGTCACCTGTGTCATTTTCAAGGACTTCTGCAGAGCTCCAGTAGCTCATTAGCAATTCGCCTCTGTGTCGTTGGTGGAGACAGCGCTGCTCTGCACACTCCTCTTTACACTCCTCTTTACACTCCTCTTCACACTAGCTTGCAGCCTAACATAGCCGGTGTAGTAGAAATAGCAGGTAACATAGGAGTTATTCAGCTCTCGGACACTAATGTCTTTGGGGAAATGATGAAAGCGATTATCATAATGAGCTTTCTTACAAGGATTGCAATCTGCTAACGCACACGCTTGTTCTGTGATTTACTTCACAGAGGCTGGCCTGCATAGAGGGGCTCCAGAGGCGGAGCGTGGATATGTGACGTAGGAAATCTCACTGTGTCTGAGCCTACAGTTTGGGTCTGCCAGAGATTCACAGCGATTTGAATGAAGAAATATTCAGAAATGCAATTTTATACTTAGTTTTCTCGTGACATGCCCTGCGGCATCAGAAAAATGCCATATGAACATGCAGACAACAAGAAAAACACGATTTCAGAGTGGGTCTTTAAACATAGGGGGGATTGATTATTACTCTCAGGATTAAAATGCAGTATTACTTAAATCTAAATCTCAGTCATATTACTGTCTCAGTTACGTTTTTTACTTTAATTAGATCATCACAAACACTGTACAGTCATCCATGTGTTCAAGTCATATTTATGCAGAATAAAATACCACTGCAACTCCTCTGTGAAACTTAACAAATTCATATACGCCCTGGTGCACAAGCGCCTCACATGATCAAAGCAGAGGCCTCCCCTCCCAGCTCATAATCCTGTATCTTGTCAACTTTGAAGTCCCGGCTCTTGGTGGCACAGCCTTCAAGGCTGCCACTTTACACAGAAAGGCAGACAGACAGACAGAGCAGCTATGTTCGCATGGACGCTCTGGTCTCAGCAGCCCTCAGAGCAGCAAAAGCCTTCCTCCGCTGCAAGGTTGAGGCTGTGGCCTCCATGATGTCATGGTAGCTGTCTGTCTCTTGGGAGTCTTCACTATTTTGAGACTTAGTGCTGTCCTGTGAGTCTGGCTTCTGCCTCAGAGCCCGGTTCTGTTCCTCTTTCAGCTCCAAGTAGGAGCGGGAGAAAGTGTGAAAGATGGAGGTGACAGGGAAGGCCATGAGGAGGATGCCAGAAAGGATACTGCTAAGCGCCACCACCTGGCCAGGGATGCTTCTGGGCACCATGTCTCCATATCCGACTGTTGTCATGGAGATAACAGCCCACCAGTAGCTACCAGGGATGCTTGTGAACTCCTGCTTGGCTCCCATTTCACTCTCAGCAAGAAACACCAGTGGGGAAAAGAGAGCCATGGCCACACAAAGGAACAGCAGTAACAGTCCAAACTCACGCGTACACCTCCTTACTGTCAAACCAAGGGTCTGCAGGCCTAAGGAGTGACGAGCCAATCTCATAACATAGAAGATACGAAGAGCTCGCAGAACTCTGAGAACTAACCCTACTTTCTCTAGGTAGTTGTTCCCTGAGCCCGTAGGTTTTTCTCCGACTGACAGAGTGTCCACGATGAGAGTGATGTAGTAGGGGAGGATGGCCACCACATCTATCACATTCAGAGGTGTACGCAGGAACATACACTTGCTCTGAGTCTGAATGAAACGTAGCAGGAACTCCAGTGAGAACCAGGCAACACACACTGTCTCCAGCACAAAGATGTTATAGCACCTTTGGGAGCACTCACCCTGCAGAGGAAAGAAAGCATAAAAGTCAGACATCAAGGGTTGTGTTACATTGCAAAACTTAAAATAACATCATTCAGTGTGCAAGACTTTGACAGAGCTTCCGATAAAGGTCGAAAGACACAAGTGGAAGCACACTGATTAAGAATCTGTTTTAGAGCCGCAGTTTGATTTGCTAGTTTAGTGTTGATTCCAAAGATTGTTGTGTTTGATCTTGCAACAAAAAGGTTGTTCTGATATTTCACAGAACAAAAAAAAACAACAGGGAAAGAACTAAAAGATTCATGGAGGATACAACTAAGGCAGTGATTGTCTTAAAATTCACTGAATTGTATCAAACCTGAGTGATCAAGAGGTGAAATCTTTAAAAGGTACAGATAAATAGGTACTATAAGTCTATACAAGTATTTAACCTAACAAGAATACGTTCTTTTCTATATTTCTACAACCAAAACTGAAATATGCTCTCTTTTTTGGAATAAACTTTTTGTTCAAGACTGCAGAAAAATTATTTATAAATATTTGAAAATAAAACATGAGATACTGCTTGATAATCAAGTCAAAGTACCCCATGGGGGGAGAGAAAAAATAAAGTGTGAGTTCATTTTTCCAGCATTTACTCCAAGTTTTCTTTGCGTAATTGGTGTCAGTTAATTATGTGGGGGTTAATGAGAGTATGCGGGCAATGATGATATCTCTCATCACACTCTTCTATTATGTAAATCTCTCCTCTTAAATCCTTTAAAACAGGCACTTTCTTAAAGGAATCTTTTACATTTCCCTCGGGTCCCTTATGGTTCACATATTCATGATCACACCTTTAAGTTGTGCAGAAATCTCTACAGAAACACATACATACAGTATGATCTGGTAGTTGTTGTAAGTAGGTGTAAATGTGCAAAAGTGTGTATATAAAAGCAAAAACTTTTCATCAACATTTGCTAAGTCAACAGATATGCTCTGTGGCAACATTATTAACTCCCCTCAGAGTGGAAAAGCACTCAAAGATTACACTTCATGAATCTTTCAGAGAATACATTTATTTTGCATAAAGCCATTTTTTTGCTGTTGAGACACCAAACCACCAAACCCATTTAGAACTACAAGCTACAAGATGGGGTTACAGTTTTTCAACAGCAGCATTATGTAAGTGCTTTAGAGACACTCAGAGTTATTATTAACAAGGGGTTTCAATTTATATAGTATTGGAATTGTTTTGGATATTTTTGTCTTGATATTCGTTATGTGTGATTTCCAGCTGAGTTTATTGTCTATGATAACTCCCAGGAATTTGAGTTCATTTACATGTTCAATTTCTACATCTTGAATTGTTAATTTTACTAGTGTATCCATTTTCCTGTTGCAGAAGAGTATATATTTTGTTTTACTAAGATTTAACGATAGTTTATTTGCATCAAACCATTTTTTAAGTACTCTTGGAGATGATGGTAGTGGGAGGGTACAGGAATCATAGAAATACCTAAACAAAAGGGTTAGAAATCTTTTTGCCATAATTTTGTAGGCTCTGTTTCTGTATAGGAAACAAAGACCCTATACCATCTTTACATGCAATCCATAATCTCTTGATGTTTCAACTTTCAGGGCTCTATTTTTGTGCCTTGCTGGCGGTATTGCATAGGTGCGGCATAAGTCAGGTCCGCTACACTGATGAGGTGTGCCCAAGCACACTTTGGTATTTTGGTGAGCGGCACAACCTGGCGCAAGTATCCCCCCTCCCTAACTCTGCTCCCCCTGGCGGCGTAAGTCGGAAAGAGGGAGGAGAGAAGGCATGGAGTGGGTTTAACACAGCCGAGTCCTGTTTTCACCAATCACACCAGCTCCTCTCCTCACCTTTAAATCCACCACCGGCAAGGCACATTGCAAATTTCGTTGGGTGGCGGGTTGTGCATACAGATCACAACATAAACAGATTCCAATAGTGGCATTAAAATTGAAACCACCTGTGTGTATAGGATGCATTATGCTCCGTGGCCTGGCATGGCTCTTTCGTTCACTGATGTTGGCATATAAAATGAACTCATGCAACTGAATATTATAATATTCATATGTAGGCCTAACTCCGGATTGAATATTCACAGAATTTTAAGGATGTGAGAATATCAGATAAACAGATCAATATGAAGGAAAGTTTCTTTCATTTTTTTGTTCAAATTTTTGAAGTAAATAATTCATTTGATAACTAAAATAAATCATCGGGTCAGCCTTGCCGCTGTTGCTGCAGCAGGACGGGGAGAGGACACGGAGACATGTACGGGTCGAGCTGCGCAAGAAAGAAGAGGAAGAGGAAGAGAAAAAAAGAGGACAGGGGACGAATAACTATCTTGTTCACTTCATCATGTGAGACTATTTACTGGATATTTAATTTAAAGGGGACCTGCCATAAAAATGTAATTTTGTGTGTTTTTTGTGTCAGATAAGGTCCATATTATGTTCATCTTATGTTGTAAATGTGAAAACAAACCGTTACGTCGTTTGCATTCTGTAAAGGTTTAAAATAAAGGAACGGGTAAACCAGGCCAATTGAAAAAGCAGGTCCCTCTGACGTCGCGCTGACATTGCTCATTATTATTCACGAGCGCATCCTCGCTGAGCCGTGCCCACTCTCTCGTTCTCGTACTCACTCACAGCCAGAGCGAGACCCAGCTACCACTGTATCCGCTATGGGTCTCTTCCAAACGACCGGTGTTTTCTTCGGTTCACTGCCGGGAAAATGAACTTAAAGCTGGACAGAATGAATGAGAAAACACCGCTGGAGATCTCTGGCTTCTTCTTCAACTTCCACCTCCTCTTCGGACTCGGGGTCTAAAATATATGGTTTAATACCTGCCGTTTTTAGCCTTTAGCATAAGGTGACCAGACGTCCCCGATTTCCGGGGACAGTCTCTGTATTGGATGACCTGTCCCCAGCAAAAGCTGTCCCCGAAAATGTCCCCGATTTAAGCGTTCCATGAATGAGAACAAAAATGTTGCATGTGGGCATGAACAACGGTTATTACAGTAGCCGAATAGGTAGGAAGCACAAGTTAGCAGTCCTGAACAACAGTTCTTACGGGGGTTATTACAAGGGGCATGCGCTGCTACTTAATAGTACCGAGATTTTGTCTGTGATCACACAGACCCTGCAGCCCCTGCAGCCCCTGCACCGCTGCCACACCGAATATCCCCGGATATCATTACAGACATCTGGGCACCTTACTTTAGCACACATTAGCATATGCTATTAGCATTATGGATAAACCGAAATCCGAACCTCCACTGCTGAGCCAATCAGAGCACAGCAGGCTTCACAGCAGCGATCCAATCAGAGCAAAGCTCATTACCATAAATGTTAATGAGCCAAAACCAGTTGGTTTTCTTGTAAGGTTTTTGGGCATACTAAAACAAACCATCAAATAACTTTTCAGCTAAAATTATGTTGCAAACATGATCAGAGGACATCAAGGATTATGAAAAAATGATAAAAATGGGGATGAAATTTTGGTGGCAGGTCCCCTTTAATGCAGTTTGAGATGTGTTAATTTGGTCAGGTTGAGTGTCCAAATCCGTGCCAAATAAGCTCATCAGCCAAGATATAGATCAGAATATATTGATATAGATCTAAATGTATGTGATGACTTAGATAGTTGCACTGAAAAGTGGTTGTTCATTTTTTATTGCACTGCATCAACACTGTTGAAGCCTGCCGGTGAGGCACTGGTGACATGTGCAATGCTCTGCCGGTTTACCAAATTACTACTAGACCAGCTCTGCTCTGCCTGCACTGAAAGCGGACCAGGTTTGAATCAGCGCACTGTATACGCCACGGGAGGGCATGAAAATGTCACTGCGCCAGCTGATTCTGTCAACAGAAATTAATTCATATTACACCGGAATATCCCTTTAAGTATGTATGTGTGCTTTAGGTTTATATATACTTGGTCAGTCAATACTTTAATAAATCCTTTTTAAGAGTATACTTTTAAAAAGATCAGCAATACAAGCCAAGTACACAAAAATGTACTACTACCCAAAGCCTGCCACACAAAAACCCCTTTAAAGTCACTCGGTGTGAGAGTGAGAGTCTTACTCCTGACATGCCCTCATTTAATGGGCTGTGCCTTTCGACTGTTGTGTTTTGCATGTGCTTTTGGAGTTGTGTCATATATTCATTTGAATGTTTCTCCTAATGAAGATTGTTTCGACTGTTGCAGATCATTAGCCCCTGTCAGCCACCATGACCAGAAATGACCTAAGAGCAGTTATTTTAAGAACCAGTAGTGAACTAACCTAATTATTTGAGGGCTGTTTGGACAAACGTTTTAAATAAAAAATGCTTAATACCCATCAATAAAAAAAAAACAAATCATCATCACAATGAAGGTTTGCATATTAGTCTGGGTCTGAACTACAATAATATTACTCAGACAGTAGAAATGATTGATGTGCAGCTCACATTTTCTGCATAGACTAAATTCTCTATTCCCCTTTCGATTTTTTAACATGGGTGTCTTCCACACATTCACACCCTCTGAGCTCTAGCATTTTTCTTTGACAATATATCACTGAGGTTGGTGAGGATTTACATAAGCAGGAGTGTAAATGGCTCTTGGGCACACACATAGTCACTGAATGGTTAGATCCACAGTTGAGCTTTTGCTGGTAATAAATGGGACAAGGACACAGTTTTCAAAGATGCTTAGTATGAACAGAGTAAGCTATTCTGAAGGAGGAAATTGACACAACACTTCAGATGTTTGATGATCCTCAATTCATTTAGAGTGTGTGGAAGAGGAAGCATCAAAAGTGAAATACATTATAGATTCTGTTTTCTCCTTGTGTGTGTGAGAGAGAAAGGGTGGAAATAAAGAAAGGTTTCCCAGCCACAGAATGGCTTTCTGAGAGCCACATTAGATTAGACAGCCAGGCTAAGTGCTTTCCATTGCAGGTAGCTCTTAAAAACCTTCTGAGTACTGCCTGAACCCTGCGAGCCAGCCCAGTAGACTGAGTGCCTTCCTGAATTTGGGTTGCATCACCCTTAATTTTCTGAACTGTAATATAAACTGTAATCCACATGTCTGACAGCTTCATGACATGACTTCATTAACAAAGTAAAACTAAAAGTGCTGGGATGCCCAAAGTGTCTGCCATCCCTTACCAAAACTAAGTATACCTCAAGTACATTCATGAATTACACTAAAGGTCATTTTAGTACAGTTACCAAGTTATACTTTGTACACTGATGAAAATATACTACAAGTGTACCTACAAATAAACTTCTTGGGACTAAATTGGCCCAATTTTAGTTTATAAAAGTACACTCAGAAGCATACCTTTATATATATATATATATATATATATATATATATATATATATATAGAATAGAATAGAATAGAATAGAATAGATTATTCCTTTATTGATCCCCCATGGGGGAATTTTTTTTGACACAGCAGCATCACAAAGATAGTGCAAAAATGCAGTTATAAAAATAAAGATCATAATATTAAGAACTTAAATAAATGTAATAATTAAGAAAAAATTTAGAAAAAGGAAAAAAGGGAGAAGAAAATAAAACTATCTACAATATACACAATTTAAGTACCAGAAAAAAAGTGGTGGTGCGAGTCCAGTTTTACTACAGTTCGTTGTAAAGTCTTATTGCAGAAGGGAGGAATGACCTGTGGTAGCGCTCCATCTTGCAAGGTGGGAGTCTCAGTCTGCTGCTGAAGCAGCTGCTTAAAGCCCCCACAGTCTGGTGCAGTGGGTGAGAGGGATTGTCCATGATGGATATAAGCTTTGCTAACATCCTCCTCTCACCCACCACCTCCAGGGAGTCCAAAGAACAGTCCCCCCCCCCCAGTTTGTTGTTGAGGTGGACACCCAGGAATCTGTAGGACTCCACCATCTCGATGTCCAGACCCTGGATGTTCACTGGAACAGTCTGAGGTGTCCTCCTCCTGCGGAAATCCACGACCATCTCCTTTGTCTTACTGGCGTTGAGCTGGAGGTGGTTTGTGCCACACCAGTTGACAAAGTCAGTGATGACAGTCCTGTATTCCCACTCATCCCCTGACGATACACATCCGACGATGGCTGTGTCATCAGAGAACTTCTGGAGGTGACAGCTCCCAGAGTTGTAGCTGAAGTCCGAGGTGTACAGGGTGAAGAGGAAGAGGGAGAGCACTGTCCCCTTTGGAGCCCCCGTGCTGCAGACCACCATGTCCGATACACAGTTCTGAAGCCTCACAAACTGTGGTCTGTCGGTGAGGCAGTCCACGGTCCATGCAGCTAGGTCACAGTCCACTCCCGCCCTCTCCAGCTTCCTTCTGAGCAGTAAAGGCTGGATGGTGTTGAAAGCACTGGAGAAGTCAAAAAACATGACCCTCACAGTGCTGCCAGTGTTCTCCAAGTGAGCCATGGACCTCTGCAGCAGGTAGATGACTGCGTCGTCCACCCCAATGTTTGGCTGGTACGCAAACTGCAGAGGATCCAGATGAGAGCTCACCAGGAGGCGGAGGTTCCTCAGGATGATCCTCTCCAGAGTCTTCATCAGGTGAGAAGTGAGGGCCACAGGTCTGAAGTGGTTGGGATCCCTGGGGTGTGCTGTCTTGGGGACAGGAATCACACAGGAAGTCTTCCACAGCTGGGAACCTCTCCAGACTCAGGCTTAAGCTGAAGATGTGCAGTAGCACCTCACAGAGCTGGTCTGCACAGTCCTTCAGGAGTCTGGAGCTGATGCCGTCAGGACCCGTGGCCTTCCTTGGCTTCATCTTCCTCAGCTCACTTCTCACCTGGTCAGCTGTTATGGAGAGGCTGGGGGTGGTGCTGGAGGGGGTGGTTGAGGATAAGTGGAGGGGGGTTGATGATGCCGGTGCCATGGAACTGAGGTGGTGTGAAGAAGAAGCAGCAAACAGGTCGTTGGTTTGATGAGTCGGGGGAGGAGTGGGAGCAGAGTCAAATCTATTGAAGAACAGATTCAGCTCGTTGGCCCACTCCCTGTCTCCTGCTTCAGGTCCCCTCTCGTGGCCCCTGCTGTGACCTGAGATGGATTTCAGGCCTCCCCAGACCTCCCTCGTGTTGTTCTGTTGCAGGTTTTCCATCTTGGTCTTGTAGCTGGCCTTCCCCTCTCTGATCTTCTTCTTCAGCTCCTTCTGCACCCTCCTCAGCTCCTCCTTGTCCCCGGATTTAAAGACCCTCCTCTTCTCCTTCAGGAGGACTTTGAGTTCAGGGGTCACTCTGAGTTTGCTCACCAACCAGCATCATCTGCCGAGCTGCGTTTGCCACAAGGTTCCGAGAGAGGAGCGCTGAAGGATAGACGGGGCGCCGGTGCTGTGTGCTTGTGTGTGACATCAGATCCACCATTTGGCCAGCTGCTAGCCGACCCGCAAAGACCTCCTGTAGCCTGGACCTTTGGCTGGTCCACTCCAAGATTGCCTGCTGAGAACCGTCATCAAATAAGTAGGCAAACCCCTTGACACACTGTTTGAAAAACCGGGTGATGTGTCAACCGTTCAGAGCTTATGTTCTGAATTATAATTTAGTTTCTCTAAATTACTCTTCCAAATTTATCCTCGTAACCCCGTTGACTTAGGTTAAATTTTTCCTTGTTGACTCACTATCATTAACCTCAAGTCTTAGCTCAATTCAAACTGTTCCTTCATCTATCCATTAGATGTTCTTTTATTTTCTCATTATGTGATCATCATTTATTGAATTTATGTTATCACCTAGCATTTGTCAATAAAGTATCCATTTAATTTTAAGTTGTCGTCTCTTAGTGCTCCTTTCAGAAGCGAAGTCCCTGAAATGAGAATTCCAGCCTCAGATGTGAGATTAATTTAAATCTGTTTAAGACTGAGTCAACGTTTGATTACTCAATTAAACCTTGTTTTCTTTCTGTTTTTCCCACCAGGAAAAGGTGGGTGGTGCCCTTTCAATGAGTGCATAAATGTCATAATTTAATTCTATTATTTTAGGACATTTATTATAAATTCAAATTGCTACATGTTTATTTGGACAGTGAACTCCAAGAACGGGATACATGGGTGACAAGCTCACGGTGGATGGTAAACTGTGTGTGTGTGTGTGTGTGTGTGCGTGTGTGTGTGCACACACCGTGCAGAAGGATTTTGACATTTTACAAGGGGAGTGATACAGCGTCAGCGGGCTTCTATAGGGGTAAAAAAAAATTTAAATTAAAACATGAAAAAAGTAAGACGAAGTGTGGTGTGGGACCATTATGAGCCGAAAAATGACGAGGGTTGCTGCATACACTGTGCTGCATGTACAAGTACAACACGACAACAACCCCAATGATGTATTACTTGAACCACATACATCTGACTGAGGTTAATGAATCCTCTGAGTCCTCTCAGTCTCAACCTACCATCAGCTCCTTGCTAGCAAGGAGGAACTGTGGGGGAAAAAAAGAACAAATTTGATCATTAATCTATATGATTGATCAATCAAGGGACAGTACAGAATACACTTCCTGATCCCCTGACATCTCTCATGATTGGAGCACACTTCAGCTATGCTTGGTTTCCTTCATGACAATTATCCCCTGTTTGTTTTGGCTTAACTTGCCCCTTGTCCTTGGTGGAAGGAACAGACTGGTGAAGCAGGCAGAAAGATTTGAATGGTATGTTCTGCCTTTCATTCTTCCATCCATGTTCCAAGGGGCTGAGTTCATTTTCATATTTGCTCCAGGAGTGTTCCAGGGAGGACTTCTGTGTGAAGATTTATTGCAGAGGTCACAGCTCTCCTGTTTCTTATCAGTGCTAAGTAGCTGTGTGTTAGCATTCTCTTCTATTCTGAAAAGGAAGAGTGGTTTCATTTCCACAAAACGACATTAACTTCTAATCTGTGCATTTTGGTTTTCAACAAAAGTTTGTGGAAATCGCCACTGGTGAAGGGTGGCATCCTGTTGCTAGTTAGTGTGGGGGCTTGAGCTGATAATGGGCCACACTCAACCTGTCATGAAAAAGCCATAAAAACCTTTGAAAAATGGCTTTGGCTGTCAATCAATTGGTTCTAAAGCTGAAAACACACAGGATCCGTGTTGAGCATAATTTGAAAATCATTCAGTGACCGTTGAGCCTCTACTGTATGTGAAAAAGCAAACTGATTTCAAAGTTTAGGTTTTTGCAGGTTCACTTGTGTTTAATTACGTAAATTATGTTCCTTCACACTGTGCTGTTACCTTCAGACAGAGTTAGCAGTTAAAAAGCCTGTTGGGGTCCACACAGATTAGGGATTTTGTGTTACTGATAAATCCATAACCAAGAAGTATTTCTCATCCACACGAACTGATACACAGTCAGGAGTTCCCAAATGGTGATTTATTGTGAAATTTTTCCAGATGACATGCGTGGTTTTAGTGCTTGACAGTGCCTGTCTAGAACGATCTTCCCTGTGTAGATTGATGCATGTTGGAAGCATAGAGCAGAGAAATTAAACACAACGCTTATCTTTCGCAGAGCCACGCTCAACATGCTTCTGAGACGGCGCATCCTGTGCACAATGCTGCATTGATTAAAATATCAACCTATTTGCTGCGTGACACGTGACACTGATGGAACGTGCTCAACACTGATCATGAACTTTTTAGCCCTAATGCCAGCCCATATCAGCTGACAGCCTAACCACTTACCCATCTGTGCATCCATTCTGCAAAATAAGCCTACTTAGCTGCTCTCCCTATCTCAGTTTTGAATGCAAAACCCAATTCCATTGAAGATGGGAAATTGTGATAAACATAAATGAAAACAGATTACAATGATTTGTAAATTCTTTTCAACCTATATTCAATTGAATACACTACAAAGACAAGATATTTAATGTTCAAACTCATAACCTTTATTTTTTATACAAATAATAATTAACTCAGAATTTCATGGCTGCAACACGTGACAAAGTAGTTAGGACAGGAGCATATTTATCACTGTGTTACATCACCTTTCCTTTTAACAACACTCAATAAACATTTGGGAATTGAGGAGACTAATTGTTGAAGCTTTGAAGGTGGAATTCTTTCCCATTCTTGCTTGATGTACAGCTTCAGTTGTTCAACAGTCCGGGGTCTCCGTTGTCATATTTTACGCTTTATAATGCGGCTTACATTTTCAACAGGAGACAGGTCTGGACTGCAGGCAGGCCAGTCGAGTACCCGCACTCTTTTACTGCGAAGCCATGCTGTCGTTTCTGGATGTTGTTGATAAATGGCTTTAGCTTTGCATAGTAGAGTTTTAACTTAAACTTACAGATGTAGCGACAAACTGTATTTACTGAAAGTGGTTTTCTGAAGTGTTCCTGAGCCCATGTGGTGATGTCCTTTACACATTGATGTCGGTTTTTGATACAGTGCCGCCTGAGAGATCGAAGGTCACAGGCTTCAATGTTGGTTTCTGGTCGTGCCGCTTAGGTGCAGTGATTTCTCCAGATTCTCTTTTGATGATATTATGGACAGTAGATACTGAAATCCCTAAATTCCTTGCAATTGTACTTTGAGAAACATTGTTCTTAAACTGTTCAACCATTTGCTCACGCAGTTGTTCACAAAGCGGTAAACCTCGTCCCATCCTTGCTTGTGAATGACTGAGAATTTTTGGGGAAGCTGCTTTTATACCCAATCATGGCACCCACCTGTTCCCAATTAGCCTGCTCACCTGTGGGATGTTTCAAATAGATGTTTGATGAGCATTCCTCAAATTTCTTTGTATTTTTTGCCACCTTTCCCAACTTCTTTGGCACGTGTTGCTGCCATCAATTTCCAAAATGAATTATTTGCCAAAAAAAAAAATTTGTTTGAACATTAAATATCTTGTCTTTGTAGTGTATTAAACTGAATGTAGGTTGAAAGGTATTTGCAAATCATTTTACTCTGTTTTTATTTACGTTTATCACAATTTCCCAACTTCAATGGAATTGGGTTTTGTAGATGTATATAAAACAGAAGAAAGTTGTGTTCTTCCTGGCTCAGGTTTTGGCATTCCATGAGTTCAAGTGAAAGGGCAAGGAGCTCTCAGGGATGAGCCACACTACCAAAAATGATTTGTTACATAAGTAAGTGTCTTCAACAAAATCATTTTGCTTTCAGGTTTCAAAGGTAACAGAAGGATACTACAGCACATGAGTAAAGCTAATTTTCTTTCCATCAAACTGTGAGGGCTGTTGCATTCATACCCTCCATACACTGGAGCCATAACTGAAACCTCAAAAACATTATATATGACAAACGGTAATAAACTACAGTATGGAATTGGAAGTACTCATTTCATTAGTTGTAATGGGTTAGGGAGATCTGAGCAGTGACTGGCTATCAAAGACAATGGATATTAGAAAGCCTTGTATGAAGGAAGAGGAGTGGGCAGACTTAACTGAAATAAATGTAATTATCAAATCACAAAGTCTAGCTGGATTCATGAAAGGGTGCAGCTATTTAACACATTACTTGACACTTTAAAAGGATAATTACAACAAAAGAGGCATGGTATGAGAGAAGTCACTGTATCATGAGTTCTGTCTGACTTGGGTATCAAAAGTAAGAGTTTGTGGAGCACTGTCAAACCTGTAATTTTCTTTCAGTCATCATGTAAAAAAAAATCTGTGCATTCACAGTAAAGCAATGTTTCTTTACTGACATGCCTTCTCATTTTAACTGACTTCACAGTTGGCACTTTGTTATTATTGAGGCAGTTAGGAAGGCATTCACAAATGGCAGATTGTAGTTTCCGTCCTTTGCTGTAAAGATTTTTTTAAAGGCCACGCAGTCACCTGGTTATTCTTGTTAACCTGGATGTATAGGTATGTCTAGGTCAGGGGTCGGCAACCCGCGGCTCTGGAGCCGCATGCGGCTCTTTCTTCCCTAAGCTGCGGCTCCCAATGGATTTGGAAAATAAATAATAAATACATAATTGCATTTTATTTTATTTTATTATTATTATTTTTTGTAATTCTAAATTCAAAGATTATAATGCTCTTGTAACATTGAATAAACTATTAAGGCTGCAACAACGAATCGATTAAGTACATTCGTCGTGACGAAAAAATCCGTTGCCAACAAATTCTGTAATCGATTCGTCGGGTCTTTATATATGTCCATGGACACCGGCGTGTAAACATCAGCAGGACGCACAGAAAAGAAACAGCCATGGCCGAGGCAGCGGCTGAGAAAAACATGGACACAACCCAACCCAAATCCCGACCTAAAACATCAGTGGTGTGGGAAAACTTCACCAAGACTGAAAAGGAAGGCGTTCAGTGCAACATTTGCAAAGACCGTTTTGCATGGCACGGGAGTACATCGATGATGCGTGAGCACAGGGCTCTCAAGTCTCACGCATTCAGCGTATGACACGCGCATTCCCACTCGTTCACATGCTCACACACCACACATTGTATTTCTCACGCATTAATAATGAATGCATCACGCATCATAAATGAACACGGTGATGTCCACCAAGTTGCACTTCTTCAACTATGGGACTGGGGGAAATCAACTGAGTTCCTCCGAGAGTTCAGAAGCTGCGTGCCACGCACAAGCCAATCAAATAAAGTATATCTACTGAACAGCCAATCAAAAAGCAGCATTGCTGTATCCGGGTAGATTTTGATATCTCCCGGTTTAACTACAGAAGAAGACAGACACTCGCCGAAATAGTTCATTTATTTCATAAATGCAACTCGCTACAGTTCTTTATATACTTTGTATAAAGGTAAAAAAAAGATATATGCAATGTTATCTTCATTTTAGATGTCAAAGAGGTTTTGCGGCTCCCTGTGTTTTCTTTTCTGTGGGAAACTGGTCCAAGTGGCTCTTTGAGTGTTTAAGGTTGCCGACCCCTGGTCTAGGTGGTTAATTGGTGCTACGGTGATATTGTTTAGAGACAAAAATAGTACTTAACACAATGTGTGACTAATCACACCTGTTGCCCTTTGGATTAAAAACAACTAAGCTGTAGAATCATGCAGGCACAGAGATAAAATATGGTCATATGTCATCCGGTAATAACAATAATAATAATAAAAATGCATCAGATTTTTATAGCACTTTATCTGTAGACCCTTAAAGCTCTTTAAGCGCTTGTTTTTAATAAAGTTTACGGTTTAACAATGTGTGCACATGTGTGTGGCTATGTTGAAGGACTAGCCTAGCATCACGGGCTAGTCAGAGTCAGACTTAGACCATTCTTTAACACCCAATTAAGATTCTTGCAGAAAATGCTGATTTTTTTATGACTTGATGATTGTAGCCCTTTGTGAGTGAGTGGGTAAAGTAAGTGTGCGAGTGTGTGGGTGTTAGTTGTGTGTGTGACAGTTGTGTTGCAACACGATGAAAAAGGCAGAGGGGTGATAGGCTGAGTTAAAAAGAAAAACTGGCTAGGGGATAGTCTTTAGAAAAGATAGTTTGTGAGATTAGACTTTAAAAAGACTGTTTGGGTTTTTAAAGTAAATGAATTGATATCGAAATAACAGGAAGCGAGAGATGGCAAAAGCAGACCTGGCAAGAGCATTAGAGTGAGTGGCGCTCCCACGTGTGTGCGAACGGTTATATAGCAGCACTGACGTCACGTCATGGGTTCAAAATACTACCATCTGTGTTAATAGGTAGATTTTAAATGAAACTGTGTGGTTGATTTGTTTGAGTGCTACAATAGTCCAACAGCTTGCTTTTCAAAAGGGGGGAATCTGCTAAATCTCCTTTGTACTAACTTTTGGGGATTTTTTCCCCCTCCCATCTTGTACCCAACTACAGTACTTCAGCTGCCTGCAGGTCTAAATAAGGTTTGGGTAAGGAAGCCTTTTTACTGTATAGATTGAGGCTTTATGGCAAGAATTTGCATAATCATTGCATCGTTATATAACAATTATAAGAACCTATTTCATATTCAGTGAAGCTTATTTCACATTCATTTTTGGAAGCAGGTCAAGGAAATCAACAGCATTGGGAGAATATCTGTGGGATTTTACAGAACCAAAGCCCAAAACCATGGATTATTCATTTGAAGATGTGTGCAAACAGCTTTTTTTTTTTCTTGTGTTGCATTTTTGCCGTCAATAACAGCATACATCTGGGAATAGACCGATTTTGTGCAACCACAAGGAACATAATGCTGCAAAAACAGCAAGGGGAGCTGCAATGATCTGTTTCTCAGGTGAATGGTGTGAAAGCCTTAGTGTCCCTGAGCCTTCCCCTCTGTCACGATGATTTACAATAAAGCCTTAGAAATCTATGTATGTGGGTTGCTGCATCAGCATAATCTGAATCCTTCTGTAGCAGCTATACAGCGTTCACATACTCAAGGTTGTTTGGAAAAAGGAATCCTGGGACCCAAGTGATATCAGTTCAAAGTTTTGTTGTGTAATGCCTCAACTACAGTGTTCATATTTAAATTTTGCCCCTGAAATGCTCAAAAATTTTCATTTCATTTTAATATCAATCATGAATTTATCTTTTTTACAGCCTCAAGAGGCTACTTTCACCTACAAAGATTAGATAAACAATACTTTCTTTTTTAATTCTTATAAGATTGCCAACCTAATCTTCTCTGTTCAAAAAGGCACTGATGCCTTAGTTTTGAAACCTTTGTGTGAGTGAGTCATTGAATGAGGAAAAAAAGGCAGTGAGTCAGAGGGTCAGAAGGAAGTCAGACAAGAGTTCAATGTTTTGTGTAACTGACCTAAATCTTTTCAAGAAAAAGAGATAAGTGATATGATTTAAAAGGAAAGACTGTACTCACCCTCTCCTCCTCCTCTCTGAGGTCTGGCATAGTGCTGACACACAGTGTCACAGCAGTGATGGCCACAAATAACACTGACAAACAGGCAAAGATCTTCCCCGGCAGGCCGGAGTGAGGGTTCTCCACCATGTCCTGCAGTCTACGCATGCAGTTTGCTGCACGAGTCTCTTCCACTACTCCAGGAAGCTGCTGACTCTCCTCACAGGACTGTGGAGAGGTGAGCTCAGCCTCCTCCTCCAGCCTTTGCTGCTCCTTGAACTCTTCTTGCCTAAGCCGCAGCTTTCTCAGGCAACACCAGTCCAGGTTGTTCTCTTCCACACCCCAGTACAGCAGCTCCTCCTGGAAGGACAGGGCACACATCTCTCTCAGCAGCCGCAGCTTCCCTGCTGCTAAGAAAGTGACAATGGTGCGAAAAGCTGATGGGTTTCGGTCAAAGAAATACTCATTACGGCTACCATCGTAGTCATCGCACACATCCATGATTTCAGCCTCATTGCTGCAACTACGCAGCTTGCCGAGCCGTGTCAGGGGAAACTCTTCCAGTGTGGACCATGGAAAGCAATACTTGATGCCCCCTACGTTGATGATGGCTGTCCCATCAACAAAGTTAATCTGATCTCCATCCAGGTGACAAGGCTGGGACTGCAGTAGTAGCTGGGCTCGCTTGTAGAACAAACCCTTCTTTGAGCTGACCTCCTGAGGGTTTTCCACACGTTTGAAGCGAAAGGGGGTAAATTGATGTTCAGTGTTGCCAGCTAGGAAAGCAACTTCCTGATACATTCCTCCTACTTTGCTGAGGGACCGTGCCCCCCACTATACGATGGGAAGGAACTTTACAGGGTTTGTGAGATGACTAGTTGCTTGTCAGCCATTCAGCATCATGGTAAAACTCTGTAGGACAAAAAAAGACAAGTAACCTTTACTCAGTGTTATTGCTAAATATGAAAATTCACTGAGCTTAATTCTATCCAGCAACTATCTCTACTGCCATCTGTTTTCACATAAAAATATTTAGATAGGTACTCTATAACAGACAAGAGGAGAGAAGGTGAGAAGAGAAGGAGTGGAGAGTGAGTGAAGAGGAGGTGACAGGAGAAGAAGAGAGAAAGACAGAAATGGAAAGGGAAGGAGGGAAGAACAGAGGGAGAGAAAGAAGAGATTTAGTGAGTTAGTGAGAGACAGGGGTAAGAGTCTATTGTACATGTAACCACACACTGCTTCAGTTTTCACAGTTACACTCTTTTGTAAATCAACAGATGTTTCTTTGTTTTTCGCTTGTTGTTAGGCATTTGTTCATTCATTAAACTCAAGTAGTTAAATATGCTTTTGTTGTTATTAGAGCTGCCGAGTTTACACGTTATTTTCACATTAACCCAATAATCTATGAATGCCAACAATTATTTTATCCCGCATTAGCACATGTTGCTCACATGCTTTTATTTTGTTAAAATCTGTGGCTGGCGGCTGCTGAACTGGAAAAGAAGGGGTTTGGTGGAAAAACGTGGAAAAATCAAAACAAACATGGAGAAGAAGTGTAACGCTACGAAGCTTTTACATGGTCATTTCCATTTTAAAGTTATTCCCGACGGCGGATTTGTCAAAAACAAAGTTATTTGTTAGGGTCAAATATCTATCTTTTATGGTGTACTATTGGCAGGTTCTAAAGAAAACTCTCTGTCTCATCTATTGGCATGGGAGAAGGATCTTGAGTGTAGAAGACTGGGGGAAGGCGTGTCTTCTATCCCAAACTCAAACTACAAATACAAGATGCAAACTCCTACAGTATAAATGGTAGCTTAGGACCTACATCACGCCTGTTAAACTACACCACTTTAATCCTGATATTCCTGACTGTTGTATCAAATGTATGGAAGAAGTTGGTACACTGTTGCATTGTATATGGAGCTGTCAAAAGTTGAAGTTATTTTGGAAAGAGGTTCTAGATTTGATCTCCAAACTGACAGGAAAAAATATACCGGCTGAGGCTAAATTATGCTTGCTACACTATACCCTGAGGATTTTCCAGTGACTGTGAAGCAAGGCAATTATTTTCTGTCTATAACAGGGAAAACGAGTGGTTGCTTTAGCATGGAAGGAGACCCAGGGACCTACCGCTGGTCGATGGATTACAGAAATGGCATCAAACCTGGCGCTGGAAAAACTGACTTGCATGGCAAAAGGAAAAACTGAGGACTTCAACAGGATGTGGTCCTCTTCCTTATCCTTAATGAATAACCTTGATGGGCAAGTGCTTGGTCCTGAACAAGGACAGTTATTATTGACTTCATAATCTCGCAACGGCTTGTAACTAGTTCCATGTCTAAAGTATTGGTATTGTGTAATGTGGAAATGATAACGAGGACCGAATCATAGACTTGAGATGCGTGAGATGTGTATCTGCATATTCATACTTGTGTGTACATTTCATCTACCGTCGATCTTATTGAGAGAGGGAAGGGGGGTGAAAGGGTTCCTTTTGTTTGTGTACTTGATATGTCTGTGAATGCATGTTCATAAAGATGAAAAAAGTCAATAATTGTGGTTATTTGTATCCACTGCCAAGCTGAATTTTCGTATCACCGGAGTACTTCAAGTGTAAAATATCACCTTAATGTGAAGCACACTGTTGATATCAGCAAATCATTCAACGAAACAGACAGTGGAGCGAAGCTTCGGCAGACTATGTGAAATTCAGCGTGTTGGAAAAAGTATAGATAAACAGAAGCATAGCGAAGTGGATAGCTTCAGACTGTAGGCCGATTAGTGTTTTGGAACACTGGAACACTAAACAAATATTTTGTTTAACTGCTAACTGTTTAAAAATTCAGATGTTAAGAGTGTGTTTGCACAGTAAATGTTATGGCACTTTAAATTCATATGGAAGTACATTTAAAATTACTGGCCATCAAGTTCTAGGAATTGACAAACTGCACTGAGTTAAGTGAGATTCGACAAAGGAACTCCAGAATAAACACGGACTTTACTTTCTAGTCCCCCGTAAAGGAAATCTCAATAGTGAACTTTTTTGTGTTTCACCCTTTCAAACAGGGACATTTGGTACTTAACATAGACTGGTTATGCTGTTCCCTGATAAAAGAAAAAAGTTCCTTCTGTTACCTTAAAAATTGCCTATTTAGATGTTATGATTGTGGCTCAGGGTTTTGTACGTAGATTGCATTTATTTTTTATAAGCAACAGGATTACCGTATTTTCCGCACTATAAGGCGCACCGGATTATAAGGCGCACCTTCAATGAATGGCCTATTTTAAAACTTTGTTCATATATAAGGCGCACCGCATTATAAGGCGCATAGAAAAGACGCTACAGTGGAGGCTGGGGTTACGTTATGCATCCATTAGATGGAGCTGCGCTAAAGGGAATGTCAACAAAACAGTCAGATAGGTCAGTCAAACTTTATTAATAGATTACAAACCAGCGTTCTGACAACTCCGTTCACTCCCAAAATGAATAAACAGCTGTTTTAGGAGCCCTTTTGGGGTCTTTACATAAACACACAAATAGAAATGAAACGGCACGCCTCGCGCAGTCATATATCCCAGCATGCACCACGCGCTTCTTCTTCTACGGGGGAAAATGAAGTCGGCGGCTGCTTACCGTAGTTGCGAGACCTGTTGTGGCTCAATATTGGTCCATATATAAGGCGCGCCGGATTATAAGGCTGTTATAAAATTGGAGGTTTTTAGGTGCGCCTTATAGTGCGGAAAATACGGTACTTTAAAGCCTTTCAGTAGCAATAAGCTTTAATTTTTGTATTTAAATTTTTTAAGTTGACTTACACTAAATATGTTATGTCACTGTTACTGTATAACAAGTGCTGATTTTAATAGTGTTTGCACAACAAATGTCATGGGGCTTTCGTTCACATGGCAGAACATTCCAATCAAAGTGCACTGTACACAACATGTGAATTCTTTACTGGATTTTTGTGTATACAATGCGATTAATCAAGCTTAATCAGGGAAATTATGTGATTGATTGCGATTAAAATTTTTAATCATTGCCCAGCCCTAATTGTTATATGATTAACATTTGCACATATGTCAGAGTCAAGCCCCGCGGGCCACATCCGGCCCGCGAGAAGGTTTTTTACGGCCCCTGGGATGATCTTGATTTATTATTAGAACCGGCCCGCAGACCGCAGCAAGCCGGCAGCCCGCAGATCTTTTACACGCACCAATACTACATTTCCCACAATGCAACGGTGACGCACCGAGCAGTAGGCTGCTTCATTTCAATATTTATTAGCACAGCAGTCGTCAGCATTACAGTAAAATTAACTTTCAGATACCTATCAAAAATGGCAAAACGGAAGGTGGACACTGAGAACCAGGGGTTTCAAACAAGGTGGGAGTCGGAGTATATGTTCACGGAGGTAGCTGGAAAACCTGTGTGTCTTCTGTGTGGAGAAAGTGTGGCGGTACTGAAAGAGTATAATCTGAGACGACATTATGAAACGAAACACGCGGATTTTTGCACTTTATTTTATTGTATTTCAATCCAATTATATTTTTAAAATATTTCAGTTGAGTGGATGATCGAAAATTGCTATTATTATTTTTTTCTTTTAAGTAAATTTAGCCCACTTTTGCTAAAATAGAAAATATAGGCTACTGATGGTGCCTTGAATAATACGGGTTTCTTTCATTTAATGTTCATGTTATGGGGATTTTTATATAAAGGAAATTTGTCTTTTGTGTCTGTTGAAAATTAAAGATTACTGACAGAGCCATAAGAAAGTATTGCTTTATTTATCTGATCATATTGGAATATATTTGTTAGGTTTTCAGTAGGTTCAATTAGGTTCACTAGACTATATGCGTCATTTAAAAAATTTTCAATGAACATTCGATCAGTCCGGCCCTCGGCTTGTAGCTAATTTTTTTATTTGGCCCTCCGTCCATTTGACTTTGACACCCCTGTATTACAGTATTATTAGTTGGTGTTTTTTGAATCAGAATTTACTAGCACCTCTAATAAAGAGTCAGCCCCCCCACCCCTATTGCCCCAGTATAATAATTTTCTCATGCCGCCGCTGATCACACATATCAAATCAATCTGCAAAAAAGATTTAAAGCATATTAAGGGCCTGATCTACAAAATGTTTGCGTGTTCAAAAAACAGCGCATGCACCTGATCTACTAACTGGGTGCACCAAGGATTGCATCTGTCAAATGAGCAAAACAGCGCGGAATCGATTCAGCATGTTTGGCTTCATGAATATGCAGAGTATATGTAGATCATCACAACGCAGAAAAATACTGGGAGGAGCAGATGCAAATGAAATCATTTACCACCCGCAATGTGCCGGTGATCCGTAAACCGATTGCGGTCACTGTTTTGTGCCTTTATTTAGCCCGTTTGAAAGGCAGGTGCAAACTGGGACAGCATTTCACATGGTCATTGTGGGGAGAAGGAGGCAGAAGTGCAATGATAGACGATGGAGATAGAAAGTCTTCCATGCGCGTGTCATCATATTAGTACTGTCAGAAATAAAAAATAGTTGTAATTGTAATGCTGGGTGAATAAAATTCTTCTTCTTGACAACTGTAGCGATTCTAATTTATGATAAATGTCTGAAGATTAATATTTGATAATAATCTTCATTTATAACATTTATGCACTCGTTGAAAGGGGCACCACCCACCTTTAATGGTGGGAAAATAAAGAAAAACAAAACTTTAATTCAGAAATCAAACATTAAGTTAATCTTAAATTAATCAATCTCATATCTCAAGCTGAAATTCTCATTTCAGGGACTCCACTTCAGGAAGAACACGAACAGACAGGAACTTGGAAAAATAATGATCTGTTTATTACAGTATAAATGATGATACAATAAATGAGCATAAGATGAATATAGATAATAACAGATGAATGAAAGATTCTGAATCAGGCTAAGACTACTAAAGTTAATAATAGTGAGTGAATATGCTCTAACATATTAACCTACATTAACTTTGGTGTAAAGATAAATTTTAAGGTTATCTGAATTATGAAGCATGAGACAGCATCAGCCCTGTTTGGAGCTCTGGACGTTTGCATACTTAAGTGAGACTGGTCCTTGGAGAAGATGGAGCAGGTTCCAAAGGTCTGGGGCTACTGGCGGTTCGAGTGGTCCAGCTCAGATGATGACCAAAGTCAGCCGAAAGATGGGCCAGGAGTTGCAGCACTTGGGCCCGAAGCAAAAACCAGTGCCTATGTATCCTTTGGATGCTCATTTTGATCTCACAAAGTCACACAGATGACTCAGAAGAAGAGGCTCGATGACCAGTTGAGACTATTTCAAAAATGGCTATGCGAAATTAAAGAAAAATCTATTAAAGGCTTGATCTTGGATTTCTATGTGCACAAAAAGTTAAAGTTTCACAACTTTAACTAAAACGATGGTAAAGAAAAATCATCGTGAATGAACACGTGGTGGAAAACTTCAAAGGAAAAAAATTAAGGAGAGAAAAAAACAAGCGAAGAGGGAACTTAGCAGAAAAAAAGGGGGGAAAGGGTGTGAAGAGCAAAAGGCAAGAGAGGAAAAAGCAAGAGAGAGAAAAAAAACAAGAGAGCAAGAGAGCACACCAGCTTTACTGGTTTTATACTCTTCAAACTGGAAGTGTCTCTAAGGTGTGAGGAGAGAAAGGAGGGGTCCCTGATCTCCAGCTGCAGCTTCCTAAAAGGAGACTTTCAAGAGGCCTGATTGTTTGATCCAACTTATACTTTGGCTAGTAAAGAAGTCAGATCGAATTCTCACTTACTATGATTAATGTTAAAGAATGTTTGGTTCATAATAAAGGATTTGATGCTAAACACAGATAAAGAATTGTAGAATCACATTAACAAACATTCTCATTATGATTTGAGTACCACTTTTAAAAAAAACATCAATCGTGTTAAATTACTCTGAAATGAAGCAAATAGCAACACATATGAACTGTGAATAACACAAGGGTAAACACATGTAAATGAACTTCATAACAATTCATAATGGATTCTACAAACCAACATTCAGGTTATTAACTAACAGAATAACTACATAATGGTTAACAAAGCTAAACAAATGATTAAGAGATTAACTAAATATTTCTACACTATTCCTACTAGAATAGGATTATAATTCAAACATAACTTCCGCTCTTAAAAGTTCATGAAAACAGTTTGGAAAGCTGTTGATCTCAAGGAACTTTGTGACTGAAGGATTTATTCTGTCAGTGTGAGATCTTGGCTTATAAACATGATAGACAGATGGTACAAAAAACTGTTTTACTGCACATGTTGAGTACTGACAGAAGATCATCGTGCAGTGTCTATCCAACCTGTAATTTGACTAATTTTAGTTATTCTCTTTGGATTGTACTCACAGAGAGCACGGGATACTGATAAACCTGACGCTTCCCAGTCAAGGTGTTTATCGGATCGAGTGGTCCTGCAGTTCTTTCCTGCTGGCCATAAACAGTGTCTTTGTCTCTTTGAAGTAGAAAGGATAGAAAGTTTGTGTTTTGGGAAGGCTTCTTTGGTTATCTTGTATAGAGACAGGAGGTTGTAGAAGGATTGTGATTTGGTGTGAAAGGTTTACACCATCTTGTCTCTAGTGAGCAGATGTAAGCCTTACATTCTTTTGGGGGGTTGGAATGAGAAACAGGTTGTCTTTGCTACACAACATACAGACAAAGAGAGAGACTACAACATTACTTTCAATTTATTTGGAGAGGTAATTAATTACTGACCAGTAACCAACTAAAAAGAACGGAGACCAGCAAATAGGGAGCTTAGATAAAAGATACAGCAACCGCATGTTGAACAAAATAACCTCAGAGCGACCACAAATTGCGTTGTGACAAGGTTACAGAGTTGAGTGAGAAGAAAATGCCAACAGGAAATTGATAGGCAAGAAGAACATACACACGTACTGCTGTCACTTTCTGCATCCATCAAGAATATCGACTAAAAAAGGCTACTGTCTGGGCTTAAAAATTGTAAAGATGGTAATTTCAACATGATTTAAGACAGTGAAGCAGGTTGATGGGAAGACTTAAAAAATTTCAGTTTGATATTAACTTGAACTGTTTTTGTCGCTGTATAGAGTATCATTGCAATGGACAGCCTGGTGGAAATTCCACAAGCTTACTAACTCCACTTTGGCACCCTCCTCCTTCACCCCCATTTGGCACAATCTAGATTTTCTCAGCAACAAGAAACCACTCAACTTTAAATTATGGAGAGAAAAAGGCATCACCAATCTTCCTCATATCTACAAGGACAATACACTTTGATCACTTTCTATTTTGGTCCAGAAGTTTGGCATTGGGAGCCAACAATTTCTAAATTACCGCCAATGTAAATCATCCAATGAAACATCTTTCAAGAAGAAAAAAGTAAATTTAGACCTTCCTCCAACCACCTCAGCATTAATAAACCTCTCATCCCTAAAAAAAAGCTTTTATCAAAAATATACAGAATAATAAATCAAATTGACAAAACCCCATCCATGCCATCTGAAAAATGGGAAGCAGATCTTTCAATTGCTCCCAATGTCAACTTCTGGAGCCAAATTTGCAAGAATATTTACTTCATGACCTCTGATCCCAATTTACAACTTATACAAAACAAAGTACTTCACAGAACTCACCTTATCGGTCATAAAATGTTTAAAATGGGATTCTCATCAGAAATCTGTCCACACTGCACTAACAAGTGCACAGACTTTTACATCCACACCATCTGGCACTGCACACCTGTCAGTCACTTCTGGAAAAATGTCACAGACATACTATCCCTGTTTCTAGGCTGCCACATTCCATCATCACCCTCCTTTGTCTGCTAGGAGACTTATCAGCATTAAAACAGAATAAAACGCACAGTCAATTACGCCTCACAGCCCTGACTATCGCCAAGAAAACTATCCTCATGAACTGGAATTCAAGGAACTCTATCCACATCAAACACTGGAAAAACCTGCTCACTAACCACATTTCTATTAAAAGTACATACTCCTCCAACAATAACAAGGATCATGATTCTCTCAGGCTATCATTCACTAACTTCTTACTAACCAATATTTGAAAGAGTATCATTTCTGTCATCCAAAATTTAATTGATTTGCTAGTCTTTCTACTATGGTGATAGTGGCAACTACTACACAGTACTACTACTACACTGTCAACATCACAGAAGAAATATGTGATTTATCTTTGTTTCATTTGTACTTTACTATCATTATGTCATTTAAAATTCATTGTTATACCATGGATGGAATATTTATATTAATCATTATTATTACTATTATTATTATTAAGAGGGGAACTGGACTAAATCAGCAACAGTAGCCATGACTGGACAGCATCAATCCCAGAGGCACAATGACAATTAAAACTTTCCCGCGAACTTTATTTTCGTGCTTCGCCGGAGACGTGCCACAGGCGCGGCGTAAGTCAGGTCTGCCACGCCGACAAGGCGTTCCCAAGCACATTTTGGTATTTTGGTGAGCGGCGCAGCCCGGCGTAAGTATCCCCCCTCCCTAACTCAGCTCCTCTCAGCGGCTTAAGTCATAGGGAGGGAGGGAGGAGAGAGGGCGTAGAGTGGGTTTAACACAGCCGAGACCTGTATTGACCAATAACATCAGCTCCTCTACTCGCCTTTAAATCCGCCACCAGCCAGGCATATTACAATTTTCGTGAAGTACTCAAAGAGATCAAGAGATGTCTGAAGACAGTAATGCCACACGATGGCGACAGAAGGCAGCCCCTCAACAAGTGTCACTGTAAGCGCTGCAGAGGGTGTCTTCCACACTCTCCCATATAAGCGCAGATGGATTTGGTGTGTGTAATAATATTACACACACCAATATGTACAAACAAATCCCAAGGGGTAACATTCCTTCAGCCTACAAGGGAAAGCTTTAATTTAAGTGGTTGCACTTCAAACAACTAACACCGTCACAACATAAAAATGCACAATCAATCAAAAACTGTCTAAAATAGATGAAGAGACAACTATCAACGTCCCATGTTCCATTAGCTAAAACTGCAGCAGACATACACAAAGATAAATCCATCTGTCAAGGATAGTAAAGTAAACTCAAGACGTCAAATTTTTATACAGTCCTTCGGTAACAGCTGTGTAAGATCAGGACACTATTTTTATTCTTTTTGCATTTACTGCAGTCAGAGACATTCATTTAAATCCACTAACGAAAGAGACTTCAATTTGTTTGTTTTTTCTCTGTTAGAACAAAGACATAATGGAAATAAACAAATCTTACCAAGAGGTTTACACAGATCTGCAATAATTAGCCATGGTATTGATCATGTCTCAACAGGAGGAAAGGTACCCTTAAGTCAGAATTACAACATACAGTAATAATAAACTTTACAGATAATGCACTTTTCCAAGTGCTCAAGACACTTCACAATTAAAATACAGAACAATTGGGAGTAATACACCAACGATGTAAAAGGTTAAAAAAGTCATAGCATGAAAAAAGAATAAAAGAACAGTTTACAGGTTAAAAGCCAATTTAAGAAGGTGTGTTTTTAGAAGTGATTTGAAAGTGTGGGGGTCTGTACAGTCTCTGATGGGTTTAGGGAGTGAATTCCAGAGGGTGGGGGCAGCAACGGAGAAGGCTCTGTCCCCCCAAGTTTGGCGTGTGGTCCGAGGGGGCAAGGAGATTGCTCTCTAAGGATTGGAGGGCACAGGAGGGGGTGTAGTGGTGGAGCAGGTCTGTATGGTAGGATGGGGCCAGGTTGTGAAGTGATTTGTAGGTGAGCAGAAGGATTTTGAATTGTATGTGGTGTGAGATGGGGAGCCAGTGCAGTTTTTGGAGGACAGGGGTGATGTATTGTCGGGAGTTGGTGCAGGCGGGCAGCGGAGTTCTGATTGTATTGAAGTTTATTGAGGACTTTGGAAGATGAGCCATATAGGATGCTGTTGCAGTAATGTAGTCTTGATGTTTTGAAAGCATGAATCAGGGTTTCAGCAACAGAGAGGGTGAGGGAGGGGAGGAGATGGCTGATGTTTCTGAGGTAAAAGAAAGCGGTCCTGGGGCCTTATGTATCAACGCTTGCGGCACGAGAAAACCTTGTGTACGCCAAAATCGGCGCACACGTCCAGATTTATCATCGCGAAACGAGCGTCGGTTCCAGCGCTAATCAACGCAAAGTCAGGAGGTGGTGTAGAAATTGGCGTTGAGCCGATACTTGCGTTGACTGTGATTCGCACTTTGGCGACGCTGTGTGGCGGTGTTTGGTGACTCACTATGTGACAAGCGTGCACCACATCCCCGTGGCCGAGCAGCACGTCGCCCCACATGACGAACCAGCAGCAGACGGAGGGATGCGAGCTGATCCCTGCCGGGCCGCCGTCCTCGCGCAGGAGAATCTCATCGCCACAGTGTGAATGGGTAAGAAGTGAATACACAGTTCAATGAGCCAAATTTATTTATTTTCTCCACCAGACGCTCGAGGACATTTACGGGCCGGTCCAGCCGCTCGTTGATCCCCGCGATCCCCCTGATGATTTCTTCCTGCGATTGCAGGACCCCCTCCGCGAGGACCCTTCCACTGCGTCCGGGTGGTCCAGCAGAAGCGCCGCGGCTGGTGGACGCTCCACCGCTTGTCGGCGCGCTGGTGCTGATGCTGGTGCTGGTGCTGGGGCCAGGGGCCGGGGTGGCCCGAATGCCGCTGGTCCTGGCCGACGACTCCGAGCCGGCGGACGGGCTGCCGCGGGCCGGGGTTCCGCAAGCCGGCGACACGGCCGACACATTGATTTCTGTGACACAATAAAAATATTTGTTCATTTCAATTCCTGCTTCTGTGTATCTGTTGCGTTTACATCTCTCTCCACTGTATCATAGGTAATGTAATCCAGTATTTCGAGGTCAGTTATGCACATTACAGTTGTTTATTGCATAAAAAGTTATCGAAAAATGAAGTTAAGGGCGAAGTATAAATCCCGTCTAAAAATAGACTGAATCCCGACGTTGAAATGAAGTATAAACTTAGACTAGACGTCTAATATACGTCTTTTGCTCAGTGGGATGACAAAACATGTGGACGTTTGTGTGACACGCCACTTACCCTATAATAATAATCGCCACCACCCGCTGCTGAAACGGTGTGAGGGTCTCCTCCCCCGGACCCCCACCTGTCTGGCCGGTACTCCTCCGGAGGGCAGCTGTACGCCGCTTGACTCCACCTTGAGGTCCGACCACTTTTTTTTAATCTTCGCGGGGGTGTGTGTCTCGGAACCCACCGCATTCACCCTCTCGTAAACTTTCTCCCACTCCAAGCGTTTTTGTTTTGCACTGACGCCACTGGACAGGCTGCCAAACAAAACACGCTGTCGCTCCTCCACCTCCGCCACCAGCACCTCCACCTCGCACGCCGTAAATGAAGTTTTTCTTGTCATTTTGTCTGCGTGCGAGGACAGGGAGACCCTATTTAAATAAATATGCATATTTATAGGAGGGCGTAACGGGGACGGGCCCAGTCACTCCGACATCTGCGCTCAATTCCACGCTGATTGGGATTTATCAAGGAAACACACGTGGATTTCGGCACCCGCACACATTGATACATACGGATTTTTTTCAGCGTGACGGACCTTGCATGCGCTCGTTTCTGGTATGAGTTCCACGCAAGTATTGATACATAAGGCCCCTGGTGATGTGGTTAATGTGGTGGTCGAAATTTAATTGAATGTCAAAGATGACTCCAAGACTCTGGATGTGAGGGGAGGACGACAGAGCACAGTTGTTGAAAATGAGGCTGAAGTTTTGGGTCATTCTGGTGTGGGATGTGGGACCGATGATGATGATGATGTTTGATTTGTCACTGTTCAGTTGCAGATAGTTTCTTTGCTTCCATTTTCTAATTTCAGTAAGACAGTTGCTGAGTATGGAGTGGGTGGTGTTGATGTATCGTTGGATGTTGTCGGCATAACGAAACTGGAGTCCATAATGATGAATGATTTTGCCAAGGGGGAGAATGTAGAATATGAAGAGGAGGGGACCAACCCCCATCCCTGGGGAACACCTTGTGACAGAGGAGCTGTGGTGGAGGTGCAGTTGTTGTGACTGGATAGCTGTTGAATGTTGAGTTTGGTGGAGCAAACCATGTCCAGAATGTGACCACGGCTGAGTGTTGGTAAGGCTACATGTTGAGTGAAATTGAGGCATTGCAGCAGTTCTAAAAATTCTGTGGCTGGTTGATTGTCTGTGCTGTCAATATATAGATTAAAGTCACCCAGGAGGAGGACAGATGGTGAGATGGCGGATAACTAGGGGTCAGCAAGATCAGGGAAGAAGGAGGGATGTGGTTTTGGGGGATGTGGTTTTGGTATTACTCAAATTAGAATATATAGCTTTACGAGTTAAAAAAAATACATACTACCTGGGGTAAGCAGGGCCAATATAATAAAAGCTAAAGAAGCTGTGAAAGAAACAAAGCAAGATTGGATTTATTGCTTACCAGTGATTATGACTAAAATGCACATAATTACATCAACTACAGGTCTTTACCCTTCTGACCTTCTGTATGGGACACCTTTCAGATTTCCTCAGCTAAAAGTATTTGCTAAAACAGATGACGAGAGAAGTGAATACTTAAACCTCGGTTCCTACTGTGTCCGTTTTGGGGACATTTGTCATTTTTTTCATCTTTATTTTGAGCTGACAGTCAAATTTTTAAAGATTGGACCATCAAATTTGGTGAGAGTTCTTATTTTTCTTCGTATTAAAACAAAACAAACTCTGTGTCACAGAACCACTGGTCAGGTCTTGTGGACTGCTGAATTCATCTGACTCGATTATGAACGTAGACGTAAAAGCGTTTGGTCTGGTTGTGAATGTAGCCAAGCACAACCTTGCTGTCACAGTGGAACTTGATTGCATCCAGCTTCATGTCCAGTTCATCTTGGGCGAGTTCGGTGACTTTCACGGCTAATACCTCGGCACACGATTCCAGCCGCGGGATGGTGGGTTCAGACAGTGGGGCCAGTTTAGCTTTTCCTAAGACAAACCCTACTTCAACTTCTCCTTCAGGTTGAATAGTCCTAAGATATGCCACCACTTCAAAGGCCTTTGTGGATGCATCAGAAAACAGCTCTGTGTGTACAGCATGGGAAAGTGATGTTGCAGTGTATGCATGTAGGATGTGTAGCTTGCTTAAGTCATGCAGTAACTCTCACCATGCTTCCCATTGCTTCAGCTTTTCTTCTAGAAGGGGAACATCCCAGTCACATGTGTTGACACTGATTTCCTGCAAGAGACTCCTGCCTTCGATGGTTACTGGTGCGACCATGTCTAAAGGGTCAAAGATGCTATTTACTGTTGACAGAACTCCCCTGAGAGTGAAAGCTTTTCTGTGTCCTGAGACTGTAAATTTGAAGGTGTCTGCTGTTGTCTCCCACAGCAGTCCCAAACTACATTGCACTGGTGTAGCTTCAATGCTGAGGTCATGGTCTTTTAGAACTGCTCTGTCTCCCGGTGCAAATGCCTGTAGAACAGCTTCACTATTTAAGGCAAACTTGTGCAGCCTTAGGTTAGATTCACTGAGAGAGGTATGTGTTCTCTGCAGGAGGCTGATGGCTTCTGCTTCGGTGGGCACACTGATGAGCCCATCGTCTACAGAGAAATGATGCTCGACAAACAGGCTACCAAGAGGCCGACAGCAACACTGAAGGAGCTGCAGGAATTTCTGACAAGTACTGGCTGTGTAGTACATCTGACAACAATCTCCGCCTTTCTTCATATATCTGGGCTATGGGGTAGGGTGGCAAGACGGAAGCCTTATCTTACAAACAAAAACATCAAAGCCCGGCTTAATTTTGCAAAAAGACGACTGAAATCTCCCAAACGCATGTGGGAAAATGTGTTATGGTCTGATGAAACCAAAGTTGAACTTTCTGGGCATTATTGCAAAAGGTATATTTGGTGCAAAATCAACACTGCTCATCACCAAAAGAACACCATACCTACAGTGAAGCATGGTCGTGGCAGCATCATGCTTTGGGGCTGTTTTTCTTCAGCTGGAACTGGTGCCTTAGTCAGGGTGGTGGGAATTATGAACAGTTACAAATACCAGTCAGTGTTGGCACAAAACCTTCGGCCTTCTGCTACAGTGCTGAAGATGAAGAGGAACTTCATCTTTCAGCTCGACAATGACTCAAAGTACACATCTAAATCAACAAAAGAATGGCTTCACCGGAGTAAGATTGAGACTTTGGAATGGCTCAGCCAGAGCCCAGACCTGAATCCCATCAAAATTTGTGGGATGATCTGAATAGGGCTGTGCATAGGAGATGCCCTTGCAATCTGTCAGATTTGGAGCAGTTTTGCAAAGAAGAGTGGGCAAATATTGCCTCATCAAGATCTGCCACGCTGATAGAATCCTTCCCAAAAAGACTGAGTGCTGTAATAAAAGCCAAAGGTGCTGCAACAAAGTATTAGTTTAATGGTGTGCATATTTATGCAACCAGGTTATTTTAACTTTTCTATTTTTTATTTTTCTCCTTAAAGGTTTCAGTTTGTTTTTCAATTGCATTGTACAGATTATAGGTCACATTGAAGGTGGGAAAAGTTGTGAAAATATTTATCTTGCTGTTATTTTGAAGTTGAAGACTTTCTTTATTCCATGGTTCATCAATTTACAGATTTGTGAGTCTATGAGATATTTGGATTATAACTTTTAAAACATAAAAGAACTTCTTGATAAATGCCTACAGCCAGCAAGCAAGTGTTTCTGGGAGTGCCATGTAGTTTCTTGTATTCAACCTAAAACCGAGTGTAAAAATAAATAGGAAAGAGGAACAACTTTCCCTTTCCCAGTCTTCCCAGCCTGTTCAAGCTTATCAGTCCACAATGAGGTCAATATAGCTGCTAGGTCCAACTTTTTCTGGCTAGGGCCCTATATCTCAGACAATGTGGGTGAAATCTATGAACCTCATTCATTTGAAAGCAGTCCTACAAACATTAAGAAACTGAAAGTCTCAAGGGAATTTAAGAGTTTTTGGTCCTCAAAAATGTGAATTTACTTAAAGGAACGGTCTAGAAATAGGAACATTTTATATCTTGTAAGAGGCATTCAGTCTGACCATTCCTTCAGTTGGATAAGGGGTTGCTCCCAGAGAAATTCAGATGTGTCAGTGCCTGATTGGTTTCAATAAGTGTAGTGTCAGATTCCTCCTCCAACAGTTTTTAAAAGCCACTTGAATCAGACAAGCCTTCGAGATGTCCTAACGCCTTTTATTCATAAAATGATTCCAATACTCACAGGTCTGTGGTTGTTCTGTTTATTTTACAGATTGCAGGTTCCAAAGAGCTTACAACTCAAAAACTGAACAAAATATCAAAAAGGTGTTCAATCCAGCTCAGATTTCATGGTCAAAAAACATACGTACTGCCCGTCTCAACCTAGACCAAACAAAAGACTAAACTGTGCTGGCTGACCTAAAACGATTGCGACTCCACCCATAACCAAACATTTTCTAGACAGGCATAGCTGAATCTATTAATCAACATAAGCAACCCATTTAATTAATTTTGAATCATATATTTACGTGAATTTGGTCCTTACGATTAACCATCTAAACTGAGACTTTTACTTGTTCACTTAAAAATAAGATCTTGAAATGAACTAAAAAATGGCTTCTACAGTAGGACAAGGGGCTCTATTTTCGTGCCTGGCCAGTGGCGTGGCGCAGGTGCAGCGTAAGTCAGGTCCGCCGCGCAGATAAGGCGTGCCGAAGCACGGTGTGTGTAAGGTTGTACCCACTGGTAAGACAAACACCCTTTTCCACAAATAAAGACACTCAAAGTTGCAAATATATAAACCCCACATGACAAAGGTGGGTTGTGCATACAGATCACAACATAAACAAATTCCAATAATGGCACTAAAAAACGGAACCACCTGTGTGTAAAGGACGCATAGCGCTCCGTGGCCTGGCTGTTTCTTTCATTGATGTTGGCATATAAAATGAACTTGGCTCACGCAACTGAATATTATAATATTCGTATATGGGCGTAACTCCGGATTGAATATTCACAGAATTTTAAGGATGTGAGAACGTTAGATAGAAAATTTTTTGTTCAAATTTTCAAAGTAAATAACTCTACTGATCACTAAAATAAATCGTCTGGCCAGCCTTGTTGCTGCAGCAGCAGCAGGATGGGGAGGGGACACAGAGACATGTCTGGAGACATATCTGGGTCGAGATCTGTGAGAAGAAGAGGAAGAGAGAAAATGGGGGGGACAAATTAAATATCTTGTTCACTCCATCATGTGGGACTATTTATTGGATATTTAATTTAATGTGGTTTCAGCTGTGTTAATTTAGTCAGTTGGAGTGTCCAAAAGCACACCAAAGGCACTAATCAGAAAAGATATGGATCAGAATGTATCAATATAGATCTTAATGTATGTGCTGACTCAGATAGTTGCACTGAATATTAGTTGTTGATGATTATTTATTGCAAAGAAATGTACCTGACACTGTGGAAACCTGCCTGTGAGGCATCGGTGACATATGCGCACTATCCCACCACTCTATCAAAATACCACTAGACCAGCTGCGCTCTGCCTGCGCTGAAAACTGGCCAGGTTCAGCAAGCTTTCAGTGCACTTCACACCAGCGAGCACGAAAATTTCACTGTGCCAGCTCATTCTGTCAAAACCTCCCCCTACCGCACCACCATGCCAAGTTTGGTCAGGACTTCCAGATTTATCTCTTTGGTCCGAACCAAAATGAGTGTGAAACCTCCCCTGGACCTTGGTCCGGAACAAAACAGGTGGTCTTGGTCTGGACCAAACTGAACCCCAGATTGCTTCATGCCCAGTGTGAAAGCATTATATTAAAAGCTTTAGACCTTTGTACCAAAGACAGGAAATAACACGAGGAGTAGAAGCGTCTGTTATTATGTGAAATGGAGATTGTCCAAGAACAGGGAATATCATAACCATGTAGATAAAGTTATACCTCACTATAGACAGCTTATCTTTTCAAGAGTTTTAAAACACATTCTTTCTCTCCAGAGTGGGGGTTGCAATGGCTCTCAAAATTGCATACTTTCTTCTCCTTTCCTGTTGACGACAATAAAGTCGTCCTCTATTGATAAAATTCATTAGACGAACTTGGACCAGCCTCATGTTCAGCTCTTCAATATGTCACTGTTAGTAGAAAATCATCAATAATGTGATGGTGGAAATGTTGGTTTCATTTATGTTTACAACATCCAAGATCTGCGTTATTCAACGTGTTGACATTAGATGCCTGCCAGCCAAATGACCAATCAATATAAACTACAGAGACACACAAAGCACGGAGTTGATGATGATATCATATTGGTTTATCATCAAATGTCTGTAGTGTGAAACTCACAAACAAACCAAACCACAGGTATGCCATGTAACAAAAACACAGACCTTGGTCCAGACTTTAAGGTGTGAAAACACCCTAAAACACTGTCAAGGCTGCACGATACTGGAAAAAACTAACATTGCTATTTTTTAACCCTGCAATATATATTGCGATATTAAAAAATACAGGAATTTTCACCAGATGACCTGAATAGCATTTAATGTTATGCTGCACTGCTGAAATCTTATACAGTTCTTATTTGTTGGGCTTAACAGTCATGAGTAATGTTCCGAAAGTAATTCTCAGCGGACACGCGTTTCTCGGCTCAACACCAGCAGCCAGCGACTCACTCCATGTGCAGAACATGTGCAGGGGTGGGTTTCCTCCTCTCTGATTTTGATTGACAGCTGGCAGGGTAGTCTGATTGGCAACTGAGCACTGAGTCTGATTGGCAACTGAGTAAAGAACGAAGGTGATTGGTGGATCGCTGCACAGCACACGCAGAGTCACATGCAGTGTATCTCAGTCAGCTACCCTTGAAATTAGATGAGTTCATTCGCCTCCAACATCGCAGGCTCTGCGATGTGACTATTGCACACACGTACACTGTGATGACGATGCTCAAACGATATATCGTGCAGGCCCAGTACAAGTACTATATATATTGTTTCAGAAATACTTCCAATATCAACTTGTGAATTTGCAGCTTTAACCGAACATATTCATAAAACACCAGACCAGGTGAAAGGTACATATCTTAAAGGTAAAGGCTAGTGATGCAGAAATTGAGCATAACTTACAAAGTGACTTAATTGCTTTTATGATGCAGTCAGTTATCAATTCAGTCACTTTTGAAAGTAGGCTGTAGTTACAAAGAGTTAACCAGGCAGAAAAAGAATTGGTTAAGTTGCCGAAAATAATTTCGGGGGAGGGCTGAAGGCGAATGGTTTTTCAACTGATCGGCTGTACACTTTCAAAGCAGCAGTGGTAGTGCTACGACAGAACCACAGCACTACCACTGCTGCGATGAAAGTTTTTAATGGTGTCATTGAGACCTTGGATAAGAGTATTGTGTGTCTCTTTTAATAGATTTTTCTAAAGCCTTTGACTCTGTGGACCACAGAATTATACTGAAACGTCTTAAAGCTTCTGGGTTCTCAGATAATGCCATTGGGTGGTTTACAAACTGTCTTGGTTGCAGAACCCAGGCTGTTCAATCAGATGGTGTTACATCTGAGTTTTTAAAGCTCCGTAAGGGCGCTCCTCAGGGTTCAGTGTTGGGACTGCTCTTTTTCATGAAATGCAAGATCAGATTAGCCAGCTGCAGCTTGCTCTAAATGCAGAAATTAACTTGTCTTTCAAGGAGCACATTTAGTATGTTGCTAAAAGGTAAGGGTCATACTTGGCTTCTTTTACAGAAAGTCCTGTTTCTTTCTTTATGTCAATTAGAGACTAGTTGAGTCTACTTTTACCTGTTCTTGATTATGGAGATGTATTGTACATGACTGCTTCTGCTCAGAGTCCTTATTTGCTGGATGGTGCATATCACAGTGCTCTGAGATTTATCACTAACTATGGATTTCTGACTCATCATTGTACTCAATATTCAGAGGTCAACTGGACTTCTTTAAGAAAACGTTTTCATGGACATTGGTACATCTTCGTTTATAAAGCCGTACTCTGTAACAAGCTGGAGTACCTTTCCTCTCTGTTGACCTTGAAAGATGGACTGCACAACTTGCGTCTGAACTCAGATGGCTTTTAGTTTCTCTGTTTCTTTTGCATGGAATAATCTGCAGACTAAATTTAAACCGCAAAACTTGGTGGCTCTGAATGTTTTTGAATCTAATGTGAAAACGCTTGAATATAAACTCTCTGAATGTCAGTGTTTCAACTGATCATTATTTTGTTACTGTTGTTTATAGTTAGTGTGTATTGTGGTGAGTTTGAGTTTGTGTTGTTGAAAGTGTATTGCTGCCGTTTTTGGTCAGGTGTCCCTGAAAAAGAGTTCTCTGTTCTCTATGGGACTTACCTGGCTAAATATGGGTTAAATAAATTAAAATAAAGTAATTAAAATAAAAAAAAGGATCGAATAATACTTTTTAAAAACTTAAAAGGTGGGGTAGGCAGGATTCTGTTAAAGAAGCATCTTTTATATGGTGTATATACAAAAAGGCTTTTAATATCAGTCAATAGCTATTGTTTATTGATGACATTTGGGAGTATCGCTATATTGCTGTGGTTTGTTATATCTGTGTAGTCAATATTTTAAAATTTTTGAGCGGCCAGCTCTTTCTGATTGTAAACAAAGCCATTCTCCATCTCAGACGCTACTCCTTTGTGCTGATGGGTTGTGAGGCTGATGCTGCTCCCCAGTGTCATTCACGAGCCCAAACAAAGTTAGCGTGTTACAATATCGGACAGTAGAAACCAACCAGAAAGTACAGAAAATTGTCTGAATCCTCCTTTAGCCACAACTGCCAACACAAGCAAGAAAACAAACTAAATACCAACTCTGGCTGAATAACGGGCACTTAAAAAGGAGGTAGACCAGACAAGAGCTAAGAGGCCGGGTCAACATCAATGAAGCACAAACACTTCAGGGACGCTTCGGGGATCTTGGTGACCCTGTAACCTTTATGCTGGGCAGGTAAACGGCATTAACAAAGTAAGCTAAGTGTCTGTAACAGAAGTGTTTCTTGTCAAACGGGACGTGTTGTAGCACCGCTAAACTGTTGACCTCAGGTCCTGGACTACGTCACTTTATCCTAGTTGTAGAAGTCCTGCAAACATTGTGTTTGCTGGTAGTCTGTTGGCATCTACAGTAGCACCAATGCTTTTTACTTTCATGTTGACTGGGCCCCATTTGTAATTATCTGAAGCATTTATCTGCATTGTAAGTGAATTCGATTGGAACGACAGGAGCAAGCTGATTGTGGGCGGGGCTTGCTGGAGCAGAGAGGGAGGGGAGAGGAGGAGCTGAGGGGAAAACTGGTTGGGAGGGGTAGCGTTTACATTCAAGATTTCTCCTAAAAACTGGCACTTCCTCAGATCCTGACTACCCCACCTTTAAGATACTTACAAGGCCTAAAAACAAAAAAAAAGATCCATGTGGAAAATGTTCATTAAACTCAGCAAATGCGTGCAAGTGCCCTTGGTTCACATAGTTTAGTACACCACTGTAATTTCTGTTTTAGCCTCTTGTATAGAATGTCTATTTTGGATTTAGTTATAGGATTTAGTAAGGAGAAAACCTAACCAGCCACCACAAACAGCGTAACCTTTGCAGAGTAGGTTTTAAAATCCTTTGGTCTGCATTTGTGTCCTACTCCCAGCCTTCTGAAGGAATGAGCCAGCCACAGGCAGACAAAGCGAACATTCAGTAAAACATTTAAATTCTGAGTCACATTCAGTGACTCAGAATTGCATTATATATTGCAATATATATTGCAGGGTTGAAAAACATTGCAATGTTATTTTTTCCAATATCGTGCAGCCCTGGAATGAGCCCAGGTTGCATACAATATATCCTTCCTCTCAGATATGGTTTTCATGGGCTACAGCCTTCTGGAAGAGGCACTGCATCTGGGTAAAATATACGGAGACCCCTGCCTCTACCTTCATCCATTCTCTGTCTCAATTTTGCTGAAATGTTCAAAGATGAGTTAGTGTTCCATGACGTTCCTGATTCACATGAGGATCTGATCAGAACTGCTACAGGGCTCCTCTGGCAATCATGAACCCATGCAAATGGGGTGCACTCAGCTCTTCAAGAAAAGTGTATGAGAGGTGGAGTAGGGATAGGAACTGATAAGATTTTATCGATATAAATGCCATTGTCAATTCTGCTTATCGATTCAATTCTTTAACAATTCCCTTATCAATGCCTTTCTTTGATTTTAAAAAATATAGACTATAGGTTTTCAACGTTAAGTCAAAATTGTATTGAGTCTCTGATAAGAGAAAAAGATGTATGCCACTTTAAGTGAGAGTCTAAAAACAACCACTTTTAATTTTGCACTGCACCTTGGAAGGCCGGCTGTCAATATATCCTATCGCAATCAGTGTGTTTTCCACTACACCTGTGTTTTTCCACTATTATTGTCATTGTTTGAGCGAGAACCCTGCGACAGGGGGCTTCGCGCATATTTAGTAAAATACTCTGGGTGAGGCGGCATGTGTGAAAATGACATTTTTTCCTTTAAAAAAAAAAATGAGAGCAGTGAGCAGCGCTGGTGACGCTGTTGCGATTTCATTATCATGGCCAAGTGACATGGACAGCTCAATCCGAGGGATTACGTAATATAATAATTATCTTTGCACTTAAGTAACAACTAGAAAAGCACTCTGAGAGCACAGACCTCCACCAAGCAGCTCATGTCCCCCCTTAAACAAGAAATGCCCGGGCCGGGATTCAAACCCAGGACCTTCTGGTTGTGAGGTGACAGTGCTAACCACTACACCACTGAGCCGCCCATTGGTTATCTTTCAGCATTGAAAATTCCAACGACACCCTTATTTTTGTGTGTTCTGGATCACAGTATCCAGAATTTTGTCCGGATCACCACCAAAATTTAATGGGATCCTCTTGGGGCTGAGACGCACCTCTGGTGAAAATTTCAGGTCAATCCGTCTGTTACTTTCTCAAACCAACGCTACCAAAAACATAACCTCCTTGGCGGAGATAATAAAATGGGTACACAGTTGGTTTCCCACCATGTGCACTGTTATCAGAACAAAATATCTTTCTCAAACAATAAAATCCACTATCCCCCCTGAATTTTTTTCACAACGCAACTACTGCCTGGAATTATAATAGGATGAGGAAATAAATCTATTCTCTCAGCATTAAAGGGTTCATTTGCCCCTCCACGTCACCAGTTGTGACTGAGTTTTTCTTTGCATGGAGAAACAATGGGGGACTAAGACCCTGCATTGATTTTAGAGATCTCAATAAGATCACAGTTAAGAACCAAATTGATTTCAGATAGAAACGTGTTGTGGATTGATCCTGAACAATAAGAAAGTGGTGACAGCATAATTTGATTCAGGTCATGAGACTGACATGTCCTGCAATGTAACTTTTGCACACAAGCTAATAACTGTTGTCATACAAATGATACATCATCCAGCCCAGCTGAATATTGCGGACATTAAACTCATGATCCAGATTTATTTACAAGTTATTTTTTCATTGGATGTTAGGGAATTGTTCATTTTGCAAAATGTTCTATTAAAAAATTAAGGGTACATTCACTAAATGGCCACAGTTTTCTGTCATGGTGTTTCCGGCAGAGCAGACCCTCCAATTATTGGTTCTTAGGGTCAAAGTTTACACCAAAAAAAAAAAAAAACACAAATAAAAAGTATAACAGACCATGTCAGGTTCAACCCATTTTATTGAGCGTTTGAGACTTTGGCTCCCTGACTAATAGTCCTTCATGTCGCATTGGTGATGACAGGAGCTTTATGAATATGCTCTGAGAGTATAAATTCATCAGAATTGACAACAGTCCTGCACAATGTAACAATCCCAAGAGCAGAGCAATGCTGTAACCGAAGCAGACAATTTAAAGTACCGTGATAACAATTCTGCAAGAATTCTGTTTGGAGCATGGCCATAAATAAGACTTAACAGTAATGTATTACTAGACATAGATTTACCTGTGTTTTTTACTTATCCTCAGAGGTTGAAGGAGAACAACAACATTCTACTGAAGTAAAAGTACAGTAATTTAAAGACATTTTACTTTAAGAGGGGGTATTATGAATTTTTCAGACTCTATACCTCCTTTCTGTTACCTTTTAAATAGGTGTTGGAGGTAGGCTGTTCTGCTTTGCCAGAAGCACAGATGAACTCTTAAGGAGAGCCTATTGCAATGGTACAGTTATTCTAGAGTCTCGCATTTTCTCGCAAGGTAACGTTTTAAGCTGTTTGCGAGGATTATGACAACACACTTTTACCTCATAAATTGGAACTGTGCATCCATCTAGAATGGAGACCAAACATGGTAACTTATCATTTTTTGTTGTAAATGTGAAAAAGCATAATACTACCCCTAGGAGTAAAGCCATCAGTCTGCCCTTCTGCCCTTCTTAAAAAAGAGAGAACTCGATTTTTTAAATTGGGCTACCCTACATATTGACTACTGGATACTTAAAGCACATAGTGGAGCAAGATATCCCCCTGCCCCCCAAAAATATATATATGTGCTATTTTCCAAACAACATGTTGTAGAATTCCAAAGGTATTGAAGTATCACATTATGTAGATGGTCCCTGCACACTTAGCTCTGCTGACAGGCTTGTTATAACAAACCCAAAAATTTGGGTTTTATTGATTGATCAGAGTGAAAATTGCGTTCTACGCCAATTACATGAGTCTGCAGACACAACACTAAGATCTTTAGAACCCCTGTGTCATTGAAACAAAATTTACATCAGGGCCTGTCAAGTGTATGTATCTTGTGTTAAGTGTAATGAGACATTTTATCTAAACTAGGGACACATTTGGTGGGATTTTTTTCTTTTTTTTTTTACAGTGTAGACCTTATCCAATCAGCTCGATGCCATGCAGTTGCTGAAAAAAAAAATTTGGCAACTTTTTTTCACTAAGTAGCTGATCCTGTGGAAAATGTTGTGTGGCACAATACTTTAAAAAGAAAATACTTAAGTGGAAATAAATGTGCTGGTTGTAGTAATTGAAAATACTTATCAGATTAAATGCAAGCACACAAAAGCTATTGAATTTCTGTAACTTCAGTGAGTTCTTGTCCACCCATGCTCACCATCATAGAAACCACAAGAACTAATATGGTTCATCAAATTGATAAAAGGGGAAAAAACAGAAAATCATTGTTTTCGTTCTTGTTATTTGTTATTCAGGGTGTTTTTTTTTTATTCTAAGGTCTTATCCTTATTATGACAGAAGGCAGTGTAAGATTTTTTCATGGCTCAACTGAAGCAGAGGCACACAACTCTGTGTGTGTGTGTGTGTGTGTGTGTGTGTGTGTGTGTGTGTGTGTGTGTGTGTGTGTGTGTGTGTGTGTCTGAGACTTACCCAGTGTTTCGCGCTCGTGTCCATTGGTTTCAGCTCGCTCGCACGGCCGCGACAGTCAACATGCAGCATGCCGTTAAGTTTTCCACGCAGATGCTCCGGGACATCGCAGAACAATTAACTCTGTTTTCGGTTTGTGGCACTTACATAACATGAGGAGTTTTTGTGACGGCTGAAAGTCGTCCTTCCAACGTTTAAACCATAAACGTGGCGTGCCAAATGCAAAAACAACGATTTGGTCCACTGGAAACGCGATGGGGTTATATGTTGCTCCACAGCGGCAAATACTCCGTCAGTTCGGTTCTCCCTTTAACAGAGACGACGAAGCAGACGTTTGCAGACCAAGTGACGGGCTATTTCCTGCTCACTGACGGTCACTCCACTCACAGTGTTCAGGTGCGTCCGGGTCTCGGCTACATGCGCTCTGCCCAACCGTGTGTCTGGAAATCCACCAAGCGCTTCTCTATCATGTCACGGCGTCAGGGGGAGTGTTCTGTGTCTGTGTTTTTGTCGCGGCATGGCCAACTGTAGTATGGACGCAACTGATATATTTCCCGGATGAATATTTGGACTCTATGATCATCATTTGTCTCATCTAGTACCAAAATTTGCCTCACAAATTATTTCCACTTTGTAAAGGCGATCTTCGAAAATGACTAATCCTCATGTAGGTCATAGCTAAACGGAGTAAGATTAGATAAGAACTTTATGAATCCCTAAAAGGAAATTCAATAGGGGATAATGGGACTCAATTTCCACTGTCCTTCATATGTATACTCGATGACAGATTTTATTTCTACTGTACCGTTGATGCTAACTTTTTCACTCCTTATTGACACTTTGTATTGCACCTTAAATTATCACCACCTAAACTATTACGCCTTAAGTTATTGTATATTTTACACATCATATCATAGTTTACATTACCATGCAGTGAACATGTTGTTAACTGTCTTGATATATCCCATCGTGTTACCTTTGTTCCACAACTGTCACTTTATCCTGTACTTTCTGCATAACATCTTCCAATTGCCCTGCATAATACTTGATTATTAATACCTTTGTATAAACATTGTTTATGCCTCTTATTCTATTTTGTTTGCCTCATTATATAATGATTTTACATTTTCTTTATTTCATTTTTTACTCCTCATTCCTCCTGTGTTTTTACTTGCTTACTCAGTTTTTGTTGCTGCAACAAATTAATTTCCTCCCAAGGGATCAATGAAGTAATATCTTATATCAACCACATATTCATATTTGAGATAATTTCCTTATTTATATTCTTCATCATAAAGTTTTAGTTTGTAAGTTAAGTCCTTAATTGTCAGAATCTCTTCTGAAAATGTTCTTGCATCTACAAAACCCAATTCCATTGAAGTTGGGAAATTGTGATAAACGTAAATAAAAACAGGATACAATGATTTGCAAATCCTTTTCAACCTATATTCAATTGAATACACTACAAAGACAAGATATTTAATGTTCAAACTCATAAACTTTATATTTTTTATTCTTTTTTTGCAGATAATAATGAACTCAGAATTTGATGGCAGCAACACGTGACAAAGAAGTTGGGAAAGGTGGCAAAAAATAGCCTACTGAGAAACTTGAGGAATGCTCATCAAACACATCTGGAACATCCCACAGGTGAGCAGGCTAATTGGGAACAGGTTGGTGCCATGATTGGGTATAAAAACAGCTTCCCCAAAAATTTTGTTTCTCAAAGTACAATTGCAAGGAATTTAAAGATTTCAACATCTATGGTCCATAATATCATCAAAAGGTTCAGAGAATCTGGAGAAATCACTGCACATAAGCGGCACGGCCAGAAACCAACATTGAATTCCTGTGACCTTCAATCCCTCAGGCGGCACTGTATCAAAAACCAACATCAATGTGTAAAGGATATCACCACATGGGCTCAGGAACACTTCAGAAAACCACTGTCAGTAAATACAGTTCGTCACTACATCTGAAAGTTCAAGTTTAAACTCTACTATGCAAAGCTAAAGCCATTTATCAACAACATCCAGAAACGCTGCCGGCTTCTCTGGGCCCGAGCTCATCTAAGATGGACTGATGCAAAGTGGAAAAGTGTTCTGTGGTCTGACGAGTCCACATTTCTAATTGTTTTTGGAATTAGTGGACGTCGTGTCCTCCGGGCCAAAGAGTAAAAGAACCATCTGGACTGTTGTTGACGCAAAGTTCAAAAGCCAGCGTCTGTGATGGTAGGGGGGTGTATTAGTGCCCAAGGCATGAGTAACTTACACATCTGTGAAGGCAACATTAATGCTGAAAGGTACATAGAGGTTTTGGAGCAACATATGCTGCCATCCAAGCAACGTCTTTTTCAAAGACACCCCTGCTTATTTCAGCAAGACAATGCCAAGCCATATTCTACACGTTACAACAGCGTGGCTTCATAGTAAAAGAGTTCAGGTACTCGACTGGCCTGCCTGCAGTCCAGACCTGTCTCCCATTCAAAATGCAAGGCGCATTATGAAGTGTAAAATACGACAACGGAGACCCCGGACTGTTGAACAACTGAAGCTGTACATCAAGCAAGAATGGGAAAGAATTCCACCTTCAAAGCTTCAACAATTAGTCTCCTCAGTTCCCAAATGTTTATTGAGTGTTGTTAAAAGGAAAGGTGATGTAACACAGTGATAAATATGCTCCTGTCCTAACTACTTTGTCACGTGTTGCAGCCATGAAATTCTGAGTTAATTATTATTTGCAAAAAAATTTTTTTATGAGTTTGAACATTAAATATCTTGTCTTTATAGTGTATTCAATTGAAGATAGGTTGAAAAAGATTTGCAAATCATTGTATTCTGTTTTTATTTACATTTATCACAAATTTACCAACTTCAATAGAATTGTATTTTGTAAGACGCTTGTTCCTTAACCAAAAAGAAAGCATTACAACATATAGCACAACATAATACCACACAAACATCAGGCAAAGTGTCACATCAAACAATAGCAAAAACATTTGAAAAATATAACTAAACATAATACGAGACAAACATCAGACATAACATGCTAAATAAATAACGTTAAAGTGGCTCCAGTGCCTTCAAGTCCCTACTCTAACAGCTATTCAGTGCCCTGACAGAGTAATAAGAGTTCCTCAGTCTATTTAACCTAGCTTTAGGGACTCTACATCTCCTGCTGGATGGCAGCAACTGGTATTCTTCAAATAAAACGTGTCAGGTTGGACAGAATATTGTCTGCCTGTGACAGCAATTGTCTAGTATATGCAGCTCTGAAAATTGTCACTGTGTTTGACAATCTTTGAGCAGATGCTTAGCAGTCTCCCCGGTCAAGCTTTAAGTTGCACTAAGAGACAACTATACCATGCACAGACTCCATACTACATAAGACTGAGAACAATAGATTGAAAGAACAATAACAGAATAGGCTTACTAGTACCAAAAGACCTTTGTCTCCAAAGGAAATAAATACGTTGCGCTCCATAATAGAGCAGCGTCTGCATAGATGCCTAAATATTTGTAGGAAAAGACTTGCTCAATGTTTGTTATACATAGTTCTCTGGAAGACCAAAAATGACTTTTCTTGTCTTCTTTGCATTGATAAAAAGTAAGTTCTTCTCTCACCACTCCACCAGACTATCTGTATGAGCCTGATGAATACTGGGACCATCTTTGATCACCAGCAAAGACAACAATACAGTATCATCAGAAAACTTAGGGATAAGAAAATTTGGTCCATTATTCCTACAATTATCAGTGATTTCAGTTAGACCTGAATCCAAATTAAAACAGAACCAAAGACTAGTTTTAGAAAATTACAGAAAATAGTAATTAAGGGTCTCTGTTGTAGTGACCACCACACATCACACTAAGTGAAGGCTGACATATTCCAGCTGATGGACTAGGTGACGCCTAGTATTGAGGTCTCATTGTATTTGCAGCCCAGCCTGTTAATACTATGTCAGCTCTATAGAGTGCATACAATGAGAGACAGCAGAAAGACAATGATTGCACCAATCTGATTGACGTTAGAGTATAAAAAATGATGATGGCAATAGAAGCTTTACAGGGTTTCCGGTTTGTAATTGCCCAACAACAGCTCAGGATAAAACCTCCAAATATGATGACGTTAAAATGACTCTGGACAGATTTAAATTGGAATTCATTAGTTATAAATAGGATCACATCCTGGTAGCTATTCTGAGAAGTGATTGCAGTAAATACCTGTCAAACATATTGTGGTATTTAACTCCTAGTCATCATGCAAGAGTGTCCTTGTATAAAAACCAGGCCTCCAAGGGTGCTGTTCATAAAGGTCCAAGTTTTGAGGTGTTGATGTTTTGCAGTGAGGTTGAAGTATGACAAAAAACAAGCTGATAATAAAGATGATTTATTGACTAGAGAAAATTATATATTTCATAAAATCTGCCAGAAAAACACATTTATACCACATTGTCATTTTTTAATGTGACATCATAGCATTTTAGATTTCCTCCTGTATAATAATTATAATAATGTCACAATCTTAACTACAGAGGTTACTATTTTACGACTTTAAGTCCCAAGGGTGCAATTAATAGCCTACTGTTCTAAATGTCCCATGTATTAAGGCTATGGTCCTAGCCGCAGCGGTCAGAAGTTTGAGCTCTCACCATGACCCTTTGCTGCATGTCACATTACCTGTCTTTCTTCTGCTGTCCTGTCCATTAAAGGCAAAAATGCCCAAAAATATTCTGAAAAAAAAAAAAAAAAACCTCAGCTCCTGAGTATAACTAGTATTTTTCTGCTCAACACTGAACGCACCAGCAGACAGTCAACTCTTGGGCCCAAGGGATAATTTATTAGTCATTAAAGCACGCCTCGATCCCACAGCAGCAGCAGTAAATACTGACCTGCCCTGTGAAACTGCTTACTTCATTTCTTGTCAGTTTACATTAATCATTTATGAGAAGTAGAGATGCTCAATATTGGATTTTTTGCTGATTTTGAACATGCTGATAGTTTTTTACTCATTCTGAAAGCCTGTGTATGACTCTATTTGTCCATCTAGGGTAGATACAGATTAACTTCACAATGCTTTAATGACAATTAATATTTATTTGGGGCAAAAGATGATCCCTTGAACACTTGAACTAGAACATCTAATAATGGCAATATATTTATTGAATAGCCAAATGCTGTTGTCATATGAGCATAAAAATCATCAGCTCTTCATATTAGCAGAAATCTTCATTTTGGATGATGTAGATTCTTGATTTAAAAAACCTTTATCAGCTAGCAGATTTTGTGTTAATGTTAGCCTGCATTTCTGTTCAAAGTGTTTAAGACAGCCTGTGTCATTTGTGGGAAATTCGAAAATGCCAATAATATATTATAGCATGAGAAGAAAAGAGCCATTCACAAACTAACTAATTTCTTTCCGGTTGACAAAAATATAGACCTGAAGTTTGCTATATTTATTTTGACCAACATTAGCCATAATGAAACACTCGTCATTCCTGAACTATTACAATAATAGCAGCTTTATAAAAGAATTTGGTAAAAAGACTGTTCAACTGTAT